CCTATATCTTATATTAGGGTATTCTTTTATTTTTTATAAATTTTTCTTAGATAGTCTAATTAGCTATTTCTATATTAATAAACTCTTTTTTACTTTTTATTATATAAATATTAAACTAGAGATTATTTTCCCCTAAAGATATCTTACTAGGTTTAAATTAGGACTTTTTAGTAATAAGGTCTATAACTATAATTACTTAAATATTAGCTTTCTATAAGCTAAATAGTAGCTCTTTAGTTATAATCTATTCTTATAATAATATAAGTAATTCTTTTCTTAGAGTGTCTATTTAAATAGAATTAGGTTTTCTTAAGAATCTATTTATAGGATTAGTTTTTCTTAATTAGTACTTAACTATAAAATTAAATAGTATAAGATATATATATTAATATATCTATCTTCTATTTAGCTTAGTTTATTTTATAAAAGATTAAAGGTTTAAATAATCTAATAATATTTTAATAGTAAATTAGCTACTTTCTAAATACTATCTCTAATATTTAAAGGAGTATATAGTTATAAAAAGTTCTTAGTCTAGTATATTATAGTTTAACTCTACTCTAAAGAATAATTTTAATTAAAAAGCGACTAGATAATACTAATTTTAGTTATCTAGTTAAAAAAGGATACTAACTATTCTTTAATTTAATATATCTATTTTAATATATATTTAGTATTAGAGGTTAAAATATTATAATAGAGATATATTATAAAAGGCTGCGATTAGGTATTAAAATACTACTTTTTTATAATTTATAAATTAATAATTTCTAGGTATTTTACTATTTTTGCTTTTTTTAAATAATATAGTTAAAGATACTATAATACGAGAGAAATTATAAATAAATTATCGATAAAAGTTATAGAATCTAATAAAAACTTAAATATTATAGTAGTTTTTAGGTTTTAGCCATAGAATAATAGCGTTAACCTATTATTAGTCTATTAATATACTATTTTAGTCTATAATAAATCTAAGGAATTCTATTTTTCTTTAGTAAAATATATATTTTAAAGGTTTTATATAAAATCCTATTTTTTTTATTTTTTTAAGGATTTAGTGGATATAATAAATATATAATTTATAGTCTAAGGAGAATATTAAAATATTATCTAAATATATAATATAGGAGATATTAAAGAATCCCTATAAAATAATATAAATATAATTCTAAAAGATAATAAAAGTATTAGTTAAGCTAAATAGTATAACTATATATTTAAAGTAACTATAATATATATAAAATATAATTTTTTATTCTTTACTCTCTTAAATATAAATATAGTAATAGATATCCTAGATATCGATTTTACTAAAGTATTTTACTTCTAAAAATTAATCTAAAATCTCTAAAATAAGAGATAAAAAGTATTAATTTTTTATTATAATCTTATTAAGTCCCTAATAATCTATATAGAGATATAATCCTTTATTTTTCTTTAGAATAAAAGGATTAGTACTCTAATAGGACTTTTTAAGGGTCTAATCCTTTTATTTATAAGATTTTTATTAATATAGATTCGTAATATCTATAATTTATTTTATAATAAAAGATATATTAGTCTATAAAATAGGGAATAGTTATTTTCTAGTTTAATAGTATAATCCTATAAATTATTAGATAAAAGGATTTATAATTACTTTATTAAAAAGATATTAATAAATTAATATAGTTCCGATAGTATTTCTAAAAGATAAATAGTTAGTTCTTTATTTTTTTTATAAGGTAATTAGACTTTTTCTAGAAGTTTTATAATAATATAGATAATAATATATTTTTAATATTCTTTCGCGAGTTTCTAAGCTAGTATTAATTTAATTTTAGTAGCTTTAAACTATTAATTTTAGTTTTATAGTAAAATATAGATATAATATTTTATAAATATTATTATTAAAAATAAGATTAAATTTCTTTATTTATAAAGATCTCTATTAATTATAAGATAAAGATAAACTATTAATTTAGTAGTTCCTCGAGAATCAGTAAATATAATAAATATCTTCTATATATTATATAAAAAAGTTTCTCGATTATTTATTATTCTAAATAGTATTAATAATAGCTTTGTTTTTTATAATTTATACTTTTCCGCGAATTTAATATTAATAATATTAATCTTAATATAGATATCTATATCTATATATATTTTAACTTTATTCTATAATAATACTAAAATATAAAGATAAGTTATAGTTCTTATTTAAAGTAATATAGTTAGCTATATAGGATTTAGATTAATTTATTATTATTTTCTGATTTAATCTAAGTAGCTATTTATATACTAATCTTTTTATTTAATTTATTAAAGTATTAATTAGTAAAATAGGTTTTATTTTAATAAATATAATATTAGAGGGTTTTCTTATTTTTTTTAATTAGGTTTTTTTTACTTTCTTAGATCCTTCTTTTAGATCTCTAAGGTTTATAGTTTAATTAATACTAATTTATCCGAAATTATTTATTTATAAGTTTTTTAAGGGTTTTAGGGCTTTTTTATTTTTATATTAATTATAGTAACCCCTAATAATAAATAGCTAAAGATACTATCTTATCTTAGTTATTAGGTAGTTTATATATATATTCTTATATATATTATCTAAGATTATAGATAAATTTTAAGAATATTATAAATACTTTCTTTTTTTATTTTAATGAGAGAAGTATTACTTTAATAAATCTAAAAAAGTATAAAACTCTTATAGATCTTATTTTAGGCGTTAATAGGCTTTTTATAATTATCTTATAATATTAATTTTAAGAGTTATAATATCTTTAATAAGAGAGAGAGTCTAATTTTTAAAATAAACTTATAAAGTATTAATATTTTATTATTCTTTTTTAGGTTTCTTAGTAATATACTAATACTATCTCTATTAGTAAATAGGTTCTATATATAATAGAGCTATAATAATTTATTATTTTTTATTATAATATTTCTATAGTATTTTTTTAAAAATAAAAGAGAGATCTAAGAGCTATTTTTCTTTTTACTAAAAAGAGGAATAAATCGAGAATATTAGAATATTTTAAATCTTAATCTCGTTTTTATCTTTTATAGGAGATAAACCCTAATTTCGTTATTAATTTATTAAAGATTTAATAATATTTCTTTATTCGATCTAATTTCTTATTTATTAAGCTATTTATTATAATTCTTATAGATATTAAAGTTTTTCGATTATTTATTAGATAGTCTATAGATTTTTATCTAGTTAGGTCTAGTTAGTTTCGGATAGAGGGGTTTATAATATCTCTTCGGGAGTATTACTCTAATATATTATAATAGATTAAATCTATAGGGTTATCCTATTTCTTTAGATAATCGAAAAAGAAGATTTAGAATTATAAAGAATATACTTAATAAGATATAAGATCTATTAATTAGGTAAAGAAATAAAAAGAAGGAGTAGGAGAAATAGTATATCTTTATTACTATTAAAACTAAATCTTATTTTACTAGCTAGATATAGGAGTGTTAATTTATTATATAGTATCTTTATAACTCTATATATTATCGATAATATAAATAACTAGGTCCCTATTATATATTATGATTATTCTACTATAGGGTGGATCAAGCAATAAGTTCCGACTTCCTTCAGGATCATATGATATCACCTGATTCACCCCTTTCGTTAGTTAGGAATAACCTCATGTCTCACCATCTTGGTAGACCCTTTATAATATAGAGCCTAGTTAATTATCTAAATTCTATAATTTTCGAACTATTTTTATAAGATTTCCACTATATAAATCTTTATATTATCTTATTAGAATATCGAGTATAATTTATATATTAATAAAAGACCTTCTTTAAGAGTATCGAGATAGAAATTCGTAGTATAATCTTACCGAGATATATTTTTATCGCTATTTATAATTATCTTTATTTGGTTACTAATCTAGATTCTAACCTAAATTATCTACAAAATATTCTTATTATAACTTACAAGGTTTATACGATTATTTTAGTAATTCTCGGAGGTAAATTAAAAGATAAATTAGATCTTAGAATTCGATATTCGTCAAACTAAATATTTATTAGAAAAAATTAGATTCTCTTAATCTAAAAAAACTTATCTATTTATATATAAAAATATATCTTTTTTATATAATCGGCTTTAATAAAAATATTATTTTTTTACTCTTCTATTTTCGAAACCTATAATTTTTTAAAATATATTAAATTATTAATTAAGAGAGTAAAGAAAGGATATTTACTGTAAGAGCTCTATAATTTATTTATAGGTTCTAATAAGCTATCTGATAGATATTAAATAGTCTAATCATTAATCTTCTTAGGTCTACTATTTCTAGGCGATAATTTAAGAATATAGTATTACTAAAAACGATCGCGAGTTCGGTAAATTATAGTACGGCTAAGATATAAATCGCGGGCGATTTTAGTGGGACTTAAACTATTTTTTAAAGTAAAAATAATCGCTATATAAGTAGATTCTGATAATTTATTATTTTATCTACAAGTTGTACTAATTTCAGTACTAAAATAACGTATATTAGATATAGTAGAGAGAAAAGAAAAAAAGGGTAGAATATATATTTTATTAAAGTAGGGTGCTATACCTAGACTTTTGGACCCCGTTATATATGCTCCATAATAATAATATATTCGATAATCGATGAGGCTCTAGTGGAGTGGATTAGGATGGATGGGCCTAAAAAGTTGGACCCATAAATCGTAGAACACTTTTATTAATACAAAAATATAAAACAGCCTTGAGTTGCTTATATAGAGAAACTATAAGCTCTCTAGTTATGGGTAGGTAGGGACAATCGTGGGCTTCTGCGACCACGATCGCTGACTCATCATACAACCCCCTCCATCCGGGCACCTGCAGGACTGCCCCTTGCTGATTTCTGCTCAATCAGTCAAGGGCCTACGGTCCTTTCGAACATAGATAACATAGAGATACGGTGCTTTCTTCTTAGATTTCCACTCATCAATACCGACTCCTACATTGTCGGCTGATTGACACTATGGACTGTCACAAAGGCCTCGACTACATTCATGAAGCAGAGGAGGATATCTGGGTCGAGAAGATCAACGAGCTTCGTCTCAACGGCCGTCTCTGCTCATGGATGACGGGTTTTCATCCCCAGCAACTTCCGTGCCATCTGGAAGGGGGCTTCCTCAATGGGTCATACAACGTCTGCCAAATATTCATTTTTGAAGACGGAACCACCTGGATCCTCCGCCTACCTCGAGTCTCCAGCATTTCCCCTGAATATGCCGAGGAAAAAGTGATCATGGAAGTCGAAGCCCTGGATATCATCCACAAAAAGACAACAATCCCCGTACCACAGGTCAAGGCTTGGGGGTATGCCAGGGATAACTCTCTTGATCTCGGGCCATTTTTGATCATGGAGTGGATTAATGGTATTTGCCTGGGCGGTATTTTGATTGATGGCGAATCACGAGTGATAAAGAAAGATATCAGTGACGACAAAATCGAATTTATCTACAGACAAATGGCCGATATTATGCTACAGCTCCATGAAATCGATTTCGAGCGGATCGGTAACCTCCCAACCCCACGGACTGGAGCATCTGTACCTGTTCGACCATTGACGTGGAAGGTGCATGATATATTGCGGACTGGAGGAGTCAACACCTTCGGTACGTCACAGCATTCACAATAAAAGTCATCTCCTAATGGTTATCTTCTAGGTGACCCAGCTCAAGAATTCCCGACGGTTACTGAATACTTCCAACATGTAATCGGGCAAGACTGGAAACAACTTCATGATCAACCGAATTCAATCGGTGGCTGGTATACGGCTAGCACTGAATATCGAAACCAGAAAGTCCTAGGACCTCTGATTCCGGGCATGGTACACCCGGAGTATGAGCGGGGCCCATTTAAATTGATCTGTGATGATCTTGGCCCAAAGAACCTGCTAGTGCGGAGCGCTGAAGATCTCACCATTGTGGGAATGGTGGACCTAGAGTGGACTTATGTTGGGCCAGCTCAGCTATTCGCCTCAGCACCGTGGTGGCTTCTTCAAGACCGACCCATCAACCAGCAGTGGGATTTCAGTAATGATGACGTGCCTCCTCAGGAAATAACTAGCCGCTATTTAAGATGTCTTGATATCTTCAAGCGCGTGCTCGAGGAAGAAGAGGCAAAGAGACCCGAAGCCAAGGGCAAGGGAACGAGCCTGTCCGCTCTTGTCAAGTGGTCAGAGACATCTGGAGCCATGTGGCTCCATATGCTTTTGTCCAGCGGCTTTCTTGACTCGTTGGGCTTTCCTTGTGGGCATCTGCGGAGACATGTCGGTGTTGAATGGTGGCAGGAAGAGATGACCAAACTCGAAGGTTCTGAAGAAGTCAAGGCATTCGTGGACAAGAAACTTCCTATGTTCGATCGCTATGAGGAAAACATGAAGAAGATCGAAGTGCAAAAGGCGCTTATGGATGAGGGTAAGATAACAAAAAAGGAATTCGCGGCTCTCGCGCGATCTATCCTGGCCGGTGAGCAAGGGAGCTGAGTATATAAAATTGATAAACTTCGGCGCATGCTAGTCAAGAATCGAATACTATATTCCGGGACCACTATATGCAACGTCCTCCTGTAGCTAACATCCATGGATATGAGCACAAACCGCAAAAAGCATCATCCCAAACTCATCTGCCGACTGCAACCACCGCTCGATTCTCTTCCTCCGCTCCTCTGACCCGGTCTGAGATGACCGCCACAGCTCCGATATTTTCAGTATGCCATCCTCCCACCGCGACAAGTGCCGATTATACTCTCGCTCCCACGAGCCACGATCAGGCGCTTCCCAAAGAGCTTTGCCCTCGGGCACAGCAAGACTGCTCAGCTCGTCAGCCACGAAATTCGGAAGTCCCTTCTGAGCATTGTATACGCTGCTGAAGAGGTACATGGTAAAAAGGGTCCGCCGTTTCGCAGAAGCCACGATCCAGGATTCCCAGTTCGGTCGGGTTCTGGAGACTTCGGTAGTACAGCTGACCCCGGCTTTGGCGGCGTGAAAGGCCTGTTCTTGTAGAGTGACCATGGCAGAATCGTTCACTAGCGAGTTGTTGGCGTCGATGGGGAAGAAGTATGATATGATCAAGTAGATCAAGTATGCTTGCAAAGAACACAGGTGGTCAAAGTCGCCTACGGTGTTTTGCTGGAGCATGTCAGCATAGGCACCATATTATCCATTTTTCATGTTTTGGTTCATACCGCTGTTACTAATCTTGCCATCTCTTGTTGCACTGTGGATATGATCATTCTCTCGCTGCCCGGGACCCGGTTCATCCACATGCGCGCCAGATTGAAACAGTTTGCCAAGGCCTGGGGCGGGCGCTTGCTAGCTAATTGACGAGGATGAATGAATGGCGGTGCATGAGACAAATCCAGTAAGTAGCCTGGGTACGATCTCAAGACGCAGGTGAGATACTGCACGGTAAACGGGTGAAAGAGCTTAGGGACCTGTCCCATCGAAGTGAAGAGATATGGGCGTAGCCAACGGTCCCGAATTTCTTCTGCATCAACCATTGGAGCCAGATCAATGTTTTCGAAATCCAAATTCGCCTCTACGCGAGGGTGAGCGCTTCCTGACCTGGTACCGCGTTGAGAAGGAATGGCTTGCGGCGTAGAAGCGTCGACGGGTTCTGAATCTAGAAGTGTTTCCACCGATGAGACCGAGAGATTTCCCAGAAATAATCCATCATCGCCGCTTTGGTGGAATGATATGGTCTTGTGAGACACTGGGTCATTGGCATGCAATCCGACGTTGCCCGTCGGATATTGACACTGCTTGCCCCGAGCCCGGCATCGCGAACAAGCAGGCTTTTGCAGGCCACATCGTACCTTGGCAGCAGTGCAGCTTTGGCAGGCTTTTTTCCTCGGTGGGGCTGGTTTCTTGACTCTCGATGTTGAGTGAGACGGCATTCTTGTAAGTGGAGAGATCTGTCGAGGGTTGCGAGTTGGGCCGGAATTCCGAGGCAATGGCGGAGTTCCGTAACATGACTAAGAAAGAACTGCTCATCTTCTCAGACACGTTCACTAGCAGAACAGGCTGCTATGTTTGTTTTGGTTTTTTAATCCTGCCGATTTGATTGTAGTTCACCACAAATACCGGAAATGACAAGAATCTATAGGAATCCCCAAACCTATGCTGCAGAACCGTCGAGTCTGTACATCGGCCGAGTCCCGCCACCATCGGAACCCCGAAACCTCGGCCGATCCCCCATCCGCAAGTATAAAATGACCCGCAACCCCAACTCAATTCTTCATCTTTTACTTCATTCCAGCTACATCAAACACAAACAAAGATAGATCACCCACAACCATGTCGCAAGTCTACACCACAGACCACTCAACGTCGGTCCTCAGCACACACAGCTGGCGCACAGTCACCAACTCGGCACCATATCTGCTCCCACATCTCCAACCATACATGAGCATCCTAGACGTAGGATGCGGTCCTGGCTCAATCAGCATCGACCTCGCGCAACGTGTACCATCCGGCCACGTCATTGGCGTCGAGTACGTGTCAGACCCCCTAGACGGAGCACGAGAGCTCGCCAGCGCAGCGGGGGTGAAGAACATCAGTTTCCAAGTCGGCGACATCCACGACCTCCCATTTCCAGAGAACACATTCGACGTGGTTCACGCGCACCAGGTGCTGCAGCACATCGCAGACCCCGTCCAAGCGCTGCACGAGATGCGGCGCGTGGCAAAACCGGGCGGGATTGTTGCTGCGCGCGAGTCGGCTGGACTGACCTGGTATCCCGACTCCGAGGGCATTGCCACCTGGAAGGATATGACGGAGCGCATGCAGCGAGGAAAAGGCGGGAACCCGCATCCGGGTCGGATGATTCATGTGTGGGCTGAGAAGGCTGGGTTTTCTCGTGAGAGTATCAAAAAGAGTGCCGGGTCGTGGTGTTTTAGTACTCCCGACGAGCGGGCGTACTGGGGTGGCTCTATGGAGGCTAGGGCGAGGTCTTCTGGCTTTGCCAAAACTGCGGTGGAAGAGGGATTTGCGAGACAGGAAGAATTGGACATGATTGCGGCGGGGTGGAGGGCCTTTGTCGAGGATGAGGATGCATGGTTTGGGTTGCTGCATGGGGAGATCCTCTGTTGGAAATAACCCTTTGTTGTTGGCTTGAATTTTCATTGATGAATTTAGAATCAATGATGCTTTAAACGAGTACTAATTGAGAATAATATATCTGAGCTACAACTCTGCAATCATTAAATTGGCCGCGAATAAAATGGATGAATATAAACTTTCTTGTTTCTACCCCAGCACGGATCTATGGAGGGTGTGGCAGAATGATAAACTACAAACTAAAAGGTCACCCTCAGAACTGCTTCATTCAGTTTGTTTTTGGTCTCGTTCTTGAAAATACTATGTTCAATTCTTTCCCTTAGTTCAATAATAGTATCTCATCAAATAAATAGATGAATAGCCCCCATAGTATGCCGACTCGGCCTTGCTCTTTTTCCCATCTTCATCTCTTATAAATCACTTTCATCATCATGATAGGAAGCAAAATCACCCCGAAGTTACGTACGCTTCGCTTTTTTGATGGGTCTAGGACGGTAGCGATGCTCATCACATATTCACGCCAAGACGTTCTTCTAGACAACGCCAGGGTCCGAGGTCCATAAGGCTTAACTGAACTGGACTAGACGTTCGTCGGTCTTCTCCGAATTCAGCCAAAGACGATTTCTAGCGTGGCAGGATTTGATCCTTCAAATTAAACGAAAGTGGCCCTCGCATGAGCCTCAAATTCGAGTGCATCTCTCCCAAAACAAAAAAGAGGAAAGTTCCATGCAACCAGATACTCCAGAAATGATTGATCGTTAGCCATTGCTCCTACTATATCCTATACATGAGATATTCGATAAAACAAGATTCGCCTCTGCATCTTGGTTCCTGATTTTCCGTGTGTTCAGACAGCCCCCACACAACCCCAGAGATCTTTTCCTAGTTGAGGCCAAGTCTAAGGATAGCGCCATCTTAGGGCTTAGTTTTCTTGGGGGCTGTAGTTTTCCGCTCCAATCGTGATATTATTTTTTTTTTCTATAAGAATGGGCCGTGCCTGATAATCTTGTTTTCACCTATTTTCCCTCTCCCGCCTTTCTACGTGCGATGCCATAGAATCGCTAACTCTGGACAAGTCATTGCCCAGTAATGTTCTAATGTTCTCCAGGAAGAGTGTCGCAATTTTGCTGCTCCCGCTGCTACAGGGGAGTATCGCAGGGCTCATCCCCCGAGCAGAGACATCGGGTGCGAATGGAAAAACGCCCAACATCGCCTTTTTCCGTGAAGATGTCATAGTCCCAGTTGGGCAGAAGGCCGTGGTCGAATTCGAACGCATGCCTACCGTTGGAGCCAACGTCCCGGCTTCGATCTACTCTTTGTCAACTACCGTCACGGTCCCGGCCGGTTATACTGCTGTGATCCGTACCGTGGCGGATTCGGCAGCAACAAACAGCGGTGCGCCCAAGCCCCCGCCTGCTGCAAGGACCTCTGCTTCCGCGGTGAACTCGAACTCGGCTTGGGGAGGAAGTGTGCCAGTTGCTTCATCTTCTTATAACCCTCAGGGTTCAAACACGGGTGCGCCCAAGCTCAACACCGGATCTACCAATAAAACGCCGACGTTTTCGCCCAATACCTCGACGGCAAAGATCAACAGGCCTCAACAGAGCTCTCAATCTTCTGAATCGTCTGCGCAGTCGAAAACGCCGTCTCGGGGCTCGAATCAGACCCCAACTATTACCAAGCCTCGAGGATCTATTACGCCCACCCCGACACACACCCAAACCGAGTGGCCCTGCGAGGTCTTCGGGGGTGAATACTGCCAATGCTCTTACACGGATAAGCTGGGTCAGAAACACTATACGACAATGCCGCTCCCGTCCGATGCCCAGTGTACCAAATGGAGCAAATACCCAGGTCCCACAAGCCATACCGCCGAGCACACCCCAACCCCCGTCATCATTTCCGACTACACCTCCAGCAACACCAACGGCTTCGAGGGAGTCTGGCAAAGCGCAACTCTCAAATACATGGGAGTCGACAATGGAGCAGGCACCCAGCTGCACGAAACCGAGACCATTCCTGTTGGCACCCCGACCAAGATCATTTCGACCGCTACGCCGACTGCCCATTGCGCCTATTGGCGGTACTCGGGCCCGTCGGGCGATGCGTCATGCACTTCCCAGGAGGGCACCTTCCTGGGCGTGGTTTGGGGTATTGAGCATTGGGATGTTGATCCCAAAGACTTGCAACGAATGATGAGCCTAGCTGGTTTCAACGTCCAGAGGAATACTGACCGCTGGGGTACGGTGGCATCAATCGATTTGGGCAGTGACATGCATAGCCTGCCACAGAAGATCAAAAACGCCAACGGCCCTGCTCTTAAATGCACGCAGCCTCCTCAGGACGGCCCTGACAAGTGTCCACAGGGAAGACCGCACCCGGCTGGGGAAATGAACTGGCTTCATAATACCTTCCCGAAGTTCAACATTGGTGCTTATCCGCTTGTTCCTTGGTGAGGTTCAGCCTGATCAAGAGGTGATGTAGGGGTTGGACAATTTGTTTGATACGATTATGGGATATCCACATGCTTCTCGTTTTTGGCTTATGAAGAGAGTATAGAGCTTTTAACTTCTGTTTTTTAATGTCATGACTATCGATGCTTTGATTGAGTTTACTTCATATATATGTTGGTAAATAATGTAGCTCAATGGCACAGACAAGGAAAGCCTGGAGAGTTTTCCTGCGACGCCGCGAAATTATGATAGGCAAGATCCATAGCAACGTCGACGAGGGCTGGGTAGGAATGATTCTACATCTGTGGAAGGCCAAACCAAACGCATTGTCTTAATATTGGGGCAATGACGATACCAGTACACGACAGTCAATTATCAGGAGCAAAGGCACCGAGGATATACAAGTCGGGTTCCTAAAATACGTGAAGTTCTGGTACAACAACCATAGAACACGGCAGTTTTAGATCTAGGTATGAATGATAGTATGTATTCGACCCAGTGTTGTAGTAGAACGAAGAGTGGTTTATAGGCTCGAATCACCCGAAATATATCAATAGAAATGCAAATTTCATGAATGCCGTTGTGTGGACAGGGCTAACTGATTCACCAGCCGTCCTCCTCGTACTCCTCGTAGGCATCTTCGCGGCCTTCCTCGCGGCCCTCTTCACGGGCTTCGCGCAGTTCATCCGACTCATTATCGGAGTCTGGGAGTGATATTAGCATGAATCGCCAATTGCATCAAACTCCAATCGATCCAGTATGGAAGAACAAAAGAAAGAAAAAGAACTCACCTCTCTCATGTTCAATCAACGCCCCAGCAACCCCACCAACAGCCAACCCAGCCGCACCAGCAGCAAGATACTTGCCAGCATTACTGGACTTCTTCTCTTCCTGAGGCGGATAATACGGCGAGCCCCCAGCACCACGGTCATAGGGCGACGCCGCAGGCATAGGCGGCGGGCCCGGCGGTGGCGCGTAGTACTCGGCAGCCTGCGGCGGGGGCACGCTGCGCGAACTATCATAGCCGCCACCGTAGGCAGGGCCCTGGAACGGCGGCTCCCACTGCGAGCGGCCGGTGCCCTCCTCGACGAAGAAGGCGCGGCGGGCATTCGGCTCCCATTCTTGCGTCCAGCCGGCGGGCAGAGGGGGTGGGGGGCCTGGTGGTGGGCGGGCTAGTGGGGGTGGGGCGCTGTAGGGACCGCGTTCGTAGGGTGGTCGGTCGTAGGGTGGGCGCTGCTCATAGGGGGGTCGGTCGTAGGGTGGGCGCTGCTCGTAGGGGGGTCGGTCGTATGGAGGCCGGTCGTAGCTGGCTGGGGGGCGGTCGTAGGCTGGGCGGGCGTAGGGGTCGCCGTAGGGAGGGGCGTAGGCCATGTTGGGATAATAGAGAGAGAGAGAGAATAAAAGAGAATGATAGGAAGAGTAAGAAGAAAAAGGAGAAAAGGAATATGGAAAGATTGCCAACAAGAACAACGGGGGGCAGCCGGTTTTATAACAAAACAGACACCAATACAAAAAGCAATGTATACCAGGAATCTGGAGTCGGCTGCATTTATGTATGAGAAATATATTTCGACCCTATTATTATTATTATTATTTCCCCTCCAACATTTTCCGCCCACAACCGAAAGGGCCTCCACATCCACCAGGAATAGTTGAACATCGGCTAGTCACTAAAGCGCAACGGCGCGTTCCAGCGTATCCACCGAGGGAAGAGTGGAGAACAGCCTGTCAGTTAGCGCTGGACAGCGTTTCGCTACAGGGAAAGGAACATGGGCCGGACCGACTAGGCAGATGCAATCCGTTAGGTACCTACGGGGATATACAAGCGGGAAGGAAGCCGTGTATCTCAGCCAAGATAAAGCAATGCAATTACATATACAGCCCCAGGGAAAAGCAAGACGCCCCAATTCATGCCAAAAAATAGGTGTCAGCCCACAGATTGTGTGACAGCGTAAGACGGCAGCTCGAGAAGAGGGGCGGTTACATTGCACCGAACATTGCGAAATATTGCGCCGATCTGAACTCCTGATCGGCTGGGCTCCACCGAGTCAGCGAGCTTGACTCTTCGGTTTGTTTATAGCCCTTCCTATCCTCCTCCCTTGTTATGGTTGCTCGCTTTTAGAGAGAAGGCTTTGGAAACAAGGTCGATAGCTGAAAAACCAGCAAGTTACATTTGTAAAAACAGGACGCCCGAGGGTGGAGAAAGATGCATGGCAGGAACATTCTGATTACTTGACCCTACAAGGCCCCGATGCAGAGCCACATCGTGGCGCAGGAACTCAGCCACTGATAGTGGCACACGTGGCGCATCCACTGCTATATTACATACTACAGGGCTACTACAAGGCTAGTATGACACTACTGGATTAGTGGCTACACGGATGACTGTTGGAAACATGTCCAGACCATAGACACTGCCCCTCATGTATTGTGTACGAGAGTCCACTCTCAAACTCATATCCCCATAGAGCAATACCAAAACAGAATGACGATCAACTAGCCAAGCGGAATTCTCCACTGAAGATAGTCCAGTGAGACTCGAACCCACCTCCCAAGACATGCACTCCATGCAGAGATGCAGCAAAGGGGGCACAGAAGTCAAGAGCGAGTCCGGAGATGCTTTATCGATCAGGGGTCCGACCCGGCCAGATTGCTCGACTCCGCACTGTTCGGGTAGAAGAAGGCAGCCAGTCTGGAAGCAAAGAGTTAGCCAATGGCCCAATCTTCAACAGGGCCAACCGAACTTACGCGATAATCACATAGGCCGCTATTAGCAGGGCACCCTCGAGGTAGTTGCTTCGGCCGTCCAAAACTAAGAAGTTGACCACAAAGGCAGTCACAAAGAGACAGATGGTTTCAAAGAGCGTGAAGTATAACGACATGTCTTTGTCCATGCACCAGCCCAGGATGACGACCAGCGGAGTGACAAAAATAGCTAGGATGCGTTAGACATGACCTGAAAATTGACAGCAACACAGAACGTACCGATTTGGATACTACTTCCGACAGAAACACCAATGGACAGATCCATCTTGTTCTTGGTGGCGACACTGACCGCAGTGACATGCTCCGCGGCATTCCCCACAATTGGCAGAATAATCAGACCGATAAAGGCCTCGCTGACGGGCGAGCTGGAAATCATCTCGGGGATGGCGTCCACCAGGAATTCAGCGCAGACCGCCACCAGGCCCGTCGACAGCAACAGCATGACTACGGCCGCTGTGCGAGACATCTCGGGCTCTGGATCCTCCTTGGTGGTGTCCATGGCCGCAACTTCAGTACTGACGGGTGCTCGAGCGGCACCTCGGGCAAACTGGACGGCATTGCCCACCGGTGGCGCACGGTTCATGTGTGCAGGAAGCGAGTTACTGCGAGAAAGACCCGGGCGCGAAGCAGCGACACCGAGACGCGGCGATTGTGCGGGCGATTGAGAGCTAAAGACGGTATTGGACAACAGCGATGGAATTGGGCCGAACGGCGAGCGTCGCCGCTGTTCGTTATCTTTGGCTTCTGCGAGCCCGGCAATGTTGGGTGCAGTTGCAAAGCCTTTCATCGGTGGTCGAGAAGCGATCTCCTCGGGCGGAGGATCGGCGTGATTAAGGGTCTGTTTCTTGGCTCGCTCGGCTCTTTGGGCCCGACGCTTCTTCCGTTCTCGCTTCTTTGCCTTCTGGGTATCCTTGTTGCTACCCAGACGACTCAGCGCGAGGCCAAAGTCCCGAGAGCGAACCTCAGAGGATTGATGCGCGTCGTCGTCGGCATCATAGCGATTCTCATCACCAAAATCGACCGCACAGGAGTCGTCTTTGCTTCCAATCGAATTTCCCACAGAACTCTGATTCTCGTTGGACATGGCCAAGGCCTTCTTCTGGACCGATTGGCGGGACGTAGTTCCCTTGGAGCTAGTACTGGATTTGCGGTGTCGGCGGTACTTCATGGCCCGCTTGATTCGTTTGGCAGTGGTCCATGAGGTCGTCGTGTCCGCTGATTCGTCACTGGAGCTGGTAGAAGAGTCGGACGAGCTGTTCATGAACTCCGCCAGAACACCAGGATGAGACTCCTCATCAATAATGCGCTGGGGAATACTGGCGTAGAGGTATGCATGCGACTTGAGCTGGAAGATGATATACAGGATGTACACCAAAAGCAGGACCTGGGTGTATAAGCTTGTGATCCTTTTTCGTGGCGACAATGATCCTTACCACACTAGTGCCTCGGCTAACCTTCAGTGTCTGCCGGTCTGCATTGGCACTGTTTGACCACGATGCGTGGAACGCAGTCTGTCACTATCAGCGATATCCTCGGGAAAATATTTAATATAATCACTGACCGGCAGCAAGAGACTCGTAACACTCAAACTGAGTAAGCAAGCACTCATCTGGGTCACGGTGCTGTTGTAGATCTGGAGAAGGTTAGACCCACATTCCAAGGGGAATTTTGTTATGTTGCACCTGTTCTTGGAAACGAAGACCGCCCAACAAGAAAGCCATGCCCAGAATCAAGAGCAGGTTTGCCAAAATGGAGCCAAGCAGGGAGGCTTGAACGATGCGGATTTCATTCTGAGACTTGTCAGCTGCCAGCCATGCAAGTGATGTAGTTGCGCATACCTTGACTAGGGCAATACTATAGCCAGTTTCCCCATTAGCAGTGTCCTTGAAACCAGGCAATCCTCGGTGATCCAGCAGGAAAAAGAAAAAACAGTCAACTTACATGCTGTTTTCGAAGGTTAGCAACTATCTCCTTCACAAGAGAGACAGGGACATACAAGATGATCAGCTCCACTGCATTGCCAAAGGTAACATTGATCAGGGCACCAATGGTATCACCCAGGCGACAAGCAACACTCTCAGTGGCATGGCTCAACAGTCCAGCCAGGGGAATAATAGCCACAGCATTCATCGCGAAGACAACAGCCGGGTTGAGACCAGCAGCCTTGACGGCGATACCAGCCGGCACAAAGACCAGCAGGACATTGACCCAGCTGTGGCAGAGGGCATTTTTGGTATGGGTGTAGAACCGGCCACATCCATTGCGCATGCGGATGAGCGGTCCTGGTTTCGAGTTCTTGTCTTCCTCGGGCCCCGGGGCAGGGCCCTCTGCTGGCGTATTCACTTGTCCATCTTGAGGGGGTTTCTCGGTCTGGCTGACGGGCCGTTTTGTAGATTGGTTTTGGAAGCCAGTCGAGGACGCGTGAGCTTTCGCCCACGAGTGAATCCGGTCTGTGGAGAGAGGCATGGTCAGCAAAAAAGTGGAGCGGTGATAAGGGCTGCATGGAGGGAGAAGAGAAAGAGAGAAAACAAGGTACGAACATACGCATGTATTTCAAGAACCAGAAGCTGATTCAACACAAGGCCACAAGCCTGGAGAGTTGCAGGTGAAGTAAGAAAGCAGAGAAAGAGGAAAAGAAAGAAAGAAAGCACGATGGCTCTGGGGCGATAGGGGGATGGGCCAGACTTATTTATCGGGAGCTTGGCAGGCTTGGCGATTGAATGGCCATTAATAGTATGAATCTCACTCAGATGATTCTGGTGATATTACAATCTTACTATTTTCTAGTGGAAATAGAGTGAGCGATATTCTACACTCTAGTATTGATTATATTGATTATTTCTATCCCCCCCCCCCCCTGCGCAATGATCCCCTACACAAGAATGTTGACGACCTCTGCCCTGACAGAAAACGCCTCGTTTGCATTCTTGGCCTCGCGTTTGCTTCGTCACGCCCCCTAGCATTGGTGATATCACTATATATTGGTATATCAACTGCCTCACAGCTCGAATGACGCGTTCATAGTAAGTCTGCCCCTTATAGGGTTGGTAAGGTTTGCTGGCAGGGAATCCGGATCCGCAGTGCGTCTGGGACTATCGGGAATCCGCAGATCTGATTGGCTGAGAGTCCACACGATCGACGTGTCTTGTGCGAAGTTGTTTTGCCTGCCTGAGGCTGCAGAAGTCTTCTACTCTGCTAACCTCAACTGGCCCTGATCTCTCCTGAGATTGATATTTCCATCAACTTGCCCTGTGGGATCTCGAGATGCCTTCCCTGTGCAACATGAGTTCCGCCACAGCACCATGACATCGTCTGGGATAGATCACATGATGTCATTGTTGAACGTACCCTAGAAGCCTTTGAGGGGAAACTGATGATTCGCTTTTATCTTGCCATTTCCGGGTTTCCAGGTCTCCGGGGTCTTTCCAGTCAACCGTGGCAAGCCCCACTGTGTCTCTGGGCTGTGACTGTGGCTGTGCTGGCCATTGCCACAGTTTCTATTTGCGACATGGACTTCGGGATTCATCTATTGCCTGCTTATGGATTGGTGTGGCTTGGCTGTTGGTATGGAGCGCTGATGATTGATTGAAATTCTGATTCGAGCTGACCATGAAAAGTGCACTGGGCAAGGCAGTCATTATGAAGTCAGGCTATAATGTCACTCTATATTTATGAACATGGATGACCCGTCGGATAATACAGTTTTCCGAAACATACAAAAAAAGCGATGTAAAATGATATTCAAATGTGCCAACGGAAAATAAAGGATACATCTATCGGGGAGAATAATTGCCAAGTCAACTAGCGGCAAATATTTCTGCCGCCAGACTTGGACGTGACAGCGAACAGCATATCGAACCAACTCGATGCAAATGCCAAATCCAGGCCTAAATAGCTTATGCTTTATGCTTCAATGCTATCAGGTAAATTAATAGGCAATAGATCTAGAGTAATGGAAAACGCATTGTATATATCACGTGATATTAAAATAATCACCATAGCGGACTTGGAACCAACCAGCGTTACTCACATTGTTGCTAAAAAGTGATTCCCTTTGCATCTGCGGCAGCGAAATTGAATCTGCACGAGGGATGAAGATGTGAGAACACCCTGCTCCGATATTTCTCTGCCATTCCTATCGGCACTTGGTCTCGGCACGGGCGAATTACGGCAACCCGATCCGAATGCAGCCACTTTCCCGACAGTCGAAATTGTGCCATCTCTTCACTTTTGAAGTACCGATTGAAATTATCGTCTGGCTCAGTGATATGCAATATTGAGCTAGACCGAGTCATTGTGTTTGCAGCATCGACCTGGATGCACTACGGTCTATTTCGATGACCACTAGAGCTGGGACATGGCCCAGCAAAAACCCCATAAATCTCGGCTCGGGAGGCTCAGGTATATCAACCATCATCAACACCACAAAAGTATGTTAACACTCCATGCAGCTGGCTTAATCCATCAAAATGGTGGGCCAAACTCGAGCTAGACTCTCGGACCGTGCTCATGATGCTGAAAGGGGCCTTGGCGCCGACTATCACCATTGCCATGTAAGGCTGCAGAAACATTTTATCATTTAAAAATGATGCTAATGTTTTTGAAGATGCCAGTCTGATGCCATCTCCAACATCACAACGACCATCGGCTATTTATCAGCCTTGATCTCCGTCTTATCTCAAGGCTTGATGCCGCGGGCGAAGTTCATGAAAATCATGTTCTTCGATCTGGTGTCGGTCTGTGTGTCAGCGTCACTTTTCTGTCTGGCTGTATTTTGCTCGGTCAAAGCACGAGAGCATAATTTACCCGCCGGCGCCAGTGAAAGTGACCGGAATGGATTCAGCAGTGACGCCTGTGCCGTCTCCGCCATATGGCTGATTTTCATGATCTGGTATGCAGTGACATCTTGATTCTAGATTCTAAACGTATACTGATGCATATATTGGGATCAGGACTGCCAATTCACTGCGCGCACTCCGACCCATCGAATTGCAAGACCCCATGGTTGCATTTTCTATTTTCGCGTCTGTCACCATTACCCGCGGAGACATGTTCACCACTCTGACCGAGGGCTTTGAATTTATATCACGACTTTTGAAGGGATTTATGATCGGGTTCGCTATTGCAGCTGGCGTCTCACTGCTCATCTTGCCTATCACCAGCAGGGGCAATGTCTTCCACGACATCAAAGGCCATGTGACCGCAGTAGAAGAAGTGCTGCAGTCACAAATCTCTTTTTCCACGGACAGCTCTGCCACAGGACTTTTCTCAGAAAAGGGTCTACTTCGAAGAGCACGGACCGTCATGAGTACGCAGGACGCACCGAACGAGGGTGAAAGTGATCAGCAGACAAAACAAAGACAGCTGCAGACATCGATGACCAAGCTCAATGGCCTACACAGTAAACTACACGCAGACCTGTTCTACTCCAAGGCCGAGATCGCCTGGGGCAAGCTGTCAGCCGACGATCTGAGCGCGATCACGGCTCGAATGCGAAGTCTCCTCCTTCCACTCTCTGGAATGTCGATGCTGCCGGAGATCCTGGAGATGATAATCAAGAATGAAGGACCGCGCGGCGACGACGTGGCCGACGCAGACGACAAAGGGGCCCTGAAACATTCGGAGATCGAGAAGCTAGTGGAGATGCTGCATGAGAGGCTCGTCCATTCCTCAAAGCTTGTGACCCTGGGGCTCCACTATTTTTTATTGGCATTGGAGCTTAGCACTCCCAAGCATTGGGACAGGCACGCAAAGTCTCAGCTTAGCGGCTCGGGTGCCAGGGACGAAGAAGCAAGGGGCGAAACTCTATGTCCTTTGCAGTCCGATTTCCCGTCGCGGTTCAAGCGCGAGCTGCATCGCTATTACTCGCGACGGAAGCACCTGCCCGAGACGCTGGCGTCACTTGAGGCATTTTCGGGCACTGAGAACCCGGTCGGCGTGGCCCCTGGACCGGCATCGCGAAGGATCGCAGCTGATCCCGATGTGCGACAGGAATTTTTCTTGATTTTGTATATAGGCCATCTCCAGGATGATCTTTTGAACGCGACGCTGCAGTTGGTGCAGTTTGCGGACAGCAAAATCGCCGATGGTACCATGAAACGTAGCAGACTAATCTTTCCCAAGCAGAGATCCATCCGGGCATGGCTTTTTCTCAGCTCGGACAAAAAAGAATCTGAAACCCAGTCGGAGCGCAGGCAATCATCTAATGTCGATCCTTCGACTATCCATCGAGATTCTACGGCGGCAAAGTTTCCAGACCCCGAGCATCTCCCGCCAGAGAACATTTGGGAGAAAGGGAGCACGGTATTGCGGACGATTTCTCATGCCATCAAATCTGAGCAGAGCATCTTTGGATTCCGCGTTGCTGCGGCGTCGTTTTCTGTGGGGATTCTCGCCTTTCTGCACCAAACACAAGATTTCTTCATTCGCCAACGATGTATCTGGGCGATGATTGTGATCGTCATTGGGATGAATCCTACCAGTGGACAGACCATGTTCGGGTTTATTGCCCGCATTGCGGCGACGGTGATATCGCTTGTGCTTAGCTTGGTTGTGTGGTATATCGTTGACGGCAAGACGGCTGGCGTAATCGTCTTCCTCTACATTGCCAATGTATTCGAGGTATGATGATCGAGTTCTTTACAAGATACAGGTACTAATACGGACATGAACAGTATTACTTCTACGTCATGGTGCCGCAGTACTTTGGCGCATCAATCATATCCATCGTTACGCTGAACGTGATTGTCGGGTATGAGCTACAAGTATGTACAGCCTTGATTTTACCAGGTCACTTCAAAGCTCAATAATAACACACAAAAGGTCCGCAAGCTAGGAATCCCACTCGCCGAATCAAACGGCCAACCATACTACCCAATCTACCTCTTCGGGCCCTACAAACTGGCAGCAGTGGCAGCAGGTTGCGCGATATCTTTTTTCTGGGTGATTTTCCCATATCCAATAACAGCGAAATCACAACTCCGCAAGCTCCTGGGTCGGAGCCTGTTCGTGCTAGCCCGGTTCTACAGCTGCATGCACGCGACAATCGAACTGTGGCTGAGCAACGAACTGGGAAGCATTGAAGATACGCACTCGCCTGCCGCCGAGCTCCAAGGATCGAGACACAGGGTCTTCAAAGAGGAAATGATGCTGCTGACAGGGCTGCGGATGCACAGCCATTTCAGCACCTTCGAGCCCGCAGTCGGGGGCAAGTTTCCTAAGGAAATCTACGACAACATCATCTCGGAGATCCAGTGCATTCTCACAAGCATGTCGCTTATGGCACACACCACGCAGAGCCTTGATGCATTTTCCATGGAGTCAGACTCAGACGACGCTACTCCTGATACAGCTGCTCTGCCAGGAAACGAAAATAGATGGAAGACCCAACTATCCGAAATCGCCCTGGCATCCACGGACTTCAACTCCCACTGCATCACCTCCCTGCTATGCCATTTATCCGCCTCCATCACCAACGCCCAACCTCTACCACCGTACCTCTCCACTCCAGACTCATTCCCACTCGCTCGGCAGATGCAAAAGATCGACGACGAGTTGCTCAGTATTCGACACGTGGCGGATCCGGCCTTCTCGGCGTTTGTGTCGTTGGAAGTGCTGCGCTCTGTTGTGAGCTTTAGCTTGCAGGACCTGCTCGAGTATGTTGACTTCTTATCTTACCGCTTCTCTTTTCTGTCGTGATGTGACTGGAATATGTGGATTTGCAGTGCTGACATCGCATATATAGGAATGTGAAGAAGTTGGTTGGTGAACTCAACTTTGATTTGCATTTTAGGGAGTCCCAACGCTATGCTGAGTCGTCGAGGTTGATGTCTAGTTTCCGTGAGGGGTAGCTGGTATATATAGCATGAATGCTGAAAATTGAACAAGCTTACAGGCTTATGTGGGAATTGCCATGCTCGTTGTACATTTGAAGCAATCATAAATAATGCGTGAGTGAGGTACATAGATGACATGCCTATCCGAAGATATAATCCTGTAGATTTAAATATAAGCAATGTGGTATTTCTATCACGAATATAGATGTGCCTTCACGGTCGAATACTCGAAAGCCGGTGAGACAAGTCATGCAGAAGCATATGAGTACCCGGTAGTCTATATCTCAAATTCACATCTACAAGAGCTTGAATCTATTGGCTGCAATGATACTAAGCACCATAAAAGCCGCAAACACCCCCAAAATACTGAAAAACCACGCCAGACCAGATGTCTCCTCACCAGGCACAGGAACATTCATGCCAAAGAGACCAGTCACCAAGTGACACGGGACGAAGATAGTCGCCAGGACGGTGACCTTGCTCAGCCCAGAGTTGACCGTCAGACTAATCCGAAGATTAGTAGCACTCAGCTGGGCCAGACAGTTGGCCTGTGATCGGCCGATGATCTCGTCAATGTGGTTGAGCGTCGACAGGGTCGTCACTAAGTGGTCTTGCACGTCGCCCAGATACAGGAGCAGATCGCCGTCCGGGAAGACGGGGTGCTTGTCTGGGGCTTGGCAGCGCTTGACGAAGCCGTTGAGGACGTCGACTTTGCCGTGCAGGCAGCGGATGATGTGGGTGATTTTCTTGCGGAGTACGTCGACTTGCGGGATGAGCTCCTGTACGTCGTCGATGCGTGCGATGAACACCTGGTCTTCGATGGCCTCGGACTCGCGCTCTGCGGCCCGGGTAAAGGGCTCGAAGCTGTCGATGATGTCGTCTCTGCGATTGATGCATCAATTTCACATTCCTTCAACCAGAACTTGAATAGATATCTCAACAGAGGCAGCACTTACATCACGGCATAGCAGATCCAGTCGCTCGACAAAATAGAAGGATCATGCATTTTGCGAATCCGGTCGCGCACCCGACTGACATGCGAACAGCCACTCGGCGAGAAGGTCACCACGCCATACTGAAAGACGAGGATGTACAACTCAGCCGACGAGGGAATACCCGGGCGGTCATCATCACCCGTCGAGCGAGTCACGAGAGTCTGGAACGAGATCAAATAGTAGTTCCGAAACACATCGACCTTCTCACGGCGCTCACGGGTGGCAATGTCCTCCGCGGTCAGGGGGTGAATCGAGAAGATCTCCGCAACGGTATCGACATCTTCCTCGGTGGCGTCGCAAATGTCGAGCCACCAGACGGGACGGTTGGGATCCGGGCGACTCTTCTGCTTCTCCTGGAAGATGTGGTCAAGGTTCCCGTCTGGAAAGAGACCCTCCCAGGTTGAAGAGAAGACGGCCTGCTGTGTCTTCGAGGAGAAGAAACTGAAGCGGTCCGGCGGGGGCAGGTCCACCTGCTTCTTTTCGTCTTGCACTTCCATTTTTTACCGGTGGAATGCAACCTGTTGACGGGAGGGGCGATGTTCCGATTGATCATCTGATGCCATCGGAGATTTGAAGGTTAACTTGGGCGGATGTCGTTTCCGTTGGCCGCGGGTGCTCATAGGTGACGACTAGTTCACTCAGTCCATCCTAGTTCTTAAGGTGCTGGGGTGGCTTGCGAGCAAAAGAAAGAATCTCTGTAAGGTGGAATGAACAAATCCCGTGAGTGGTCTTCATGGGTGTGAAGTGATCAAGGCAAAGCGAAAAGAAGGGGAAGAATGCAACCCAAGGGCAGACTGCCCAGCCCTACCCGCTCGAACCCCATGCAGCACCCACGAAGTGGACAGGAGAGTGTTTTTCGCGACCAATGAAAATTATGCCTGGCGAGAAATCCGGGGCCTTACCGTAGGGCGCTTTTCCTCGGAGCATCGCCGGGTGAAAAATCTGGCATCGGTTAGGTCGTTCCGACGGTGGAGACTTGCCAAGCAGCTGCTTTTCGGAGATTGTCATATAGGAATGAGGGTTAATGTCAAGTTAGTTGATTTAGTTGATATGTATGATTTTCATCAGGGATTCTCCCGATTGTCTTAATTCCAACCTTGTGTATATCGTGCGAAGTATACCATCCAAGTATGTAGACCAATCTTGTATGCCAACTAGAATCACAAAAACCCGCCGGACCGACATTCATGTGAATATCCCATCGGAAGATATAGAAATCCCGCTTCAATAATAAAGAGATGAGTCGCCCAGCAACTTCAATTCCCAGGCCCAACCGGGTTGACTCGTATTTTCCGTGGACGCCTGAGCAATGCGTGAAATGATCAGAATATGGCATATCTGGAATATGTAGTCAGTGCCGAGCAACCACCAACAGATTATCTTTGAACATAATGTGGTTTCTACCTCTAGTTCTCCGAGTGCTTTGCAATTCCGTGCTCACGGTCGAGGGTATAGGATTTCCGAAGCCGGGGATAGAGAATCGCAAAAAAGACAATTACAGCCAACAGTATAAAAAAGGTGGGTAGGAACATGAAGGTGAAGAGAACCACGCTCAGCCCGAAGGTCACATTCTGGCCGTGGAGGAATCGGCGAGCCATGATGTCCAGCACCGTAGTGAACATGGGATGCCCAGTTGCCAAGGAGCAAAACAATGGGGGTTGATTGGGGTCCAGAGGAGCGAATTGGCAGATTCATCTACAAATTCCCAGCCCCGGTCGCAGCCATCCTTTCCCCATATATACACGCCGTGGAAGCGCCGGATATCCCATTGTGCACCGCCAGCATGGGCTATGGATATGGCTACACCGTTCCACCAGCCAAAAAAAAGGAAGGAAAAGGGATTTCCACATTTCCAAATGTTGGTGCCTGCGGAATTGGCATGCTCTTTCGGCTTGGCGATGAAAGCTATAATTAACAATATCCCTAGATGTAATAGACGAAATAATAGAATAATGGAATCCCCATAATCATGACGAGCATATTCATATTTTACCACTATGATCTGACACATTCCTCCCGCCAATAGTTGAATTCAGCCTCGCGTCAGTTCCAAATCTTCCCCGAATACCTTCAGGCAGCAGCATTTTTGGTCCCCGCCCCCTGCCAAGCAGAGATTGGGAAAGTTCGCTGCTTCCCATGGATTCTCCGGACTTTTGGCCATAGTCCGGGTCTTGTGAATCCCTACGATATCCTGTTTTCACCGCCCCTGCGAATTGACCCATCCACAAACAAGCAAGGGGGGGAAACAAAGGCCAATAAATAGTACATAGGACGGGGAGTGGGGCAGTCTCGTGCAATGACGGTGGCCGACAGTTTAGCGTGGTGGATTTATTCCCAAGGCCCCTCGGCCAGTTGGCAGGCATCGTGCAGGTGTGTGGTGCCACAATTCGAGGGCTGCAGATGCATCTTTTCAAGTGAAGAATTAGGTTCCTGCACGGAAGAAAACCCTGATTGTTTTCGGGGACAACGGAGGCTCCAAGTTTCTGGTATTCAAGGATTCCCAGGTGTCTTTGTTGAGTGACGAGGGTCGCGTAATCACCGCCTCGTAGGGCTGAAGCTTGGCCCGTGGGTCATCTCCCTCTTGGAAACCAGCTCCATCAAAGGAGGGTTGGTGTGTAATTCGCATGTTCAGAAAGGCCGGATAAGATATAGTGCGCTGGTTCAATAACAGCCTTCTTTGGCAGAGGGTGGACTGGTGTTGGATGCGCGATGAGATCAACGGATCAGCGACCGGTGGACAGGGTAAGACTGTGCCCATTGCCTCATTGAGCCGTGGTGGAACCGGCTAGTAACACGAAATCTCCCCACATTTTCCCTCTGGGCATTCCTTGTCTTCTCCAATTTCCGATTCTTGGAGTTGAGACAGTTTCTCCCAATGCCAACTTTGCCCAGCTAAAGGGACACCGATCTGGTCGTTGCTGGTGATTGTCGTGTACCTGTCAGCCCATTTCCAGCTCATCCAAGATGTCTTGGCTCGCAGGGTACGGCCCCGAAGACGAGGAAGAGAACGATAACCTGGGAGTGGACTGGGTGCTCAAATATGAGTTTGATGATCTCGGTAAGGAGCTGCATGGGGAGATCCTTGGCTGTAAGGCAGAGACATACTGACGTTGATCCCCCAGACCAAGCAGAAGCAATAGAGAAATACCGCACGCTCCTCCACGACTTGAACGAAGCAGGTCTTCGAGTACAAGTCCGCCATGGACATGGTGCGTCGCTGTTGGTTTGCATTCGAGTTCCCCGAGATCACCTGGGGAACATGATCCACAAGTCGAGGTGAGTGTTAGCACCTCATATTTTTGTGTCGGGCTGTTGGCTGACCTCCTGATCTCTACAGAATCAAAGACTGGCTGTTTGGAATCACCCACAGCCTGCCTGCTGGAGACCAAAACGCCATGGCCGATGCCGAAACACCGGCGGAAGAATATCGTTCGGTGTACCACGCGGTCACCTGGCAGAAGGAACTGGGTGGTGCGGGCATCACGCCGGGGTTTGGCAAGTGGGAAAACATTACCGCCTCGTTTCCACTGCATGACCGGGAGGCCTGTTCAAAACTCCTACGACAATGGAGCCGGAAGACTATGTTGACCACGAAGGACTTGGATACCATTCGTGCGCTGTTTGGGGAAAAGGTCGGTATTTCGAGTGTCTGCTTTCCATTTACATCTCGCGGGTACATATGTTAATGCTAGCTTTTCTTGACAGGTCGCTTTCTACTACGCTTTCATTCACTGCTACTCGCTGTTTTTGGTTGTGCCCGCTGCACTGGGGATCGTCGGGTGGCTATACTTGGGTCCATACTCCATTACTTATGGTGCGCTTCTCTGCATTTGGTGCATCGTGTTTGTCGAATACTGGAAGATCCGCGAGGCAGATCTCAGCTTGCGATGGGGCGTCAAGGGAGTCGGGCGATTGAAGGTCAACCGAATCCAATATAAGTGGGACAAAGAAGTCAAGGACCGCATCACAGGGCAGACCAAGCGAGTGTTTCCAGGGTGGAAACAATTCCTACGCCAACTACTCCTCGTCCCATTTGCGTCCGTCGCAGCTGTGGCACTCGGCAGCCTGATCGTTGTGACGTTTGCGTCGGAGGTGTTTATCTCAGAAGTCTACGCTGGTCCGTTCAAGGAATACTTGGAATTCCTGCCCACAGTCCTTTTCTCCTTGTCTCTGCCTGCCATCACCTCGATGCTGACGAGTATCGCCATTCGTCTGACGGACTATGAAAACTACCGCACGCAGGACCAGTACGATCTTGCCCAGACCCAGAAGACATTTGTCATGAACTTCATCACATCGTTCCTGCCGACAATCCTGACAGCATACGTCTACGTGCCTTTTGGAAAATCCATTGTTCCTCACTTGGATATCTTGCGGAGGACCGGCCTCAAACCTGAGCTGCTCAGCACCCAAAAAGAGTTCGAGGTAGACACGAACCGCTTCCAGCAAGAGGTGATCTACCTGTCAATGACAGCGCAGGTGCTCAGTTTCGGCGAGGAGATTATCTTGCCTTATATCAAACACGCGCTGTGGCAGAAATGGCGCGACTACCGGGATCGCCAGGCCGGGTTCCATCGCAAGCGCAGTGCCTCCAAGGCGGCTGATCTGCTTCTCATGGACCCGCCCGATGAAGCCTCATTCATGACCAGGCTTCGCGGCGAGGCTGATGCGGAAGAGTACAAGGTTGAAGAGGACATCCTGGAGATGTGTGTGCAGTTTGGGTATCTGGCCCTGTTTGGCGTGGCCTGGCCACTTGTGCCACTGGGATTCCTGGTGAACAACTGGTTGGAGCTGCGAGGCGACTTCTTCAAGCTCACCCTCGAGTGCCAACGCCCGCCACCCATCCGGGCGGACTCGATCGGGCCATGTCTATTGGGACTGGACTTCCTTGCTTGGCTGGGGACACTCTCAACTGCAGCGATTGTGCACGTCTACCGCGGGCCTATCTCTGAGGTGCGACTGTCCTCACTGCTGCTGACCATGTTCATCACCGAGCAGCTCTACCTCGCGGCTCGGTTTACCGCCAACGCCGCGCTGGAGAAGATCTTTTCTGGCACCATCCGTCGCGAAGAGGATCGTCGGTACGTTGTGCGGAAGAGCTTTCTCATGGCGAGCATGTCGAGGAACGGGTCTCCGGGCTCTGGGGACTCGCCGACCCGTGTGCGCCCACGGGTGCGTTTCAACGAAAAGGTCAATGTCTACAGCTCCAACACCGAGGCTATGCCTTCCCCGGGTGGCAGCCCCATACCAAGCATTGAGCAACCCCAGGACGATTTGCTGCGCGGTGATCGTGAGGCTGAATTTTGGAATGGGTCCTCGAGTGACATGACCAGCGCAGGCGCCAAACTGATTCGCGCTCTCTGCTCGTCCAAAGCAGTTGGAGTCAAGTCGTCGAAAGAGGCATAGATGCTTATATTTTCGGGATATGTATTTTTAGACTGCTTTTTTATTATAAAACAAGTGATGTTCATGATCGTGCATGGCCTGGTGCTGATGCGTTACATGATGAGGCCGCCGGTAGGGAACAGCAAAAATAAGTATTCCAAAAATCGGATAAATGAATAATGCAGATGCCTGCAGGTGGATTCGCGTAAACTCGAAAGAACAAGCAATGTGCGAGTCGATCCTCAGCCCTACAGGGCTACGCCAAGCTCCACCGGTGGAGCGATGATTGGGGATCTGCTGGTTCCCCCAATTTTGGGCTTGCGTGGCTTCTTGCCTCCCTTCACTCTCCCACTCTCCCACCTTTCCTTTCCTCTCCCCCCCCCCCCCCCCCCGTCTTCCCTTCTCAGTACCAGGCTCACCCCTGTGAGTCGGTTGTACGCAGTCTACCTACCTAGGTGGGGACAAACCGAGGCATGTAAGCTGTGGTCTCTGACATACAACCGACTCCCACCATGGCCACGCCGGCTGATTCCTCCGACACCCTCATCACCCCGTCTCCTGCCCACCACCACCACCACCGACCGTCCTCACCAAGGGCCATGACAACCGATGTCGAACTCTCCGTTCTCGAGTCCCCGCCCGTCGTCCCCAAACTCCTCCGCGAAGCCAGCGATATCACATGGCAGGAAACCTTCGAGTCCACAAAAGACCAGGTTACTTTGGTCCGTCGGCGGGGCATATTCCGGCTGCATCATCAGCAACAGTTTAAAAATAGTCTGTTGGCAAGTGTTGGCTACCTGGAGCTGGCCAATGCCGGTGACTTTGCAGCCAACGTCTGGAATGAAATTCCTGTCCCGCGGTTTGCCGCAGTGCTCATGGGCATTGGTGGTACATTGGCTTTGGCGATGGTGCTGGTTGCGGTGCAGGACTTTCGGTTGAGCTGGAAGAACGTGAAGCTGCTACGAGCCGAGAGGACCCATTTACAACGCCTGCGCCAGTATCATGACAAGAATGTGGAACTGGCCCGACTGATTGATAGTCGGCTCGGGGTCAGTGTGCGCGAGCTGGGGACAGAAATTGTGGACCGCATTGTCATGGACTTGCTGCTGGGCTTCGGGTCGATTCTCGTCGGAGTAGGGACGTTGATGGCGATTGGCGGTGCCAATCCCCGAGTCTTCAAGGCGAGCAACTTGCTTTCGGGGTACATTGGTAATGGCCTGGCTGCGTTGTTTGGACTGGCCAACGCCGCTTGGTCAGTCTGCTTGATCTATCGATTCTGGTCGCACGATGCCGCGGTTACTGCACGGGAGCCGAGCGACGACATCCGGCGCCGGCTGCACGTGCGATTCCGTCGCTTCCAGTGGCACGCCGTCGCCAATGGCTTGAATGGACTCGTGGCCGGTGCCGCCTCAATGGTGACTGCCGAGCGCTGGTGGGGCTACGTCGTGCTCATCCCATGTATTATCTCGCTGATCCTGTGCAACTATTTCTGGCGCAAGAAGTTGGGCTACGACCGACCGCTGCTTAGCGATATCTCCCCGGCAAACGTGCAGTTAACGCCCATCCTCGAGGACCTGGAGTATGTGATTGCGATACAGCGCGGTCTAGCGGACCCGGACGCATGCCTTCCGACCACGATCCTCCAACTCGACTCGTTCGAGTCGAGTCTCAATTTCATCGTCCACAACCGCATTCTCGATGCCTACTGTGAAAGTCTCGCCCGCGACAAAAAGACCAGGCATCTCCTCTCTGACATGTCAACCCAATCGAGCATCCCTGATCAAATCACCCTCACCCCCGAGATCATCCTCCGACTCTCTGCATCCTCCCGATCAAATCACACATGCCTCTTGAACCACGCCCAGAGGTTCCTGAAAAAGACGGGAGTCCGTCTCTTAATCGACCGCGAGCGACATCTGCTTGAGCTTTGGGGATTTGCCGTCTGGCAGGATCAGACGACCACCCGGACAGATACACCGGGAAGTAACAAATAGATATAGCAGACTGGTTTTTTGGGACTCTTGAGTCCTGGAGAATTATCTGTGGTTTTGTATGAACAGTCGGCGACTGGTCGCTGATATATGATGAGTGCATGGCATTGCGAAGATGTTTTCCCATAGAACATGCTGGACGTGAATCAATTAGATTTTCATATTTGCAGTGGATTAAACTAAGCCATACTCCTGCCTCCTGTCCTATCGAGTTGGGCCAACCACTCAGACAGCTTATATGAACTGGCTTCCAGTTTGAAACACTTATCTGACTCATGCTGACAGCATCTATCCATAAATATATATTCGATAGTCACACAGGAAACAACTGTATTTTCTTCAAACTTCCTGAATGGAAAAGAGTGCAAGAGCGAATCAGCTATTCAGTAAATGACATGGAAATTGACAGATGCCATATGCTCCCAGCCCAGCCACACATTCTCCTTCATCTCTCCACCACTCTGACAATCTTCAAGGACAACCTCCACTGAAAATCTCACGCCACCCAATAATGACCATCTTCCTCTGATCGAGGTATTTACTTCCGGCTGCAGCAGCACTTCTTAGCAAGGAAGCCACATCCATCGCCGGTCATATGCGAGAACCCCCGCGAGCCACAGTAATCCTCACACTTCCCAGCCCAAGCACGGCCACACGAGCTGGGGTGGTAGCAGCTGCCGCGCTGGCTGAGGTCGTTGGTGTGGACGTCGGCGTTGGCGTCGGCGTCTTCGGCTGGGGCGGCCATGATGCCGGCGGCGAGGGTGAGCAGGAGGAGGATGTTGGTTTTCATTTTGGGATTGAATAAAGGTGGAGATAGATAAGTGGATAGTAGTAGGAGTTGGTTTGTAGATATGGATGTGGAAGAGGCACTGGAGTCGAATTGTTCTTCGAGTTGTGTCTGCATGCTGAGATGGAAGAGAACGGGGTATTTATACTTGTTTCTTTCTACTAGATATTCGGCTCTTACAATCACCCTCGCACCCTGCCTCTTCCAACCACATGATCGACATGGCGTCTCGTATTGATGTCCTCGTGTCAGATCTATATCCCACATCTGGACTCGGCGCAACACGCAGAATGCGGGAGGAATGTAGGGGTGGTTGATTCGACTTGTGTGATTCTATCCATTCCAGCTCGTGTTCTCTGGCTGGTGCAACATCAGACATGCAGCCACAGGGGTTCGGTGAGGTCGACTAGTGTGTTCCTGGGTATAGCTATCCAATGATCTCCTTCGTATCTGCAGATGCCAATGCAGCCGAGTCTCGGGGCTGACTCCTGTCCTGGGGTTACGGGGAAAGCGGACTTGGGGTGGATGGGGTGCGAGACAACACCTGCCTTGTTTGGTGTCTTTTCACGAGTTGGGCGGTCTCTCTGTGAGGAAATACTGTCAAGAAGTTGGAAGTGTACGGGGTGTGCCCGGGTGTCTGGCTGCTTGTTGGCTTGGCGCATTGGAGGGGGCTTAGGGGACCCCTTACGGTCACATCGTCACTTCGAGTACGAGAACATGGCGCAGCTGAAGATCTTTGTCTGGATCGTCTGAACTCGCCTGTAGGAGGCGAATACCATAAATGTACGACTGGTTCTTGAAGAACCCACTCGAACCCACAGGTAGAACCCCGAGCAATGCTTGGACTGAGAGGCAACACAGCTGTGATCCTCAATGCAAGTATCCAAATCAACTAGAAACTGAATAGTCCACTACGCCGCTTTCCATACGGGTAAACAACCAGTGCCGCAATGAACAAGCCAATCGTAATCCCAATCGCCACCTGAATCATACCAAACCCCAAACTAAACACCGAGCTACTCGCGGCCAACCCGGCTCCAGGCGTCGAACTACCCTGGTTATGGGATGTGACATTCTGCCGAATCTGGTCTGCGGATTGCACGCCAGAGATCAAAGACCCCGTCGCCGCCAGTCCGGAGGGCACCAAAATGAAAATACCCGGAAGAATCGCCGTGGCCGCATGACCGTGCCACAGCCGACTGTACAAGTTTCCCATGATACCAATAGTAAACGCGCCGACGGTGTTGGCAACCTGCGAGTTGGAGCCGAGTTTCTTAGTGCTGAAGTAGTTGGTGATATACCCCGTCAGCGCGATGATGGTCATGGGCGGCAGTTGTTTCCATTTGCCTTGGTTGATGATTAAAAGCCACACCGTCATGATGGTCACGAAGGGAAATCTGGCCACGTAGGGACTGGCAAAGGCGCCTTCTTTGGGACACTCGATTGCAGAGACTGCGCCGTTGTCGATTAGACCGTAGATTGTTGTACCGACAGTGATCCCGTACCCGAGGAAGAGAGAGAAGATAATCGCGTACACCATTCGGATCGAGCCAGCGATGATTTGGTGGGACTGTAGCTCTAAGCTACTGCAAAGTACCAGGAATCCCGGCAGGATCAGTGCAATTGAGGCTTGTGAAATGGCCGAGAAGCAAAACAGGTACTGTCGTTTTCCATCCACCACGGCGCGTGGAATACTGCCGAAGGCGCGTGCCAGGAAGGATGTGACCACTGTCGATGTTACCTCAAAGACATTGGAATATAGCACTGAACGAGGCGCTGCAACATGCTGCATGGCTCCAACTAGACAGCCATTCAGGAAAATGACCGGCATATCAATCGGCCTGGCATTGAACGCGAATGGGCCTACAGTGGCAGTGGCCACGCCGTAGACAATAACGACAATAAACTTGTTGAAGCGCGGTTTCTTTTTCATGACCTCGTCCAGCTCCTGGATGGCTTCTTCGACGCCAATAACGTCGTGGATGACATTTTTATAGATTAGATGGGTGTCCGACAAACGCGCCAGGTCCACGCCTTGCGCCACGCGGACGAGTTTCACCTCCGTTGTGCGAGTCGACGGATCGTCATACGACATGATCATGCAGCCGGGCAGATACAAGAACTGGCTGTCGACCTCGAGCACCTTAGCCGTCATCTGCATATATTCTTCCAGACGGTGGGTCGGAGCCCCAAACGCCATCAAGGCTCTGCACAGCTGCATGATGTAGCGCTGCCGACAGATAATTTCTGCAATGTGCACCGTGACTCGGATCTCATCTTCCAGTCGCATCTTGCGGTTGGACTGCTTGCCACGTCGCTTAGATGCCGCAGAAAGCACTTCACTGGATACAGGCGTGCTCGCTCCGCTCATACTCCCCCCGAAGCTCCAATCAGGGTCGACGTGGACCCGTTCTGTGGCTTCTTATACCACTTCGGCTTTTCCTTTTTAGGCGTCGTAGCGCCTGAGCTCACGCCAGACGCAGGGCCACGCGGCGTGGAATCCGTAGAGGACTGGCTTGTGGAACGAGACAGACTACCACTGCCGCCCTGTTGCTGCTGATTTCCGCCATTCAGCTTAATCAGCTGCGAGAGAATCCCACCTCCGCCAGCTCGATACCGCAGCCCCGATTCAAGCCCGGACTCGTCCTCTCCACCCGAGATGTCGGTGCCTCCCTGCGGATACGGCTTCCCACGGGCCTTACGCCGCTTAGCGGAGTGGTCCTGGGTCAAGTCACGAACGAGCCGGTGCGCCTCGGAGCTACTGACTCCCTGATGCTGCCGCTTTTCTTCATCAGTCTTGTGCTTGTTGTCCGTGACATCCGACAGTGGCACTTCGCCCCCGGACGCCCACTCGGCTCGGTACAGACCGGGATGTAGATCGTCTCCTCCAGACGTCGGCCGGCCCATCAGCTCTCCGACACGCAACGCCTTTTGTTTCATCGCCTGCCCCGTGGCTTTCCATCCCTCCCGCAGAGTCTGTAGACCCAGTCGTTCGAGTTTCCAGATCGGCTTTTTCTCTTTTTCGGGGGGTTTCTGCTCGGCCGCCTTTTCATCCGTCACGCCGTCGGCTTGCTCGGACGGTGCACGGTCTTGCAGTGGCGTGTCGGTGATATCAGCCGACTCGTGCGAGTACGGCATCGACGGGCGATGGGGCTGACCCTCGCGCTGAGACCGATCCCATTCGGCTCGGGCATCCTCAGGCGGCGGGTAGTGCGGAATATCCTGCATGTAGCTGGCGTTGGATCGAAAGCGCACGCGAGCCCGCGGGGCGTCTTGGGATTTGTCTTCTCTGCCATTTTGCTCGCTGGGCAGATCGCTGATCTTCTCGGGTTCTCCAGATCGGTGGCTGTCGCTGCTGAGTGATGATACCTCGTTGCTCTCCTGCTCGGACATGACGATTCTGCACTATTTCGCCCACATTGAAGCTGCTTTCTAGTTTATTAGATTCTCCGCCACAATAAAGTTTTTTTTTTGTAAAAGAGGGTTTGCTTGTTAACTGCTCTTACTTTGAACCAGCCTGGCTCTGTGGTATAAGCCGCAGTTTATCGGCGATGTCCGTATTTCTGCTTGTTTGCTGTTCGGAAACCAGAAATTGTTCAGCAGGAAGAAGTGTGTTGAATGGGCCATGTTGACCATCTCGTTGTGTTGCTACATTGCGATGAGCTCACTGAGGCGTGGCCGAGATATATCTCCAGCCATGGTTCCACAACTGCGTATCCACCACTTCATCGGTGGACGATCGACAGCATAAATTGAAACTGATTGAGCCAATAGTAATCAAGTCTCGCCGCTTCATGTCCAAGGTTTCTATTTGCATCTTGCCTCGTCGGAACAATATCCCGGGCAAGTCAGCGGGACTGTAACTTCGGATCTTATATTTCTTGAAAGGCAATTGAACAACTGAATATCATTAAGATCAGCTCGCAGCTTATGAACAGTTGACTTTTCATATGAATAGAAAAATATGCTTACAATTCGCATGCCAACCGCTGGATAGATTGCCAGTTGCCTCTTGGTAGTTAAGCACGAGAATCCTTCAAAAGGAACGATCAATCTGATCATCTTTCGCACCAAACCTTCAGCTTGTTGGCACCGTTATCCCAAAGTCGAAGCTAGCATCCGGCATCTAAAAACGTAAGCAAAAGACCAAGTAGACGGCAGCAATAGACATACCATGAAATCCCAGCCGTCCATGAAGTCAGGCAACTCAGTCCCCGAAATGTTATCCAACTCATCGAAACTCTCCTCAAACTGGCTTTGACCCGCCATTTGCTCAAGAATCGGGAGACACACATCCTCGGCCTCCTCCGCCGCCGTGACCAACATTTCCGGCAGCTCATCTTTGGCAACTCCGCGCGAGAGCCCATCCAGCAGAGCGAACACTATGTCCATAAACATATAACACTTGATGCTGGTTTCTCCGGCCCGGATGGACTGGATGAACCATGCTTTTGCGTCATGCAGTACAGCGAGCAGATCCGGGCGCAGTGGGACAGGACCCAGACTATCCTCTTGTTGCAGCTGAGTTTTGAGCTCGATGACGATGTGATAGCACGCCTGCACGGCAATATGGCGATGCTGGCCTGAGCCGCACGTCACGAACCGTGCAAAATCATCCCGGCTAAATGACCCCGGGTCGGGGCGCGATGCAGCCATCACGACCGATGGTGACGGCGGATACATCACATACCATGCTTTGAGAGCGGTCTCGACTACAACCTTGCGGGAGTATGCGTAGGCGATCTCGTGGATGGCAGCGCCCAAATATGGAACGTGCAGCGCGGACAGATAGCGGCACATGAGGGAGTCTAGTGTGCAGATTTCGAAGCGGGAGGGCGAGGCGCCACTAGTCGACTTATATTGCTGCAATATCTGGCACAAGGTCTTATACGATGCTCTGATTTGAGCATCGAACCGGAGGGTTTGATCATATGTGGAATGCGAGCTCAGGCCATTCAGGTACTTAAGAATGGCAAGACGGAGCGGAAACATCTTTCGAAGCGCGATGACCATCGACATGCCAGTGAATTCGTGTTCTGACTTCGGGATTGGATCTTGTGCCATGAGCTGGTCGTCGTCAAAATTGCCCGGGGGCTCGGTGTCAAAATCGTCCAGTGAGAGTAACGGCGGCGCGCCGCCTTCCATGCTGGACTGTAGGGTGATCTCCAACACGACATTCCACATCCTGCGACGCATTTCAAGGGCAAATGTCGTCCCTTGAGGCAGACATGCAGGGTCCTGATGTAGCCCCATGAGAACGGCGATTCGAAGGATGACACCGGCCGAAATCCAGGCCGAGCCTCCGTTGACCCCGATATTCTCCCGCGCAAGCAGGAGTAAGATGTTGGTCTGCAGGAACTGGATGTTGAGTCGGGACTTGAACTCTGGTTCGGAAAGCCATGTTTGGGCCTCGTACACCCATCGGACGGCAGAGGTGCGAAGAGAAAATTGTTCATCGTGTGCAATTGTTCCAAGGGCGAGGATGAGCTTGAGTTGAACTAAAAATGCAGTGTTTGGCTCCGTTTCGGACACCCAGAGCGCCTCGTAGTCTCTTCGGAAGCTTGGAACATGTAAAACCCGATAGATGGTCTCAAAAGTCCGCAAATAGCACTCGATCAACGTATCCGCGACCTCTTTTGGGGGTATATCGGACGTGGGGGGAGTGGGCCATGTGGGAGCGCGGCGTGCCTTGATGATCTTGGCCAGGCTTTTACATCGCTGTAGGTTGTATGAGGCTTTTCGCGTCCCGTCTCGTAAAAGTGGTTCCATAATTTCCAAGACATCTCGCAGCTAACCATGAATTAGTCACTTAGCTACCCAGGAAGCTTTTTCAAGGTCACCATAACGTACCTCTGTCAAACCATTTACCCAATGGCTCTGACCAAACAGGCGGGTCTTGTGCCTGACGTTGCGGTGGACGGGCTCAGGGCGGCCAGAGTCGCCCATTTCATAATGCCAGTGGAATGTGCCTGCCAAGTTTGAGCTCATTGTGTTTGTGTCGGTATTGGGGACGGAGGCAGGAGATGGGTTGGATATCTGCGTGGCTTGTGACAACTGCTCCTCCAGTTGTCTAATCTTAGTCCTCATGGACTCGATCTCCCGGGCCGATGAGTGGCTGGTTGGGGTTGATACGACCGTTGAGTTGGCGACTAACGATGCTGAAGGCTGGCTCGGGACCGTGGATCCCCTGCTTATGCTGGAAGCTTGACCAGCCGGGCTTAAAGAGTGATGGTCCTGAGCCACTGCGGCCAAGTTTGGCTCCGTGATTCGGCCATGGCTTGGAGACGGTTGCCGAGGCGGAACAGTTACATTATCGTAGGCACAGACCGAGTTCTTTGACCGCGCACAGTTGCTACAAGGAGTTTCCCGATTACATCGGATCTTGCGTCTCCTGCAGAGAGTACACGAACTGCATGAAAGTGGTCAGCGCGCTCGCCAACCGGAGGGGTGCAACCTACACAGCCGGTCGTCGGCGGAGACGAGGAGGATTGGACATGCCGCCTTTGTAAGGGTGAAAGGTGATCAATTTAGTCATGAGCGCAGAGTAGCTGCTTCAGCCGCTGGCTCATTCTCTTCGAAATTATTTCAATTGAAACAAAAGAGGAATTGAAATGAATGTCCGATGTCTCCGTCAGCTTTGCGCCTTAGCCCCGACCGCTCCACCATTTCCCGAGTCCGATCGCCGAGTCCGACTTATCTCCGTACAATCAACAGTGTCTTTGCATATTTAGTTGAGACAGCGAAGCTGTAGTACGTAGTTCCTAACAAGGTGACGAGATAAATAATTATAGGAGGTTCATGACAATTCAATAGTTATCGCAGAGACGGTACTCTGCTCCACAGTCCATGGCGGTGATCATAGACCGAGTTTTGCGGCTTAAATCTTCTACCCAAGTGCGGTTAGGTGGCGGCGTCATTGTGCTTTAACCAGATTCATGGCTGAGAAGGATATAGTCAAGCATCGATGGCAGCTTGATTGAGCGTGTATCAAGATGGGAAGACATGGAACCAGCTGAGAGTAGATGATTAACCACATGGAATACCGGCCGAAGCTCTGATTCATTTCCCCATATAATCAAGGTGTTTAGGTGTGAAGACAACCGCGTATTCGCCCCACATGAGCATAAAAGCAGACATCATGATAGGACAAGGCTCAGGGGAGGTGGCAGACTTAATGTAGATTCACGGTTCGCGTTACGAAGAAAAAAAAAAAAGTGTGGCAGGAGGATAGCAACCATGACTTCGTGAGACTGGCATTTATGAGGCAGGCCAGCTGCATAGCTTTGTTGCCATCGCGTCGTGTGTGTGGTATGTGTCGAAGTGCTCGAAGCCCGGTTGCCACTCGAACAAGAGGATTCCATTCCGATGGACACGCCGATTTTTAGCCGGTCGCCACGTGCTGGGCCGGTTGCTGTGGTTATATCCTGGCACCTCTATTCTTGGTCTGTATAATTGACAGACTCAAAAGGTGGAGAGTGGAATTAAAACGGAGTAGGAAGAAACTTGCAAAACATCTGGATCCTTGGAAATGCTGGGTTGTATGCCAAGTTTGGAAGTGCAGAGTGTAGGATGTAAGGTGTTGCGAGGGAATTTAACAGCGATCTGGATGTCCAATTTAAATACGGGCCAGAATTTAATTGACAGGAAGAAGATATTATGAAATATCGATACTGAAAGTGCCCATTGAAAGTGGTTGAGCAACGTTATTAGCAACCCGCAGTATACATTCCCAATGAGGAAAAACAACAACTTTCTAAGCGAGACCTCATCAACCAATTCCAACCGTACAGCGGATACAATATCAGAAACTATATTCAAACCTTGCAATGGTTTCAAGCTTATGTCTGGTATACTCCCAAATCCCGGGGCTGGCATTCACCGGCCCACATCGTGCGGAGCGACGAGTCCACATTCCAAACAGAAGTGTCTTTCGGTCTCCCATGCCAACCACTAGATATGCTCCAGGCGACAGGGGATAGTGACGGCACATGCCGGTCCGTTCCTTTTTGTAAGATCAATTCCTCGCTCCTTCGATTCTTCTGCTTTTCCTCCTGTCACTCGCTCAAAGGCTCCTGGAGGTTGAGGTTCCAGGTTCCAGGATTGATGATTCACGATGAGGGGCCCTTTGTCTACGGCTGCGGTGGCAGCTCTCATTGCTACGGCGTCGAGTGCAATTATTCCTGTCCCCCTGATCCGTGAATTACCTGGAGTTCCTTCTGTGCCCTTGGTGCCCTCCGTGCCTTCCGTGCCTGTGTTGCCTCCGTTACCTCCTGTACCCTCAGGGATCGATCTGGCGTCGTTTATTGGAAAACCGACGTCTGATACCACCTCCGGGACAAAGACAACCGATGCTTCTGCAAAGCATACCACTAGCGGTTCTCTGGAAGCTCATGGGACGGATGCTTCTTCAGGCACACACTCGTCTGGGTAGGTTAGCCCTGATTCCGTGGGTCTGTATTCATACTAATGGCCTCCCCAGACCCGTCCATTCAAGCTTCGCCCCTGCTACCAAGACTTGCGCTGGGCCAGCCAAGAAGTCCCCGGACACCTACTGGCTCGATGCGCAAGATCACAACCGTGAAGGCGCAGGGCTTGCACCCTACGTGAACGGGACCCACTCGTACCCAGTGTATCGCAATGTCATGGACTACTCGGTTGTCAATGACGGCTCGGGTGACCAAAGTCCCAAGCTCCAGAAGGCCATAGACGACGACAATAATGGCGGTAGCCGGAAAGGCAAGGGCATCACGCGGTACCCGGCCGAGGTCTATCTACCTGGTGGAACGTACCAGCTGGGAACGACACTGAACTTGACCGTGGGAACAATCATTGTCGGCGACCCTCGACACCCGCCTATCCTCAAGGCTTCGTCGGACTTCCGCGGCCAGTATCTGGTAATGGGATTTGATGAACAAACTGGACAGCCAGAGACAAGCTTTATGACCCTCATGAAGAACGTGGTCCTTGATACAACGGCTGTAAAGCCCGACCGGAAGATCACTGCCATGCAATGGGGTGTGGCCCAAGGCTCGGGCTTGACCAACATCCAGATCCGCATGCCCAAGGTGTCGAAGGGACACACTGGAATCGATGTGGTTGCCGGGTCCACCATCGCCGTTACCGATGTTGTAAGTTCTACAAACACTTACATAGACTCACAGACCATTCTGACAGACAACAGTACATCATCGGTGGTGCGACCGGCATCCGAAACTCCAACCAGCAAGTCAACTTCAAGAACATCTACTTCAAGTCCTGTGGGACAGGATTTGATGCCGCAGGCGGCTGGTCGGTGTTGCTCCAGAGCGCTACTTTCGACAGCTGCGGCACAGGCATCAGCATGACAGACAACGGGCTCGGGAGTTTGGTCCTGCTTGACTCGGACTCCACCAACTCCGGCCCTGTCGTGAGGTTCCACGACTCCTCACACGATACGGGAAACCAAAACAGCCAGTTCCTCATCCAGAACCTGGCGCATGATTCTCCGAGTGCCATCGCTGTCGATATTCAGGGCAACACTCGGCTGGCTGCCACGCCACACGTCGACACCTGGGTCTGGGGTACTGTTGTCCCGGGCAAGTACGAAACGGGATCCGGGTGGTCGACGAAGCGGCCCGAAAGCCTTTTGAGTGATGGAAAGTTCTTCATCAAGCCCCAGCCAACCTATGCTGAGTACAGTGGTACCGACGTTATTAACGTCAAAACTGTCTCGGGCTACAAGGTCAAGGGCGACGGGATGACTGACGACACTGAGGCGCTCAACGCTATCTTGGCCCAGAATGCGGACGACTGCAAGGTCACTTACTTCCCGTTTGGCATCTATCGTGTCTCGGACACGCTCTTCATTCCTGTTGGGACACGCATCGTCGGTGAAGCATGGTCTGTCATCTCCGGGTATGGCGATGCGTTCCGAGACGCCAATAACCCCCGAGCAGTCGTGCGGATTGGCAACCCCGGCGATGTCGGAGTGATCGAGATTCAGGATATGCGGTTCACAGTCGCTGAAATCCTGCCCGGCGCCAAGGTCGTTGAGATCAACGCCGCGGGCAGCGAGCCAGGCGATGTTGGGCTTTGGAACACGGCCGTGACCGTGGGCGGCACAGCAGACACCAGCATCTCGAACGTGTGCACGTCGCAAGATCCCAAGGACTGCATGGCGGCATTCATGGTGATGCATCTGACGCCAAGCTCGTCGGCCTACATCGAAAACTTCTGGGGATGGACGGCAGACCACAACCTGGACAGCCAGTCGATCCTGACGATCGTCTCGACGGGCCGCGGCGTGCTCGTGGAATCAACCAAGGGCACCTGGCTGACAGGCACGGGCTCCGAGCACCACTGGCTCTACAACTACAACTTCCACAACGCCGAGAACGTCTACGCGGGTCTCCTGCAAACCGAAACGCCCTACATGCAGGGCGCAGGCGAGTACCAGGCGGCGCCAGCACCATGGAAAGCCGAGGCGAAATATGGCGACCCGGACTACTTGTGGTGCGGCGCAGACGACCAGAAATGCCGCACGGCGCTGGCGACCAACGTCGATGGCGGCTCCGATCTGGCGCTCTACAACTCGGCCGCGTGGGCGTTCTTCGACGGCTACTGGAATGGCATGTACAATGAGCCATGCAATGGCAACTGCCAGGCCAATATGATGCGTGTAACTAATGATCCGCACAACCTCGTGTGGTATTCCATCAGTACGCGCATGACAGATGTGATGGTGCTCGACGGGAAGACGAACCCGCGCGAGGCGAACCATCAAGGAGGATGGGAGGCTGTCCTGCAGGCGTATCGGCAGTTTGCGGGTTGACATGGGCGTTTCATGTATATCATAATTGAACATAAGCATTATGTAGATGTATTAATTTAGATCTAATCAATGAGATTGCACTATGCATCGGATATCAGTATAGTTCCCGGAAGAGACGCTGTTCGCTCAGCCACCTGAATGCCCAACTGGTATAAAAATAAGAATATAAATAAAAACCGAGTTAGCATCATGCCAATAAAAGAAAAATATATATATAAATATAAATATAGAGATGAGCCACCGGCGAATATTCGCATCTGCCTGGTTTCTTTTTTTGGCACGCATCGCCACAGTCACGTGAATCGTTCGGGTCGGTGAAGGGCATAAGCAGAGAGCCGAATCATCCTTGCCCGGCATGACTCGATCATGATTGCATTTGTGCCGCCTAAATTACCCCAGTGGGCACTTTGGGCTTGGCTATAGAAAACACTTTGAACGCCACGTACTCCATGGCGCCGACCTCGGATGGAAGAACCCCCCAACAATATATGTCGACACCTACTTCGATCATATCACGTCACAGCCAAGTCGACTTTGAACCGCACCAGACATAATAGGAAGTCCGCTAGGCCCCAAATATTATGCCTGAATTTTCCACTGACATGCGTGGACAGCCGATCGGCGGGGACCCCAGTGGATCTCAGGGGGCTTCCTCGAGTGGTCGAGGGGGAGCCGTGGGATCCGGTTGCTGGATCGAAGGCAGCCGAATAATTCGTATGTGTGAATTAGATGCCATAAAAAAAAGGAACTGCGTTGTTATGCGGTTTCTAAAATCAGTTTTTGCGCTGGCTATGTCGCGTATAAGAACAGCGGACAGCTGATGACATGACGCATTGCATGCACGAGGCAGATGGGGATCTCTCTCGCATGGCATCCACAGACCGTGTTCAGCCTGAGCCACTGGGGACCTGGTGGATCCTTGGGAAATGACGATTGGCTTTCCAAAATTACAATCTACCGGTTGCCCCGTTGGAGAGGCTAACTGCAGGTGGAAAAAAATAGGCCCCCATCTTTTCTCTCTCCATGGCTGAGGTCGTTGCCACTGCCACACCCGAAGAAATGGGTGTGTTACTATGTTTAAGTGTGTGGGACATGGGACATATAAGGGGCCTGATCCCCCCCCGGATTATTTGATTCATCCAACAACCTCAACTACTTCACAACCAAACATATCATAACAAGTCTCTTTACATTCCCCTATACCTCTCTGTACACCACCCCTCCCAAACAAACTACCACAATGAAGTTCACCCTGATCTCCTCGGCCCTCTTCCTGGCCACCGCTGCCATGGCCAACCCCGACCCCATGGACATCAACTCGATCGTCTCCGATGCCGAGGGCGCCGCCTCGACCGCCGGCGCCGACGGCAAGTCCATTGCCTCCGATGCCCGCGACCAGGCCACCTCTATTGTCCAGGCCGCCAGCACCGGCGGTGCCAGCGCCATCTCGTCGCTGACCAGCGACGCCGCGTCCATGGCCACCTCACTGAGCTCCGAAGCCGCCAGCAAGGCCACCGAGGGTGCCAGCAAGGCGAGCGAGGGTGCCAGCAAGGCCAGCGACAAGGCCAGCGACGCTGCCCAGAAGACCTCGACCTTTGTCTCGCAGGTCACCACCACGGGCTCCAACGGCCAGCCCACCACTGCGCCCACGACCATTACCTCGGCTGCCGGTGCCTCGGGCTCGGGCTCGGGCTCTTCGACTAACGGTGCTTTTGCTCGTCCCACTGCTGTGGGCGGCATTGCGGCCGGTATGGCTGGTGTCCTGGGTGTCATGGCTGCCCTGTAAATTGGGGGTTGACAACCATTGGTCTTGATACCTTCTGGGAATTTTTTTTCCATCTTACGCTTATCCTTCACGACTTTCATTGACTGTTTATTTATCAATATCTGGCATGCGTCTTCTCCACAAAGGAGGGTTATAATCCCGGCGTTGTCAATGCTGTATATATATCGGCTGTACGATTGAATTGAATACTTACTACATTCATTTGTGTTCTGTAATTGTAGATAGAATAATTCAGATGTTATTGCTACTGGGTCAGATTTGGTCCGAAGAAATAATACAAAAAGAGACGAGTTATAGCCGAAAGAAATTGAATTTACGTCAAAGATAGCCGTGATGCTACAACCACGCCCCCTATCCCACATGCCGATCCCATGCCTATTCATCCCAAGCCAGTTCGCCCAAACAAATCCCGAAACAAAGACATACAGGGTATATAGAAGACGCTGAAACAGTGTAATACAAAATCACAGAAATCATTCCTCCTTGGCCAAGCCTGACCTCTGCATGGGTATAGGCGGGCATATCGTGTTATCCGAATCAGTCGAGCGCGTTTCATCAACGGTCAACTGGGGACCCGAGTACCAATGCCGGGCGAAGAAGAAGTAGTAGACCATACAGCCAATCCAAACAAAGCCGTTGATGACGATAGTATAGTTCATGTCCGAGGCTGCGTAAAAAGGTCAGTTGTGATTCCAGGGACAGCATAAGGGCCAAAGTGACTTTTTCTGTAAAAAAAAAAAAAAAAAAAAAAAAACCAAAGCAAAGCAAAGAAAAGAAAAGAGAAGAGCAGAAGAGGGGATAACTCACGAGACGGATTCGGCCCCGTGGTCGGGAACATAGACAACACCATCCCAAACACCAAATAAACCACAGCAACACACGCAATCGGCGTACTAAACCGACCCGTATAGAACTCACCCGGCTGGAACCGTTCCTGGCCCCAAACCAACCGACAGAAGATCGGAGTCCCCCATGACAGATAGTTGCTGGCAACAAACAGTGAGAACAGGGCGTTGGCGGCGGCAGAGTTGATGAGGCAGATCAGCCCCAGTACAAGACACACGACTACCAAGCCGCATATCATGCGCACTGGCTGATACTGGATGCGCTTGCTGACATGGCGAAAGAAGGGTGAGAAAGGGAGGGCGCCGTCTCGGGAGAAGGCCCATGCTTGACGAGATGCAGCGACGATCTGGGGATTGTTAGATGTGGTGGGTAAAGAACTTGAAATGGAACTAGGCACTTACGAGGCTGAGGCCTATCAGAAATTCGATAACGCAGAGGACGCCCATGAAGCCCAGGGCACCTTTCTTCCCCAATGCGTCATAATAAATCTATGAAACAAGACGGTGAGTTGGTGAGTTGGTCTCATTACAGTGCACATTCCATACCTGGGCCATTGGCTGTCCGAATTTAGTATTAATCGTCTTGGATACATCGGGGTTCATCGTGGCAGCCATGACAGACAGAACTAAGAAGCCAAGCACAAAGGCAGACCCGGCTGACCAGATAATCCCCAGAGGCACGGCCTTCGCAGCATGCATAGCCTCTTCACTCATGTGCACACAAGAATCGAACGAGCCGATGGACCAGATCGGGGCAAGCCATGCCAGCATAAAAGCCCAGCCGGTGGGCCATGTCGTTTGGTTTTCGACGTGCCCGAAGACAAACTTGCCAGAGTTGAGCGACTCGCCTCGCGTCACCTTGCCGACGGGCAGGGCGATCACGGTGGCCACGACGAGCGCGATATTGGCGTAGATGCACAATGTTTGAATCCTATGCATCAGGCGGCCAGCCAAGGAGCCCCACAGCCCGTGCAGGATGATCAGGCCGACATAGACCGCGTAAATGACTCCACGGGATGCGGACCATTCAGCCTCGTGCGTAATAGAGACGCACGAGAGAATCATGAGCGCCAGGGTATCTGGAAGGTAATAAAGTCAGTAGAGGACCCTGCGACTGATAGACACTATGATCTCACAGTCTACTGAACACATGCCCCCGATCAGACCAAGCGTGTTGCTATATCCGATCAGAAAGCTCAATGGGCTCTTGTACTTGTCGCCGGCGAAATAGTGCGTCCACCAATACAGCCCTCCAGCCGTGGGCATTGCGGATGCCAGATCAGCCTGGTGATATCAGCGCTGATTACATCGCAATGGAGGAAATTACAAACCATGGCCAACCCGACCAGGAAAATAAAAATGCTTGCAGTGAACCATCCCTGTTTCAGTCAGTCGACAATGTCTCTCGGTGATGAGTGCTCGGCCATACCCAAACCATGCCAACTGGGCCCGCCGGCAGAGAGAATGACACGGTGGACGCGATGGACGGCACAAGGCCCATGATGCTAAATGCGACCGCAAACACCTGCACCGTCGAATACTGGCGACGCAGCTCTTGCTTGTAGCCCATCCGAGCTAAGCAAAAGCATTAGTATCTCGCAATCTCCCCGCATGGCATACATAATACACACGCGCAACGTACCTAGCAGCTGCAGATCGCCTGGCCCAGCAAGCCCGGGCGCATCGTCGGCGACGGCCGGCTCTGGATCTGTGGACGGAGCCTGAGGGAGCATAGTGAGTGAGATGCGACTCAGTAAGATCTCCTCAGAGCGGATCAAACATGGCGGATGTTGCTTCTCTTTGCTTTTTGAAGATGACGTTCTCACGCTGGAGGTCCACCGCAGGACAGAGCTTTCCCCGATGGGGGCTGTCTGGCGAAGTGGAGCCTTGCAAATCGTCGATTCTTCTAGTGGCAAAGCTAGAAAATCCGTCTGGCATTGCAAGGCTTGACTCGAGAATATCTCAAAAGTGGACAGTTATGGGCGTGTGCGAAGCAGGCATGCACCGTTCGACTCGACCTGCAATAGTCGCGTCGGACAGTCTGGCAGCACACGGCTCAGCACAGTAACACACACCACATACCCTCGGTCGGGTTTTACATTCCTCTGGCGTCCTTGGATCCTTGCGTTGGGAAGTGGAGACGCCAATCCTCGAGAAAATCGGTTTCCATTGGGAGGCCAAGGTTATCATGATCGCTGCCCCCAAGACTGCTATTGTCCCCTTTTTTTTTGGGAGTCTTGCGGATACTTCGGTAGCACATTGCCATTGCCGAAGATGATCGCCCTATATTGGTCCGTAGTTCAGACATACAACCCTCGTGTCTATACACGCCCCCCCCCCCCCGGTTTTTGATTTATCATGCATATACTCCGAAAAGCATGACTCGAGGAACCAAACAGACAGTCAATATCTGTGACACATGCCCTTTCTCCTTTCTCACTCTTCGGCTATTATTTCCTTCCAACAGACAACCAGTCGTCATGAAGGTATACCGGATCAGTCAAAGCCAAGGCGAGGACAGGGGTAGAATCCTGCAGTAGTCTCGTGCTAAAACTCATGTCAACGCTTTGACCCCGGCCCTAGTTCAACACTAGCAGTTGCTCGAATCAGTTGAAACAACTCGCGAGTCTCGACTTCCGCTGTTTCGTGATCTGGTACATGTGTTGGCCCCCAACAGGCGCTTGGTTCCGCCCTATACAGTGAAATGTGCAATTCAGGATGGCTAATGTCGACAGAAAACAACTTAAGGTGAACTATAGCATAATCTTCAGGGGGAGTGGTGTATACCACTATTACTCAAAATACACTCAAAAGCACCCGCTGACAACCAACCAGCCTAGACCTGCTCGTCAGGAGACAGCTCTCTCGGCTCAGCGTTGGGGTGATGCAGCGGGTCAACCATAGTGTGATCCGAATGGGTCATCGATTCCTTCCGGGCACGAGCCTCCCATTCATTGAAGTCCTGGCCCGGATTGATATTCTCCCAGCGAACGAGACACAGCAAATGGTAGAAGCCAGACGCGAGAAGAGAGCCGAGCAGCGGACCAACCCAGTAGATCCAATGATACCCGGGGAACTGGCGGTTGATCACGTCGGGGCCCAATGATCGAGCGGGATTGAGGGAGCCGCCGGTGAAGTAATCGCCTGCAATATTGGTCAGAACGACATATTCATACAAGCTCACAAAACACGAGGAAAACTCACCAATCATTTCCGCCACAAAAAAGGCCAGTCCAATACCAACCGGTGCCAGATACGTCGACTTGTGCTTGACCACCGCCAGCATGATAATCACAAATACCAGCTGCGCAGTGAGGAACATCTCGATAAACAGACCCTGTGAGATAGATGTGCCGCCGCCCAACCGAGTACTACAGTTTAGCGGACCGGGAAACAGGGCGCTCACCACGCCGGCCGCCGCGATGCCTGCCACCAGCTGCGCAGGGAAAACCAGCAAGCCACGGAGGACAGGCATGCCGCCGGTGAGACACAGCGACAGGGTGACCTAGTTCGGCGTCAGCATCAACCAATCCCACAACGAGGGCTTCTAGCCTTACCGCAGGGTTAAACAGCCCCCCAGTCACCCGGAAGAACGCCCAGACGTTGACTGTCAACGAGAACCCAAACGACAGAGCCGAATACAACAGGTTCGAGGTGTTGGGTGGCGAGCCCGGTGCAGGCATCGGGGTATTCGACACCTGTGTACCGGCGAACGAGAAGAAGAGGAACATGAACGTGCCCACGAACTCGCCCATCACGCACAGCAGATTGTACCGCATCTTATCTGGGAACTGCAGCATCGGCAACTGGCTGCGTCCTCCGGGTCCCGAAGGCCCTCCCAGTGTTGAAACATCGGCGGAGTTGCGCTTGTGCTTGAACCACATGCTGTCACTCGAGATTTAGCGAATTGGGTGAAGATGTTATTTGCCGAGTTCTGGCAACAAAAACCTCAAGTTAGAGGCAGTATTCTGGATGGTGCGGCTCCTGGCATCATTCCAGCGACTTTCAACGATATATAGGGACCATCTTCCAAGCACTGCCGACGTCACTACTGGACTATGCCGAGGCATCCAGACAGATACACGGGTCATCGATCAGGACTCAAAAGCCCATGGTCCTTGAAGTCGACGGCATTGCCCGATCTAGACACGGTCCCGGCAGTGGCCTCACGTCGACAATATATCGAGTGATGAGGTCAGTCTAGGTGTCCGAACCAGTGGGGTTAAACAAGTTCAGCTGTCACTCGGAACCATGCGAGAGCTTCCGCAAATGGACACTGGGTATTGTCTAGAACCCCGGAGACTGCGGTTCCACTAGACCCGCGAGCACTCTGCCGGGTTGGATGATGGACGAACCACTCAAAAGGTCGGCATTGACGGCAAGGCCGAAATCGAAGACTCATTCAAATGTTTAATTTGACGGCGTGTCCGTCCACAATTGAATTTTATGGCGCGGAGGGATCCCAACGGGAAGATGTGGTTCGACCCGAGTTTTGAAGGGGAAAACTCGGCTTCAACGCCATGCCTCGCCAAACACACACTCACAATGCAAATTATTGCAAGTCAGTAGATCAGCATAAATCCCGCGATAGCCACGGCAGATCCGGCAATTTAGCGAGGGAATGGTAATCGCAGAGCTCTTAATGGAAGAAAGTGGTTCGGGGGATGTTCGGACCCGAGATTCCTAAAGATTTTCGTGGATAGTGTGACTGGGATTGCAAGGGTGACAATGTGACGGCGAACTAAACCCAGTTCATGTGGATAATCCCTGAATGTATGCATGCTGGTGCCAGACGGGGTTTCTTATCTTGGACTTTCTTTCATGGAGGCAACTAGGCTGAGGTTTATCTACTCCCTGGCCCATACTCATTATATTCCAAGGGACTATCGGCTCTGGGTGTACAGGGAGTATGGGTAACAAATACATGTTTGATAAACATGTTTGATATACGATATGGCGATCGCGGAGACGATCAGCACTGACAGCATGATGATCTCAACCTTGCTCATAACCTTGGAACCACCGTGAATAGCAGCCAAGGAATCAAAACACACGCTCAAATTTCTTTCATGTACCTGAGAAACCGAGAAATCTCCAGGGTCAGCCGGTCGGGCCGTCTCGAAAATTCCAGTGGAACCATCGAAGGAATCGAGTCTCCGCGGAGATGCACACTCGCTCGGCACAAAGCCGGCGAGCCGATAACAAATCGTGGCAGACAGGAGCAATCCCTGCATCCCTGCAAAGCCCGAGACTGCTTCTCGCAGGGGTTTGCCTAGGCAGGGTGGAACTGTATAAATACCCGACAGCCAACGACACCACTTTGATTAATCAAACTCATAACAGCGTTTGGTTGTAACAGACACCTGATATTGACAAGTCTTCTTCACTATGGGTTCCAACATGGGAATGGCCCCAGACCAGGTCCAGCTGATCAAAGCGACCGTCCCGGTTCTGGTGGACCATGGCAACACCATCACCACTGTCTTCTACCGCAACATGCTGGCGGCTCACCCAGAGCTGAACAGCGTCTTCAACACAGCTAACCAGGCCAATGGCCACCAGCCGCGTGCACTCGCCGGTGCACTATACGCATATGCCTCGCATATCGACGACCTCGGCGCACTGTCGTCTGCCGTCGAGCTGATCTGCAACAAACATGCCTCACTGTACATAAAACCCGACGACTACAAGATCGTGGGCAAGTACCTCCTCGAGGCCATGGCCGAGGTTCTCGGGGCCGCCCTCACCCCAGAGATCCATGCTGCCTGGGCCGCAGCCTACTGGCAGCTGGCCGACCTGATGATCGGCCGCGAGAACCAGCTGTACCAGCAGAGCAACGGCTGGACCGATTGGTTCGAGTTCAAGGTTGCGGATAAGGTCAAGGAGTCGGATGAGATCACCTCCTTCTACCTTGCTCCAGCCGACGGCAAGCCTCTCCCGGCCTTCCGTCCGGGCCAGTATATCTCCGTACAGGTATTCGTGCCGGACCTCAAATACCCACAAGCCCGCCAGTATTCGCTCAGCGACCAGCCTCGGCCGGACTACTACCGCATCAGCGTCAAGAAAGAGAAGGGAGTCGACTCTGCTGCCCCGGACGCCACAGCCCATGCGGGCTATGTCTCGAATCTCCTGCACGATACAGTCAACAAAGGCGATACGGTCAAGGTGTCGCACCCCTGTGGCGACTTCTTTCTTTCTGCAACAGACGAGCCCGCCCACCCGGTGGTACTTATCTCCGCGGGTGTGGGGTTGACCCCGTTGACTTCAATCTTCAACACATTGACCTCCAAGCCATCGTCGAACCGAAAACTGCATTTCATTCATGGTGCCCGCAGCTCGAGCGTGCGCGCTTTCCAAGACCACATCTCCTCGCTCACGAAACAATACCCGAATCTTCAAGCGACCTTCTTTACTAGTCAGCCTTCCGAGGAAGACACGCAAGGTGTCGACTACCACCATGTCGGGCGTGTGAACTTGGATAAGCTGGCTTCACAAAAGGACTTGTTCCTTGACAACTCCCAGACTGAGTATTATGTCTGTGGGCCTGAGAAATTCATGACAGATATGGAGTCCAGCCTCAAGTCGCAGGGGGTCAGTGCTGATCGTATCAAGATGGAGCTATTTGGGACTGGTGGTGTGCCGCATTGAGCATCAGAGAAAGTCTGTCGACTGTTGTCTTGTCTTTTATATATCTTATGTTACTTAACGTTTAGAATTACTCTCACCTCTAATATTTAAATGCATAAATTAACGAATGCATTGACGGCGTGATAACAGTTATATGAAGGTCGATATCTTAATATACTTGAAGGATATAGTATTTAGCATGCTTTATAAACCTCTCGAAAAAGGTCTTTCCTAATCTTCCCGGAGACGTTTTCTATCAAGCGCGGTTCAAACTTCTGAACTAAAGATTTTCTTGATCTTATTGCCATGGGAAAAAATCCTAGCCAAAAATAACGGCGGCCAGAACCCCTAACTTTCCCTTCTATATCTTCCTCTGCTTTCTGCGCACAATTCTGCAACTCAATCTCCCTTTGCAATTCCTTATCCAGCTGCGTAAGCTAGATGTTCACATCTTCAGTCAGTAGTAGTGGGTGAGATGACGGAGGGGTCGGAGGGTGTGCTAAGAAGCTACATCGCTCTTCTTGCTACCCCCAATGACAATTTGCGCGTGACAGCAGTTGGTCACCGGCACCAGAAACAATCACACAAGAGACGAATTTCCCGAGGCCTTCTTTGCAAGACTGGCATGCTGCCTCTGGCGGTATCTTCACTCAAACTGACTGTGCCAAGAGGGCCTCGATATTTGCGTTCTTTCGACCGAGGGTGGAATGGAAGTCTGTACCATCGGTTGAGACACGTAGAGCAGGTTCTCGGCGTAATAGCATCGCTCGAAGCAGGTTATGGCGTGTCCCTTGTTGTGTACTGGAGCGAGTTCCGCGACGCCATGGGTTGTCAACGGCGGCTTGTGCCCAGAAGCCTGGCTCATTCCCATCCTGACCGGTCAGGGGGTCGGGGTATCCGGTGTTTTCTGTGCTCATGCTTGACTGAGTGTCAGTATATCTGCTCAGTAGAATGACTCTAGTCTTGGTATATACCTTGGTGCTGAATGAAGCTAATGGGTGTTAAAGGCGAGGATCGGTCTGATATGCAGCCCTATGACGAAGGAGTTCACAACGGACAGCTATAATGTGAAGTGCGAGGGTATTGTGGTTCTTGGTGACCTATTGCGGCTCTTGTTCGTCTCGAGCCTTGGTGGCTCCGGCGTTGTTTGGGAACACGAGGTTGTCCGCTGTCGGAGAGGGGGAGAGGCACTTGTGAGGATGCTGGGAGTAGGAAGAGCTTAAGGACACTGAAAATATTAAATAGGCAGACTTGGCAGGTGGTATTACCTTGTTTGTTACTGTTTGCTGGTGTCGACTGGATTTTATCGTCATAACTTCGAGGGATTGGTGAGATTGGGAAGCGTAAGGTGGTTGGTGATGTCGAGGGGGCCTCTGGGAGTCTACGTAGATTGTTGAGGCTCTCGTAAAACTTTTATTTCAACTGGATCATTCAGATTTCATGGATATTATCTCTCTCCATGCCTATGTCTATGCCCATGCCTGTGTCCGTGTCTGTATCACCTGGTTGGTAGGCTAACTAAGCCCTGGGAATTGCCTTTTCTAGCTCCGCAATTTTTCGCTTGAGCTTTTCCCATTCCGTCGATAAATCCTGCACCTTCTCGTAAAGCTTATGCACTGACGTATTGTTTGAACTGGCAAAAGCACGTACTGCCTGTCATCAATCATCATCCCAGCAAACGTAGTCGTGATAGTTGTATGTGAGTCGAGATTCGCGTTCACCGCTCCAACCATCCGATCCATGATGGCTGCCTCATCATGGAGAGCCGCTCCGGCTATGCGAAGCTGTCGGTCAATACTGGAGGAATTGCGTTTGTGCCGCGGGGCCTGGGGGACCTTAACATGAAAGGTGCATCGGTGGTCTTGCCCCTCCCAATGGCAGTTGGCACAGGCACTGATGAGACCCGGGGGCCATTGTATTTGACACATTGGGCCCACGGCCCGTTTCCCCGTTGGCATGATGCACAAGGAGCCCTAGCAATATCGCCAACAACCTGAAGCATTGCAGATTCGACATTGCATTTGTTGCTGTCGATCATTTCGTCGAGTCGTTTGGCAGGCCAGCCTTTGTTATGTCGGAGGAAGGGCTCCCGCTGCTTCTCTTCGGACATGAGAGTGTCCAAGATTGGGCTCTTGATATATCCCCTCTGGCGGGCCACCTTCCAGCGAAGCTCGAAGATATGGTCTGCCCACAGGCTGGGGGGTTCAAGGTCGGTCCCTTCTTTGATAGGAGGGATGTACAGTCCAAGCCCGACTTGGCGGTTTCCAGGACCGGCGGGGGCACTTGACATGTTTTAGCCTTAGTACTAGGAAAGATAAAACGTGTGTACTTACTAGCAATCGTCGGACAGTGCGGTGTGCCGGCTTGGCGTTGAACATGGCGGATTGCCTTGCGAAGAGAGAGGTTGAGACGAAGGGGGGGTGTTCGGATCCATGCTTTTCTCGAAATATGAGAGAAATAGAAGAAAGGTAAAGAAGAAAGGAGATAGAAGTGAGAGACTTGCAATGAGATACATGCAAAAAGGATTCGAAATATGAGAGAAAGAGTGAAAAGGTGAAGAAGAGATGAGATAGAAATAAAGGAGATAAAAGTAAGAGACTTGTAATGAGATATATGCACCTATATACACAGGATTTTGTCCGCCAGGTGCCCAGGGCCTTTCCTGTCTGGGCTGCCGCCGCTTTTATGAGGGCAATTAGGCTCAGGCTCACTGAGTAAATCTCACCACGGGCTCAAACTCAGTGATCACTGTCACAACTCGTTAAGTTCGGTATTCTATCCGACGGCAAGTCGGCACCTACCACTGCGGCTGACCGCCTGCTCTGGAACTGACGTCACATGAAAGTGCTCATGCTCCTGTCGCAACATTTCTACTTCAGCCTTAGTCCTCCATCAATAGTCGTCTTGCTTCTCTAGCTCTGCCTCCTCCCGGTTTCTTCAACCACCCTATTCCCCCCCCCCAATTCAGCCAACATGCTGCCTCTGTCCCCATCAACAGTATCCTCCCTGGATACAAAGGACGCCGAGTCCGCGAAGACTTTCGGCAGTCCCGAGTCACTCTCACCGGTCGAGGCAGCGAGGGACTGTGATTCGCACCTACCATTCGAAATCCCGGGTGCTGTGGTGTTGTCTGCCCCCTCCATTTCTACACTTCGACAAACTGCGAACGATGTCTATCATCAAATCAACTCCGACACGTCTTACTCGAACCAGTTTATTATCGTGTTGAACCTATCCCGACAAGTGCAGGAGCTTATCGGTGGAGATCGAAATCCTCTTGCGGTTCCCTACAGATTGACTCTCGACGCACAGCACCAGCAAGGGGTTATTCGAATCATGCCCTCAAAAGCTCATGAGCGTGTGACACGGTCATTTTCGAATAAACTCGTGCTGAAATTATTCGAAATGGGAATTGATTCAGACGATTACACTATGAACTCGGCCTCCCGGTACTGCGGAAATTTATGCGAGAAAGAAGCCGACGAGTCTCTGACTCCGTTAGGAAATCCTTCTGAAGATAACGACTGGCCTTCGCTCGTTATTGAAATTGGTCTTTCTGAATCAGAGGCACAACTACGAACTGATGCACACTGGTGGTTCTCAAATTCCGGCTACCAAGTCAACATGGTTATACTCTTTTATATCCAGAGATCCCCTGAGCGCAGAGTCACCTTGAAACTCTACCACCTCAGACCTACCACCCCCAGAATCACGCGTGGACTACAGGCAGAGGTCGAGCACTCTCTGCTATCTGATCCTACGACTCAAACAGTCTTCTCAACAGCGCTACGATCTTACTTAGCGGCCAAAGAGATTACTATTACAAGAAGTATTGAGAATGCTCCACTAGAGCTAGAGTTCGAATCCGTTATGCGCCGCCCGCCCGCCCTAAACACGAACGAAAGAAATATTATATTCACTGCTGAGGATCTTGCTACGTGTTGCCGCTACGCCCTTCCAATAGCTTGAGTATGTGATATCCTCAAGAAATGCTCCACTGAGGACCTTGCTATATGCTACTGCCCTATCTTTCCGGAAGCCTAAGCATTATCACTACATGTATTATTAGGAATTTGAATTCAAAGCTTGGTTTTTGATAGATATCCACGTAGTAGTTTATTTTATTAGGTTCAGGACTCCGTGGCAAAACCCTGGCAAATCGACGGCCAAAACGGCCTCACTTGCGGCCGTTTCTTACAGCCTACTTGTCGTCTGCTACTTTAATTGAGTAGTTAAACACTATACTTGGGCGGTCAGATTGTTAGTGTGAAACGGTTGAAACTTTTCTATTTAAATTATGATTACCTCACGTAGGAGAAAATAGGGGCCCGTATAGGCGCACAACCTCGTTCGTTGTAACGTGCGGCCCTAACACCCAGTCTGGATGCGCTGCGCATCGATTGGTTGATCCTGCGTCTTCAATAAGACCCATGCTCTGACCCACCTCCAGGCCCCTGGCCCTCTTGGCCCGCTCTGATGCACCCTCATCCCTCTCCTCTGGATGGCGCTTGTTCGCAGATTTAATCGCATCCGATCGATATAGTTCACGAAGGGGAACATCGAATGGACTCGGTGATTCGTCCCCGAAGTATAGCTCGCGCAACTTTTCCAGAGCGTGCCGTGTGCTTGGGTCAATTATATACGACCGCGGACTCCCAAGGATCGCAAACGCACGTCTGATCGAAGCCATGGGGGCACCATGCCATTGTCTGGGCGTGGAGAACAGATGCTCTAAGCCCACAACCGTACCGCCGTGAAGAAATCTCTTGAGAAACACGCGGCGGTATAAACCACCAACAGCATCAGACGGAACCAAGTTTGCGTTCATTTGGTAGGCGAGGTATTCGGTGGCAGTCGGGGCTTTTCGTTCGACCGGCTGACCGGTTTCGGCTGCACAACGCTGCCGACGCTGCCGATCTTTGGTTTCATAATCAATGAAGTATTGGAGATCGTCGGGGAAAAACACGTATCCCGGGTCAATAGCGCAGTCAAACTCTGCGTGACAGGCGCCACAAAGAGGGATGGCGTTCGCGGCGGTTTTATATTGGAACTTGAATAGACCAGCCTGTTCCCACACTTCAGTCTAGATAGAGACTTGTTAGCGTGTTTCCCCAACGAACAGACCAATTAGGGTTACCTGTGAGTCTTCTTTTGCGATCACATGGCAAATATCTACTCGGGTCGTTTCGCATGACCAACACCCGTTGCCAGCAAGCCTTCGTGTCTCCAGTTTCGTAGTTTCGGAGAATTGGCCCGAAGCCGAGGATGCTGCCGACATCCTGGAACTGGAAGAATGAACACGTATAGAGGATGACGAGTGGGTCGCTTGTGGGGGAGGCATAAGGGCACGATCCTCCGCGTCCGCGTGGTCTGTGATTTTGTCAGCCATGATGGCGTGTAAGTTGGAGTATGATGGATACTTACGGACTCACGAAACCCGAAACCCATGTCCATATAACAGCATGGCGTTCTGGTTTGGGAAAGCGCCCAGCTTTGGGAAGGCGTTCATGTAAAGGAAGAAGGAGTGAAGGCAGGAACGAGAGTACCGAGAGTACGCGTGACGAATCCGTGGACTGGTCATGTGATGCTGACTAAGGAGCCTCTACATGTCTCTCCCCCAACTCCAGTTCGAGTTCGCGTGCTCTGATCAGGCTCAGGCTCACCGAGTAAATGTCAGCACGCGCTCTTACTCAGTGATCTGGTCAGTGCAGTCATGTGATCACTCAGTCAATGTTTATTCATCAGCTCTCATTGTCCAGTCAGCGAGTTGTACCTCTTCTTCCAGTACTAAGTGAATAGGGAAAGCGGTGAGAAGTGACTTTAAGCCTGACTCCCTGCCCCCACCCAACTTTCCTTCAACCAATCGCACTCATTCATCATCTCCTTTGCAAGGCTTCAACTGATTGTACTTATCTACAATCCCCTTCTCAACTGTCACAGCGGATTCGGCTGCCTTGCTTTTACTAGAACTGCCATGCCCTCCAGGCTGGCCCCAAGCGCACCCCAACCTGGGTAATCTGCAGAATGTCATCATCCTCAAAGACGGTGAGTCTTTCCGTGTCTTCTAGTCTTCTCGATACTCATAATCAAGCTAGAAGCTGGATCGAAAGCTGAATAGTTACGCACCACTTGAACCCACGGACAAAACCAAGGAATTCCTCCGTGACTTCTTCAAGATCCTTTCTCCTGACGGAAAAAGAAATCTGGCTGGGGACGTTTCAGGGTGTGCAAATGATGAGACGCTTCGGCAACTGGTCCAAAGCATCAGAAATGGATTATTGATTCCTATGAAAGCACATGGTGGCCAAACACCCACTGAAATCACTCCGTCTCCGCGTTCCGGCGTTGAAGATTCAATCGAGAATCTCAAGAGCCTAAACATCGAGCCCATCAGTAGAAGCTCTCAGTCGCAACTCCGGCACCACTGTTTAGAAAGGGATGGCAACAAATGTCTTGCAACGGGGCAGTACAGTCACAGCCACGCCCATCCACGGAACGCAATAACGACCCATCTTGAAGCGGCCCACATCATTCCATTTGCACTTGGATCCTTTCAGGCCAATGACGGCGAGGCAGTGGACAGACATGCGAAGATTTGGGTCAACCTAAGGCGCTACTTTCCAATTCTTCGCAACATGTCCTTTACCTCAGAACAGATTAATTCGGAAAAGAATGTCCTGATGCTAGACTCCCAACTTCACACGGAATTCGGTCAATTCAGACTCATTTTTGAAGCAACCGGAGTTGCTCACCAATATCGAATCAAGTCCTTTCCAGATACCGCCACAGGGCCAATACGAAATTTACCTAAAAATCGGCTTGTCAAGTTTAGAGTTTATAAAGGAAGTTGGGAACTTCCAGATCCTAAACTTCTCGAAATCCACGCTTGTATTGGAAACTTTCTACATATGAGTGGCCAGGCGGAGATAATCGACAAGGTCCTGAAAGATTTCCAAGACTGTGGTGGGCTTGCTCCAAGTGGAAGCACCAACATCGAAGACCTTCTTGCAGTGAGCGGCCTCTCACTACTACCCTCGAATGCCAACGAAACGCCCGATTCCCAAAAGCCTGCAGAGAAGCAACGTCCTCCGGAGAAGCAAGATACAGTGAGTGGCCTCTCACTGCTACCCCCAAATGTCGATGAAACGTCCCATTCCCAAAAGTCTACAGAGAAGCAACGTTCTACAGAGAATCAAGGACGCCTATGTGCGAAATTTTCGGACACTGAGAATAAACCATGGACATACTAACTTGGATAATCGGGAAAGCGGTTGTCACGGTTGCAGTTACAGGTTAGGCCAGGTGATGGACCGGGCCACTATCTTTAGCTAGCTTTTTAGTTCTGAACTCATCAACAGAGAGATCCAGTCTTATTGCTTCGGCTGTCTTCGTTTTCCGTAACAGTCGCATGGCCTTTAAAATAGTCATTTCAAAGTAACCCTCAAGGCAGTCCTAAGGGTTGGTCCTGGCCTGGTCCTGGCCTGGTCCTCACTCCCTCTTCCTGAGAATTAATAATTTACCTATTTTTCTTGCACTAGTTATCTAATACTCGATCATCAACATCCTACAGCTACCCCGGGGGATCAGGTGAAGAAGCACTCCGGTAAGGACCAATTTAGTGTACCGAGGATCCTCCTAACCTTATCCTGATAACCTTATCTCACCCTCTAAAACGGGACTAGTCTACATATTTATATTAGTCATCACATAATCACGTGTGCTATAGGAGCGTCATATATTCCGTGGACTTTATCTTGTTAATGTATACCACCTACTATCCCACATATTGAAGATCAATCTACCTGACTGTCCAGACAACTCCTCCTGTTATTTCTGATCCATGTCGACTGTTATTTCGCTTGGGCTCTAAGAACCAAAACTTTTTGATGATGGATGAGCAGGCAGCGGGGTTGAAAGAGGAAGGTATGGAGGAGAGAGAGGTTCGCACTTCCTTTACCTCCCCCCAACCCTCCTAAGTCACCCACCCATGCCACTCCCCTCCTCGCCTTCACCGTCCCGCAATGACCTCCCCCCAGGCGACATACAACCTGCGTTCCCGTCGAGAAGTGGGCAGCTCAGAGTCTAGCGACGCCTCGAAGGTACCATCCTCACTTTGGAACACTGGCACCAAGTCGTCCCAGACCGATTCCACCGCCGAATCCCCAATATCACCAATAACCCGCGTTCTTTCGGAATCAGTGGACACATCAATCCACCCGACTACACTCGCAACCGCGTATACGCTGGATTCCCCTTCACTCGAAGAACTCGCCGGGCAAATCGAGCTTTTGAAACAGCAACTTGCGTCACCCTCCCCTCCATCAAGCCAGTACATCCTGGTCATCAATATCCCTCACTATCTATTCTCCACACTCGAGCACGAGCCTGACCTTTTCAAAGGTGTTCGTGCCACCATTTTCCACCAGAAATCTCAGGTCCTGTACAAGGTCATGACAGGATTACAACACGAGCAAATGATTGGCTCGTTCCAAGCGTGGATCTGCGAGACACTTATTCGGATGGGCCTTAGTTTGATCGAAGGAGATTTTGTCTTCCGCCAATCGGCCCGCACACGCGGCCACACCAGCAGCAAAGAGCCGGACTTCTGGTTCGGACCAAACAACGTCCATATAAACGGGGGCGGTTCTGGTGTGCCGTCGCTCGCTCTCGAAGTGGGTTTCTCGGAGTCCAGCCCCCAACTTCACAATGATGCCCGTTGGTGGTACGCCAACTCCAATGGCCTCACCCGCATAGCGGTCCTTATCCACGCTAACAAACCCCCCGGCAACGACTGGATCGTTGATATCGAAGTGTGGACCGAGGAGAATAATGATCATGAGGGTCCGGCCACCAGAGACCGACCCACAAACACCATCAAGCGAACACAACATGCACACATCGAGAATGATGTTGTGACCGGTGCACCATTGGTCCTGGATTTCCAGACTTTGATGTGCCGCCCCCCCGCAAACCCCCAGGAAGGAGATTTGGTGTTGAATGAACGGTGGATTAGAGCCATCTGTGCAAAGGTGGTGGTGACTTGAAGAATTTCTTACCGATGGCTTATTATCATGCAGTGTTTGCTATAGCCTGACTTGTTTACATCTTTAACTTGCTAGCTAAATCGAGATCTTTATTCTCTCGCTCAGTCATATGACAAGTCACCAAGGAGTCATATTTGCAGACACCGTATCTAGAAGCTATGTGCAAAACAACCAGTGCATTCAAACCAGTCTTTCCATAGAAAAAACAACGCTGCCCAATTCAAAACTCATGACCAAAATTCAGGCAACATATGAATCGATTTCCAATCCCTTATTTGCTGGTAGCAATCTTCACCAGCTGTGAGAAATCGGGGGTGCCCAGACCCGTAACAGGGTCCCAGCCCTTGGTAGCGTTCCAGCTGGCGTAGGGCACAACGGGACCGCCGTTGATGGGACCCTTGAAACGGCCCTTACCGTTGCAGCCGGTGCTGCCGCCGTTGACGATATCATTCAGACCCTTCTCGCCCTTGGAGTACAGCCAGGGGTTGAGGAAGCCCAGCGGCTTCTGCTTGTTGCGCAGGCGCGCGTCGTTGAGGAGAGCGACCACGCCGGCAAAAGCGGGCGCCGCAGCTGACGTGCCGTCGACGCTGGAGATCGAGCCCTTCTCATAGATGGCGAAGTTCTCGCCCTGGGCTGCGACATCTGGGAATGCGCGGCCCGAGGAGTTGTACAGACCGGACCACTTCTTGCCCAGCCCCTTCAGATATCCTTTGACAGCCTCGTCCTGGTACTTGGGCCGTCCGAATAGGTCTGAAAAGCCGCCCGACGAGAAATACGTAGCCTTTTCGGGCTTGATGTTTTTCGTCGCGCCAACCGAGGTCACCCACGGACAGGAGGACGGGAACTGAGGCGGGAAGTGGGTGGTGTTCTTGCCGTCATTGGTCTGGCATGCGGCGCCGACACCCGAGTCTCCGGACGAAAAGATCACCGACACACCGCGGCTGCCGAGCTGCGCATAAAGGTTGCACACGCTCAGGGCGTATTTCTTAGGAATGCTCTGCAGAGGTGTTAGATACGGGGATCGTGCGAATGAATATTGGCAATCCTCACCTGTTCGTCCTCGCCGTACGAGGTCGAGAGAACCTTCGGCAGGTCTTCCTTGTCCAGCTTGAGGATAGCCTGCAGGAAGTCCAGGTACGGCTCATTGTTGTTCTTCTTGGGGTCAGGCTGGTCCAGATCGGGGACGAGCTGGCCGCGACCGCCGGTGATGTATTCCGTAACCGGGAGAGGCGAGCTGACACCGACAATGTACTGTAGGTCGAGGTTGGCCTCGCTGCTGTCACCCTTGTAGTTCTGGTCGTTCTTGCCACCGTGGAACGTCTTGACGCTGAAATTCTGGCCCTTGGCCGACGTGGCAACTGTCTCCTCAAACAACGCCAGGTCGGCATAGCGCGCATACTGCTCCAGGAAGCTAGCGAAGCCAATCGTACTGCCAGAGTTCTTGTCGGCCTTGTAGTTGCCAATCTTGTACAGGGTCTTGAGACATTCGGGCGTGATGATCTCGTTGCAGTCGGTGTCCGACGACATGGCCGCCTTCCTGAAAGCTTCGTCGACAACCTTGGCCTTACTGTGCAGCGTGGCACGGTCGGCATGCAGCTGACCGAAGCGTGTCGTGGGCTGGACCATGTGGATATGCGGGATGACCGACTTGGGGACCGAGTATTCCAGCGTGCGGAGACGCTCCACATCCATGACCTTATTGGCGTAGTACTGGAAGTTGGCGCTCAGCAGCTCGTTGGCCGTCTTGACATCGGTGTGGAAGGTCATCCAGTCGGCGTCTTGCTCAATGTCGGTGATACCAGCGCTCTTCAGCCAGTCGCGCACGGCGTCAACCGACTCACCACGCGGCTGCAGCATGCGCTTCATCTCATCGTGGGTTTGGAAGTGTTTGCCATAGTTCGGGTGGTCGGGGGTCGACATTTCCATCACGGCATTCTCGAATCCAGACGGGTTGCCCTGGGCCAGAGCAACCTGCAGCTTAATGGGTTGGTCCCCACGCGGGGCACGAGACAGCCGCCATCCTAGTTGAGAGTCAATTGATGGGCACCGACATGCCCGGAACACGCCTACTCACCATCGGGGACACCGGCGAGACTCTCAAAGAGGTCCGCCGCAGCAGAGGACGCCAGGAGCGACACAACCGCGAGCGACAGGGCTCCGCGGTTCAATAGAGAAGCGAACATGATAAAAAGAGCGAACGAGGACTCCCTACCAAAACAGGGGAAAGGCCTCCACCCAGCGAATGCGGAGAATATAAATACTCAACGAACGAAAAGAGGGGCGACGAAAGACTGCGGTGGATTATTTATTATGGTTGCATTGAAAGGGAGAATGAAGAGCCCAAGGAATGTGGTGCGCGAAGGACTCCAGGACGGACACTTCTCCCCCCCCGGTTTGACAACTCAAACGGACCCTAATCTTCAAGACTGCTCTTACAAGGATCCACAGCCCCAGTGGGCCTTGGGGCCGGATGACCGTCGGGTTGGCAGACAGTTGGAAAAATAGTGAGAGCACGGCCTGCGGCCTGCCGAGTCATCTCCTCTGCGCGAGGGGGTTTTCGCGCGTCATGGGACCCCTCAAGTGACATGATGCTGGAGAATATCCAGTGATGTGATCGGTATGGAAGCATACTCCCTTCTTGCGAGACTTTGTTACGCGAGTGCCCGGGGGAGAGTCGGTTCCCGGTGCTGATCGCCAGGGGGCGGACCCACTTATCGACGCGAAGGCCGCATTAGGCGAAACTTTTTCGAGGTCAAAAATGGCTGGCCAGCACAATGTTGAGCTGAGATGGCTCTAGTGTTTGTCTGTTCTTGAACATCGAGCAGTTCCGAGGCTTTTCGTACGATCTATCTGGCAGCGTCTTCGCTCCAGACGAAATACCCGACAAACCCGGGAATCCAGGATGTGCCCTGCCAAGCAGACCCCGACTTAGCGTGAGATTTATTAATCCAATGAAGGCTAGCGGTTACTATAATTGCATTGTCAGCCAGGGTTCGTGATAAGCCGCATGTAGATCTCCCTCTTGAACGAGTATTCTCATTGCCCTGCTCAAGTTGCCGGCGGGTCATTTTGCCAGGATTGTACCGGATCCTGGAATCAGTGCCTGGCAGATGGAATCTGATTGCTGATCCATGTGGGTCAATTCAGAATGTTCTATCTCATGAGATAGTCAACAACCCTCTGCTTGTCTGACATCGAGCAAAGTCCAAGTGTCAGTTGGGATGAGTCTGTTGGGAGTCCAAGTCTGCGGTCCATGGAAGAAAGAACAGGCTCACGTGCTCCTCACAATCGAGTCGGTCTCAATTTTCAGAAATCTCAAGTTTTCGCATTAACGCAGCCTAACTACAAAACCTGGCCTGGAATATTGTGAGATGCCAGCTGATGCGTATATACAACAATGATATGCAATCCCCTCTTCTGCGTCGAGTCATTTACTTTTTGTCTGCAGCGGGCGTCTCGGCAGCAGCTTCGGCGACTTCCAATTGCTGCGCGACGACCATCTGCGCGATAGCATCCTCGGTCTGGAGGTAGGTACGGCTACCCTGGATAAACCAGAAAGCCACGGCGATGACCAGCATCACTCCGAACACGGCAATGGCGTAATTCATATCGCTGGGTGGTGGGTTAGGACTGCCGGGGAAGAGGAAGAAGATGGTGGTGATGATGCAATAGACGATACTGATCCAGTTCAGCCAGGGGCCCCAGCGCCCGAGATGGAATGATCCAGGGGGCAGGCGATCACGGCCTGTGACTAGCAAGGCCAGGATCGGGATGGCATAGGACACGGTCAGGGCGATGGTGCTGACGCTCAGGATGGCTTCGAGCACCGTGTTGGCGAACAGATACAGAACCCCCACAAGGCCGATCAGGACCCCTTGTCCCCACAGTGCCCGCGCCGGAACTTGCCAGACTGGGTCGACGTGGCTGAAGTACTGGCTCCATGGCAAGCCGCCGTCACGCGCGAATCCCCAGGTTAACCGGGAGCCGGTGGTCAGGATTCCGATACCCTGGCCCAGTCCGTTGAAAATAAAGAGGGCAATCAGTGTGGCGCCGCCCTTCAGGCCAACGGTTTCGAGCATGAGCTCGATGAATGGCAGGTCGGCATTCAGAACGTGGTCCACGTTTTGAATGCAGAACAGGCAAACCACCATAAAGATGAACCCGGTGATGGCACCAAACAGCACCGCCATCCAGATCACGCGAGGCGCGTTCCGTCGCGGCGCCGGAATTTCCTCGACGAGGTGGATGACCGAGTCGAACGCAGTCAGTCCATACGCGGCCTGCACCAGACCCGTGAACCAGACGACACCGTCACTCCAGCCCGTTCGGTTGATCCACTGACCGAAAACAAAGGAGCCGGGTTGAAAGGAAAGTTCGCTCTTCACTCCGACCGAGATCAACAGCGCCATCGAGAGAATAACGAAGAGACCGGCGAACCACACCCCGACGAAATTGTTGATCCAGGGCAGCACCTTGTCTTTGCGGCAGCCGACCACATTGATCACAGTCAACAGCACCACCACCCCGATATAGATCACAAAGTTCAGCCAGCCCTTGTCGGGGCCGTCCCAGTTGGGCTTGAACATGGTCTTCATGCCCAGCAGGAACTCGGTCATGAAGGCGACCTGCGAAGCCGACAAGGTCCACCAGCCGAACGTGTTGATCCACGCACACATGTACGAGACAAACCGGCCCAGCGGTGTATTCCACAATCGATATACCCAGTAGGCCTGGCCGAGAGCGGTCGGCATGCTGCTGGTCAGTTCGCCCAGCGAGAGCGCCACGCAGAGGTTACAGGCGGTGACCAGCACCAGGCCCCAGAGGATGGTGATCGCAGCGCCATTGGTCAGTCCACTGCTGAGGTCTTGCGCGAAGGTGGAATATGTTCCTATTGCAAGAGGTCAGTATTTGCTCGCATGAATCACCAGCATCGAGCCCAGCAACTCCCGGGCGCAACATACCCAGGACACAAAAAGCAAGCGCCAACATGCTCCACATGTCAAATTTGCGCGTCAGAGCCTGATCATGACCCAGGGCCGCGAGATCGCGCGCATCCTGAACGCTTTGGTCGGTCGACAGCGCGGGTTTGATAGGCTGCGAATTCGACTCCAAATCCATAATGCGATTCAGCCGGAGGCAAGGAAGATCAATTCGACGGGCAGACAAGAAAGACGTGCGCACATTTTCTGCGGGATGTACAAAACAAAAACCAAGGAGTGTTGAAGCGAGAATCAATGAGGTTCTATATACTGGTCTCGGGTGCACCCCCTCACGAGCGGGACAGTGCGAGTGTCAATGCTCTCCCAGGAACATTACGGGGAGATAAAGCTGGGGAAAACGAAAAAAAAACAACAGCCAATGACGAGGGCAATCGCGTAGAATGACGGGGATTGGAGAAGGATTTGGTCGCAGCCTGAGTTGGTTGATAACAGCAACGATCTTCGTACGATTTTTCTCCTTTTTTTGCGGGGTTGGGTGGTCCGTCTCGGCAGGACTTCCTGGAGTGGGTCGACTTTCCACAGTTGAGATAACGAAGGGTTGGGAGGATACTGAGATAGCTTTGTTATAGTTATCGTGGATATTATAGATATCATAAATACTATGGGTATATGCTGGTCTTTGTGGTTGGTGGCAAGAGATTGGTATTTCGCTGCCATGGTGCTATGCAGCAATATAGTCCTCTGACCGGCAGACTGATCACTAACTAGTTTATTTCTATGTATTCTGCATTGAACTCAACTAGTGAAGAATATAATATAGCCCATATTACCAGTTATCAGGGCCGCCAGTCGAAAGATTCATCGGTGGCGATTGGCCGAAAAAGGCAAGTATATGCGGAGAGATAAGCGGCCCTCTATCTCAGGAGCATCTCAATCTCACTGAGATAGCAATCTTGAAAGCAACCTGCAAAGTGGAGCCAGCAGTTTCGTGTGCTTGCTAATAGTTAGTCGGACAGACTGAAGTTGTAAAAGAAACCATCATGATATGGTTGGTGTATAGACCGAATTCTCTGTATATCCAAGAAAAAGGAATGGACGAGACGACGCATTTCGTCACTCCTCACGATAGGCAGCATTGAGTTTGACACATCTGGGGAATGCATTCACCAGGGTCCACATGGTTCAAGAGGCATTTGGGTAAGAAGCTAGCGAGCTAGCCTCAGTCCTTTGCTATCTAGCTAGCTGGCTTCATCCCCGGGCGTTAGTCGCTCTAGCTGTCTGTTATTGGCCTATGACGCCGTGCTTCGGCCCTGATATCTCCTTCTCTTTCCTTTCTGGGCAAGTTGGTGAGATTTGTATCTGAGAGTGATAGGCGGAAGAATGGGGCGATAGATCTCGTGGAGTTTCGATGACATTGGCATTCTCGAAATTGGCGATAAACCCTCATAGACGGGGAAGATATGAGGTTATTCTTAGCGATATAGCACTAGAGGATGGAGTTTGAGCTGCGATGTTCAGGTACTGCGCAGCATACCATACCCATTCATACCATACCCATTCGGGTATTTTGAGCCAGATCCCCTCGCTAGCGACTTGGCCACTTTTCTGGGCCAGTTTTGGGTTCTTGTTTGGAGATTCAATGACACATCCAAGTCCCCGCAAATTGTTCGCAATCCTTTTTGCTATCGCTGATGCGGCATTTTCTGGCGATCGACACATCTTGCCCGAGGTGCAGTTGTCGTCTCAATCTTGACGTGGCGAAATGACTAAATTATCTCAGTTGGTTATGGTTCTCTGTGTCATAATGGGTAAAGAATCGGAAGAGAACTGTGATGCTCGTAGTTCCTGCTGACTTCCCTGACGATTTGTTTTGTTCTTCCATCAGAGCCTGCCTAGTGTTACCTCAGGCAAGTAAGTGAATGATGGGTGGATGGAAGTAGAGCAAGAGCTCCAGAGTGAGGACTGAAGAGCAAGCCACGGGTTAATTTCAGGAAGAGGAATCAGAAACTCGAAAGCAGAAGTAACTCACTCATATATCAGTGACTAGTCACCGCGCAACTACTTCCAGTTTGGGTGTTAGACGATATGACTACTAAAAAGCAGCTTTGGGAATGAAACACAACTCGAGTCTTGGTAAATATATTCATGCACCAGCACATTCTCGAAGGAATACCCCCCCCCCCCCCCCCCCTTTTTTTTTGAGGGATCAAACAGAAGGCGCTTTTGTTATTACCAGGACCCGAACTGACGCCATTGGAAGTGAGATGAGATGAGAAACCCCCAACCTAGAACCCATGCGCCGAACAAGACATCCATGCACACCAGAGCACCGTCGACGCCTCCCTCCGACTATCGACCATTCCAAAAGATCAACATAACCCAACGATCATGAGAGGGCGATTGATATGAGTAACAAAGCACCCGTGTCTGACATTATCAGTCACACAGAGACGAAGTTCAAATCCGCAACTGTTTACCCTGCCGCCAGATTCCACCCGGCAACAAATTCTGCTTGAGCGAAGCCATCTCCTTGCGCAAGGCCAGGTTCTCCTTCTGCAAATTCTCGATATACGCCAGAGCATTGGACAGGATCTCGGATTTCTTGAGCGATCCCGCACCCGCCTTGCGAGAATGTGGCTGGTCATTGGCGATTGAGATGGCCTGCTCCAGTGAAACAAACTTGGCGTTCATGTTGGTGCGGTAGCGCTTCTCGATGATGTTGTGTGCGGCGCGTTTGGCCGAATTGCGCATCTGGGGGTCTTGACTCGTTGACGAGCGGTTCGAGTCCTGGGACGGACTGCGTCGCTTGCGACTTGATGCCAATCTGGTCGAGCTTTTTGTCTCCTGGGTGTAATCTTCGGCCTGGGTTTCTGGGCTTGACGACCACCGTGTTGAGACACAGTCTTGTGATTGATTGTCGGGATCAGACGAGTTGAAGGTGGAATGGGTGAATGACGAAGACTCGAAGGTGGATGAGTCGAGGGAGGGACGCGAGCCTTGGGATGGCCACGGCTGATCATCACTGTCAAATTCCTTTCTCGGGCGTCAGAAAAGAGCAAACAATCTTAGGAAATGCAGAGATTACCGACAGCGAGGCCGTGTCCTCGGCCATTGGCATTGTGAACCCACTGATCCTCGAAGCAAATGGATCCACAAAGAGATCCTTGGAGTCTGAGTTTGTCAGACTGTCTGCAAAATCGAAACTGGCGGGGCTCATATCCGTCGAGTTCAAGGCGAAGAGATTGACTGCATTGTCGTAGGTCCAATTGGCAGAGAGAGGATCGGGTGCTCTTGCGACGAAAGGGTCCTCAGCGCGAGTATGGGGACTCACTTGCCGAGCAAATCCATCCAGTGGGATGCTCGACAGATCATTGCATTGATCAAAGGGCATGACGGACAGAGCTTGGGATCATGCAATGCGAAAAAGAAAGCGGATGGCAGATAAGGGAGAGAAGATCTCAATCGTTCAATGAAACAGTCAAGAAAAGACCAGACGCATCGGCGCCCTTATATATGCACCAAGATCTTCACGCAACGACAGGGGGGCTGCTCCACCGGACCGGGTACTCACGACCCAGTGTCCCTTGACCAAGCCAGCGTCCGAGATTTTCCCTGGTGATGTCAAGCTTCATTGCCATAGAGAAACCCTCCCACCAGGCACTGTCAGACGCAGTCTTCGGCAGCTCTTTCCAACGCTCGGTGAACGTGAGCCGAGATCACCCCAGCCCAAATCCTTCCCCTGTAACGGCCGGCTCCGATGGGGCCGTTGGCAGTTCCAACGCCATGGGAACACGAGCTGTCAACAGCAACCGTTGAAGGGACCAGCAAGCAACGGCGCAAACTAAGATGCCAAGCATTTGCCGGCCGAGACTCGGAGCCGAATGTTTTGATGTGAGGATGTCACTACACACCAGGCTCCGTTTTCTAACGTACTTTTGTTCCCTGTTACTTGGGTTCTCGGCTTGGTCCTTGACATACTTTACGCCCTGGCGGGAAAATCTATTCCCTGTTCTGTAGGACATACATTGGCGATCATCTGTCGCTCGCTTTCTATGGCAAGGACTAATTCCAGACGCTCAGATTCACTGCAGACGGCCTGTTTTGTATTCGAAGTAATGAAAAAAAGGTTATTGGTAAGAGTTATATGACATAGACTTATTGCTAGACTTATACAAGCCAGTATCTAGCCCCAGCGCAGTAACTTGGTATAGAAGACGGAATAGACCATCATCGAGAGCACATGTGGCAAGAGCATGATATAGAATTTGGCTCCTGTAACTCCGGAAACTCACGACTGTATACCAAAGTGTGATTCAATCAATCACCTGTTAGACAGAAACCAATCCATACTGCCCCCAGGCCCGGACAGTGTAGAACAATCGACAGGGCTGGATGATCCACAGCGGCGCAGACTAGCGCAAGTCATTCTGTTCCTGGCCTCGCCCAATTCCGTTCCACGTAAATCCTGCTTATTCAATTTCTCCCCGGGCACACGTCACCTGCGACATCCGGCAGTGGGGTGACCCGGCTCGACTGTTTCCTTTGCACGCGCCCGAGGACTTCCCGGAGTCTACCGATCTTCGTCACAGCTTTGTTCAACTTGCTCGCGTGACTGTGCAAATTTTCGTGGACGATTTTTGGTCGGGATGTGTTGTCGAGGGCTATTTCGGTGAGGGCTTCTGTTCCTGTGGCGTGAGCAATAGATATTAAACGAGTTTACTTATGAGAATTGGCGTGACCTCATTCTATCTCAACCCGTGCTCCGAGATACACAATTTACTGGCATTATTGTTATATGCGGCTATATAGACCAGATAATGTCTGCCAGGTTGAACACTGTGTACATGAAACCTGCTGGGGCCCTTGACAACGGTCGTCCCTAGGGCACGTGACCCAACACAGACTGGTGCTCCAACAGGAACATGATTCAAAACAAACATGCCACCTATTTCTTCCCCTTGCCGGGCGCCGGCAACTTCGACACCAGCTTCTCGGCCAAGACAATCAGCGAGCTCGCGTTTGTAATATCGAGAGTGCTCAGCTCCACACGCAGCTTCTGCCGCACCCAACCCCGCAGTTCAACGGCCGACAACGAATCGAGCCCGTACGCTGACAGCGGCTTGCCTGGCTCTATCTCCGTCTCGAGGCGCAGCAGCTTGGTGATCTGCGGCTGCAACAGGCCCAGTGCAGCTGTGTTCAGCGCCGCGACCTCGGTACCCGTCTCGTGCAGGACATGGAACGCCTTGATCGCCTGCTCCGTCTCGGTGTTTCCCTCGCCTGCTTCGTCCCCATCGTCGCTGCCGCCAGCGTGACTGCTGAATAAGTAAGAGAAGCGGGGTTCGCTTACCAAGTCCGATCCGTCAGCCACCAGCGGGTATGCCAGACCTGTGACGAGCTGAGCGCTACTGTCGCTATGGATCGGTTGATGCTCCTGCTGCAAAATAGAGTAGCTCATGATCCGGCGCAGCATAGCCTCATCAATAGGGGTCCATTGATGCTTGTCAAAGCGTGCCTCAAGGGTTCCACCTTTCTCCGCCATATAGCCAACATCCTGAATGGCTCCCAGGTTGACCGTGTTGGCGTGCAGCCCCTTCGCCTGCCGGTAGTAGGCAAATGCATCCAAGAATGCGTTCGCAGCAGCGTAGTTTGCTTGACCCTTGTTGCCGACAACGCCAGAAATACTGGACAGCAGAATGAAAAAGTCAAGCGGCGTCTGCTGCCTCTGTGCTGCGTGATGTAGGCACCATGTTCCAGCTACCTTGGCGTGAAGACCCGTCATGTAGTCGTCATGCGTCATCATCTCAAATGGCTTGTCCTGTCTTGGTGTCAGTCAAATATTCTCAAGCATAAGCAGACGCGGCGCTCTCACCCTGAGAACCATCGCACCTTGGATCACACCAGCAATCCTCTTGGGTGCAGACTTGAAAGCATCTCCAACGAAGTCGGCGTCGCTAATATCGCCCTTGACATATGTCACCTCGCAACCCCATGCGGCACAGTGTGTAATGCACCGTGACGATGCCTCATCATCGATACCGCTGCGGCTCATTACAACAATATGACGCGCTCCATGGCGGGCCATGTGGACAGCAAGACTGCCGCAAAGGCCTTTCAGTCCACCGACAATGAGATATGAAACGTCAGCATTCAGCTGGAGCTTGCGAACTGCTGGACGGATCGGAAGTTGCGGATCCTCTTCACCGCTGGAGATGACAATCTTGCCGATGTGTTGAGCGCGGCGGATGTACAACAGAGCGGGAATCACTTGGTCGAAGCTGTACCGGCTGATGGGTCGGATCGGCCTGACGTGACCTCCTTTGACCAGGTCAAAAACCTCCTCGAGCAACCTATTCCATCCTTGTTAGTATCCCAATAGAATAGGTTGGCAGTAAGACGCGGAACGAACTTTCCGATCAGCTCATTGGTGATCTCCTTGGTGTACGAAAGATCGACAGCCCGGAATGAGCAATTGCGGTCGAATGGCTCCATAGCAAGAGTGTTGCGGTCAACAATGTCTCGCTTGCCAATCTCTACCATGATGCCACCGTCGGCCGTGAGACGCCACGACTCATCCAGCAGATCCCCGATGAGGGAGTTGAGGATGACATCGACGCCGCGACCGCCTGTCTCCCGTCGGATGTCCGCTGCAAACTTGATGTTGCGCGAGTTGAACATGCGGTTCTCGGGAATTCCAAAGTTCTTGGTCAGATATTCCCGCTTGTCAGCGGTACTTACAGTAACGAAGACCTATACGATCGACCCGTGTCAGAATTTGCAGTCATTACATGCTCTCAGCCATAAACTCACATCTGCTTTCTTGTACTGAGCAAGCTGGATAGCGGCGATACCAACGCCACCAGCTGCGGAGTGAATCAGAACGGACTGCAACAGAGGGGTCAGCAAGATCGCGCGAACAAGGCAAGCAAGCATATCATCATACCTGGCCTTCTTGTAAGTTTCCAAGGTGGTACAACGCGTAAATGGCGGTCGAGTATGCCAACGGAATAGTCGATGCATCTTCAAAACTCATGTTGTCTGGGATGACATACACACGGTCAGGATGACACTGGACGCGGTTCGCATATGTCCCGCTCTGTATGCAGGCGACCCGATCTCCAATACTGAATCTGTCGAGTCCAGGTGAGATGCGCTTGATGACACCAGCGCATTCGCAGCCAATCGTGTACTCGTTCTCTGGCACAATGCCCATGGTTGTTGCAACGTCCTGTTAAAAATAAAGGCATTAACAGTCCATACTCTCCCCATGCATGGGCAATTTTCAAACGTACCTTGAAATTGACGCCAACCGCCTTGACTTCAATCTCAACCATGCCCGGCTCCATCGGCACCTCAGCCACAGCGGTCTCGCACCAGGTTAAGCTCTCGATCGTACCAATCTTCTCAGCCTGGATTCGGACCTGCGCCTCAGTGGCGTGCAAGCCCCGTACCACAGGATCGAGGCCCTTGTGCTCCGCAGTCTTAAAGCTATTGAGCTTGATGTCGGGAATGACACGCTGGATGACCACTACTCCGTCGCGCTCGGCATATTCCGTCTCGCCGTCGTGACTGGCCTGGACCTTCCGCAGCACCTGATCGATGGCAACATTGGTAGCCGGGCTGAGCGTTGACTGAACGTCGAGAGTGACCAGCTTGGCGTCCGGGATCTCGTTGCGTACCACACGGAAGAGACCTTGAACGAGCGCGTTGTCAGGATCCGTGACGCTGGCAGTCTGAGCCCCCTTGGTAACCCACACTACCGGTGTGGCACCACTGACAAGCTCCTTGAATGCATCCCACTGCGTCTCAGGAATGTTCTTTAGCACAGGCTTCAGCAGCTCATCAACGATCAGGACTGCTGCGCTGGCTTGGTAATATTTATGAGATGCAAAGTTTTCAACCAGGCAAGTGCGGATCGTCCAGCCTGATGCCTCGAGCGTGCTCCGTAGGCCAGATGAAAGCTTGGGGCCGTCCGCGTGAAATTTGACGACGGTGAGATACTGAGGGCTCACAGCAACGTCAGCGATGGACTTCTTGCTCAGCACGTACACTGAGTCATTGCCTGTTGCGGTTTCAATGCCCTTCACCGAGCCGAAGACGTTGTTCTCTTTGAGGAGGGACGACAACGTCACCTGCTGTATGGCGCCATTCTTTGATTCCCCCGACTCCGGCGGCGTAGAAGCCACAGACGACAGCAACGTATCGTCGCTCTCGCAAGACGATGAGCCGAAGGTATCAACGTCGCATGTCTGTGCTGGTTTCATTCTATTCACAACGCTCGCGCGCTTCGTGTGCAGCTCGCTGTCTTTACTGACCAGGGTGACCGTTGCATGCGGAGTGAGAAGAGTCTGCATGTTGTGAAGTACTTGGGCCAAGACCGCATTCTTGCCCTTTGGAGCCTTAACAATTGCCAGATCATACGTGGTTTCCGTGTTGGCAAGGTCTAGAGCATCCTTTGATGCGTTCATGATATGGAAGCCAGTGTCCCTCTTCGACTCATTGGCGCTCCTGACAGTCACCAGCGTCTTCGCATCAGCAGTGGCAAAATCGTATTGCGCGTAAGCCACACGCACCGCCTGGTCCTCGCCGGCGAACCACAGTGTCGAGACGTCTGACTCATCTACATTCAACTCGAGGACCTTGAGGGTAGGATTTTTGTGGGCAATCAGGTCAAGGATCGTGTCAAGCTGGCCTGCCGAATTAGCTGACAGAACGCAAAGCTGGTCCTGTGTCAGAAGCGTAATGTCGGGCTTCCAAGTCACACGTTGGAGGACGTGAGGGTCAGGCTTTTCGTCAGTGTCGAGTTTGACATAGTTTAAGCCCTTGACCTTGAGGATGGGCGCTCCAGTCGCGGGGTCGTGAATGTTGATGTTCGCGATCCAGCTCTTGGCAACATCCCTACGGCCACGACCCGTGTATATAGACTCGGCAATGGCCAAACCCTCAGTCATGCACTTGGGCATTTTGTTCACGATCATATCGTCGACGAGATGGGGGATCATGGTGTCCTTGACCAAACTTCGCTCTCCAGCGGCCATTGCTGGAATGACTGTCTGCAGCAAGCAGTCCAGCGTGGCAGGATGCAGCGGATAGTAGGACTCGGGCTTCCACTTCGACTCGGGCGGGTCTAGATCCACCAACGCCCGGCAGTTGCGGCTGCCGCTGACCGTCTCGAAGGCCTTGACTTTCTGGAATGAAGGACCGAAGTCCATTCCCACTTCGCGCTGTACCTTGTACCAAAGCTTGGACGACTGAGGGTGCTTCAAAGGCGCAAGGTCTGCGTTTGTGATGGCTTCGTCCTCGCCAAGAGGCTCCTGGACGCGAATGAGACCGCCGCAGTGGTCAGACGTCACACCGTCAGCGTAAGTTTGGATGCGCCACTCGTGCCAGTCTTTGCTGCCTGACCATTTTGACAGCGTCAACATGATAGTAGTCGGCTTGTTCTCTTCGACAACCACAGCGCGATCTAGCTTGACGTTTCGGAATCGGTAGCACAGATCATTGGGCTCTAGCTCCTTGTCTGGGTGCAGGACACAGTGCTTCTGGTACATGGCTTCCAGTGCCATCGCTGCGAGACCAGCGCCAGGAATCAAAACATCTGGCCCCACCTTGTGGTCACGAAGCCATGGCACATTGTCGAGGTAGAGATGCTTGCGCCACGTCGTTAATGGCTCCCACGAGGTACCGGGAATCTTGGCCCCAAGAAGGTCGTGAGTGATGAACTGCTTAAAACGCCAGTCTCGACTGGCAGTGTTTTCATGCCAGTACTTAATGGTATGGTTCCAGGAGTAGTTGGGCAAGTCAGTGATGGTGTGGAGTGTGCTCTTTTCATACTGGTTCACAACAGACATATCAATCGAAGCACCAGCCATGAAAAGACGACCGGACACGTCAAAGAGGGCCTCGCCTGCTTTGGCGCCTCGAGCCCAAGCAGCAGCGTACGTAACGTTAGCACCACCCGGCAATGACTTGAGCACTTGCGAGACAGGACCTGCCAGAGCACCGGAAGGCCCAATTTCGATGATCATATCTGGCGAATCTTCCTTGATAAGCTCCGTCAGGGCCTCGCTGAAGCGGACAGGAGAAACCATGTTCGTCTTCCAGTACTCGCCGTCTGCGCTGTCCTCCTTCTTCTGGCCGGTAACTGAAGAGAACATGCTAACAGGGGACGGGGTCGTCGAGGCGTGGAACTTGCTGTCCGCATCCAACAGGTCCTTGTATTCGACACCAATAGGATGCATCAATTTCGAGTGGTAGGCCAGATCGACTTGCAACAACCGTGCAAAATAGCCCTCAGCCTTGATGTCCTCGGCCAGAGACTCAAGCACGGCCTTGCGTCCCGAGATGGTCACACTAGTGGGACTGTTGAAACAAGCGACCCAAGCGCTGCCTGAGTACTTCTCGATGAATGGCTGGGCGCCATCGGGCCCAAGACCAACAGCGACCATGCCGACATCAGTTTCGATCTCAGACTTGCGGTTGACCGCTGCACGGCCACGGTAGAAGGCTGCCTTGATTGCACCTGCGCGGTCCAGAAGGCCAGCGGTATGTGCGGCAGCAATCTCGCCAGACGAGTGGCCAATGACATTGCTAGGCACGACACCCCAGGACTCCAGCACAGCGACAATGCAGAGTTGCATTGCGGTGACGAGCGGCTGCGAGAATTCTGGCTGCCGCAAGTGCTCCGCTGACCGGGACTCGGTTAACTCTTTAACAAGAGACCATGATGGACGGTTGGGCTGGGCCTGGAGTACCTGATCGAGCTCCTCCAGGATCGAGCGAGTCCATGGAAAGTATTTGAGTAAGTCCTTACCCATCTGGGGCCACTGGGCACCCTGTCCCGTGAAGACGAAGGAGACCTTTGGCGACCGCGAGCCCCGCTTGCCGACCGTAAAATCGTTCTCTCGGATTTCACTGCTGAAAGTGGTGATAAAGGCACGGTGCCAAAGTCGAGAACGGCGCTCCGTGAGCGTATAAGCAAGGTCAGCAAGGCTAACCTTGACTCGGGGGTTGACGAGATGGTTGCAGAGGGCTTCAATGTTGCCTTTTAGAGACTTGGCGTCGTTTGCTGACACAAACAGAGTGTAGGGGCGCTCGCTCTCCTCTGGCTCGTCGTAGTTATCAAGGGAGTCAGAACCTCTGTAAGACGACACATGGTGATCCCGCGCAGACTTTTCAGGCTGTTCAATGATTGCATGCGCGTTGGAGCCGCCAAAGCCGAAGGAGTTGATGCTGGCTCGGCGAAAAGGGAAGTCCTTGTCTGGCCACGCAACAGCTGTGCGAAAGGCCTTGACTTTGTTACCAGCGAAGTCAATTTTTGGGCTCGGCTTGATGAAGAGAGGCGTGCCGGGGATGACACCCTTTTCGATAGCCATAATAGCTTTGATCAGGCCAGAGTTACCAGCAGCTGGCTCTGAGTGACCGACGTTACTCTTAATAGAACCGATGAGTAAAGGTCGCTCTACCGAACGTGATACTCCAAAAACTGATCCAGCGCCATTGACCTCGGATGGGTCGCCTGCTTGCGTGCCAGTGCCGTGGCATTCAAGGTAAGCAGTGTCGTCAAAATTTGAGATGCCAGCATTAGCATAACATCGCCGAATAGCTGCAGCCTGCGCCTCGGAACTGGGACTGGCAATACCACGTGTTCGTCCGTTACTGCGAGACGCTCTTCTTAGACATGTCTAATCATTTTGGAGAGCGTGGCCTAATGAATTGGGGAGAGTGCGTACCTGTTTGAAGCCGTCCCTCGAACGATTGCGCGGATCGGATCACGGTCGCGAATGGCGTCTGGGAGCTTTTTGATGATGACACAGCTCACTGCTTCGGCCTTGACGTAGCCATCGGCGTCCATGTCGAAGGTGTGGCACAATGAAGTGGGGGAATGCGCCTGAGCAACGTTGCCAATATCCATGACATGATCAGGATTGAGGTAGAAGTTGCTCGTGGCGATAATGGCCATGGAAGCCTCGCCTGACTGGACGGAGCGGCATGCCAAATCGAGGGCGACCAGACTGCCGGAGCACGCCGTGTCGATGGTGATACTCGGGCCCTTGGCGTTGAGGAAATAACTGAGGCGATTGGCCATGATGCTGCGGCCGACACCAACGGCGCAGGAAGCTGGTCGGTCCTCGGCGTCTCTGTTCTGCATATCGCCGTAATCTGGACAGGCGCCGGGTTAGGTCTCTACGAGCAACTGGTGGACATTGATCGTTGGACTTGCCTGACGCATAGGAGCCGACAAAACACGCAGCAGGCGTGCCGTCAACCTTCTCAAGGGGAATACCGGCGTTTTCGAGGCCCTCAAAGACAACTTCGAGCATCTGGCGCTGGTTGGGATCCATGGCAATGGCCTCGACGCCACCGATCTCGAAGAAGGAAGCATCAAAGTCGGCGAGATCAACGTCGTCAACAAACATGCCACCCTTAGGTCGCATGGTACCCGGCTTGTGAGAGCCATCGTAATGGCCCTTGATGTTGAAGCGAGTCTTTGGCACCTGATTGGAGGCCACACCACCTCTCTCTAAGAAGTCCCACAGCTCTGTGGGGGAGTGGTTGCCACCAGGGAGTCGACAGGCAAGGCCCACGACAGCCATAGGCTCCTGTTGGAACTGGGTGCTGCCCATTGTGTCTGCCAAATGGTCTATCAAGGACAACTGATAACGGTATGTGCAAACAAGCTGCGGTTGTGCTTTTTGCCCTGTTGCGGTCTCGGAGCCTAGAAAGACGGCCACACTATGGAGATGATGGAGAAGGAAACGGCGAGTGTTGAGCCAGGCGAGGAGGAATGAGCAAGGCCGCAGTGTTACCAGGTAGGTAGGTACAAAAGGTTGCAAGAGAATTTAGCCCAGCCGTTGAGATATGCCGGTGAAGTAAGGCGGATAAGAGCTATGCTTGTGGTTTAAAAGTGTTAAGTAGGTATATAACAGCGACTGCCGCGCGGCCCTCTTTACTGGATACGCTCATCTACATGCTCCAAGGCACGAAGGATGGCCGATTAGTGGCGTTAGCGGTGCTCGCGCTGAGTCCGATTACACCCCCATCAGTCCTCGTGTGACACCTGCCTCAACATTTGTGTAACGCTGGCCTCAACAGGTCAAGTGTGGCAGGGGCTCTTGTGATGTAAGTATCTTAATCAGACCTCTCTATACCTGCAGACAGGCCTGCTGAAATGAATTTGACTCAACACAATTGGGCTGCGTGCATATACTAGCCAGACTCCAGTGGGCAGGGATAGGGTGTCCGTGCACCTGGAGAGGTCTATTTAGTTCTGATTTCCTAGCGCATGTTTATGTACGATTCTTATGCGAACTGCTCCCTGTCAGTCACCCAGATATCTCAAGAGTCACGCATGTCCGAAGTCTCAAGCCCGTCTGTAGCAATGTCGTCGCAACATCTCGCCCACCTGTCTCCGTTCCTGAAGCTTACTACCGTCACGACTCCTCTCTCACCACATCGTCAAGTCGAGTGCAAGACAATTGATGGCACCTCAATTGTAGGCTGGCTATACATGATCGATGATGGACCCGCACCGGCTATCATCATGTCACACGGCGTATGTGAGCATTTGTTGCACTCCGTCCTAGTAGGGTAAACTCACCGTTTCTAACAGTTCAATTGTGTGAAAGAGATGGCCCTCCCAGACGTTGCCAAAGCATTCCACGAGCGAGGCTACAACGTCTTTCTATATGACGCTCGCAGCGTTGGAGCCAGCGGTGGATCGCCGCGTAATCTCCTCGACCCTCTTCAACTGGCTGAAGATGTATCTGGTTGGTGCTGCAGGCAAACGCTCCAAAAAGAGTATATGCAAAGTTGACTGATGATGATAGACATTTACACCTTCGTCTCAGAGCTAAAAAGCGTCGATTCGCGTCGCATATTTCTCTGGGGCCTGTCATTTGGTGCGACAGTGAGCGCCTGCTCTGCGGCTGTTGACCGCCGGCCCAAGGCAGTCGTCATGGTTTGCCCTTTGTTCAGCTATGTGCAGCCACACAAAGCGGACAAGGCCTATGCGCTGCTCATAAAGGATCGCGTGTCACAGCTGAGGAAAAATGAGCCGCTCTCAATAGCCCCGTTCACGCCCCAGGGAGACAATTTAATCGGCATGGGAGGCGCTGGAGGTCCTGGTGGCATTGAGGCGTACAATTTGATGAAGGGCGCATCCGAATTAGGTCATCCTGACTTTCGCGACCGTGTGACGCTCCAAACCTACCAAAAGCTGGCCATGTTCCGACCAATGGAATATATGAACATGATCAAAGTGCCAGTAATGATGATAATTCCTGAACTGGACGATCTATCACCCGTCTCGGAACAGAGGGAGGCTTTGTCGAGGGTGCAAAGTCCTAAGCGGGAGTATTTCGCAAAGGGCAAAGGTCATTTGAACGTTGTTACGGGGGACGGATCAACCGAGATGGTGGCAGCGACTGTTGATTTCCTCAGGGCAGTCCTCGAAGGCACACTGGAGTGAATGAATGAATAAACTTCTGCGTGCTTGGTCAACAATATCTATCAGCTCATCTTGCTTAGAACTGCTTAATGTGACCAACATGGTCAGTCTTATAGAGCAGAAACATATCTAATACTAGTAGCAAGTACCGTGGTGTTTCGGTCTTCGACCGCCTCCAACCTACCGCCTCTTCTTCCGCTCTCAGCGACAACTTTGCCGCTCTAGAAAAAAGCTCCGGCGAGGCGACATATGTACAAGAAGAGGCTCTTCTCATGGGTTTTATACTATTGTCCTAGGCTGTGAATCGCTTGGCAAGGTTCGACGTAGATAAATCATCCATCCATCCGATTGTTCATAGTCCCAAGTTCCACCTCCCGGCTCTAAGATAAGCCGTAGTTCTTCCCGTTGAAAGCTTCATTAAAGTGCCTACTACGCCGCTGTGTCTTCTGATAAGTCGGCACACTAATATGCTCTCTAGTATATGGAAGCATGTTAGATTTGTAGGCTGTCCACCGAAACGTCATTAGAAGCCGAATTCGCCGCAAGTGCAAAGATAATTCTTCATGCCCCCCCTCAGGTTTCCAGCTTAGCTAAGCCGAGCTATTAGCCCCCACGTTGAATCTATGGTTGGAGATGTGACAAGGCCGCAAAACATTCGCGTTCTCCAGTGATTCAAATTTGGAATCTGGTCGAAATATTGCTCCCCTGCCCCAATTTTCAGCGGATCGGACGGAATGACTACGCTCCAGCACACCATAAAAGCGGTGGGATCAATCTACAGCGATGACGCATTTGTGCAACCCTCGATCTGATTCAACAACACATCAATTACCGAGGTCGAAGAATCGTGGAGGGAAGTTGCATAGATAAGTTCAACAGAACTTGCCGCGTTGAGTTTCTGCGTCGGCTTCGCCGAAGTATGGAATTCGGGGTGTGCGGTGGATGCGTCATATCGAAGAGACTGTTGTCTCCACCAGTTCCTTCGCGCACAATTGGATGAAAACCACACCAACATGTTCATGGAGCCTGTGAATGGCGCGTGCCAGTAATGAAGATCGAGTTCAATGGGCCCACGATCATCGAGTCCACTGCGTCCTACTCATTTCGGCTATTTCTCATCTGCGAGATCTGCCCACTGAGTGCTTGAGATGGTACACCACTTTTCCTTTTTTTCAAAGCATAGCTCCCCCACCCCTCCATGACCCACTCTGCTCATCTTATGGATCACAAGGTTTTCCAAAAGCCCACGTAGATCGATCTGCTTGTGCTTCTGCGCAAATCAGATCTTTTTTGTGTGGTGTCGCACTGCCCCAACTCGCGCTAGACCCTATGGCCTTGGGGGCTAATTATCAAGTGCCCCGAGGCAACGCGAAGTGGGATGTTTAAAGGCAGAGGACCACCCCACCATGGAGGTCTGCTTCATTATACTATTATAACTGCACAACAGACTACACAAATCCACCATGTCGTATGTCGTGTCATATCACCTGGCTTTGATTTCACCTATACTCCCTTGTCCATTTTGCTAATCTGCTCTACTCAGTACCCCCGAACAACAATACGAAGATCTCGTCAAGGGCCAGAACCTCTCGCCCGATGATGTTCTCGCCGCTTTCGACAAGCTCAAGCCCATCAAGCCCGAGCAATTCACCGGCTCCTGGAAGGGCGCCAACGTCAACACGGGCCACCCCACCGAAGACAAGCTTACGGGCATGCGCTGGGCCGGCAAGACCTTCCGATCGACCGAGGACGTCGACCCGATCATGGTGTACAAGGACGATGGTTCGCGTGTGTGGAACGCCGACTGGGGCCATGCTCGGGTATGTGAAGCTTTACCTTGCTTTTCTCCAAGTGTTCTTCGAGAGACTGCGAGATTAGGTCTTGAACTGTGCTAACTTCCTTATAGCTCCGTCAGATCGAGTTCCGCGGCGTCCTGTCCACTGCCATGGTCTATGACGACTTCCCCATCATTGACTACTTCCGATACGTCCGCGATGACCTGATTGCCGGTGCTATGGATGCGAAGACCGCTGCCGGGGGTACCTACTACTTCTATCTGTACAAGTAAGCTCCGATGAGAGCTTACGATTAATTTCAGTGTACATTTGGTTTAGTCCAAATAAATGAATTGTCAGAAACAAGCTTGTTACTTAGTTTACGATATGTTATCCGAGCATGGAAACCACCATGTGTATTCCGGCAACCAGATTAAAGGTTTATCCTGCCTAAAGTTACTAATGGTCCATATGATGGCAATTCAGACTTGTTGTATCTAGTGAAGAACCGATTTCCCTTAATATTCCCTACAGATCCATTACCCAATTCATAACCGATATTAGTTTACTTTCTTCCAACAGGCTTCCTGCGGACAAGGTGAACCCAGCCTTGAAGATTCAAGAATTACAGTAAGGACCCAGATAATAGGGTAAAAAAAAAGATATCTAATGTTTGGAATTATGATATCAAGAAATTCGGTATCCTCATCCCAGGGTGATGTGGATTTGGACATAATCAAACACTGTGCCGTACTCCCTTCATTGGCCCCCTACTGATCAAAAGAATTCTCCCGCCTCCATCGAATCTGGCAGTTGTATCATGTCTCTTCGCGACAGGTGGTATCTTGTCTGGATACGCTGTCCGAACTCATTTCTCTGTTGCTTCGAAGCCATAAGATATCCCTGGCTCGTGAAATCCAAGAAAAGGGCCCAGCTGCGAAAAGAAGTGGCGAGAATGAGAACTTGAAGAACATGGCAGCATTTGAATACTTACACCCAATAACAGCAACCGTTTCTCGAGTCTGTCATTCGATATCTCTTTCTTTCTCTCGGGTATATCAAATGCAGGCAGTGACCGACCGTGAGACCGGGGCCCTCAAAGAATCCCTTATTTATAGTATTATTTCACAGTCGATTTCTCTTTGAGCCGCATTTTCGCAATTTGTTTCATTTGACCAGGCGAGATGCTGATATTGCAAAAGTACGACCACGTTGCGCCTATCTATAGGTACTAAGACATTCTGCCCTTTTTTGATCTACATGGTTAAGCACCACTCCCATCGAGGGGGGTGAGACACCGGGGCTCATTGGCTCACTTTTAACACGAGTTCAGTGAACTTACCTCTCTAGCTATCGATCTGGAAATTGGTAGCCATGTCCCCTGAGCGGATAGTATATTCTTGTGGTTTCAACCAAGATTGATCGGTTACGCCTTGACAAAGACGATAGATTACTAGTTTTAATCCAATAAAAATCAACTCATTTTTAGTATCTGGGATCAAATATCAATAGCTAAAGATACGATGCACTAGATTCAGTGTCTTTTTTATCATAAAGTCATGGTCATATCTGACAGCCAAACACATATTAGAGTTCTGTGGAACGATCCGTTAAGCCTCCTTCAAGCAGACTGTTCCCCACCCTTTGTGGAAACACGTCTATGTCACGTATTTCTTTATTATTTTCAAAACGACTTACATTTTGGAAAGCTATCAATGAAACAACAAAACAAATCATGGATTAACACTTTTCCTTACATGCTGCAAGAGTGCTTCCCTTACTATTCGGGATGTGTGATGGATACTACTATGAGAGATCTCGGACATAGGTCGTTAAGGGAGGCGGGGTTGGAAATAATGATGCTGGCCTACACGCCACTATTCAAAACAAGGACCATACACAACTCCAATGGTGGGGTCTGCAGGTAGTGGCTGCCACGCCCCAACAATCCGGAGCTCCACAGATCCACGCGGGAGAGAGGCGGGTTGATTGTCTCGGAATAGGTTCTCTATTCGGTTCAAGTATACATACCGCTTGTCGACATGATCCTCTAGGGTGAAGATTTCAGACGGGGTGTTGTTCATAGCCATAATTCATATCCCAGGTTCTTAGAAAATGCCCGCATAGCTATGACTTTAATCAGATCTATTTGTAAGTTAATAGAAAGAAACTAGTGGCTATCTCTGCTTGGTATCTTCTTCACAACTTTATTTACCCAACAATCAAAACCTTGAGGTTATTGCCACGGTCGTTCTAATACTAGCAGCAAGCTCAGACAAAGAACCATGCCAATCCTCGGGCCGTCAGGCATAGATTAAGGATCGTAGGAACCACGGGGTGATGTGACTGGCTCACCAGGCCGATGTCCTAGAATCGAGGTTGAATCAGACTGAGAAACACACTTTATCCCCTGTTTTTGTGCTGAACCCAAGTTCAACCAGCAGAATACCAGACAGAAAAGGAAATGGTCCGAGGAAAGCCCCACTGGAGGATCGAGGATCGACAGGCTTATGCCACAACGGGTCTGCTCCACAAGCCGGGTGAAGAATCCCGGGATTTTAACCGAGGCGAAAGTCTTCAGGCTTTAAAAGAAATTGTTCTTGAACTAAATGTTTGGTAAATAGGGGCATACTCTAAAAGACAATAGCTATTGCTTTTTGGCTGTACAGCAAGTTGAATTGACTCAAAAACAGGAACCTGTCAACATCCTGACATATGCAATGCACCATCCCGCCATGAGGGGGTTGCAAGACATGTTTCAATTCCTCTGGGGAATTGTCCAATGGAACCTGCGGGATCGAAAAGGGTAGCCACTGCAGTTATAATTGGAATCGATCCCCAATTTTATGACCTCAATTGAGTCCACGCATGTCTTAATCCATAGATCCTGAGAATATATAAAGAAAAGACTCGGCGACCATCAGCAATCGTAACAATTCAAACAAACCACTCGTTCAATCGTCCAAAATGAAGTTCTCCGTTGCTACCATTGCCGGTTTCGCCAGCGCCATCAGTGCCGCCAGCCTTCCCGCTGCCTTTACCCTGGTCGCTGACGGCGGTGCCACCGTTCTGACCGATGGCGGTATGCTTTCCTAATAACCCATAGAGAGTCTTTCAAAGACCCAACACACTGACATTATTTGCAGAACACGCCTTCATCGGCGCCAACGCCACCAAGAACGAGATCCTGATCCGTAAGTGATCACTTACTATTCCCCTTCCATTATATCAAACATCGTACAAAATAATAACCCAACCGGATTAGTCCGCGGCAACGGCGAGAACAGCCCCGTCTCATTCACCTCCAAGAACGCCAAGACCCCCACAGCCTTCCAGAGCCTGTACGTCGTCGACAAGTCCGTCGAGCCCGTCGGTCTGACGGTCCCTCACTCCGGCGCCGTCCCTGAGGGCGGCAGCACCACCGGTTTCGGCGTCAATAAAGATGGGTACTTCACCCACAACGGCAATGCCTGGTTCGCTGTTGACGGCTACGGCGAGAACCCCGTTAAGGAGATCTACTGGTACGGTGCTCACAACTCGGAGTACAAGGCTGCCAACCTGTGGGTTAAAGAGTGCAAGGGGTGCTAAATGAGGGATTGTTTTAATCTCATATGCTAGATTAAGCTAAGTAAAAGCTTATTATATATCTCTGGTCCTGTAATTAATGGATCTTGTCGCTCCTTTGTGTTGGGTTGTGGATGCCTGCGAATAAAGACATCTTCATTATATGATATTAGGCAGTAGTGGTAAGGAAATTTGCTTTAAATAAGTAGCCTTCTGTTAAAACATATTATAACTAGGATTAATGTCTGAAATATAGAATAGCAATTTTTCTTGAAATACTATAGAATAGAATTATATAAAAGATAGTATAGAGTAGTAGTCTGAGATTTCTACAAGTAGATTAGTATGTATATTCCTACCTAGGTAGTAAGTCAAGTATACTTCTGACAAACATACTTCCAATCCTAGAGAATATTTAGGTTCTCTCGGTTATATCCGTACCCGTCTACTCTGTATATCTCTCTCTCTGGACCTTTTGTGATGACTACGACCGGAATAAACCTAAATCATCTTCAATGGCTCCTCCCCAAAGCACTTGCCCCCCGGCCCGCTCTTCATCCGCTCATTGAAGCAGAAGGTATTTAAACCTGAGTTTTCCTCTCCTTTCATCTTGACCTTTCTGATTTGCACAAATCTATCATGCTGCGCTATTAACTATCATCCCAAATACAAGGATGAGACACTACCATGATTTAAGCTTGGGACTGAAAACTGTTGACGGCATTTGTATAGGATTTACCACCAGCTCTTTTTGTACTTATTTCATCGATTTTCAATCATACCACCACTGACTTTCCACCTTGAATTTCAAGAATTTGTACTGTATTAATCATTGTCTAGAAAAGCCATCCCATTCCTTAATAGTATACGTGGATGATGTGTTTTGCGTATCGAAATCCCCAAAACAATTAACACCACATATTCGTGAAACGATAACAACATTAGAGTGCATCGAGGAATTGTCTCGGTCATGAAATAAGAGCTTTGATAGTAGTTTCATAATCCTCGGGCTCTCGTCCCAGAATCTCCCCCATTGCCGGAGAAACCACCGCTGTCTCACCCAGCCTAATCGCCTCCCAAGCTGTAGACCACTCTCGCGACAGATCCACGCTATGGTATGTATGCAGATCCCCGATCTGTGGCAGAGTCACATACTCGTCAACAGAAATCTCCCGAATCTTGAGATCCCTGCCAACCGCCCGACCAAGAATTTCCACTGTCTCCGCAAGAGAAATTTCCCGCGGACCAGAGAGTAGAACGCCCTTGTTCAGATATTGAAAGCCACCCGGGTTGGCCGTGTACGAGAAAATGAGCTTTGCGGTCGCTTCGCCCAGCTCGTCACGCTTGACCCACGTCACGCCCGGTCCACCACCAGAATGCGGGATGGTGATCTCGTCGGCCGGATTCTGGGGGTCAAACCATGCCGTGTAGATGGGGAAGGACTCGGAGTATAGACCCTCGCGAACAGTGGTATAGGTGAAGTTGCCTGGGTGCTCGGATAGATACTTTTCAGTCACAAGGTGGGCTCCCATGACGTGTGCAACGCTCTTGTCGCTGAGGTTGCCACCAAAGCCTAGCGAGGAGTAGAAGATGTGCTTGACTCCACTGCTTGCCGCGGCATCGATCGCGCGACGGTGCGCCTGGTTGATGGCTTGTTAGATTTTGTGTGCAAAGACTTGCGGGGATGATTGGCTTACCTGTACTCGGTGTTCAATCTCAAACGACGCATATGAAATCAGCATCAGAGTGTCCACTCCGTCAAATGCGTGGTCCAGTGTGGAGGGCTCGTCATAGTCTGCCCGTCGAACCGTGGCGCCGGCCTTGCTTAGATCGGCCAGCTTCTCAGGGTGGCGCACAATTAAAATGAGCTGTGCGGCTGGCACCAGCTTCAGAAGATGGTCGACAATGCTGGATCCCAGGCCACCGGAGGCAGGGAAGACACCGATCTTGGCGTTCATGATGTGGGATGTAAAATGTTTTGCGGGGGTCGGTTTAGGGAGTTGCGCAACGCGATATTTTTTTTTTCTTACGGGCGACTAGGAGCTTTTCAGTATTCCGACTCGAGTCTTATATACTCTCTCGTTTTTCTTGCGTTTCTTGCTAGTGCCAAGGTTGTTGGCGTCAAAGGCGTCGCAATTAATCAGCTCTGCCCTCGGCGAAGATGGCGGTCGGTCTAAGCGAAAGTCCGAGGGCGATGATTAACCCCGGTGCCCCGAAGGGGAGAATGAACCTATTACCCTACGGAGTCTGAAGTCTTTTGGTGAAATCGCTTTCTATTAAACAGGCACCTGCAAATATATGTGAGCTAACTCTACTGGATCGAGCCACATTGGGCGGATTTGAACCATACACATGCCATTGACCTCGCATCGACTCTTTCGTTTACTTGGTAATTGCAGACTATCTATTCGGAAGAAATACATTTTATCTTCCCCCAAAACACCGTTCCACCCATCACCCACCCTCCACAGACCACCCCGTATGTGCCCAGTCACTAAACCTAAACCCCATAAGCTAGGATATACCGACCACCGTCGTACTCAGTGACAGTATAGTACTCCTTGCGAACAGGGTTATAACTCAAGTCCTCATTGCCAGCCATGAAAAAGCCCTTGTGCTCGTTCGCCTTCTTCCCCTCTTCCCAAGTAAAGAGATCACCGGTCTTTGGGGCTCTGCCATTGCTGCGCGAAAGATAGAACTTGCCGTCGTATGAAACACCCCCCTGCACCCGATTGACATCGATACAGTGAGCCCAGCTAGCCGTGGCGATGCCCTTGTCATTGGTGCGCAGCCGGCGGGTGTCAGCGTCCAGCTCGTACTTGACCAGTCGGATTGGGACGGGCTGGTCCTTCTTGTCTTTTTCTCCTTCACGCACGAACTCTCCGATGAGAAGGGTGTCGGGCTTGTCGCTGCGGTCGAGGGCAATCCACGAGAAACGGAAGGGCGAGGATTCGCCTGGGGTCCACTTGTACCAACTAATAAGAAGTTGGTGGTTAGCTGAGTTTCAACCAGATATACAGATAAAAAAAAAAGCAAGGTGCAACGAGAGAAAGACCCACCGAATTTGAGGAAGCACGTAGCGATATCCATCAGCCGAGTACCCTTTTCCATCCTTCATCTTCCCAACTCCATCTGCGACCTCAACCTCCCACAGATTCTGCAGGTCAAATGCGCGGATCCCATTCTTGGTATCGACAACATAGAGCACATTCCCATACCACAGGATCCCACCAGCATGGATATGGATCGGCTTGAAATCATCGTCGGCAGTAGGGTAAACCAGCAGCACATGCCGATACTCATGCGTTTTGCGATCAACAAAACTCAGCCGCACGCTGGACCCATCCTTGTTATGCCAGCTGACGATCCACGCCTCGTGGTCATTCCACTTACCCGACCCAAGCGCATCAGCCGAGCTGGTGATCCCCTGCGGCGTCCACTCCATGCCCTTGTAGTCGCCCGCGTTCCATTCCCAAGCCTCGACTGGAGACCCCGAGCCGACTGGCGGCGAGCCTTTCCTCAGAGCGCGATTGGCGGAGGCGAGGACGCCGGTGACGCTCACTTTTTTGTGAGTGGACTCGAAATGCTTTGCCAGGGCTGCCACATGCGCATTGTCGGGGGATTGCTCGAGGGTAAAGTCCTTGGCGTCGATGGGTGTTTTGTTGTTGCAGTACCGGGGGTCTGCGGCAATGCTCACAGGGAAGGTGAGAGAAAGGAATGCCGTAGCGAGGCCCACGACTGAGGTGTACCTCATTTTGGGGTGATTAAGAAGGTAGATTAAGATATTTTAGTATTATGAATGTATATCCTGCCAGGGGTACCTGCCGAGCTATTTATATTCGCAGTCTCCAGTATAATAAGAAGACCATACGAATGCAGATCTTTTCTACAGTCCAAGCCCTCTATTTGCAGTCCGAGCTCTCTCAGGCTACCATCTATTTTCTTTGCGCAATATTACATTCTGCTGAGATTGGATCGCCATGCGATACGAGGCTTGGCATGTCCGACACCGTAACTAAGCCCCTTTGCAAAATCCTAAAAAGAGTACTAGGAGTGTAGATGGCGTTCTGTCAGATCGTAAAAATGGGGTACCGATTCCTAGCCCCATTACCTTGTGTGGAGAACCTCGTATCCTCTGGGGCATACTTGCAGCCGAAAACAGACATATGTCGCGTGGCTGTTATGGATTTTTAGTAAACAAGTCAAGAGAAGCATGAGAAAACACGGGCTATGGACAATCGCTTCGCTCGGGCGGCTTTAGGTGGCATAGTAAAGAGCAAGAACGAGATTTTATAGGCTTATACCTCATGATGATTACTAGTCTTTTTGTCAATTTATTCTACCGCTCTTTTCTGGTCATTTTTCTAGGTCTGTTTGTAAGTGTTTCTATTACTATTAATCTTATAGCCATAGGGAGGGGCCGCTGCCTTGACAGTATGTTTGCGTCACGCAGGCACTCAGAAACCCAAAAAAAAAACGAAACATCATAGTCCCAGTCACATATTATTATGTTATAGATTCCATAATGCTAGTAACCTATGTGGTTATTAAAGCCGGCAAAAAAAGACAGTGGCGTTTCAACAACCATGCAAAGAAATAGAAGCAGAAGGCCCAACTCTCAGCCTGATAGAGTTTTGTATGTCGGAAAAGCTAGTGACGAGGCCAATATTTGCGTAGGACTGTCCTTCCCTTGATGGTCCGAGAAGTCCCGTAGCGCCACCATATAAAAGACCACAGACCTTCGCATTAGCGTCGATGACAAAAGAGCCAGAATCCCCATGCTCTGCAGAAGAACACTGCGTCGTCCTATGCTTAAAGTCGGCTACTTTGCTGAGAATCACAAATTCCTCGGTGGTGCACGGTGAGACCTGGTACACTCTTCCGTTGTGATTCATATTGCACGGATTCGTCTTCTGGCCAATTGCAAAGTGCAAGTGTGCCATTGCAGATACCGGCTGTGACTCCCGTGGTGCGGCCTCGCTTGACATAGTAGCAGTTCTTCTGTAGGACACTGAACTCGATCAATTCAATTCCAGCATTAAGGAGCAGCATATGTGAAATTTGGGTCGTAGACATGGGGCTGAAGATTGTATGGTGTTTTGAATGCCCTGTTAGGTCCAAAAAACCGGAGAGATTCATTTGCCAGGCAAACAAAGGCTCAGTCGATGATCCTTTTCCCCAGAACGGCATTTCCGGAGGTGGCCAAAACGCTTCCCATGCGGCACGGCATTTTCTCCACAATGTCCAATTTTCTTGAACTGCTCGATATCGTGTTGGGCCTGATTCAGCATGGCGCTTGTCCACACGCGGGGTTCAACTTCCATTTCATGAAACTCCGCAATTTCTTGAGTGGTTTTAGAAAATTGATTGGCCGTGGTTTTGATGCCATCCTGAAGATCTTTCATGGTAAGTTCCTGATCCCTTGAGGCCAGACATTCCATGTGGATGTCTTCAGTCGATGGCCTGGAGGGTGATGCACCAATACGATCCAATTCGTTCAAGAAGCCATGGCTGTGTGCTTCCGTGTTTTTCGGCTTCACGGCCTGATGGCATGTGAGGAATCTTTGCAGGAGGTGTTTTCATCAGTCAAGGTCACAAACCCACCCAACATCCCAGCGTCGCGCTCCCCTTGAACTCCCACCGAGCACCCCGAGTCCGGAGATTCGACCGTGCTCATCGTTTCAGCGAGGCTCACTCCCCGCAGAAACGAGAGGCTATCAGGCAGGATCTGGACATCAACGCGATCGCGAATATATGCCTTCATCTCAACATGATTTCCATGCGCAAGTTCGATCAGTTTGCACAAGTAAACGGCTCGGCGAAAACCACGACTGCAGGTGTGGCTTCCGCCTCGTATCGGCCCACGTGAAAAGTGGAAAGGAGTCTCCATTTTTTGCCCAGGTGCCAGGAGAGATGATCGGTAATTTTAGTCTTGCTTCGCTCATACGCTTGTACGATCGAGTGAGCAGAGGGAATGGGAAACAGCGACAGGTTGGAACATAGATCTATATGCACAATCTCCACGTGCGTGTCCTTCAGCGCAGGAAAGTGACGAAGCAGAGTCCGAAGCGTGTTTGTCGCCCGTTTTACTTGCTCGGGTGTGTAATCGGGCTTTTGTAGATAGACCCGTAGGAGATTCTGGGGGATATTCCCTCTGGATGCCCTGGTTTCGTGGCCTCGTATGGAATGAATGTTTCGTTGAGACCCTCTGCGCTGAGAAGTTCCTTTATGTCTGTGTAGATGGTGTTGATCCGCGCGCGGAAATGAGGGGCATCTTTTAGGCTGAGAGGGTATGGCCAGCCAGAAGGGAGAGAGGTGGTGCGGTAGGGGTCGCTGCCGAGGACATAATCCTCTAGTTTCATCTCGCCCTCTACCATGGTGTGTCGATGAAATGACAATTTCTGACGATTAGAGAAGGATGACAGTGGTGGGGGTAGGTTAGTTGAAGATGAAGATGTAGAAAGAAGGAGAGTTGTGGCCGCAGCCATTTTAGGCAAGATTGATTCTATGGAAACAATAGTAAGGACAACTCTAGTTGGAGAAGTTTAAAGCAGCGCATGTTACCAAACGCTAAATCAACAATTAGCCTGTACGCTATTATATATAGAGTATTATATCTCCAAAAGAGCGAGATTCAAAAAGACCTCATCCAGACTGGGCCTGGATCACCTCAACACGGCCACTGTTGTGCCACGTCGCCAGCATCACACCACACTTGCCACAAAAGTGGTTGACGTCCTTGAGCGAGGACATCAAGTAGGGGAGACAGCCGATACAAGCGCAGCAGCAGAGGACAGCTGCCCAGCCACTATATAAAACAAGGAATATTAGTGTCGTGCTCTGTCATGGTTATTCTTTGCCAGTCAAAGAGTACAATTCACATACTGGGTCGTCTTGCCCGTCACGGCCTCCGTCCTGGTCATCTCCCGCTGGCCACATGTTGGGCAGTCCACGGGAGTCGGAGCCTTCTGGATCGACTGCAGGGGCGTGGCGTTGGCGTAGCCGCTTGGGTGGGCGTACGCTGCTTGGGGTTGGTAGAATTGCTGCGGCTGTTGGGCGTGCATTGGGATTTGGTCTTGGGTGTAGGGGGCTGGCTGGGTGTACTCGGGAGCGAGCACTGTTTGGATGTATTAGCACAAGCAAAAATATAAAGTATCGTGAAATGGGGCAAAATACCGTGGTTCATTTTCTCGGCCATTTTGATGGATGGTGATAATGATTGTCGGGGGATAAGAACAGTGAGTGACTGGTGGTAAATGAAATATATTTTTTTTGGGCTGGAGATAACGAGAGAGCAGAAAATTTAAGTAAAAGGAAGAAATATTTCAAGAGAGAGAAAGAACATCGAGTCAGCACCTACAACTTATATAGACACAGCCTTGCAGAAATAAAATGAACCTGGGTCTCAGGGGCCACGCAGTCTCTCCACGAACCAATAGAAAATATCACAGAGACAATTTAGCTCTTGTCGGCCGCTCGCAAAAGCCTCAGCAGTGGAGCTCTGAACACGAGATCCATCACGATATGGTCTGGCAGTGCGGATCAAGGGACCGCGTTATTGGCCGGGTCATCCTTTGCTCGTGTTGATCACCACCACGTCTCCACAGTGAAAAAGACTAAAAGTTTGACTTGCCGACTGAGCCTCACGCGGTAGGACCGTTGATAACGTGCCAAGAGAGACAGCTCACGCAGAGCTGTGACGTGGCTCGTATTCTTCGGTAAGAGGGAGACCCCTAAAAGCCCTAAACACAAAATAAAAAATTGGTGGGCTGGACAATGATAGCTCCATGAGGCGAATTCAAAAACAGCCTCGATGGTTATTATTAGCTATTCTAGTTTTGGCGATGAATCGTGTCGAATCGCTTACTACTGTCCAGTGTAGTCTTGGCTGGTCAGCACACTCAATCTGACTCGGTGGTATCCTGATATGAACTGATTTAAAAGAAATAAAGTTTTCTTTTTGCTCCACAGCAAAGAAAATAAGAAAATAGGGTGCCGAAACCACAAGAGACGCCAAGGCTGGCAGTGCTCAAAAACTTTTGTTTCGTGGAGTATCAAAGTGTTCATTGAAGTTGTAGGCTTATGTATATTTCACCCCATCGAAATTCAATTCTAGTTCGGCCACAAAGGGACATGCAGCCAGGAGTCCATTCAAATCAGCCATGTCACTCTACCCCGCATATGAATGCCAAGGTGACAGCATGTCCTGTTGAGAGTGCATAGATATAAGGCTCTGTCTATTGGGATACTTGTATGGCTTTTATGGGCCCTATCGCAGAAGCCAGGACAATTGAGTCGACAAGCATTCCTAATGATAAACCTAGACAAGATTTGAGAAGACATGGTGAAAAAGCAAAAATCAAAGTAGCATGGGACAAAGCTTGGGTAACACCCCTGATCATTTGTAGGGTTGGAAACCCCTATGCCAATAAATCAATCCTCTAAATTAAGCATAAAAACCCAGCCCAGGAACACCGGGGCTCTGAGTTGCTGAGGTTTTGGTCCGGGAGTTGATTTTAGTGAAAGATCGCTGATTATATAGAAGGCCATGTAGGAGATTAGGCACAGTGAGAACAGATGATAACATTCTATATAATGTTGATTGGCTGATATCCATCTATGTAAACTTTACGCACTAGAAGTTCGAATAATGTTACATATTTGCAAGGAAGACGGACGTCAATAAATTGGAGAAGATGTACACAGGAGACTTTCAGGATATTTTCATTGCTTCAAGAAGTCACAATTCATGGTATATGAAAAATTTCTTTCTGCGTAAGCACCCATTTTGTGGCGTCTGTTTTCGATGCATGCTCATAATCAAATTGCCCCTGCACAAGACCGTCAAGAGCTACCTTGAGAACAGCACCACTTTGCGTGAGATTGAAGATGGCCTTCAATTCGCTTCCGTTGAGCATAGGCTTAGTGAGTGGTGCGTTTTGCAAGCCCTGATCAAAAGAGGTCTACTACAGGCCGGTTATTGGAGTGGGCGATGTTCTCATTAGGGGAGCATGGGTAATTGTTGTAAGTGCTCCACCTAGGATGATTGTCAGTTTGGCATCATAGATGTTTGAACTTGGGATCCATACCCCATTGGAGGCGTTTCGCAAGACCATCATCAACCCGGAGTCTCAGCGTAGCAGCGTCGATGATAGGAAACGGCAGCAAGGCCAACGAAGCAAGAGTCGAAAGCATCATCTTTGTTGGTTACATGGCCATTGTTGTATGCATGGGACCAGACGTATTTATACCTCACCATTGTGAGACAATCAACTGGGGGCCATATAATAGCGGGGTCGAGTTCATGAGAATGTGTACTTATATATTCATACAACGAAAAGTTTCCCACATGAGAGGTGCAGCGTCGTAGTAGAACGTCGATCACGATGATCTGGTAGCCGTGATTTGCTCAGGCCCCGATCGGCACTTGGAGTATAGGGTCAGTTCAAAGAGATTAGGATGATTATGTCTCAAGCACTACTGATACAAGAAGAAGAAAAGAAAAGTCACACGCTGGAAAACCAATCGAAGTATTGTTTTGTCCACCCGATCCTCACAACAAACAAATAATGCATCCAGCTATTGCAATCACCCATGCGCCAGCCATATCATGAATTTCGAGTCGGGATTCCGTGCCACATTTAAGCGACGACGCCCATCAAAGCCGAGCAGAATACCATAGCAATCAGTCCGAGGCCGGCCTTGGAGATGGGCTGGTTGATGATAGCGGCGTTGGTCGGGCTGCTCGTGGCGCTGGTGCCGGTCGTGCTGTCAGAGGTCGCTCTGGCGCCCGTGGGCTTCGCGGTAGCGGTGGCATTGAGGTTGCCTCGACAGAAGACGTCGCGGTAGTTGCCGCTCTTGCTGGTCAGACATTTCTGGAGGTGGTTGACGTCCTGCCCCTGGGCCAGGCAGTAGATGCCGCAGTCGTCTTGGTACTTGGTGGGCGTGGCTTGCTTGCAGCAGGTGTCCATGACCTCGGACATGTTGCCCTTCAGGAGGGCACCGCAGGAAGCATCTAAGGTGGGGATCTCATAGACCTTGCTAGTGGCGCAGGAGGAGTTGGAAGACATTTTGGCTGGTGGGTTGGTAGATACTGGTCGATGTAGAGTTCGAGGGGAGGTATTGAACACAAAGTCAGGGCTGAAAGAGAAGTTGAGAAAATGGAAAGAAAGAAAGAAAGACGTACGGCGGAAGCGAGGCAATGAAAAGGAAGAAAAAAAAACGTGACAACGGGGGTTGCCCACAGACTATCGCAGGTTCAGGTAAGACAATGAAGCCAAGGCGCAATGTGACTGGTGTCTCGGGTCAAGCCCAACGAAATGGAGACATCCGGTTTGTGGAGACAAAAGAACATGACCCACTGTACTCGAAGAAGTAGTTAGCTGCCCTTTTGCCCCCGTATCGGCCCCTATCTACTTCTCGCTATTGTTGAGGTTTTACATTCGAGGTGCATGTGATGGGTAATGTTGGCCACACTAGGCCTCCCATAAATAGTAGGCAGGCAATCCCGGTTTCTAAAGAGCGGAGAGATCAGGCCAAGGCAGACATCTAACAGGTCTTATGCCCCCCAACGGTGGGTCTCAATAATTCCATGACTCCTCACTGAGGCCTATTTCTACGGTTCTTGGGGATATGTATACACATTCACTTCACAACCCCGTCTTGGTCTCCACAATGTCCTCTTTGTGTGCCGACGCCTCGCCGGTCTTCTCGTCGGGATGTTCCACTCCCACCAATGCAAAAAGGCCGATCTCCCGCTCGATGCGTGCCTTGCGTTGGGCGTCGGCGGCCGCCATTCCGGCCGTGCCGAACAACTCATCCATTTCTTCCAGAGTGCGGCCCTTGGTTTCGGGGACAAGGAATATAACGTAGAGAACAGCGAGCACGGTGACAACTCCGAAGAAGATGAACGTGCCGAAATTGCTGGCGTGGATGAACGGGGATGTAGCCGTAGCGACCGCAAAGTTGTTGAGCTATTATAAACCGGAGTATTAGAGACAAGACCCATCTATGTAAATAGTTGATACTTACCCAGTTGCTGCTGCCACCGATCGAGACACCCTTAGCGCGCATACTCAGAGGGAATACCTCGGAGGTAACAATCCATGCCACGGGGCCTATAAGAAAATGGTTAAAAATGATCAAAATCAAGCAGGGGTGACAAGGGCATACCCCAGGAGTAAGCAAAGTTGATAACGAAGATCCAAATGAATGCGATAGCGGCCCAACCGGCCGACTTGTGAGCAAGGAAGTCGTTTTGGTAGGCCCCGATAATCCCGGCTACAATAAAATGACACGAGGCCATGCCGAGTGCACCTGCAATGAGAATTTTCTTTCGACCAATCTGATCAACCCACAGCACAGCTGGGATAGTAAACACAAACTCGACGATGCCCACGACCCCAGTGGCCAGCAGTGAGGTGGTGTTGCCGCCCAATTTCATATCGTCGAAGATGTATGGCCTGTGAACATGAAGTTAGGAGAAAAGTAGGGAGAAAAACCGGGCAAGAGTGCTTACGCATAGTAGTTGATAGCATTAATTCCTAAAAGAAATCATCAGTATAGTTCTAAGAACATTTGACACGAAGCTCACCGTTCCATTGCTGGAAAACCATGATCATGCACTGCAAAGTCGTCAGCAATCAATGCAAATATTCGATACCCTCCGTACTTGACGTACTGCAACAGTTGTGCGCTTAAAAAGAGACGGATTGGTGACAAGCGAAAGATAGTCGTGCAGTCCAATATTAAACCGACTCGAGAACGATCCATCCTGCCACTGGGGATATTTCTCGGCCGCAACCTCGCACTCGAAGAGGTGCAAACTCTTGATCTCGAGGAATTCAATCCGGACCAAGAGGTCATCAGTGGATGTATTGCGCAGCCGCGCTAGTGTGTGGAGACACTCTTCCTCGCGACCAGTGTTCATGAGGTGGCGCGGCGACTGAGGCATAAAGAGCATCATACCAGCTGCCAGGGTGATAGCCGGGACAATCTGAATGCAGACGGGGATGAGCCACGCGGCGTCCGACTGAGTAGCCCCGGTGCCGCCAATGTAGTTTGTTCCATAGCCGATCTGGTCCGGTCAGATCGAAGTGCCAGTTTATTTTGAGGGAGAATACTCACCCAGAAGCTGACCATAATGCCAAAGGTAATCGACAGCTGCTGCACGGCAACCAGAGAGCCACGAATTTCCGGTGGTGCCTTTTTTTTTCCCCCTGTTAGATCGAGGCTTGCCCACATCAACTTCCAAGTCAACTCACCAGCTCCGCGTTGTACAACGGAACGACCATGCTCAAGCTACCAACACCCAGACCCGTCACAAACCGACCAGCAAAAACAAAGTCCTTGTTCTGAGTGCATGCCTGCACAATAACACCGACACAGAAAACCACCACCGCGATCAAAACCGTCAAGCGACGACCGGCCGCGTCTGCCAAGTATCCATTGATCAAAGTTCCAACCCAAGCGCCGAGCTCGAGAATGGAAGTGAGCATGCCTTGTTTGATGCCCGTTTCCGCAGCATATTGCTGTGTCTGTGTGCCGGGTTTTCGTTAGCAAGGCCGGGCTTGCCCAAGTGCTGGTAGGAGCCAGAGATACATACGGCATTCTTGAATGCAGACATGGTCAGAACTTGAGCGAACATTCCTTGATTGTCTGTACTCGCATCGTCAGCAATATATTTAAGTGTCTGTAGCAGTCCGACTGACATCCATACACCAAGCCACCCAGCGACGCGAACAACCCAATGGCCGAGGTCTTCTTGTTACCAATTAACCCCCATATCCCTCCTTTACCGGCGAGCTCAGCCCGCTTGGCCGAAACGGCGCTCTCTCCTAGAACAGCGCCACCCATAGTGTATAACAGAAGGACGAGACACCAAAGACAAAACACAAGTGGTCCCGTGGAGTGAAGAAGGGATGGTAAGGAGAAATAAAAAGAGCAGAATCTCAGCACGTTCTTTGGACCGAAACGAGGGATCTGCAGTCTATTTATTCACCCGGCTACAACGGCCGACTGGATAAATCTCCCCGGCCACTTTATCCTCATGGGGGCTAACTCTAAGTCCAAGTCGTCAGCCCATCAGGTCATCGGTCACTAAGCTTCGTGGCACGGCGCCCGCTCCGGGTATCCACCGCGTCGAGGCCACGCCTCTTGGCCTCGGCTGTAAGGATGCGGGTAAGACGCATGCAGCGTGCGATTGGTAGAGTCGAGGGAGCCATGGGCCGTGCGCCACGGCATGCGTTTGAGATGAACGTATTTATCCGGCGTGGATGTTCGGCGGCCAAGCCTCGAAACCTTGGATAAATGGAATGCATTGTGCAATCCAATGCGCAGATCGAGGTTTGAATTCCTGAATCTCACCCGGTCGGCATCTGCCGCCAGGAAATGGCTCAGATGCGGAGAGAAGCCGGGGACTCTCCACCGAAAACTTGGGGATAATCAGTCTCCCCGCTCAACATCCCCGGGTTCCCCACATCCCACGCGTTGCGGGTGAATTCAGCCAATTTAGCCTATTCTCGGTTTTACCAAGCTCTCCGTCTCATCGCAGTCGGGTGCTCGGCTGTGCTTCTCTCCGTCCTCAAACCATACATGTTTTTACTCAAAATCCATATGGTCCGGTATACTGCATCTTTTTCGTTCAATTATAGCGTAGATATAAATTGCTTCATTGGTATCTTGAATCTTGCTTGTTTAGGCAAACCCATTTTCTATAATAGCAACGTGTTATCTTGATTCTTTTTTGAGTATATATATAGATATGGTAAAATATGTCTTTATTCTGAAGATACCATCTATCTGCAAGAATCTACTCCCACCTTGTCTCATGCATATCTAATTCATTTGAATTCGTAAGGAAGGAACCTCGCTTCCTAGTAACCAACTATCATGAACCAAAATACGTACCAAGCCGACGGCGGTGCCAACATGTCAGTTGATGACCGTGCAATGGCCGCACCAAGGGATTTGCAAGAGGGTGGACTGGTACAGCTTTTAAGGAAGTGCTCCTCCTGGATGTTAATTCAGAATACGGTAATAATCAGAGCTCATCTTCTAACCCCTCCACAGGCGGTTGATCTCGCCGAGGATCTCATCATGCCTGTCAAGTCTGAAAAAGAGGTTGACTCCGACGCTATTGCCGGACATATCACTCGATCACCATTAATTTACTCGTTCTACCACTACCCGGGATCTGACTCTGTGATCTTTATATCCACTCCCTCTTCTGACCTATCGGTCAAAATGCGCATAGCCCATATTAGGGTGCGGAATGAGGCAATGGCAGCCGGCGAGAAGGGGGGACTCACAATTGCCAAGAAGGTATATTGCCCTCTATCTTGCACTTCATAATGACTGTGACTTACATCGCTGGACAAATAGATCAGGGCATCTTCACTCAATGATGTCAGCAGAGACAGATTAAAAGGAGACGGATTCGCACCTCCAAGCTAGATTTCCAGATCTTTATTGGTCTTTCTCGGCGCCATTTGCTGCAATAACATTGAAGACTACATTAGCTAAAAGACGATATCAGCTAAACATGGATCTCCATGTTCTCCTCCACCACCCAAATACGAGAATACCCCTTCCAATCATGTGGCCAAAGACCAGCGGCAGTCGAAATTTAAACCACGAGAAAGGCTGCCAGAGAGTGGCTCTCGGCTGCCAGAGAGTGGCTCTCGGCAATGGCATAACAGTACCACGTCCACTCTCCCTGGATTGGGCATCGTCTGACGTCCCCGTAAAAGCTTCAATAGCTTCCATCACAATGCTCACCGTCGCTTCTGGTTGACTCAGAAACGGGGAATGGCTCGTCTGCAGCTCCCTATGCTCGACGCTACCACCCATGCCCCGAGCCATGCCAACCGCCATCCTTTGTGCCAGAACTGGCAAGCCTCGGTCCTCGATAGTGCCGATATACCAGACAGGCACATCCTGCCAACCAGCATAGGTGCATTCACCACCCTCGAACAATGCTTTGAGGCTCTGGGTGGTGAGCTGCGAAACCCAGAACTCAGCCTCTTCCGCTGGTAAGTCGTGATAAAAGAGCTCACGGGGAGGAGTGACCAGGTCGGCATAGCCAGTCTCATTATTAACTCGCCAGGAGGAAGGTGGATGACCGAAGAACGGGTCCATGAAAGTGAGCCCTGTTAGGGTAAAGCCAGAGGCAATGAGGATGAGGCCAATGACGTGCCCTGTTGTTGAGGGTTCGGGTAAGCGTGTGGTAGTGTTTCTTGGTTGAGTGAAACCTTTGATGGCGCTATTGCCGACCATGCAGGCATAGGAGTGTGCAACGACCACCACATTGCGCCCGTTGCTTGTCTCACTGGAGATAGCATCGCGGGCGACATCGAGATCATCTTTGAAGGTTGCAGCTGGGTTTCCTGTCATCGAAGGGAGCGTTATTGAAACACATTTTAATTTATGCTGCCCTTTGAGGAGTTTGATGATCGGGTCGTAGCATGTTGGTTGATGCCAAGAACCATGTATCAAGACCAGCGTCGGTAGATGAGACATCCCAGATTTATGATTGATATCGACAGTCATAGATAGTGATGCGTTGACATGCGCGTCATTTGCCTGGTGGATTCAGGATGTGATGCCTGAGGAAGAAGTTATGCAGGCTGCGGAGTAAAGTAATTCCTGACGTTTTCTACCGTCTCCCACCTGCCAGCCTCAACCTCGACCATGGCAGGAGGGCGTTTCAATGCCGGATTCTCTGAGATATGGGACTGGTGATTGAACTGTGAGAGCGACAAGTTAAGACTCATGTGTCAATCTCCTCGAACTTCACTGTTTGTGGGCTTCAGACTTACATCTGATTCTATACTCTTCTTACGTTCGGAATGTCTGAATCCGTGGGCACACGCGAAGGTGTCCCCGCGCTCACCCAAGTCCCCACTTCTCCTTTTGTTCTGACCACATCGAACACTTACATATCAGACTTTGAGAAGCATAGAATTTATTTTCCTGATTCCGTCCAAAATCTATGTTGGATTGCGGTAAACCCCCCCCAGCGTCTTTCATATGTTTCAAATGTTCATGGACATATTTAGGAGAATTTAATCCGATATCTGCGACGTTCAACTTAACACATTGGGTGCATCTGTCGGTATTTGTACCCCATGATCAAAGCAACAAGATGACAGGCTCCGCCGATTACAGCAAAAGAGTGAAACAGCTGATGCGAATGACCGAAAATATCAAAAGAACCCGGACTCAGTCTCTCTGGGACGCGACTGACGAAAATGCCTACGCCAACCAGCAAAGATAGCCCTTCAGCAAGGAACCATCTAGCACCAATCTCAGTGCAAGCTTGACTCCAGCCCAGTTGGTGAATGATGTGGAATATAGGCATCATAGCCGAGATACCAAGTAGAGTAAAGACACCGCCACGAAGAGCCCTCATCTTGCTGCCGCCACCACCAGTATCGAATAGTGTAATAGCGCCAGCAAGAGCCGAGAAGATATTGAGTCCCCAGTAAAGGCGCTGGACCGTAGGCTGGCAATAGAATGCATAATAAGTCATAGAGGTCCCGCCTCCAAAAGCGAGCACACATATACCGAGGATATCCATCCTACCCCAGAAATGGTGTACATGGAACGAATGACTCCTCAGAGTATGGAATGCCGTACTCAGACCAAAGCATGTAGCTGCCGAGGTAGTGAACGTGCCAAACGCGAATACATCGCCCCCAGTAAACTGAAGACTCATGGACGTTGAGGCATATCGATACAGAGCCAAGCCGCTCGCCACAAAGGCGGTTGATCCGAGGAGATGTGTCCATATATTCATTGTTTCCATATGCCAGCATCGCCATAAACGAAATGATCGTCGATAGGAATAGGTCGGCATGGGATGACCTTGGATAATGTAGTCATTGTCGCGCAGCCATGCCGGGATTTGGTATTTGCTCGCAATGCTGGGCCAAGATCCTTGGTTCTTTTTGTCAGGTGCCGTCGTAGACTGGCTATCCATTGATTTCGAGCTTCTTGAGGATGGCATTGTCGCGTCTTGGACCATTTTCGCTCAGGCAGTTGGCAGTTTGCAAAGCTGTGCTGTTGATGGGCCTAATTTGGAGGGCCAAAGACATCAGCGACATGAAATGGTCAATCAGTTGGCAAGTCCCATTTTTGTCTGGGGTCGCTGGGTTTCTTCTGTCGCGCGGCAAAACCTCACTTGGCAGATCTTCGCGCTGTTGGGGAAAGTAGGAGGGCCTTTGAAACCAGTGTTGATCACCGCATATTAGCCGCCGAGGCAACCCAACCCATTCTTAAGTTACAGTGAAAGAAAAAGAATGAGACTCGGCTTGGTTTATGCATTGTTCAAGACATTCTGGATAACATATCTTGAGACTAACGCTGAGCCGTTTATTTAGAGTTTCTCGTCAATATTGAACCTTGTATCCCGAGGATCCCTTTCCACACAAGTGAATGAACTGACTTTACTCTATCTTAACTCTGTATCACTGAATTATTATTATTCCTTCAAAGACCGACGTCTTTATTGTTCCTTTTTGACGGAACAACTACCATGATGCAGGCTGAATTGGACATGCTTCGTACTATATTCGGATACTGGTAGGGCTCTGACCACTGGCTTGTCGTTTTTTAATTGAAAGAGTAGGTACACTACCTTCAGGGCTACATGCATGGATGTCCTGTTTTGATGAGTAAGACGCGTTGACCAAGGGCAATTTCTTTGAAATCCAACCTTCAACCTTGCATGATCACGTCCAAAATGAAAGCCTTTTCGAAATTGTTCAATCGATCATATAGGTCGTTGCCAATGAAGTTTGGCTCTTGGAACGCCAACCAAGAGCTATTTGAGTACACCTCTGGGCGTTTTCTGTGAGTCATGCTCGCGAGCTGGAGCTACTCTTGGGGTTAATTGCCTTATCCTGACTTGCTACGTCGGACAAGATTCAACGAAGAGCTTCGCCTCGCTGAGCGTCGCATCAAATTTGACGTTGATGCTCTTGCAAGGACGGCATGTCATTCGGTGGACCGGCATCTCGATAGTGTGACTTCGATCACAAAACTCGCCGAAGGGGGCTTTAACCGTGTTTTGCAAATCACCTTCAGTGATGGTTATGCCGTGCTTGCAAGGCTGCCATACAATAAGACTGACCCGAAGCACTGTGCAGTAGTGAGTGAGGCTGCCACACTCGCTTTTCTACATTCCCATGGTATCCCAGTCCCAAAGGTTCTTGCATATTCCCCGAACCCCATGAACACGGTCGGAAGTGAATATCTATTGCTCGAGAGACTCCCGGGCACACCCCTGAGTGATCAGTGGTTCTCTATGGATACGAATACATGCGTCAAAGTCATGAAGCAGATTGTCGATGTGGAGAAACAGTTTATGAGTATTGGCTTTCCAGCGAATGGAAGTCTTTACTACCGACGTGACCTCGAAAGCTCACAAAGAGCCGTTCCAGCTTCTGAGGATCATAATATATCCTCGCCAGATCAGATTGTCATCGGCCCAAGTGCACAGCATGAGTGGTGGTACCAGGAGCGTGCTCTATTGCACATTGACCGTGGACCGTGTATGTTTCTTCTCAAATCTTTTCTGGCATACGATATATTGACATTAGATTAGGGAATACCTATTCCGCATGCTTCGAAGCACCCGCCAGACGCGAGATAGAATTTTGTGAAATATTCGGCAAACCCCGACTCCACATGGAACGATACCTTCGAGAATTGCACCATTTTCAACCGCGGTCGCCTATTCAGCACCGACTTGTCCTTTCTGACTACCTAAAGCTAGCACCATATCTTGAAATCCCGTCAGACCACCGCCTATCTCGCCCAACCCTTCGCCATCCAGATTTCTCACCGAACAATATCCTGGTGAATGCGTCTAGCGATGTGGTGGGTGTCATTGATTGGCAACATGCGGTTGTGCTGCCCCTTTGCCTGTGCGCTGGTATACCCGACCATTTCCAGAACTGGGGCGATCCAGTATCCGAAATGCTGGCCAAACCAGAGGTCGAATTACCGGAGAACTTCGATCAGCTAAGTCAGGAACAGCAAGCAACCATTCAAGAGACGAAGCGAAGGCGCCTTGTCCATTTCTACTACGCTGCTTTGACGATGAAACAAACGCCGGACCATTTTGACGCCTTTCGAGACGTCCGCTCCATGCTTCGAGCTAAATTATTTCATTATGCCGGGGCTCCCTGGGAAGGTGACTCTATATCGTTGAAGCACGTCATTCTAGAGATACGTCAGAATTGGCCCATGCATCTCGATGAAGGTATAAGTACACCACCACCTGAGTTTCCGGTCCACTACTCCGAGGAAGAGATTCAGCAGTGCTTCAATGACTATGACCAGGAGCAGGAGAAGTTGGGAGAATTATCGGAGATGAAGGATCTCATAGGCACGGATGTGCTTGGTTGGGTTCCAAATGAGGACCATCTTGAACATTCCAGGGCTGTGATTCAGGCCATCAAGGGGTCCTTGATGGAGCACTCAAGCACTGATACTGAGAGAACTGCAGTCCTGGACCACTTTCCTTTTGATGATCACGAAGAAAATGTATGATAATGCTCTCAGCTCCAGGTATATGATAAGAATCTCCCTTCGATGTACATTAGAATTGCTGTAAATCGGAGTCACCAATTGTAGGTATTCCAGAATAGCCTAGTGAGAAAGAAATGAGCAGTCAAAGCTGATATATTGGAAGAATGTTGAAATAAATCAGGCGATTAATATGATTCTCAGAATGAATATAGCTCGTTCGAGCTTCTGTCGTAGCCTAACCACCAACCCACTCTTCCCCACTGAGATGCGCCCATGAAAACCCTCTCTTTTCAGTTGATCGGTCGATCCAAATGGGCAGCGGACTGAATGACATTCTCCTTCCTCTTCCGCCGCTCCTCCACCCACAACTCCTCCAAGGCAGCCTTGCTCTTGTTCAACACCCTGAACCGACCATCCAGAAACAGCTCTTTCTCCTTCAACTGCTCGAGCTTACGCGTCGCAGCCCGGAGCATGATATCGTGGGTATCCTCGCGAGAAGTCAAAAGTCGCTCCCGGTCTTCCTGAATCGTCTCCCGCTGCTGCATCATGTCCTCACGCGCGAGCAGATACCCCTGCCGAATGTGCCAGGCCACATGCACCTGCGCCACCAAGGACAGATAATCCATGTGCATATTGAATGCGGGTGGCAGCACGCGAAGGGAGTGGGCGTGCTCGGTGGCGAATTCTGGGACGTCCCAGCGTCGATCGATACACATTAGGACGGCGTCTTTGACGAGTGTGGAGCCCACGCCGTAGCTGCGGTAGCACTGCTTGACGGTCCAGGCGCGGATGAAGGGCTTGAACTGTGATGGGACCATTCGGGGGGTGTTATCAGGTCCATCGGATGAGGCGTACGCAGCGAGAGCGGCACGACGGGTCAGGGCAACCGGGACCACCCTGAGGACGACCGTGCCGATGACCTCTTCCCCGAACTTGGTGACCAGCACAATGTCTTGTCTCTGTGTTTTTGATGAAAATTCTGCAGGGAGGTTGTGCGTCGATTTCACGCTTTCTTTCTCGCCCTCGGCAATTGTCACGTTATCGCTATCGTCGTCTCCATACAACCAGCTCCATCGCCCAGTCCTCTCAGCGGCGTCGATATAGCCACAGACGAGCCATTTTACTCCCAGCATTCCGACCATGTGGCACCCGGACCAGGTCATCAAGACGAGCACCCAGTCTGAGCGAGTATGATATAGCGCGTGGTATATGCACATGAGAACCAGCAGCATCAAGACCAAGTACGCGGGATGCAACAAAAGAGACGTGGCTGCAGTCTGGCACTGCTGCGCGACAGAGTCTGCGACAAGACGCAAGGCAGCAACGAGGTCGTCATTGTCCGTGGCAATGGTCGTCGCCAGACCTGGGACCGGGTATCCATCCTTTGCTGGGAACTGTGGGCCAAGACCGGGGGGTGCTAAGCCCGACCGTGATCCTGCACTGGAGGAGGAGGAAGAAGAAGATAGCGATGAAGACGACGACGAACCAGTCCTAGCCATAGATGGCTGTGCCTGTGCTTCTGGAGGCACGGTGTCATTGGTAGATGGCATGTTCGGCTGCCCGAGCGCGGGCCGGGCCCTCGATGGCTGAGCCATCTCGTGCGTGGTTGATCAAACGTGGAGCTGACGCGAAATAGACGTTAGACGGCCATGCACTCGCGTAGAAATAACGTGATGCGGTCATATACCAGGGTGGAAGTAACGTGGAACTGGCGTGTAACTGACGTGGAGCCGACGAAGTGATATAGGAGAAGAGACCATAGAAGTTCTCGGTGGTGATCCACGACTTCTTTCCTCCTCTCACGTAGGTGACTACGACTCGTGAGAATTCTTTCCCCACTGGAACAGTTTGCTGCCTGCGGCTTTCGGGGCCTCCCGCGTAGATGTCTAGACGAAGAAGCCTTACGTCATGTTACTACATTTCCCTCTCTACAACCCATCACTTGCATTAAAACATTTAAACATTTTGTCCTGGCTTAAGCGACTATTTGTAGCAGAATATCCATATACTTTGTTTGCCCCCCCAATAATTCGACCCATGTGCCACCAGTACTACCTGATAATCCCCCGAGAACTACACCTGATGCATGTATCCATCTTCTATGTTTGGGTCCACACAAGAATCAATAAAGATAGTAGGAGTTAGCTAGATATTAATTGTGTGCGCTAAGAAAACAAACTTCTTCTGTCCTCCGTCCGCCGAACTTTTGAGTGATAGAAACAGAATCGAGCTAAACATGGCATCCGAGGAAAGCTGCAGACATTCACCATTTTGAAGCAGCGAATTGCTGCAATCCCCACACTTTCCGTGTTATCATGTTCTCAACCTAGCTGCCCTGAACAGCGGCCATGGTGGGCACCTTCGGACCGCCGGTACCATTAACCGCCTCCTCGTCCTGAGTGACCTCGCTGTTCGGGCTGGCTGGCTCATCGCCTGAGAGATACTCAAGAGTCTTCCGCTTGGTCTCAGGGATCAGCAACGATGTGAAGCAGCCGCACAGCATAAACAGCGCGAAGATCTGCATGACATGGTTGAGCCAGGGCGAATCAGACGGGTTCTTGGCGCCGCGGTGGACGAGAGGCCCAAAGACACACTGCGCGATAATAGCACCGATTTTGCCCGAGGCAGCGCTGATACCGTGGGAGGTGGAGCGGTAACGCGTGGGGAAGCACTCACCGGGCACGATGAAGGTGGTGGGATTGGGCCCGAAGTTGAAGAAGAACTGGGCGAGCACGTACAAACCCAGCAGGCCGTTGTGGGAATGCTTCAGGGACTTGTAGGCGGAGCCGATGATAATAAAGATGATTGTCAGAATCACAAACCCTGTGATTTGGATGGGCTTGCGACCCAACTTGTCCACTGTCGCCACTGTCATCCAGTAGCCGGGAATGGCACCGGCGACGATCAGGATCAGGTTGCCCACGGCGTTGCGGTAGAAAGTCTCGTAGACATTATTTCCGCCAGTCCAGCCAATAGCCCCGAGGATGATGGAGTTGTTCAGGCCCAGGCCGTAGAAGGCTGCCGAGGTTAGCGCATGTCATCGGGGAAGGAATAGTCTAGATAATAGGCGATACATACCAACATCAAGGAAGAACCAGGACCCGGCAGTCCCTAGAAGGACCTTTCCATAGCGCCACTTCAGGTAGTGGCGCCAGAAGTCACCCCAGCTGGCCTTGCGGGTGAGGAGCTCGAAACTATCATTGTGCATGATCGTGATGCGCTGGATCTCGTCGGGGTTGCCCTCACTCTGGCCGTTCATGTAGGCACGAATATCCTCACCGGCTTTCACAACGTCGCGGGCAACATCGAAGGTGTAGCGGGGAGTCTCGGGGATGGTGAGCCGGTAGTAGAGAGCAAGGCAGGCGGGCACAGCTCCGAAGCCGATTATCACCCGCCACATCTTGTCCACGGCCAGCTGGCAATCTCCAGTGCAATGGCCGACACCTTTGGCAGCCATCAGGGACTCCTTGAATCCCACAGTGACTATCAGGGCGATGATTGCAGCACCGAGCTGGCCGAAGCCTTGCATGGCAAAGACAGCCGCCATCATGGCACCGCGCCATTTGGTAGTTGCGAATCTGCTCAGTCAGTTCATCAACCACCTGTTATGGCAGGAAAGGGCCACTTACTCCGAGGTAATGACAGAGGACAACGGGTAGTCCCCACCAATACCAATGCCCATGACCACACGCCAGAAGATCAGCAGACCAGTGATGGAAATAGCGCGGGACTCAGACGCCAAGGCCTGAGCGAGGGTAGCCATGATGATGATAATTAACTCGATGCCATACATCCTCTTGCGGCCGATACGGTCCGCCAGCCATCCAAAGAACAGCTGGCCGATCACCGTGCCGCCCGACGTCGATACCTTGATGGCAGTGTCCACGCTGGAAGGCATCTTGCCGGGGTTGGACTTGGCGTCCCGCCAGAAGACCACGCCCAGCATACTCACAGCTAGGTTGATGGCGAAGATGTCGTAGGAGTCAGTGAAGAATCCCACGCCGGCGACCACCACGGCGCGGACATGGTGCCATCCGAAGCGGGCCTTGTCGATCCGGGCGAGAGCCAGACGGCGGCGCTCAACGGGGTCAGTGATGTGGGAGAAGTCTTGACCATAGTCACTGAAAGCGCTGTTTCCGTTGGGAGCCATTTTGCTCTACCTTTGGCTTGTTGATCCGTAAGCTCACTGTGAATTGTGAAGGTTGAGAGGATAGAATAGGCGCTGTACTTCTGGGGTGAAGCAAGACCAAGCAGGCAGCGCAGGATTCACAATAGTGAAGCGGCCGCTACGGAAGAGAGAAGAGGAAAGAGACGGAGGGGAAGAAAAAGAAGATATAGCGAGTCCACGGCGCATATCCATCCGCGTGGATGACCGTTACACGCGCATTGTGCCAAACACCACTAAGTTTGGCCTGGTACATCATGCTCAGCAAAGACAGGCTGAAGCGAGTACCTGTTCCTGCAGACAACATCTACTCATCCACGCCAATCACACAGCCCGAATCAAGCACATGTTACAGTCTAATACATGGGTGCCTGGAGCTCCATCAGGCCGTGGTTGCCCTGCGCATTCCGTGGGAATCGCACATCGCTTTCTCAGGTACTTGGATATCCTCTGCCACTCTGCTCTCATCGTGTGTCATGGGGCAATTCGGAGGCCAGTTCCGCTTAACAAATCTCTTGCTGAATGAATGTTCTGGAGTTCCTCGAGAGTGCTTTGGGGTTTATTGGACAGTGGACTAGACACACTATGTGGTGTTTGTAAATATATAGATGATGACAATGCGGTCATACTGACCAGCTCTTTTCCAAATACTTGGGTGCACCCCGGGGATGTACATCGTTCCACGAACCCAAGGCTGTGGGTGCAGCAACCCTGCCAGGCAGTTGTAGCGTGATATACAAGGAAGGCCTGTCGAGAGATAGACCTAAGGAGTAACGGTATCTCCTCCTATGCACTCCATGAAACTCAACTGCCAGGTAGATTCTCAATTGCCATCTCTCACGACAACCACGGATCTTCCATCTCGTCTGTCATGCACACATCATATCGACGTCGACCTACGCCCCTGACCCTGGCCACAAGTGGCGTGGCCGGCGCCATACTTATACCCCGCGAAAGCAAACCCCAACACCGGACTTGACAGACACCAGAAATCACAATTCTTATCATTCAACCTCGAGTGTTCGTCACAAGACTTCCACCACGAAAGTCCAATCCAAAGAATCCACCATGGGCCGACAAAGCGGAAACGCCGAGAACAAGCTGCGCGGCTACAAGGCGTGAGTAACCCGATCTTGTTGTATGCTATACGCCTAGACACTGTACGCAGCCATGTTAACACTATAATCTGGCAGGGCCATCAGCAATCCTAGGGTCTCAGAACCTGCCAAGTCGCATGCCCAGGAAGAGATTAGCAAGTTCGAGGGTGTGCAGAGCGATGAGGATCGTCATGAGGGAAATGTGAAGCGTGGATTGAAGGCGTATGTACCACTTCACCTTTTCGAATGAGTTGAGATACTGACCCTCGCAGTGCCATGCACAACCCCAATAACACCGGCGCTGGTCGCAGCCAGGCGCGAGGCAAGCTCGAGTCGATGGGCGAGGAGGTTGAGCCGGAGGAGTAGAGTTGGAGATGGTGAGAGAGTGCTTGGATATAGGTACATGTGAGGTACATAGACGATGGAATTGAGATTGTATATGGGTTACCGCTGCAGTTCAAGACGTACTCACGACTCGTAGGCAGGTTTTCATGTGGTTCTCTGTGAGTCGTAGTCAAACGGAAGAAGATTCTCAATTTTTCAGGCATCTATTTGTATGCACATATCCTCTGGAATATATACAATTCACACCAATAATTCACACCAAAATCAGAGTCCGCGCTTCGCCTTCCAGCGCATGATAAATGTCGCAAATGGGAAGAACAGAAGTGAGACAGCAATCCAAATAAACAGGACCGCAAAGTCCAGCCCGATGCGAGAGTGGGTGTCGAAGAAGATTGTACGTAGTGCCTCGACAACTGCAACCAGTTAGAGATGTTCACATTCAAATTTTATCAGAGGCAAAACTTACTCCGATGCAAGGGCCACGCATATCCCCACGCAAAGAAGCCCGGTGCCAGATCCAGCGCATAAAATCCCGTAGCCACGTTGGTAATGACCCAGAAAATCAAAAAGAGTGAACTCCAGGGAAAGCCCAGGATCATGGCCATGTTCTCGCAAGGGAATCCCAAGGCAGCCATGCCAACCCAGTTCAGCATCCAGAACACCACAAAGGACCCGCGGCCGTACGCATTGGGGTTATTGGCTGACAGAGTCTCCGGGGCTGGCGGGTTGCTGAAGGGGATCTGAAAGGCCAGCGAGACGAACGAGTAGAAGAGCGACAAAAAGAAGTAGGCGACGATGCTGGAGAGCACGCGCCACAGCAGCCAATGCCACAACTTAAGCGGCGGGTGGCCCTCGGGTTTCATAAACTGGGCGTGGATGGGCATCAGGAACGGGAAGTTGAAAAACGCAATGATGATCAGATAGATCAGACCGATAGTCACGGCCGGTGTCGTGACGGCCGGTCCGAACGGGCGCAGATCGATATTCGTGAACCCGATCGCTGGGTTGATGGCCTGCGGGGGCACCTGCGACAGATTGGCCGACGGCGAAACTAGAAGCTCGCGGGCCCACTGTGGGCCGAACTCCGCCAGGACCATGCCCTGCAGAACAGTCAGACCGGGCAGCACATAGTTATAGTAGGTGGTTTCGTCGCGCGCGGAAATGATCACGGATTCGATGGCGCCGGTCGGGTCGTAGGAGGAGTTGCCGTGCGACACCGCGGCGCGCAGGAGGCTGGTTGCATTTGCGTTGACGATGACGGCGGCGTAGGCGTGTTCGTCATAGATGCCTTGGCGCACGTCCCACGGGTCATGGTTGAAATCGGCGGGGGATTTGATCTCGTAACCTAAATGCAGACCCGGCGAGTCGAGGATCTGGCGGGTCACGTTGGTGACGACGGACCCGACGATCGGGTTGTTGGTGCGGTACGGGTCGAGTTGTCCGTCAAAGTCGACGACCCAGACTTTCAGCGCTGGGTAATTGGCCTCGGTGTGGTGTTGCGATCCCCAGAAAAAGAGAGAGCACAGCCAGGACGAAGGTGCAGAGAATCAACACTGTGAAAGAGTGAGCCTCCCTTGCTTATGGCGCCTCCCTTGCTCCGTTCACTTACCGGTGCGGCTCCATTGGAAGTACACTCGCTGTCGAACTTCCTTCAGCGCCGGGTGGAAGAAAGAGACAGCAGACGACTCTTGACGATCGTCTTGCATTTCGACTTTTTCCTGCATGGTTGAGAGACTGGCAAAGAAGGTGGAAGGGCAGAGAGCGGGGCCGGTTCATTCTAATACCTCGAGCATAGCAACCGGTTGCGGCACTGAAGAACCTCGGGGTTACTGTTTCGGGCAATCATCAGCATTAACTCCGAAAGGGTAAGTTCGGGAATCCGCACGACATTTGGTTTTTGTTCCTGAATATCTCCACTCTATGAAGAGTCCCGGGGTAAATCTCCTGCCGCGCATGCAAAATCGGGGTTTTGTGTTGGATAATTGCCAACCAGCACGCCACGGGCAAGAAGTATCTATCCGTCTATATCCGGACTACACCAAGTATGATTGATCTGGAGGGAGAGTTTCTTTTGCCGTACGAAATATATATATCAACTATGTCCATGCCAAGAGAATAAGATTTGTCCGATTGGATTGTTTATCGTTGGACCCTGCATCTCTCCGTTGTACATCCATCCCTTGCTCTGTTTTTCATTGGCAGCTGGACTTGCATCGAGATCTATCCGAGGCATACTTTGCTTGTATACTTACAAACTATCCAAGGATATTCAGAGATAGCTTCTGCAAATCCCAGCCCCGACAATCACATTCCCACTATCCCCGGCCGTAAAGCAATTGAAGCGAGAACAGCCAAACAGCAGCAGAAATACACCGAGTGCAATTGAACTCTTGCTTCAGCATTATATTCATTAAGTCGTGAACTGAATCTATGTCGCAGGATCTATTTCACTGCACAGGGAATAGTCTAATGCACCGCCAAATCGCCAAAGAACCCCAAAACACCACTGTTTTACAAAACCAAACACCCACATATGAACCCAGGAAGGCACCGGAAGCGGCGATATAACTGGAAATTCGAGGCTAATCACAAGTCACCTGATAAGAGCCCACGCGATGTACGGGGCCAGCAGGGCGACACATTGGCGCGCCCGGCGAGGACTTCGCAACGGCGGCCAGATCTGCCCGATCGCACATGGTGTTGTCGAAGAACTCAATGCGACAGCCCTCGGCCACATGGTGGAGTTGATAGGCCGAGGCGACGCTGCGCAGGTTGGCGCGACATTTGGTGCTCCCGAAGGCCGCTTGCGGGTCGGCGGTGCCGTTGCAGGAAGTGCCTGGGTAGAGATCGAAGGACCATTGGAGGTCGCGCGGTGGGCGCGGGATGGCGGTGGCGCTCACGAGGAAAAGGGCCAGGGCCAGGAGGTAGATGTGAAGGGTGATGAGCGACATGGTTGTGATGTGAATCTTGTACGGGAAAACGTGTTAGCGTCAGGTCCGGGTCATGGAGAATCGACAGCCAAGTAGAGAAGCAGAGCGGCATACCTTTGCCCGTGGGAACCGTGAGTTGTGAAGGGTAAGAGATAGGAGATAGGAGACAGTCACAGTTGAAAAGACGAAATGACAGGGCGAAGGATCCAATTTAATGAAGAGTCTAAGGGCCCACGGGGAATCTCCTTTAAATCGTTGCAATGGGGCCAACCTCCCGCCAAGAAACCCCGATTGCGGCGATTTCAGGCTTGCGCGTCTCCAGCCTCTTCTCTCTCTCTCAACCTCCACACACACATACACACACACACACTTTCTGGCTGGCTGTCTGTCTACTCTCAGGCAAAATTCGGGCAAGACAATCAAAACAACGGAGTGCCCCGAGAGCCAACGAAATTCCATGCCAGTGATCTCAGGACTGCTGATCCCTAACGTTGCGGGCAGAGTCCGGTGGGGCAACTGAGACGCCCTTCGCTGTCTTACGTGGAGGCATACGTAGACGGGCTGAACTTGACTCGATGTGTGGCCCGAGAAAAAAACGTGGGCGTCTGGCTCTGAGACTGTCTCTCCTAAGAATAACATACTCTATTCTCATCGATTGTGGCATCTCATCAATTGTGGCACTGCCGAGGCATGAAAACCCTCGGCAATCCGATACTCCCTGCTCGGCATCGGTCCACTTGTTCTCGGGTTGATGAGGTTGGGCTTGATGGGAAGATTTTTCCAGCCACAAAGTCAACTTGGATCAAAACAAGTATTTTTGAATTTGCAATGCCGATCCAACGAAATTGCCCTGGACCATCTATGCCACGCTATTTCCGCCGGTTCTAATCTCCACATGGTCGATCAGTGTTCAGGGTCCACCTGGGGGTTCACCCCTTTTCCTGCTCTTAATCTATACCAAGGTAAAGCTTACTTGGGACGGCGAGAATAATAGACCATGTACGTTTCATAAGTTCATAGATTATTTGCTTCCCATCTATACCTAATAAAAGGGAATCAAAATACCAACTCACCAGCCAGTAGCTGTGGATGACAGGCTGACCATGGCCCATCCATGGATGGTTCCTGACTTCCTCAGCCTTTCTAATTTGCAGACTCCACCTTTCAACTTCTAGACTCAAAATTATCCTACTATTATCCTACTATACAGACACAGAGAGCACGTTGCAACCCAAAATCCACGGTCGCAAAAAACATCTCAGATCCATGCCTGCACGACATGACTCACCCCTTGAGCCTGATACCACCTTCCAACCACAATACTACTTCTTCTATGGCACACTGATGGACCCCGCCACTCTAGCCCAAACACTCAAGCAGACAAGAAACGGCCGACCAGAGCTCCATCACGCCAAAATCGTCGGCTGGAGATGCAAGCTGTGGGGCCCGTACCCTGCGCTAGTCGCCGGCCCACCAGATAACGTCATTCATGGGCGGGCCTACGAATTGCAGTCCATTCAGGAACGAGATTCTCTGATCGCATACGAGACGGGTGTTTATAGCTTGCGTGGGTGTGTGATTGAATTCGAGGATGGGAGGTTGGTCGAGGGGAAGACGTTTGTTTGGGGGGGTGATGGTGATTTGCTTCGCGAGGGCACTTTTGATCTAAAGGACTGGTTGCTTGATCAGAAGGAATGTTCTATCTGAAGCGGACCAAAGAATCAGGGATATGAGTCTTGTTTTATCTTGATTATTTCTGATATGAAGGCTACGCGTTTATTTCTAAGGCCGGGTTATTGCACTCTTAGTAACTGTTGAACTGTCCAGCATGGGACATCCTCAACCCAACAATTTTGATCATTAAAAGTCTACTCGATGCCGAAGATCCAGATCCACATAGATAACTTTATGGTAGAAGGTAGGGCGATCTGATTGGCAATCGCCGAGGCTGCACTGTTTAGAATAAGACGCTCATAGGGTGAAAGAGCTGATCTTCTATGTATTGTGTTCTCATGGGAGATATATTACCACTGGACAAAGCCAGGTTCTGGTGAATTGTCTTTAGGTGTCTTTAGGATTGAACTCCAACATATTGAATGGTGAACAAATTCGATTCTCAAATGATTTTTTCCATCTCCCCTTGAAAACGTGTTCCAAGGTTCGTTCATTGCGCCCTGGCTCTACAGAGGCATTTCGCAAGACCAGAACGGCATATCCAGCTTTAAGCCAGGTGCCACTCATCTGCAACCACAGAGGCTCCACTCGTTTAGACGACCAATCATCCAGAGCTGCGGAGTACTGGTTTGAAGGTGCCAACTGGAATGCCCCTCGCGGATCCCGCCAGTCACCGAGCACAATATCACACAGAAGTTCAATGAAGATCAAACAGGCCGAAGAGTGGAAAGAATACCAGGGGATTGAGGTGGATTGTGGTCACGACTCCCAAGGACATTTCCTTCCAGTTAAATTAGTCATTATGTATCATTCCATGCATAGACAAAACATTAAACATACAAATCAAGGCCAATCGATTTCAGTTATGGTTGGTCCATTGCCCTCGGTTCACCGTGAGAACCGACGTGAACAAATACGGTTTGTCAAAGCACACATCCCATCCCGTTTCGCCCGAGGCCCACAAACTTTCGAGAACCTCCTTGGCAGCAAGTGGGCAGTATGTCCCGGTGGAAACACTGAGGTCTTTCAAATTCCCTATAACAAAAGCACGCGGATCTGAGCCCCCATCTCGTGCTTCCACACCCAGAACCATCAAAGGCCAGAGCGAATAGCCGAGAATTCCAGTAGATTCATGTTGGGTCGCCGCCTCGTAGAGTAATCCATGCAGAATACCCGCCTCCATAGAGCAGTTATTGTTCAGGAGATGGTCCGGCGGTAAGATTCCAAGGCTCTGACAAGAAGATATGCAGTAAAGCGCCACCGCACTCTGATAGATTTTGCTCAAGAGGATGCTGGCGTCGGTGAAACGGTCGTTTGCCTCGCTCCATTCTTCAGAGGAGAACGCGTAGATTCGGCACAAGGCCTCCCAGGCCTCGCGACGGAGATCATCCTCTTCGATCGGTCCTGCTCGGGACGCGCGAGCTCGAATGTGATTGATTTTGACGATCTCAATAAAGAGTGGTGTTGGGCACATCTGAAAGCCGTATCCGTTGCCGCCATATTGCTCCAGCATCAGATACAGCTCCTCGAGGGGTAATTTCTCGACAAGCATATCTGTGGCGGGGGAGGAAGTGTCGCCAATAACCGTGTGACTGGGACACCAGTTAGCACCAGCAGCAGAAACCTTTTCTCGCAAAATCTTCTGTCACATACTAAATGAAGCACAAAATGATCGGCAGCACGCCGGGTGATAGGTTCGACTGGTACATGCCGCCTTGCAGCATGATGATTCTCCGAGCCCCCTCGAGATGGTACCGCCAGTGCTGTGCAATTCCTTGCTGGGCCTTGCAGTTGTTAATTACTGCAATTGCACAGAGTGATTTGAAGGAGAGGGGGAACTCACATCAGCAAGTAACAGAATCAGAGTCCCAATGAGAGTTGCATTGCTGTTGTGCTTGTTAAGTGAATTCAGTTGATCGTTTAGAGAACGGATCATGATCCCTCGGTAGTGATATAGGGATCTTTCCAGGGGCTTTGAATCGGGATCGTGGCCCATTCGATTCATCCGATGACTGAGTGTCATACAGACCAACCCAAGGCGAAGATGATCGGGATATTGGATTCCGGACTGGAGCATTCTCGGCTGGATCTTGTAGATATTGGCGTTGGAGCCAAGTCGGAGCTTCTGATAGAGGTTGGGGAATATTTGGACATTAACTGGTTGCAAAGGTCAGCAGTTGAATGACCCTCTTTTGTTTTTCTCTTGTCGTACAGTATTCATAAGCGTCCAGTAGGGGATCGATTTGGGGTTTAATCTTGGTGCGAGGAACCACCACGACCCGTTCCTCGTCGGACGAGTCCTTTTGGAAGATTTCCGTGCTCGCTTTACCGGTCTTCTGGCGATTGACCCCGTTCTTGCGTTGGCGCGACTTGACTCTGCCGGGTGCCAGCCACCTCAGTCGCATGGGTTGTTTTGCATCATAACCCGGGCAGTCGATCCCGGATACTGCGCATCGGCTACACCCCGGATGTCCATTGTCGCAAACCAAGCGACGGCGCAGACATTCCCAGCAATGGCGTTTCTGAGGTTCCGGCATCGGCGGTGAATTTGAACAGGAGTGAAATTAAGAGGGTATTGGGTATGGGCTGTGGTGTAGTTTAGGAGATTAGAAAATGGGGAGGGCGCCCTTTTTGTCTTTTTTAAGGTCCCAATGAGGCTGAGGAAACCCTGGCATGTCTAACTGCGCCCTCCGCCCCCGAATCAACCCCACTCTTTTCCACGCCGATTTGGTGTCGCTTTGACCAATCTGCCGTCGCGCTAGGAGAGTACCACTGGAACGAGACATCTGGGCGGGAACTATATATACGCAGCACAATAGCTCTCAAGTGAAGCGAGAGAGCCTTAAGAAAAATGAGCCCGCAAGTGGTGGTGATCCATAGGGCTGTTTCAGGGGGGATCCTAGTTGAGAAGCTAGAAAAGACTAAGTCCCGATCGATCTGCCGTGAAATCAACTACCTTTCCTGACTTCCGTATCTGCTTTGTTGCTTTGTGATCGAGGCATAGAGCTGCTGAAGGAAGGGTCTGTCCTGGACCACCGGGGAACCCCGGTAGCTCTCTGGCCTATAGACGAAGCATGACAAAAATTCTCGAGATAGTAGTTTAATAAATTCCATCGAATCAAACCAACCCCTCTACCAAATAGAAGGCTAATTTTTGAGCCACACCGCTTAGCTTCGCAAGGCTGTGTCTAAACATTCTCGGGCTGCAACGCGACGCCGATCGAAGGCTTGTTTGTACACCCAAAAGAGCATTGGTGGAGTCAATGCGCGACGATCACGATTCTTTTCACCTAGAACGGTTTAGTGTTACGGGTTACAGACCATGCGGTCTTGGGGGCCGAGCACCAGGAAGTGTCAGGGCTGAGCTTGAACTTGGCCCCATCCCCCCGAAACCCTAACCCAAAGAGGAACTTTCGAAGGCCAAGACGTAGATAGTGGAGTATGGGATCGGCAGTGCCTCTAGTTAGATTTAGGCGAGGATTTGAATTCTGGTAAATATAAGGTGAGAGAGAGATGCCGTTGTTCTTAGTTTTTTGCATTGCATTTTCTTTTGATCGAGCAGTTCCATCGGCATCGTCGGCATAGCGTTTGTGTACTTGTATACTATACAAGATGAGTTTTCTAAGTCCGAGGGCAGCAGCTGCTGGCAGCTTTGGCTGTAAAATACCTGACCATCTCGAACAAAGTGAGTGAATTGATTGCTATATACTTGACTACGGATGAAATGGGCTTGCTGACAAGGGAACAGCTGGCTCCGCCCCCATCGTGGGAAATCTCTCGTTCTACCATCTGAACATGATCGTATCCGGCGGTTGTACGGCGATCGTATTGTTTTTGATCCTGGGCCTGATGGGACGACATGCGACGCATATGAGCAATCCGAACGAACAACTCAAGTAAAGATCCCTTATAGCACGGAGAAGCCTTGTGTGATGCTAACAATACTCCTTGTAGGATCATGCGAATCTGCAACCTCATCCCGTCGTACCAAATCCTCTCCTTTATCTCGATCTGTGTTCCAAACTCCTACATCTACCTCCAAGGGTTCACGGAGGTGCTCCAGGGTGTGGCTCTATATTCCTTCGTCATGCTGCTCTGTGACTTCATGGCTCCCAATGATAAGAGTAAAGTGGAGTTCTTCTCTTCGCTGGAGATCAAGAGACAATGGCAGCCGAAGAAGAAACGGAATGGTCTTGCATTCTTGAAGGTAACCCCATTGGCAGCAGAAATCAAGAAGAACTGAACGAAATGACTGACCAATTTTCTCTGATTCTAGTTGACTTGGTACTCGGTGCTTCAATACCCCATCATCACCTGGATCACCGCTGTCACGCAAGTGGTGACTCAATCTCTACATGTTTACTGCCTCGAAAGCACGGCGCCTCATTTCGCTCATGTTTGGGTATGTACTACCTTGACATGGTTTCATCCTCGAATGATTCCACTAATAACATCATCAGCTCCAAGTAATTACCTCGATGTCGACATCGATTGCCGTTAATGCAATCCTCCAATTCTACATGAACATGAAGAAATACATGGCAGAGCACAGGCCACTGATGAAGCTGATGGCATTCAAGCTGATTGTCGGCCTGGTTCTCTTGGAGAAGGTAAGCATATCTCCCCCAAGAAAAAAGAGAACATGAAGAAAAGAGCATTGACCAACGGCCCAGATCCTGTTCCTCATCCTCACCGGCGCAAAAGTCCTCGTGCCTTCCGCCACAATGACCTACATCGACGTAATGATGGGCCTCCCAACCATGGTGATCTGCGTGCAGATGGTGCCGCTCTCCTTCCTCGTCCTCTACGCCTATCGCGTCGAACCCTACAAGATCTCGAACTCGGCCCGTATCCTCCGACCCCAAGAATACCAGGCCGTCGATTCCGATGGTGACGATGAGACCTTGGTGGGCGGTGTACCGAAGCGCTACCAGGGTGGTCGCTGGGGATTGCATGCCTGGGCTGTCTATTTGAATCCGCTGGAGTTGTTCCGCGATGTCAAGTCGGCTTATGTTATGATTCATGAGGCGCGGGCTTTGCAGAAGGCTGATACGAAGGGGATGGCGACTGAGGAGGAGATGGGGAGATATGAGACGAGGTAGGATAGTGGCGAGGAGGCTTAAGTTAGGATCTACGGCGGGAATTTCTGGAGTTTGCTGGTGGTGTAATAAACTAGATTGATGGATTATGAATATCATCCAGATCTATGTGAATCTGGTATTTCTCTGATTTTTGAATTGTTTCTCCTTTCGTGACTCTATGTGTAGTCCTGATCCAAAGAATTGAGAACAAGAGACAAGTCTCGAGGATACATGCTAAAAGTCAACTCTCATTGCGATCCGCGAAGATATTGATAAAGACCCCAGCTAGCGATATCCCTTTTTCAATGTAAATTGGTGTTTATACTCGTTGTAAATTGGTAGCTTTTTTTGCATTTAAGAAAACCGCTTCGACAAGTTCCTTGTCCACGTTCGCTTGTTGGTTCATCCAGATCCTATCTTCCTATGCCACAGGATTTTATCCCCACAAAGCTTGCAGCGTCACCAAGCCGGTTGATAAAGCCATTAATGTCTTCGGGGGAGCTGATAGAACCTAGCATCATCTCTCAACAGAAATATACCGCCCTCGGTATGCTGCTGTGCCATCATGGTTGGAATTTGGAGAAAATTGAGTCCTGGTTTCCATTCGCCTTTATACCGAAGGCCGGTCCCAATCCGCGATGGGCTTGCGCTAACAGCCGCCTATTCGGGAGTTATAAATGGTGGACCCCGCGAGCAAGAGAGGAACCCGTAAGGGGTCCGCACCATTCATGGCTGACTCAAAGATTGGAATTCATCACTTCACTCCACTGTCCAATCGAAGCTATCCCATGTACTGGGGCGAAAGTTGTTCGATGTCTGCAGAAGAGTGTGAGCCACTTTTTTCAGTAGCACGCTGTATGGCAAATATGAAGGGCATGATGATTCCCGCAGTTTGCATGCTTCTTTTGAATATCCCCCATGACCCAAGCTCTTCAAATTCCTCGTTATAGGGACTCGTTTGAGAGATTAGTGGAGATGATGAGTTGCGATCATGTTTCGGTCGACCGAATTGTCACGCGGCGATCTCTTCTTTTCGAGGAAAGATGCAAGACCCTAGCCAGCATGTACCAGTCATGGAGCCGACGAACTGGGACTAATCGCGAGGCACGATGGTTTTCAGGTCTGTATATAAAATTGCTCAATCATGACCCAAGAGCCTGCAAGTGTGTTGTGACTGAGTAGGCAAACGGGTTGCAAGCTGAAGATGAGGACACACACGGTCCCGACGGCACCAAACCACATGATATTCAAGAGCGGACCCGGTAAGAATAGGGTAGCGAGCCAGGAATATTGTCGTGCGGCTGGCAGTTTGCGTAGAATGATCGAGGTGAGAGTTGCAAAGGCCTAAGGCATGGTCCTGTTTCAAGAACTGCCCAGCGCCACGTCGAGCACAATAATACCCGAGATTGTTCACTAGACATAACAGGGTACTCAAAAGAAGAGTGAAGATGTGGAGTGGATGACGATATATATATATATAACATGGCGAGGATGAAGATAGGTAAAGAAAGGGGAAGAAGAATCAGGGGAAATGTCCAACTGGGGATGGGGGTTTTATCAGCTGGCAATGCCATTCAGTGTTTGCTGAAGCAGGATGAAGAGGGATTGGCCTGCAACAACGGACAGCATACTTTCAGACAGAAAGGGCAATCAGCACATCAAAGGACGTTGGAATGCATTGTCTTTTCTATGGGCATGTAACTAGTCATCAACGGGAAGACCCTTCAGCTTCATCGGGACGATCCCACATCTAAACATGAATTTACGCAAAAGCCTTGATCTCGCCCTCCTTCAGCTTGCCCGCACCAACCAGACGCTTGGCCTCCTCAGTGTAAGCAGTCTTGACAGCAGCACCGTCCTTGCCGGCGATGGTCAGACGCTCAGCCAGAGCAGCAAGCTCATCGGTGTCGATCTTGCCCATGATCAGGTCAACGTCAGTCAGGACAGCATCGACCTGAGCGGCGGAGGGATCGCCCGACTCGGCGAAGTAGTTGACATCCTTGACGGAACCCTTGAGAACACGTTTGTTCTTCTTAGCAGCGTTCTTCGCGGCCTCCTTGGACTTCTTGTTCTTCTCGCGCTCGGCCTTGGCGGTCTCCTCGGCGTTCTTCTTGCGCTCCTCCTCCTCGACACGAGCCTTCTCCTTCTCCTCCTGGAGACGCTTAGCCTCCTCTTCCTTGGCACGGCGCTTAGCGTCCTTTCCAGCACGGGCCTGCTGACGGAATTTCTTGATACGCTCGTCCTGCGCTAAGCAGTCGTCGACCAGCGCACGCAGGCGGGTGGTATCGTCGGTCTTGCGCTTGCGGCGAGCGTTGGCGTTCTTCTTCTCCATGTGGCGTTTCTGGTCGCGGTTCTCGTTGTCGTCGGGGACATCCTCGTCGAGGTACTCGAACGTACGCCAGCTGTCAATGTTGTACCAAAAGTTGTAGAAGGTCTCGACAGCCTCCTGGGTGCTGTCCTCGTCGCCAAGCTGCGGGACTGGCTGCTTGGTGGAGAAGCGACCCTCCGACTCGAAAACGGGCCCCCAGAGCTTGTAGAAGTTGCCCTTGGACACCTCCTTCTTGGAAGGCGGGTCGACATCGGCAGCGTCGTCAACCGAGTCAAACTGTCGGCGGCGGACCGGGTCCAGGAGGAGCTCAGTGGCCTTCTGGATACACTTGAAGAAGCTGTCGTTCTCGTCGCGCTGGCCCATAGCGGCCTTCTTGTCAGGGTGGTGGCGCAGGACCTTCTTACGATGGGCCCGTTTGATCTGCTCGGGGGTTGCGCGCCAGCGGTGCTTGCTCAGACCCAGCACGGCATAGTGGTCTTGGCTCTGCAGGGAGTCAGAAAGATGGCGTGAATTATGGAGAAGAAACCACTAACCTTCCAGTCCTTGGCCTCCCGGGACAGCATCATGGCGTCCTCGGGCTCCGAGATGTCATCGTCTTCCTCATCCTCGGTCTTCTTGACATTCTGCTGAGCCTGGATGCGCTCATCCTCTGAGAAAGTACGGTGGTGACGCTTCTAGAGGATTTTTAGTTCCGATCTCTCGAGTTCAGATTCAAGTAACTTACTCTGCGAGCGTGGGCCAAGAAGTGCGGGCCAATGGGCTCCACGTTACGCTGGGTGGCACCAGACAGAGTGCCAACAGGCTTGAAATCCTTCTCAGCGGCCCAGCCCTGGGGCAGGGGCGGGAGAGTCACTTTGACAGTCTGCACGGAGGCCATTGTGGTGCAAGGTGATGGAGAGACCAAAGTTGTGTGGGATGAACGGCGGCATTTTTTTTTTTTGCGTACCTGTTTTTTCTGCCTTGAGCCCCCGCCTACACATAAGCCAATCACAAATTGGGGATTCACTCTGGCGACGGCCCGGCTTCTGTCGAGTTTCCTCGGTGGCGCTTCATGTTGTCTCTTGGGTGTTGAGGTTTCTACTCAGTCTTCTATTCCTTCTCTCCACAAGCCGTTATACAACTCTACGTCCGAATTTACGCTTTTCTGAGTTTGCCGACCACCTGCCTGCATCACCCGATCCCCTGCAATTTCGCAGACTTGCTCTTGAGAGCAACCACATACCTCTTCCTTTGAGATTCCTCCTATATCCCCCGTTCAATATATCCTCAACAGCATCAATGACTACACCCTCTGCTGTCACTGCAAAGAGCGCCTACCGGCAACTCCTGCGCGCAACACGAGTCGCCTTCCGAGGTTCGTCGCAATCAATGCAAACCGAGGATTCAAACCAGCCCGATCGCCTACTGACAAAGGAATATAGATGACTATCGTGTTATGTTAGCCGCTCGCCAGGAAGCCCGCCGCAACTTTGACAGCAACAAACGCGTGGGCATCGACACGGGCCTGCAGATCAACCATGCAATCGAAGTTGCGAATATCTTGCGCCACAATCTTGTGCAGGGCACGAGAGAGACTGGAAACGATGCTTCTCGATGGGGTATGTGATCCTATGTTTTCTTTGTTGATCAGGATTATGGTGGACTCCAAGTCCAGTTGTCTCGGTGGAGGTTTTGACTACAATGACATCAAGCTAACGGCTGTATGTCTTCTGCAGAACTTCGCATTCATGACGAAATCGAGCGAGGTGACAATGACTCTATCAAGGTCGGGGACAAGGATGTCAAGATCCACAAGGCGTGCTCGTCATGATTCGGTGGGAGATTCTTGACACCCCGTATGCTGCCTGCCACCATGACGATGCGATGTTCCGAGCACAACATACAGAAGCATACCAAACTAGGACCAGTGCACTGGCCGTGTATTATAATATACCCGACTCATTTCATACTTTTGGCGTCCCCGGGGTATTTTGATTGGACATACATAGATCTGCATAGAAAAATAAAGAAACACTCCGATTCAACGCCCGCTCCGGAAGAAAAACAAAATATGAGCGATATGCAACCCCCCTGAACCATCCCCAATGATGGTCGTAGCCAGATACTCAGACATTATGCACCCCCAATTTACTCACCAGACATACTGGCGTACTGGACCGAGCTGGCTCCCGGGGGTGGAGCCACAGTGTAGTTCTGGGGCTTATCCTGCTTGCCGGCTTCTTCGCCAGCGGCAGTAATGGCTCGCTTGTCGGACTTGGTGCCTCTCGGAACCGGCCCTGCGGCCTGCCGACCTTCGCGTGCGTTGTTGAGTCGCTCCTCGCGATCCAGATTGTCGAGTGGCTTCGGTTTACCCCAGCGCACGCGTAGCGGGCACCCTTGGATAACAGCCTTGCCCTGGCACTGTTTCGCGGCGGCTTCGGCATCAGCGCGGTTGACATAGTTAATGAAGGCACAGTGCGAACGGTGTGAGCAGATCAACGAGCGAAGCTGGCCGAACTGCGTAAAGAAAGTTCGAAGGGTATGTTCAGGGAGATCGTCCTCTACACCCGTCACGAACAGGGAAGTAATGTTGGGATCCGCAGGCGGGAGAATATCATCGGCCGACGGCGGCAGCTGAGCAGTGCCAGGGAATGGTCGACCACCCCGGCCTCCACCTCGTCCTCCACGTGCACCTCCGCGCCCAGGCAAACGGTTCCCCACGCGGCTTTCGCTCGTTCGGATCGGACCTGGTCCATTTCCGTACCGACTGTGCGTGCGCGGTTCTTGCGAAGCAGACTCCCCGGCATCCTCTCCATCCGCTGGCGGTGCCTCGATGCGGCGGGGCTTCCGATAATATGGTTCGCTGTTGGCAAGACGCCGCAGCAACTCACGGGCCTTGTCGTCGGTCTTCTCATATTCCTCGATCGCGCCACGGCCCTCTTCAATCTCCTTCTCGTGCTCCTGCGCATAGTATTCGCGATTAATCGAGCTGTCCGGGCCGGGAGCAACCATCTTGAGAGCCGCATCGCGGACGACGATCGGAAGACCAAAAGACAAGTCGAGCATGCAGCATTGGCAGCAGTTCTTGAGACGCGCGCAAGTTAGACAGATGATAGAGCGCTTCTGGCGGGAAGTCCGATCGGCTTTCCAGCGGAAAATAGTGAAGGGACGGGTACACTGCTTGGTCAGTTGGCGATCCGGTGGCGGCCTAGAGAGTCACCCGAAAAACTTACAATCTTGCATTCTGCGCCATGATCTTCCTTCATCATTTGGACATAGGGGTTTTCGGGTAGGCAGTTTTCACACACGGACGGGAAGTCGGTGGACTCCCAGCCCGAGCGGTTGAGGTCATGCTTGATCTGCGGCGGCATGGCGATGGGGGTGGAAGAAGCAGGTGCCCTCGGATGGAGAACTAAACGGCAGCCACAGCACGTGACAATCAGGTCACCCCGTTGTGGCTCCGGAAGCGCCACTCTCCGGCACCAGCCACAGTCGGAAGGGCCCCGTGCCGTGCTTTTTCAAAAAGGTGCCTTCGCATTGGACTTTCTTATTTAGCCTTCCCCTTTCCTGCGTCTGTGAGGCCTTGGATTAACTTCTTCTCCCAATTCCTTCAATTGACCCCTTTTCTTCTTCGTCTCGTTCTTCCTTTCTCTTTCCTTTGACTCCAACTTCCTTTTTGTTGTTTTCTACTCCCTCGCCCCTTTTTACTCCCCGTTTCTTCACCATGGCCCCCTCCGCTTTAGAACGCGAGGATATCGCGCGCGATGCCGCATTCAACAAGGCCCTGCACGGCAAGTCTGCCAATGCCCAGGGTGGGTTGGCTGCTATGCGTGGCAAGGACGCTGCCGCGCAGAAGGCCGCCGTGGACGAGTACTTCAAGCACTGGGACAACAAGGCTGCTGGAGACGAGACCGACGCTATTCGCGAGGTAAGAGAGGGTTGTTCTAAAACTGGTATAGGGCGACAGGCCTAATGACCGAAATGTGACAGGCTCGCCGAAAGGAATATGCCACTTTGACCCGGCAGTAGGTTCCCCTTTTCTTTTCTTGGTGGGAATTGCGCGCGCATGACTGACAATAGCACAGTTACTATAACCTGGCCACCGACTTCTACGAGTACGGATGGAGCTCTTCGTTCCACTTCTGCCGCTTTGCCTACGGAGAACCCTTCCTGCAGGCTATCGCCCGCCATGAGCACTACCTGGCTCTTCAGACCGGCCTCAAGGAGGGTATGAAGGTGTTGGATGTCGGCTGTGGTGTTGGCGGTCCTGCGCGCGAAATGGTCAAGTTCACCGGTGCGCACGTTACCGGCCTCAACAACAACGACTATCAGATCGACCGTGCCACCCACTATGCGGAGAAGCAGGGACTTTCAGACAAGATGGCTTTCGTCAAGGGTGATTTCATGCAAATGAAGTTCCCGGACAACAGCTTCGATGCCGTGTACGCCATTGAGGCTACCGTGCACGCGCCTGAGCTCGTGGGCGTGTACAAGGAGATCTTCCGTGTACTCAAGCCCGGTGGTGTGTTCGGTGTCTACGAGTGGCTGATGACCGACGAATACGACAACGACAACGCCGACCACCGTCGCATCCGTCTCGGTATCGAGCAGGGTGACGGTATCTCAAACATGGTGCGCATCGGCGAGGGTCTGGAGGCTTTCCAGAACGCTGGCTTCCAGATGATTCACCACGAGGATCTGGCTGCCCGCCCGGACCCCGTTCCCTGGTACTACCCGCTGGCCGGTTCCTTCAAACACATGGGTTCTGTCTGGGACTTCTTTACCATTGCCCGCATGACCTGGTGGGGCCGTGGCCTCGCCCACCGCTTCGTCGGCGCCGGTGAGACCATCGGTCTTTTCCCGAAGGGCTCCCAGAAGACTGCCGACAGCCTGGCCCTGGCTGCCGACTGTCTGGTTGAGGGTGCCCAGAAGAATCTGTTCACCCCGATGTACCTCATGGTCGGCCGCAAGCCCGAGTAAAAAAAAAAAAGTGGCCGATGGCGTTGATGGACTTTTGTATAAAAAAAATAACCCCTGTGGCGCACGCGTGCATCTCCTCATCTCGCGGCTTTTATTTCCCATTATCTGGTCTACTTTTTTCTACTTTTTTCTCCTTTTACCTTCTGGTTGTCATTATTATCCTTGCCGCTAGGGAGATGCGTCCGTGTCTGCCCCTTCGATTTCACCCGGTGTTGGCAGAGAACGCGTTGCGTGTCGCTTTCTCAGGATTGATGATCATTTCTTTTCTCTTGTTTCTTTTGTTTGCTGAAATAGATATGTAATACTCATTGAGCCAAGAATAATGAGCAAAGGACTGTCAGTGCTACTCCTGGATATTGTCACCATATATATATAGCTCGGACTCGGACGTAATCTTTCTCAGGGATATTAGGTTAGAAACTATTTGTCGGAGTTGAATTTCTTTTTTGATTTTATTATTGTTATTATATTACAATTAACGCTGCTGGTATCCGTCCTTCGAGTCTTTGCTGGGTGGCAGATGCCGTCTGTATCGTGTCATGCGTAGCCAGCGAGTAACATATTGCCTTTTATTCATTTGCCATTGCATATTTAGAAAGGGTAGCGTCGACATGAATTTGCCTGGAGGAAACTTGGATGTGGATTATATAATTGTTATTATAAAGTCGGCCCAAATCTATATATATTAGAATGATGTTCCAGAGTAAAGATAAACCATTCCACATAACTGCATATCTACTTCCATAACCCTCTGGTCTTGAAATATTCCAAGTTAAGCAGCCTCACGAGTGTACACTCCTCAAAGCTCAATTTATCAACGGAGTAGATTTGATAGTCGTTTGTCAAGCCATGGAGGGCCGCATATCCCAAGGCCGAGCGACCATGGCGAAGAGCGTTGAATGTGTATAGTTGGGGTTTTGCGAAGGCAAAAATCCGCTTGGAGATTTGTGACCAGGCATTGAGGTTTGCCTGGGACTCAATTGCATCGCATATGGCTAGAAGAAGCTCCGGCGGCAGGTGACGCGCATGGCGCTTGATGACTTGGGATGTGGGGAGACGCGAAGACTGGCAAGTTTGTGGGAGATCGTCGAGGAATCACTTGGCCAGTTGTCGCCATCCCAAAATGGTAACCTTGAAAGTGAGGCATCTATGCCACACTGCGATGATAGCGGAGACTTTCACCACGCAAGCCAAATAAACAAGACTCATTCCCCCCCCACGCATCCCCACGAAACAATCCACACTTCCCCGGTTCAACTACAAGCTGTGTGCTCAACCAGGATCCATGGACATTCCCGAGTTGGATATGCCAGCTGCATTGGTCGAAGTGGCCCAGATCGGCTTCGAGTGCGACTGGGACGAGGAGACCGGCGAGCTTCGCGGCTGCGACTTCGAGTCCTACGGGGAGTTCGAACAGCCATGCGAGACTGCGATGTGGTTTCGATTATGGAGCGTCCACGAGGAGTTTGACTACACACAATTCCGTTTCTTTGGCTCGACTGCCGCAGGTGACTATGTCGGGTTCTGGCTGGTTCGACCTGATGTCGACATCTCCGAGCAGCCTGTTGTCTACATCAGCTCTGACGGTGATATCGGTCTGATTACTCAGAATCTGGACGATCTCCTCTGGCTGTTCGCCAACGGTTCAGGCCCAGCCGAGGCATTCGAGGACCCAGGGCGTAAGACACAACCGAACGAGGAAATCCGGCCCATCGCGGAGCGCTACGCTCCAGGAAAGTGTCGATCTACGGCGGAAATTGTTGCGTCGGCACAAAAGGAGTTCCCAAACCTCATGGAGCTCGTTCGTCAGATGTATGAGTGAGCGAAATCGCCGATATGAGCCGCGTGCTAGAGCCCCTTACCGAGTGGGGCAAACGCAGTTGTTGAAAGTGCCCGACTGTTCCTGGCGATCCTCATCAATCCGAGCGAAATACTTGCTTTGCTTCAACGCGGGCCTGAAGGCGCCACCACCACCACCACCAACAACAACACTGATATCGATTCAATCTCAACACCCATTCGAAGATCTGTCAATGTGCCTGCTTCCATGCATACATTGATGCCCTCACACATGTGTTTTGCGATCGAGGAAACTACTAGGCAACAGCGGAAATGTATCACTGTATCATTACACAATCGGAATCTGCACCAATGTGCTTGTCCAGCTTCGACACACCGTCGATGATTCGTAAAATCGTGAATGTGCTTTGGCAGTAGAATTCCAAGGCGAAGCATTTGGGTGGAGACGTGGCAGAACAAGTGGATCATCCATGGTTGTCTTATTGGCGTATACGTGCCAGGCACGGGCCCACTGGCTTTCCAACATGACCAGTCAGCCAAGTCGATATTGCAACGTGCACGGCAGAAGTGACTTGCGCCCCCTCGCAGGATGATGCCAGGATCAGAAGGATGAAGAAGATTTTCACGTTTCAAGCCATGCCCGGGTATAAGATGGTGCGCAGCCGCTGTCAGGGCCCTTCCAGCATTCCTCGGATCATCCCTGCATCATGCTTTCTATGCAGTCTCTCCTTTCCCTGATCGGGGGCCTTTCCCTCGTGGGCGCTGCGACTATCACCAAGCAGCCTTCGCAGGCGGAGATCGATGCGGCCCGCGCCAAGGTGCAGCCATTCTCGCCCGTATCCAACGTCAAGGGCTTGGCCTTTGACCGGTTCGTGGATATCTGGCTCGAGAACACCGTGAGTAGAGGGCTTCTCGAGTGACCAATTCCATATGTGTCGAATACAAGTTGACCCCGACAGGACTATGCCACGGCGTCCAAGAACCCGAGCCTGTCCAAACTGGCGTCAGAGGGTATCCTCCTGACCAACTACTGGGCGCTCACGCACCCGTCGCAGCCCAACTACTGCGCATCGGCAGGTGGAGACAACTTCGGCATGGATAACGACAACTTCCAGCAAATCCCATCGAACGTGTCGACCATTGCGGATTTGTTCGACACCAAGCACATCGCCTGGGGCGAGTACCAAGAGGACATGCCGTATGCCGGCTACCAGGGGATGCGGTATCCGCTGAGCGGACCCAACCAGTACGTGCGCAAGCACAACCCGCTGGTGATGTTTGACTCGGTCACGGAAAGCGAGGTGCGGCCGCGCCAGATCAAGAACTTTACCTCGTTCCACGACGACCTGGCACACCACAAGCTGCCGCAGCACATGTTCATCACGCCGAACATGACCAACGACGCCCACGACAGCGACATCACCGTCGCCGGAAACTGGGTCGACCGGTTCCTGTTGCCGCTGCTGAAGGACCGCTACTTTTCTAACAACACGCTTGTATTGCTGACCTTCGACGAAAACGACACCTACGACGAGCCGAACCGCCTGTACAGTATCTTGGTTGGCGGCGCCATCCCGGACCACCTCAAAGGAACCAAGGACAACACTTTCTACACGCACTACTCGATTATCGCGTCGCTGTCTGCCAACTGGGGTCTGCCCTCGCTCGGCCGCTGGGACTGCGGCGCCAACCTTCTCAAGTTGGTCGCCGACAAGACCGGCTATGTCAACTGGGACGTCGACACCAGCAACGTCTTTCTCAACCAGACCTACCCTGGTCCGCTGTCTGCCGGCACTTACTCCAAGTACTCGCCCAAGTGGGCCATCCCCACCACGAACGAGCGCTGCTCCGCGGGACATGGGATCGTCGATGTCGTCAAGAAGACCTACAAGGATCAGAAGCCCACCTACAACTACACTAGCCCTGTCCCGTATGACACTGCTAGCAAGACCAACTTGGGTATCAAGTACAGCCGTACGGTAAGTAATTTTTGCATTGAATGATGATGCTTGCCCTGGACAAGTACTGACGTTTTCATAGAAGGACGGAAAGAAGGAGAGTAGAATTACTCGCTAAAGGAGCGGTGAGAACGACCTGACGATTTGGATAGACTTTTGGCCGTAACAAGCGGATGTATAGACTATGTATATACACTCAATTGATGCCACCACGGACCACTGAAAACAGCCTTGTAGATATACAGTTCCAATAGCTCGATGTCCGAATGAACTACGTATGAATTAGATTAAATGGTACGTCGGGAGCATCATTTATGTATATCAGTAGACTTTTGATTTTCGGTTCTCATTCTATATACATTACTCAGAATGCCATATCAGTTGATACAATCCCGCCTCATATGCCAGACACAGTGGACCTAAGCAGTCTACCCAGTAGCATAAGTACTCCGCTTCCGCAACGACTCCCCAAACCTCCACAAAAGCAGCGGCGCAGGAATCCCAATCCCAATAGCCACAAACGCAAGCACACTATTCCCCCAGCCATAATGCAGTGATTGGTACATATACGGCGCAAAAAGGGGGAACCCAAAACCAGCGAGCGAGCGCAGACATGCGGTAGCCGCAAGGGCACTCGCCGCAAACCGCGTGTACGCATCCACCATATACGTCTGGAGACACTGGTATGCGACGATACTACCCATGCCGATGATGCACGCCCCGATATTCGGCGCGATCCAGTGGCAGTGCGTTTGCGCGGTCCAGCCGTAGATAAACAGACCCGCGGGGAGGAGTAATGCCGCGACGAAGAGGAGCGGCACGCGGAACTCGGGTCGTCCCGTGTTGTTGTTTTTTGCTTTGAGGCGTCTGTAGATGCGGTCGTTGAGCGGGGCGCAGATTTGTGACCCGAGCCAGAAACCCACACCGAGGGAGATGTAATTTAGGCCGCCGATTCCAGTGGATTCATTGTAGTATTCGGGACTGGTCCAGAGGGTTGGGAAGGTCGAGAGGACGAGGTACATGATCCCGTATACGTAGGCCATGTAGATCGCGAGGACTTGGACGATCGACTGCGTGAGAAGGAGCCGGAATGGTCTGATCAGCGATGTGCGCAGGACGTGTGGCAGGGATTTGTTTTGGCGCTCTGTCTCGGTTTGGTAGCTCTGGTCTCCCGTGTCTTTGCGCAGCCGGTGGGCGCGGTCCCGTAGAATCTTGGGGCCGTAGGTCTCGCGCAGGAAGAACAGCCCGGCCACCTGAATAAATCCGTCGGCGATGGAGGTCGCGTAGAAGACCCAGCGCCAGGAGGTGTTCTCGGCGATGAAGCCGCCGGCAATTGGCCCGACTGCCGGCCCGAGCAGTGGTGCGAGACTGTAGATTGCGATGCTCTTGCCGCGCTCTTCGGCTCGGAAGCAATCCGATAGAACGCCACCGCCGACCTGGTATATGGTATGTGTTGTAAGCAAGCACACTCCGTGGAGATAATGAGTAGACGTTGGAATGTGTGGATGGGGACTTACAGCCAACGGAGCACTCCCACCCAGTCCCGCAAAAAACCGACAGACAATCATCTGCACTGCAGTCTGCGACACACCGCATCCAATGTTGAAGACGAGGTAAAATAAGTTGGCCAGTTGCAGCACTATGACTCGGCCATATATTTCAGAGAGTGGGCCGAGGAACAGCGGGCCAACGGCGTAGGCCAAGACGAAAATCGACAGCGTGAGCTGGGAAACAACTTCATTTTGAATATTGAAGTCGGCCGTGATAGTCTGCAGAGCGGGTGCCACCATTGACGAGGACACCGGGGAGATAAATGTAAAGGAAGAGACAGTGATGGTGGCGGCCCATTTCTTCCTGCTGGACCAGTTCTTAGGGTTATCGGGGTCATCGGGGCCATCCCATGAGATCTGGACTTGTTAATACCCGCTCACAGAATGGAAATGAATATTTCGCTGGAGGATAAACTCACAAACTTCGGGTTATTACGAGAGGGGTTTGATCTCACTGTCCCGGACTTTTCTAGTTCAGCTCCCTGCGCCTGTCCTCTCTCCAGATCAAGATCTCGCTCGTTGACAATGCCCCCTCTTACTTCCTGCACAGCTTCAGACGTCTCATTGCCTATTGGCTGGACATCTTCCTCATTGTCACTGTAATAGACGCCCTGATTGTCAAGATGAGGTGCCGAGTAGACTCGATCTATATGCGCGCTTGTATTCGACCTCGATCGTAGCCGGGACTTGATAGAGCCAGCAAGTCGCTGGGACCGTAATTCAGTGCGTGATACAGTGCTCTCTGTTTCAGTGCTGCCGCTAGACACGGACGTATTCCGTGATTTAATTGACTCGGCTTCATGGTTAGGTTTCAACATGGCCGGCACTCGTAGAAATAGCAACCCCCCAATGAAGTAAAAACAATTATCCAGGCAGAAGAAAACCCCGAACACAAGAAAAAAGAGCGGGGTATGACTCTTTATACTATGTAATTTAGGGCCCGAAGGATCAACGGCACAAGGACAAAACCTGGATGCACAGCGCCCGGTGATTAAACAGAAAATAATAAGAAAAGAAAGTGCTTAACACCGAAATGTGGAGAACTAGGCCCCAGAAATTGCATTTTAAACGCCGGTTATTGGATAGAGCTCATTGCTTGTCTGCAATTCCGCCCCTGTTTATCCGCCTGGACTTTGTTCTGCGGGCGGCTTGGGCCGTCGGAGATACCGTGGGACATGAACGGCTCTGTGACTCTCCGGTGCCTTATGCCTCGCTTTCTCGGGTCTTCGGCACGCTCACGTGAGAGCCTTGCATTCTTTGTTTATTTGACCGTTAAAATTAGTAGAGACAATGAGCATTCTATTATAGGAGTGGAGTTTGGTGGAAGCATTCTGTGGGATACAGAAAAAAAAAATTTACAAGGCTGTAGCATAAAAGGCTCCATAGAACAAAGACCCAGAATCTTTGTAACGCCCGGCAATCATCAAGGCCAACTTGATAATCAACAAGAAAGACAAACAGATCCGCTCAACCCTAGGACAAAACGATGCACAATTTTGGAAACTCACAGTTGAAGCACATGAAACAGACATGAAACCCAGAAAGAGGCAGTTCTTTCACATCGCTAACTTACAATTTACTGCCCAGAACTTTTCAGAGCAAAAAATTACACCACTACGGGCGAACAAAGACATTGCAGTTTGGTTGTTCTGACAGTCGAGAGTTGATCTTTCCAATGACTTGCTTCAATTCATCTGCAAGTGTCAAAGCATTGATAGAGAGGTATTTGGTGCTAACTTCTCGAGAGACCTCCCTGAGCGACCTTACCACAAGGGAAAGCTGTTCCTCCTAAGATAGCAATGGTACTCTGGTCAGCAATGTGTCACTGACATGTTAATTAGAACGGGGCTGACATACATAGATTGCCCCATAAACCTCCAGTATGTCAGGGGACAGTTCATTGACAGCCTTGATCATGTCCCGGGCACACGTATTGTACATATGCGCAAGAGTGATGTCAGGATCATCTTCGAGGTTAAACCCCAGCCGCTCAGCACAACCTCACTCCTCAGCTTCTCGGAGAAATATGAAGCGCAAAAAATGTGACGTGATCACCAAATTTGCCCGCTGCATCCACAAAGCTCGCCTCTGGGTCACATCTTGCTTTTGCTACCCCCTATGTATACGCCTAGAGTCAGTCGTAAATCTTTTTCTATACAGAAAGAGAAGAGAGAAAAGAGATAATTATAAAAATAGATTAAATAAAGTATTAGAAAAATAGATAGAAAATAGATATAGAAAACAAAGAGAATTGATGAATTAATTCAAGAGAGAAAAAAATATCAATATAATAATAAGAGTAGTAGTAAGATAGCTATCTATATATTTAATAAAGAATAGAATCTCTTAAATGGGATACAATGTAGTCGATAAGCCAATTCAATCTAATTCTTATTCTCCACTATCTCTTTCAAAGTCTCCTGAGCGAAGCGATGGTTAGCGGCTTGTAACAATAACAGTATCTTTTCATTGAGTGCCTGACACGGTGGTTGATCACGTCGATATTGTACTGAGTATGAATCGAGCAATCACCTTTCCCACAAATTCTCCATCATGCTGATTTCCAGCTCTCGCCATTCCGCTTCTGTAAGTTTCATCACCGAAAATACCCCGATTATTCCTGGTGTTCAGCAGGCAGGTCATGATGCTTTCATTGTATTCGGGGTGGCCCTGCAAGGTCAGAATACGGTTAGGCTTATAAAGTCACTGTATTCAACATAGAACACTAGATCCAATGTTCTCGCATCCTTCTGGTGCATCCAGCACAACATCACAGTGCATTTGTTGGAGATGGGATGTGGATTTCAGCACATGTCAAGCTCATGGACAAGAACTCAGCTCACCAGTATGTCCTTGCCGAAGACATGTTTTCCAGTATGAGTTAATTTCATCTCATCCACAGACACCTCCAAGCCAGCCATGCTCCTGTCAACGCGTGAACCCAATGCTCGTGCAATGATCTAATATCCGAAACAAATACCAATCACAGGCTTTGTGTGATTATTCAAGATATTTCAGACATAGTCGACGAGCTCGAGGATCCAGTCCTCGTCGGCAAATTCATCGTGCTCTGGAATAGCCAGTAAAATTACCTTATGTTGTAGACGACAATAACCTACTGTTTCCAGTAAGAAGGAGGGCATCGAACTCGTCGGGCCGGGGATAAGTCTTATTGTGAACGACAGCTCATGGAATAGATTGAGGGACAATAGTTGCATCGTCGAGCTTGGTCTCTAGCGCAGGACCGAGTAAATTGCTGAAAATTTCCTTGTAACGACCATGTCTGGATATGATGGGCTCAATGGGTATATCGCATTCTAGAATGGCAACGCGACAATAGGTCGTCATTGTGTTTCAAGACCAAGCGTGGACATGGCAATGATTTGAGATTGGATTCATAGAAGACTCATTCTACAGAATCTTTTTGTCCCATGTTCTTTCTGTTGACTGTCGCTGAGTGGGTGGTGTGGAACAGCCGATAGCGGTTCTTTACCGCGCGGCCTGAGACAAGGTCACCGGCGCAATACCGAGCGCAGTGGGCCTTGATCGTGTGCGATGGATGTTCGGGGTCACTGCGGAGCCCGTGGATTGCGCGGGACGATTGCACCGCGCGAAATCTCTCGGCCAGCGACTTTCCATCTCGCGCGATTTGTTTTGACGAGCGACAGGACTGGAGCGACCCGCACCACAACGAGTCGTATTTGAAGCAACGCAGCCAACAGCAATGGCCTTGAATTTTCAATTCATATTACCTCAAGTCGTTCTAGCTATTTTCCCACCTTCCTCGCCAGGATGATAACTCCCACCGTGATCACACTCGAAACCCTCCCCACGCTTCTCGCCGACGACATCAAGGTAAAAGTCGCCGGTATCGACAGCGATGGCGTGTTACGTGGCAAAGTCATGGCCAAAGAGAAATTCCTTGCCATTGCAGAAGAAGGATTCGGATTCAGCTCTGCTGTGTTTGGCTGGGATATGCACGACATGCTCTGGACGACGGACGCCCGCATCGCACCCCCAGAGTCTGGATACGCAGATTTTCTGGCTGTTCCTGACCTGAATTCGTTTCGGCGTCTCTCGTGGGAAGAGAATATCCCTTTCTTTCTCGTCCAGTTTCTGGGTGATGGGAAATCGGTCTCGGCGGATGGACGGGGAATGCTGAAAGGGCTGGTAGATCGGCTTGCCGCGGAGGGGTGTCATGCCCTGGCAGGAGGTAAGATAGATCATATTCTTTTGGCATTTTGTTATCTTCTGACATTTGATATGTAGTCGAGCTTGAGTTCATGAATTTCCAGACCCCGTCTGAGGATGGGTATGGCAGTGCATCAAAACACCCCGACCTTGCCACGTTCCTGGAGAAGAATGCTCCCAGTGCGCTGAGGCCATTGACGGCTGGTATGTTCTGCTACAGTTCCACACGTCCGGTTGCCAATAAGAGGTATTTTTATGATATCTTCAACACCTGCGCGCAGCTCAACTGCGGCATTGAGGGTTGGCACACCGAGGGCGGGCCTGGTGTATACGAAGCAGTATGTTGTTCGACTTCAAGGCTACCGGGGTAGGCACCATCTGATTCTTTTCAAGGCGTTGAAAGTCAGTGAAATCAGCCAAATGGCCGATAAAGTCGCACTGTTCAAGTGAGTACCCTCCTCTGCTTTCACTACCATTCAACTCACCGTTGTATAGATTGCTAGCAAAGTCACTCGGAGTCGACCACGGCGTCACGCCCTGCTTCATGGCCAAACCAATGCAGGGACTCGCGGGTAGCTCTGGACACATCCACATCTCCCTTACTGACAACCACGGCCAAAATCTGTTCTCACGCGAGAATCCCGAGACAAATCCACAGTGGGCTGACATCGCGCACCTCTCCGACATGGGCCGACATTTCCTGGCAGGACTTCTTAAAGCGCTTCCAGATATCATGCCGCTCCTTGCCCCCACAGTTAACTCCTACAAGCGTCTCATCGAGAACTATTGGGCGCCAGTGCATATCAGCTGGGGCTTCGAAGACCGCGGTGCGTCTATTCGCCTCATCACGCCCCCGGTGTGTAAACCTGGAGCGATGCGATTTGAGGTCCGCATACCTGGAGCGGATTTACATCCACACTATGCGCTCAGTGCTATTCTTGCTGCGGGCTGGCGAGGCGTGCAGAAAAAGCTCGAGATTTGTGTGCCGCCTGTGTCGGCTCGCAGGGCAAGTGATCCCAGGGCCAAATACGCTTGAACAAGCTGTGGCACGATTTGCTGCTAAGGATAGCGTTGCAAGAGAGATTCTGGATTCGGAGTTTGTTGACTTCTTTGCGGCGACAAGACAGCATGAGTTGGGGCTCTGGAGGGAGGCTGTGACTGATTGGTAAGTGATTGGTCATGCGTGTAGAAAGGAGGTTGCTAACATCGCAATAGGGAGCTGAACCGGTATATCGAGACAGTATAATTGTAAATAGATTTGAAAGCGACCGGTTCCCAGTGAGTCTGAACTAGATACGACATCACTCGCTGAGGATATCGAATAGCCAAATATTTGTCGTGTCTTTTTCATCCCTAATCGGCTCATCTTCATCCTGCTCATCAGTTAGCACGGCCTCTAGAGCTTCATGGAACAATCTCTTGTACTCGACCTGGTTCTCTCCAAATTTTCAGAGGTACCCAGCATAAGAGATTTAGCACCCTTCCCCCTTTTATAATCTATAATCTGGTCTGTTGTGTTATCAGACGAGATAATGCAACCTCAGTGGCATCAGCGATGAGGTAACAAATTGATTGATTGAAAATCAGTTGGGGTGTTGGGATTTCAGGTGAAGGTTCCTCCGAAGCCTCGGTTTATATAAAAATATTAAAAATCTTGACGTTGAACATAAATCAATGAAAAAAGAATAAAAAGGAATAAAAAAAGGCAGTAGAACTCCCAATTTTAACAGGGTAACCCATAGAAGGACCTCCCGTACGCAGTTGGGCTATAGCAGCCAGTGAGAACAAACGCTAGCTAATTAGAACCCCCATTTACTATATATATTGGACTAGCCCCTGACCCTCGCTTCGTTGGGGAGGCTACTGGGGATGTAGTCAAGACTAAAAATTAAATCTCGAAGCCTTATGAGCTGAGCTTAAGGCTTTGAGTGAACCTTGAATTTATTAAAGATATTTGATCATCTATTCAGTGGATAGTTAGATACTTCACGACTAGTATCATGATTTAACCAGTAAATTTAATCTCTATCATTATATTTTATCCTTATGTTCTAATTCTTTTTGCAATCCTCTTTGGAATTCATTTAAAATCGTCTATAAACCACTGTTTGTGTATACAACGGAAACCGCAGGCGATCATACAAGTCATCAGAAAAAAACAAGACATCTACCTAAGCCCAAAAGACTCGCTCTTTCCAAATACAACATAACAATCTTCATGGTGATAATGCAGGCTGTAGACATCTGCCAGCCACTGGCCCTTCAGCGGCGGTAACGACCCGACACGAAAGAAACAATCAGAACCGCCACACAGATAAGGAAACCCAAGATCATAAAGGCCGCATCCGCAGTAGCAGACTTGCACCGACCCTCCAGTTCCGAGTACAAATGATAGCCCGCATAATAGCAGGCCTTGAACGAGTCATCAAAAGCTGCCGCGCAGCCCCCGCTGAGCAAGACATTGTCCTGCAAAGTCTGCCAGTTGGAGCAGCTAGTACCGCGTAGCAGAACGGCGTAAGTCTGGAAGCAAGTTTAGTAGCTGTGGTTATATCGACAAAAGGGCAATTTGGTGGTCACGTACGATGCCACCGGCAAGCAGTGCAAGACTGGTTACTCCATCTATGAGCCAAGTGATGACTCCATCGAGGCTATCGATGAACAGAGCCGCAAACCCGATGAGAGAAGCAACAATTCCAAGCGCGCCTGTAAAGGCAGCGTAACCTGTTGCGGGTGGGAGAACACCGTCGTGTTGACCCTTGGCGAGAGTGATAGATAGACCGAGGACGATTACTGCAAAGAGAAGCTGGGAAAGATGTTAGCATCTTGCCAAGACACGCAAGAGATGTAGAACTTACTTGAACAACGCGGAGAATGCCTGTGAACAGCTGCATTTTGACTGGGATTTTGTCCGTCACCTCTGTCAACTGGCTGGAAAATGTTTGAGAGAATATTGTTGAGATATGAAACAGGCGGGACACTCGACAAATATATCTCATAACCAGACTGGACTAAGCTAAATTTGCAAGATAAAATAAGTAACATAACGGCCAAGTCTGTCCATGACAGCGTATAAGTGTGCACGGTAAATCCACTGGGTTTGTATGTAGGGCGGGCAGATGGGGCGAGGAAGGGCGGTGCTAGTGACTTGGAAGGAATGATATTCTGGCGATCATACTGAACAGGCTAGTCAACTATCTAAAGATAGTGGCAGCTACCCTAAAAGTAGATTCTGGGGCCGTGCTCATAGGGCTATTTTAAGCCCCTTCAACGAGAAGAAGCTCACATAAACCGAGAACACACAAATTTACGCTTGTTTTGGCTAGGAGAAGATCGCAGCTGCCAATAAAGTCCTACGTAATGAGTTTCGAGTACGAAACGATCTTCGAAACCGAAGTTAGTCGCTCGATATGTGTTTTTCGAGTCCGTCTGTGCCCCGCCTTGAAACGCCTGGGCATCCACACACCCCAGCAAGCTGAAGCACGGGTGCTTCAGAAAAGATCCTGGACACTAATAGTAGAGAATCTTTCCACCCGATAGAAATTGCCTCGTAACTTGGCAATCATTCGTTTTGGGTTTGAAACCAACTCGGTTTTGTTGATAGTCGGGGACCCCGTTGGGTTTAGACAAGACATGATCAACCCCGCAATGGCCCTTCGATAGCACATAGTGACATACAATTATAAGTATCTTTCTCTTTCTCTATTCATTTATTGATTCTGCGAGTCAATCATTTCTTGTGCTGTGCCCTCATCTGCTGTGTCGTTCAATTCCAAAATGTCCAAATATTTCAGTCGCATAGAGATTCTCCCAGCCACGGAAGAAGATTGCCCGACACTGGCGCAGGTTGAAGAGGCCGCCTTTAGCCAAGCTCGTCAGGAGGAATCAAGAAGTCTCAGTGAGATCATGTTCGGCCCTCCTGCCGCGGAAGGTGAATCCCTTCGCGCCCAGGATCTTGTTCACAAAATGCAGACAGACCCAACCACGAGACTCTACAAAGCTACAATCAAAGAAGAAGCTACGAACATGAAAAGGATCGTCGGCTGGTCTGTTTGGAATCATTACCTTGAGCCTCAGCCTATGGAAGAGCGAAAAGACACCAGATCCCGGTTGATCGGGAATGAAGACGCTTTTCACGAGTTCTTCGGCGCGTTGTTGAGAGCAAGAAAGCTGTACATGTCTGGGAAACCATTTTGCTGTAGGCGCCTGACATATCCGTATAGTTTACACAGTGTGCCCACTCATGCTGATCTAAAGTAGTGCTGGGTGTGCTGGTCACCTTGCCCGAGTACCAAGGCAGAGGGGTCGGATCTGCTCTTCTCGAGTTTGGTATTTCTGAAGCTACCAAAGCAGGTCTTTCTGAGTTTTGGCTGGAGGCTTCTGCCGATGGATACAGCCTCTACCGGAAATTTGGTTTCGAGAATGTCGACTTCGTCCATATGGATCTGACAAAGTATGGAAGTGTTGGACAGACAAAGCATGTGTGTATGAAGAAATCACTACCGTGAAAGTGAAAGAGCCCAAGAGAAAAGCTGCCTTGAATGTTGATGAGAACATAGTTATATTGGGTTGCAAATGTCCAGGGCCATGAAGAACAGCATGACAAGAAACGCTTGAAAGGGTCAAAAAGGAGTCTTCCAAGTGATCAAGACAATGGCAGGTGCCGCTGTCAACCTACACCGAGGCATCTTTTGCTCATGTCGCGTTGATGAACAAACAGAACTGTCCCAGAACACCATTGCAAGCAGCGAAGTACTGCTATAAATCAAGGATCCAAGGTATTATCATTATCATCTTCATCTTCAACGTAGGCAGCATGGTCCCCGGTATTTGTTTTCGTCTCGGCACCAGATTCAGTCTCAGTCGCAGCGCCTTCATCCTCCCCTGGAGTCTGCTCGTGTGATTCCTCATATTGAATAGTCCCCGTGGGAGTGCGCTGTGGTCCCGCAGGCCTGGATTCATGGACTGACTTGCCCTTGCTTCCTTTGTTGGTCGATAATGGATGCTCGACTTCGCTCTTGAGCTCTGCACCAGAATCTTCCACGAGGTGCGAAGAGCGAGGACTGCACTCCTTCTTGGCCCGGGCATGAGCACGACGGATAAGCCGGTTGTGGTAGTCTTCCTGTTCGACCTCGGGATCTTCGTGAAGAATACGACGAGCAGCTTCGCGGCCCACAACGGGGAGTCGGTCGACCCCTTGCACATTCTTTGGGACTAGTTTGGGATCGAGAAGTCCAACCTGCACGAGTACACTAGCTTGATCCCAGTACACATGCTCTGAGTAAAGACGCCCGGCACGCATGCTGACGATACTGACCAAAATAATCTCAACGCGCCTGTTGGTTGGCGGCACCCCCGGCAGCATCCATGGGACTTCCTGGGTGTGTTCGAATGCCACATAGAGCTCGTCGACTACACGGTCTGCTCCCACGGTACGAGATAACAACCGGAGTCGCATGGATGGCGGCAGTTTTCCAACGAAATAGTGTTCGTAGAAACGACGCAGGGCCTGTGAACCAATGCCGCCGCTCAATGTTGGGGCGTACGTAACAGACGGTGTTTTATGCTCCACATACCCAGCCATCGTCTTTGCAATATTCGAGGCGAAGAATTTACCTGGCATTGAGTTAGCCAAAGTGGGGTTTAAGGGATTTCCGTCATTAACTCACTTTCTTCGTGCAGCTCCCAACGTCTCTCCAGATCCGCATCCCTGGAAAAGCCCTTCCTTACAACCTGCAGTGTCCTGGTCCAAGCAAGTTCGCACGCCAAATGGTCATATTCATCGAGGTCGTGCTCTGCAAACCCAGGTTGCGCAGAGTCGTATGTGAACGCCGGATATGCTAGTTCCAAGCGCCCACCAGTCCCGATTCCAAGGTTGATCGGTCGAGTCCTGCGGCGCTTCTTGCCTTGTAGACCCAACGCAGTGGGGATGGTGGTCACATCCACTGACGTACCCGCGAGGTGCACCAACACTTGAAGGGAGAACGGGAAACGAGATCGGGTATCGGGGATGTTGCTAGGATAGTACGCGACAAGCACACAGAGACGACTGGCATTGGTGGGTTTGAGGTAGTAGTCAAGACAGTAGTTTGCGGCATCCCCGAATGCTATGCAGGGTTAGCTATGGCTGCATCAGCGAAGCTGGGACGGACGGGGATACATACCAAGTACCCCGTAGTTCTCGCCGACACCAAGTCCGTTTTTGATGGACTTGAGCTGGTTTTCATATTCCTTTCCACCACCATCATAGGGCAAGTAGACAACATCGAAACCCTCATCTTGCCAATTCTGGATGGTCTCCGTATCGAAGTCGGCGGTCTCGGCTGTGATGCATAGACGTGCATTATTTGAGCCGTTGTTGTAAAGGAATCCGGTGCTCGCACCCGGTGCACTGATTGAAATCGTGGCCATTTGCTGTTTGTGTGGTCCTCGGGTATAAAGCGCCTGGTGGAACTATGTATGCTGTTCAGCGTATCGATCTCGTTGCAGATGCTCCTTCTCGATGGAACCTCAAGAAAAACGCGATTGCTCAATTGAGCTAGGTAGATTCAAGTGTAAAATGGGCTTGTTCATCGGAATCAACATCAAGACTCATGAATGTCGACCGTGGAAGCAAGCCGTTTGACAAGTAACGGCCGCTACGTCATTGGCGTCGTGCGACGTCATCACCGATACAACCGTGGAACGGCCATTTAATTAATTTCGAGATTGTCAGGAACAGCAAAGCATTAGAAATGATATACAGAGAGAATGATCAATTTAAATAGTCAAGTAATGACCATGGGGGATGTAATGACTTCGGTTAGCATGTCATCCTCATAGATCGATCTCCAAAGTCTTTATCCGCTGAAATAATCCCCGATGATTCGAACGGTGTTCCCGGGGGTTTTTCACTTGATGAATTTTAATTTGGCCCTGGTCAGCTTGATCCATGGATAGAGTACCCTGGCTTTAGGACTATGAAATCTTTCTATCTCTACCATCTGGATGTTTGTTCGCCCAAGCAATCAACCTGAAACATGCTGTCATCACACCAGCAACGGCGCAAACTTGATGTTAATTTTCTTTTTTATGACCAGCCCATCTACAACAATTTACTTCAACTGTGGTAGGTCCAATTTAGAAATCCCCGCGTTACAATCGAGGATCTACGTAGCCGAGTGAAGCCACAGGATCCAAGTATTAGGCGTGTGTTGAGAGCCCTAGATCGACGATTATAAAGTCGGTCTCATTCCGAATAAAACAAAATCATAAATTCTCCGTGGCAAATGAAAAAAGATTTCTGAAGTAAAAATGTCGATTTTCCTGGTGTCGATGGCCTAATACAAAAAGAGGATAGAAGAGAGCGGAACCTTCCACACTTGCACTTCTTCCCCTCCTCGCCACTCGCTTCAACCATCCCTGCTCTTCCTGTTCAACACAGCGAGCGATGTCGCTGGTGCAGCATGTCTCTGCTCTCGAAGGCTTTGATCGCGAGCCCGATCCAGACGCACCGGATGACTTTGCGCCCATTCGCCGTACGATCAGCTACGATGTCCTGCAGCCGCCCAGTCAGACTGTCCCTGTCGCCGTGCAGCGCCCAGGAACACCTGCATACAAGCACTCGGACATAAAAAGGATTGGTGAGCGCTTCGAGTGAACCGAGGTTTGGAAAATGGCAGGCTGACACGGCACAGTTCAGGTCGCAGTCACAGTTCTCACGTGTTGGAGCGCGTCAGGGATCGTGTTTGGCTTCGCTGCGCTGAAGCCGGTGCTCGTGGCCGAGGGGGTCTACCATGATCGGTGTACTGACGATGAGTTGCGCGAAGGTATTCAGCTATGTTCGCAACAGGATATCAAGTATGCCTTACCCACCTCTGCTCTTCACCTTCGTTATCTAACGACTCTGAGACTCAACCTGTTCTTCACGATCGCTTCGATTACAGCCAATGTATCTGCGCTTCCGGTTGGAACTATTCTCGACCGCTATGGATCACGTCTCTGTGGACTCATTGGCTGCTTTCTCCTTGCCATCGGCAGCTTGTTCATGGCATTCTCGTTCCTCCGACCTCGGTTCCAGGGATATATTGCTGGCAACTTCTTCCTAGCTCTAGCGGGCACGTTTATCTTTGTTCCCTCGTTCCAGATTGCCAATGCATTTCCAAAATACGCGGGAACGATCGTCGCGCTCGTAACTGGTGCATTCGACGCTTCGGCAGCCGTGTTCCTGTTTTACCGACTCGTCTACGAGACATCCAGTCGATTTTCCTCCCCGGCCAAGTTTTTTCTCGGCTATCTAGCCGTACCTGTGCTCATCTTCATCGCACTGGTCACAATTATGCCCTCCCGAGATTATAACTCAACTCTGCAACTCGAGAGCAAAATGGAACGTGCAGAGGATGCCACTCGCGATGTACATGAGTCAGATGATGACATTGAAAACGAGGCTGACCTACAGGTAGTACGGAAGAAACGTGCCGCGCACAGAAAGAACAAGATGCGCCAGATCGATGGGGTCCTCGGAGACAAAGACGAGCGACAGCAGCGTGCCGACCGAGAGGAAGATCGCCAGCAGACCAGCCAGGTCTGGGGTGTCTTGCATGGACTGCCCGCGTATCAGCAAATGGCCACGCCCTGGTTCATTCTGATCACACTTCTCACCGTCCTGCAGATGGTACGAATGAACTACTTCATCGCGACCATCCGGGCGCAGTACGAGTATATGCTGGGATCAGTCGCGCAGGCTGAGATGATCAATAGTGTCTTTGATATCGCATTGCCGGTCGGCGGGGTTCTATTCACGCCATTTATTGGGTTTCTACTTGATCGACTCAGCGTCCCTGCTATGCTCGGCCTTATAGTGGTCTGCACCACCGTGATTGGGGTGCTGAATTCTATCCCGACAGTCTGGGCAGGATACCTGACAGTTTTCTTTTTTGTTTTGTTGAGGCCCTTGTATTACTCGGCCATGTCGTAAGTTTTCTCTCCTATAAACATGCGATCCACAAATACTAATCTGGTTTTAGCGACTACACTACGAAGGTCTTTGGCTTCGCCACTTTCGGCCGAGTTTATGGAACTATCATTTGCTTGTCGGGTCTCGTAAATTTCTCTCAGTACGGGCTGGATGCTCTCACTCATCACAAATTCAACGGCAATCCAATCCCAATCAATGGATTCTTGGCTGTCGCCGGACTGGTCGTGGGTATTGCTCTTGTCAGCTTCGTCTGTGTGGCAGGCAGGCAGATGAGAGAGCACGAGGACGTGGACGAAGAGCGCCAAAGATTGATCTTGGAAGAGGATGATGACGAATACGACGAACCACAGCGTTGGCGTTAGTAGCTGTATAATATGACCTATCAACCAGCATATTTGGAATCATATTCATTTTGCATCACATCCAAATGCCATGACTTGAAAATGATTGCTGAAGTCAATTCATGATGTATTTGCTGCCCGAGAACTATACCCCTATGGAAGACGTCTTTGCTCGTATGGATCTAATTTTTTCTTTTTCTACAGGTTACACATATACGGCGATGATATCAAACCCGATGCATGTCGGCTAAATGATGAGCAGCAACCAACCTCCAAATACCGGGACAGATATAAACCAGGATAAGTGCCGCGCCGGCAGTGGTCTGCCAAGGTCGGGAAGCCGAGGCATCGAAGAAGCCAAGGACATGCAACGGGTGGTTTTCTTCGTATAAAGCTGTGGCTTAACCTTGCTGTCAACACCTGTTCTGCACTTGGAAGTATACCAACTCTCTCGGTGGAGCTGACCAGATGGGGAAGTGTGGCCGAGAGTGGAGAGAGGGAACGTGCGATGTCGATGTAGAAGATGTTCTTGATACCACCACGCTACTCACTACTGCGGTATTTCGCCGGGAAATCTATAGATTTTACCTTTGGTGGGCCAGATGGATGACAGCATCACAGCACCATGGACCTTGGAACTTTTTCCCTCCTTCCTCATTGTCCCCGGAAAATTCCGCGACAATAAACATCGGGGGCATTGCCAAGCTGCCCAGCTGATTTTCCCCGCATTTGGACCCATCGCCATCCCCAGATCGTCGCTCCAACAGAATCACGCATGGCCTCCGTTGGTGGGGGCGCTCCCCCATGTTGTCGGAGAATTCTTCTGCATTTCGCCAGTGTCCCGAGGTATCTCCTTGGTTTCTGTCGGCTATTTTACTCTGGATCAGCCATGCTACCTTGCTAGGCATGTCTCGGCGAAGAAAAAGAAAGGTTGGATTAGGCCAGTGCAGTGCGCATCAACAGGTCATCGGAGTTGCAGCGATGAAGGATTATATACCCTGAAGGAATGCCCCTCTCCAGAGATGAAACGCGGAAATACAATATCTATCTTCCTTGCTTTACCAACTTGGAACTCGCTTCATTTCCCTGTCTTTCTCTTCTCTGAATTCCATTGTTTCTCATCCCGGGCAATATGGCGCCCATCGACGAGAAGCCACCGAGTGTGGACCGCATCGAGGACGTCGCCCAAAAGACCGCCCTCAGCGATGAGGAAGAGGAGTTCACCCCCGCGGAGCAGCGAAAGATTATCCATCGCGTGGATCGTCGGCTGGTCACCATGACCGGCCTGGCATACTGTATCTCGCTGATGGACCGCACCAATCTGAGCATGGCTGCCATTGCTGGGTAGGGCCTTTTTGGGGTAGCTCTATTTATTGCCCCTGTATATTGCTAACAACTCGCATAAATAGTCTCGTCCAAGATCTCGAGCTGGATAAACATGGTCGCTACGTGCGTACAAGCTCCCGTGGTTGTGTCTTTCTCTGGCTCACCCTAATTGCCGACACAGTCCATTGTCGTGCTCATGTTCTTCGTGCCCTACATCATCTTTCAGCCACCCATGACAATCATAATTCGCAAACTGGGCCCGACTATCTTTCTGTCCGCTATCATCATATCCTGGGCAGTGATCATGATTGTAAGCGGCAGTTGCTGGGATCTACATCAACCGTCGATACTCTTTTGCTAACCATCGCCAGGGAACGGGCTTTGCTAAAAACTTTGCCCAATTGACGGTCCTCCGTGTGCTGCTTGGTGTCTTGGAAGCGGGCTACTTCCCTGGATGTGTTTATTTATTGTCATGCTGGTACACGAGATGTAAGTGGTCTATTGCCTTGCAGTTCGGGTTCCACTAACTCATATCTTGAAGTCGATGTTCAAAAACGCTTCTCGATCTTCTATCTGATCGGCTGCGTTGCCTCTGCGTTGTCTGGTATCCTAGCATTTGGCCTGATGCAATTGAATGGTGCCCACGGGCTGGGAGGCTGGCAGTGGATTTTTATCCTCGAGGGCGTCGTCAGTCGGATCACTTCACTTGATATTCTCGGTAATTAACGTTGTACCAGATAACCGGCGCGATCGGCCTTCTCTGTTTTGTGTTCTTGGTCGATTTCCCCGATCGCGCACACAAGTCCTGGCGGTTCCTGAACCGAAAGGAATGTGCTTTCATTGTTCGGCGCATCAATCAAGACCGGAATGACGGTGACCTGGAGGCATTCTCGCTCAAGAAATTTTTGAAACCTGCCCTGGACCTTAAGATATGGGGATTTGCAATGATCTTCTTGTATGTCTAAGCGCTTTCTCTCTCCCGCTGCTTGTGGAATCACCCTGCTAACAATCTATTGTTTAGCTGCATCACAACAGTGACCTACGCAATCGCATACTTCCTCCCCATCATCCTCCGCGAAGGCATGGGTTTCGGCGTCGGCGAAGCCCAATGTCTCGTGGCACCGCCCTACGTGCTGGCCGGTATGGTGATGTATTCCACCGCGTGGGTCGGCGATCGGTACCGCACGCGAGGACCCATCCTGATCGGCAACGCGCTACTGTGCATCATTGGACTACCCATGATGGGATTCGCCAAGGGTGACGCCACCCGCTATGCCGGTGTGTTCTTAACTGTCGCTGGCGCCAATGCCAATATCCCGGCTTGTATGGCGTACCAGGCGAATAATGTGCGCGGTCAGTGGACGCGCGCCTTGTCGAGTGCCACGCTTGTGGGTTTCGGAGGGCTTGGGGGGATTGTGAGTAGTTTGGTGTTCCGGGAGAAAGATGCGCCTGGGTATCTGCCCGGGATGTATGCTGCCATTGCGTATGTCTTTCCTTCTTAACCCTTGTTGGGTGTCTTTTATTTTCCTTGACTGTGGTGCTAACTTCGAATGCTCAGCTGTAATATTTTGATCATCTTAGTCGTTCTGGCCTTGACTCTCTGGTTCTGGTTTTCTAATCGCCAGGCCGAGCAAGGAAAACGGGTTATTGAGGGTGACTCTCGGTTCCGGTATACCTTGTGATAGAACTGAATCAATAGGGACTGCCAGGAAATCTATGGACGATATTGCTACCATTGAGTCATAGTACTGAAGATGTAGATGAAGATGAAGGCGAGAGGTATCACAACGTTCATCTATTTCACCAGACTGGCTCAACGCCATATATTGCGGTTCGGTCAATCCTTTGGCCCTGTATAGCCTTCCCACCTATTGGGGGGGTGAGGGTTACTTAGACTCGAAAGACACACAGGACTCACCTCTTATCCTTTTGGCAAAGAATAAGAGTCTGGGCATAAAAAGCGGGGATTGGATACTTTATTCTTTCAGTAGAAGTATTGCAATTGCAAATATATGCGGTAGCTACCAGAATGTACGGGTACCTCGAGAGCTTTAATCCCGGCAAGCGGGAAAATAAGGAGCTCCAAGAATTTGCCCCACGGCGGGGCCACTCGAGCAGTTTTCCGACGGGAAACTGTCGGAGTGAGTCTCCGCTGGGCCATGGGTGGACGCAGATAGCCGCCCCATTGGTCTGATAAGCTCCTTATCAAAGCTCCGGTTGTTTCCCGCGCGGTTCCCCGTTTCCTCGGGCGAATCCAACAAAAAAAGAGGGAACGTGAATGATAAATATGATTTTTCTTTATCTTCTTCGTTGAGCTTTGCTTCTTCATCCTCACCTTGCCCCTTGCCCTTGCTACAATTTTGGTGTGTGGAGTGCTTTCTTCTCAACACACCCGGTAGCTCTCAATGGCGGCATCCTTGTTCGCCCTGCGCGGCGGTCGCCAGCTTGCTCTGCGGTCGCGCGTGCGTGCTCCGACCTCAGTGCGACCGGCGTCGCTGTCGCCATTTAACAGTACTCGCCGATGTCTCCATAGCTCGCAGCAACCGCCTGCAACGCGCCGTGGAGTCTACACTAGCTCTATCAGCGACCATGGCGATCCCCATCCCCCGGACCTTTATCAGCCCCTCGATACCTTCCCACGCCGGCATATCGGCCCCTCGCCCGATGCCGCGGGTGAGATGCTTGCGGTCCTGGATCCTCCGGCAGCCTCGCTCGATGACTTTGTGAAGCAGGTGTTGCCCGAGGACGTCCTTTCCAAGAAGGACCTGAAGGTCACCGAGCCCCATGCCGACATCAGCTTGTATCGCTCCAGTGTGCAGGGTGGTCTGGGCGAGACCGACATGCTCAAGCTGCTGGATACTTACCGGAAGCAAATTGACGTGTCGGGCAAGACCTACATTGGAACCGGCTACTATCCAACAATCGTGCCCCCGGTCATCCTGCGCAATGTCCTGGAAAACCCGGCGTGGTACACAAGCTACACCCCCTACCAGCCCGAGATCAGTCAGGGCCGCCTGGAGTCCCTCCTCAACTTCCAGACCCTTACTGCCGATCTGACCAACCTGCCCTTCGCCAATGCCTCTGTGCTGGATGAGGCGACGGCCGCCGCTGAAGCCATGACCATGTCATTTGCCACCATGCCCGTGTCGAAGCAGAAAAAGGCCGACAAATCGTATGTCGTGTCACACCTGTGCCACCCGCAGACCATTGCAGTGATGCGCTCCCGTGCCGAGGGTTTCGGAATTAACCTGGTGGTTGGGGACGTTCTGGCTGATGACTTCAAGCTGGTTAAGGACCAGGGCGACCACCTCATCGGTGTCCTGGCTCAGTACCCTGACACGGAGGGTGGTGTCTATGACTTTCAGACGCTGAGTGACTCCATCCACGGCCAGGGCGGTACCTTCAGCGTCGCCACCGATCTGCTTGCCTTGACCGTTCTGAAGGCGCCTGGCGAGTTCGGTGCCGACATTGCCTTTGGTAGTGCGCAGCGACTGGGTGTTCCAATGGGCTTTGGCGGGCCTCATGCCGCTTTTTTTGCCTGTGTGGACAAATACAAGCGCAAGGTGCCTGGTCGTGTAGTGGGTGTGTCCAAGGACCGCCTCGGTAACCGGGCTCTGCGCCTGGCCCTCCAGACCCGTGAGCAGCACATCCGTCGTGAAAAGGCTACCAGCAACATTTGCACTGCACAGGCTTTGCTCGCCAATATGACCTCAATGTATGCAGTGTACCACGGTCCTGTTGGCCTCAAGTCGATTGCCCAACGCATCATGTCCATGACCGCTGCGCTGCGTGAGAAGCTTGTTGCCCTGGGCTACGATGCTCCTATTCGGACCAACACGACAGACGGCGGTGCTGTTTTCGACACTTTGGCCATCGAACTTCCCAGCTCCGCCGAGGCTGATGCCATTGTGGCTGAAGCCCGCGCCCGGTCCGTTTTCTTGCGCCGACTTGGTGGGAACAAGGTCGGTCTCTCTCTTGATGAGACTGTGGGTCGGGAAGAGATCAAGGGGATTTTGGATGTCTTCGCAGCTCACAAGTCGGTGGATGCTGTTGAGGTCGACGGCCTGCTTGGCCTTGCTCCTGTTCCCGCCAGCCTGGAACGCACATCGTCCTACCTCACTCACCCCGTTTTCAACACCTACCACTCCGAGACCGAGATGCTCCGGTACATCCGTCACCTTGAGTCGAAGGATCTCTCTCTTGCTCACTCGATGATCCCTCTGGGATCTTGCACCATGAAGCTCAACGCTACTACGGAAATGATCCCTGTATCTTGGCCTGAGTTCTCGCAGATGCACCCATTCATGCCCGCCGATGTGGCCAAGGGCTACACACAGATGATTGACGACTTGGAGCAGCAATTGGCCGACATCACCGGTATGGCCGAGGTCACCGTGCAGCCTAACTCGGGTGCCCAGGGCGAGTTTGCTGGTCTGCGTGTGATCAAGAAATACCAGGAATCCCACGGTGGTTCCAAGCGCAATGTCTGCTTGATCCCTGTGTCGGCTCACGGTACCAACCCGGCTAGTGCGGCCATGGCCGGTATGCGGGTTGTGACGATCAAATGCGACACCAAGACCGGCAATCTGGATTTGGCTGACCTGAAGGCCAAATGTGAGAAGCACCAGGACGAGCTGGCTGCCATCATGATCACCTACCCCAGCACCTTTGGTGTGTACGAGCCGGGCGTCAAGGAAGCCTGCCGACTGGTGCATGAGCACGGCGGTCAGGTGTACATGGACGGTGCCAACATGAACGCCCAGATTGGACTGTGCTCCCCTGGTGAGATCGGTGCCGATGTCTGCCACTTGAATCTGCACAAGACCTTCTGTATTCCGCACGGCGGTGGCGGTCCCGGGGTCGGGCCCATTGGTGTGGCGGAGCACCTGCGCGCGTTCCTGCCCTCGCACCCGACCAGCGAGTACCTCCAGTCCAAGCGTGATGAGACGTCTTCGCCGCCTATCAGTGCCGCCCCATGGGGCAGCGCCAGCATTCTTCCGATCACCTTCAACTATATCAACATGATGGGCGACCGCGGTCTCACACACGCCACCAAGATCACTCTCCTCAACGCCAACTACCTTCTCTCGCGCCTCAAGGCCCACTACCCAATCCTGTACACCAACGACCACGGCCGCTGCGCGCACGAGTTCATCCTCGATGTCCGTGCTTTCAAGGACAGCTGCGGTGTCGAGGCCATCGACATTGCCAAACGTCTGCAAGACTATGGCTTCCACGCCCCTACCATGTCCTGGCCCGTCGCCAACACGCTGATGATCGAACCCACCGAGTCGGAGAACAAGGCCGAGCTCGACCGCTTCTGTGACGCCTTGATCTCGATCCGTCGCGAAATCGCTCAAGTCGAGCGCGGTGAGCAGCCTCGCGAGGGCAACGTGCTGAAGATGTCGCCGCACACGCAACGCGATCTGCTGTCCACCGAGTGGAACCGTCCGTACACCCGTGAGGCGGCCGCCTACCCCGTGTCATGGCTGTTGGAGAAGAAGTTCTGGCCGACGGTGACTCGTGTTGACGATGGTATGTTTCCTCCCCCCCTTTTTTTCCTACAAACTTTTGTCTTGAATGAAGCTAACTCTTGGCAGCCTTTGGTGACCAGAACCTGTTCTGCACGTGTGGCCCTGTTGAAGACACCGAATAGAGAGATCGATGATACCCATTCTGCGTTGATGACTTGGTTTATTTTAAACGGCGGACTATCCATTTGAAAGATTCGCCCCTTATGTGTATACATTCAACATTCCCCTATATCGCTTTGATGATGATGACTTGGTTTTGGTTTTGGCGCAGTAGAGCTAGATTGATTCAACATGAACCGGGCAGATGCCCGTGAATTGGGATTTTCCCCATACCTATTAAACTGCACCTGCTTATTACAAACAAAATAATGATATTTTCAATAACGGCACCACAGAAACTAAGTAGAGATCCCCATGATTGCCTCGGTCTCAGGCACGCCATTCAAGCCGAGCCGCCTCACGCCCTTATCAGCACCCCTCTTACCATACCAAACCGGTTATTTTGACCCTTTTGCACCGATCCCCCACGTATCAACGTATAGTACTGTATTCCCATCGGAGGTGGCCGATCCCCGAATCCACCGCGCAGGCTATCAGAGAGCGCTGTTGATCCTCCCACCAACTCACGCTGTCCCTGACTTCCAAGTTGCTGGGCGGAGTTCACTGCCGAGACTGAGACTAGCCAAAGAAGCAGGGACAACCCCTTGATCCTCGCTCCTCGAACAAGGGGCGTTGCTGGAATTGCTCGTTTGGGGAGTTCTTTGCTATCTCGTTGTGGCGCCGGCTGGTCCCGTCATCAAATATATAGACAGTGTCGCGGCCTGCTGGTTATTATGTCTGATTGATTCTGGTGGATTTTGTCAGGCGTGCATCTAGATGTGTTTCTAGATTGATGTTCCTAGATTTGTTTATTTGTCTCGTGCATATATATTTCGCTGCTTACATTCGCCGCCATGTCTGCATCGGGGGTGTATGATTACACTATTTATCGAGGCACATTCATTCACTTTGCACGTCTGCCCGAGTCAACACCTACGACACCGAAGCCGAAGTTATGTCGTAACCGCGGTGCGTTGTGGGTGTCTACGACAGATGGTCGCATCAGGGGCTTTGACTGGCAGGCACAAAGTGAAGATGCATTCCGGGAGTTGATGAGGCGACAAGGCTGGGTTGATGTCGATGCTTTCGAGATCTGGAAACAAGTCAACGGCCAGGATGGACATCAAGCGACCAAAGTGAAAATTGTCACTGCGTGCGACGAAAGAAACGAGTTCTTCTTTCCGGGGTTTATTGGTATGTTATCATACATGTCACGGATGACCACCAACAGTAGGAAAGGTTCTGATATCTTCTCCAGATACCCATATTCATGCACCGCAATATCCCAACGCCGGTCTCTTTGGGTCGTCCACTCTCCTGGACTGGTTAAAGACATATACCTTCCCCGTCGAAGCGGGATTCGGCGCAAAGTCAGAATCAGCGAGCGAGACGACTACGAGTCCCAGTGATGCACCGCTGTCCGCATTACGCATTTACGACCAGGTCATTGCACGCACCCTATCCCACGGGACAACCTGTGCATCTTACTTCGCGACCATCCATATCCCCGCCACGAACGCCCTAGCGAAACTCTGCCATCTGCGCGGCCAGCGCGCGTTCATCGGCCGCGTGTGCATGGACAACCCAGATTTCTGTCCTAGCTACTACCGTGATTCCAATGCCGAGGACTCGGTGCAGGCCACCCAGTCCACCATCGAATACATCCACACCCTCGATCCAAAGGGGACTCTCGTCAAACCAATCGTGACTCCGCGCTTTGCACCAACATGTTCCTGGTCCGCATTACAGGATCTAGGTAAACTGGCTGCAGGATATAACCCACCGCTGCACATCCAGACCCATATCTCAGAGAACACGAACGAAGTCGCTCTTGTGAAAAAACTCTTCCCTGAAGCTGGGAGTTATGCCGCCGTGTATGATACGCACAACCTGCTCACGCCACGCACTATCCTTGCGCACGCGGTGCATCTCTCGGCTGAAGAGCGCGCCCTGGTCCGCCGGCGTAACGCCAAGATATCACACTGTCCGGCTTCGAACTCGGCGCTTGGATCGGGGATTTGTCCTGTGCGCGTACTTCTTGACGAGGGTTTGACTGTTGGGCTCGGTACGGATGTGAGCGGTGGGTATAGTCCCAGTATTCTCGAAGCAGCGCGACAGGCCTGTCTTGCTTCGCGGTTGCTTGGACATAAGACTGGCTTTGAGAGCGGTTGTTGTTCTGTCCTTAATGGGTACAAGGCTGATGCCGTTGTTGACGGATGGGAGAAGCTCTCTGTTGAAGAGAGTCTCTTTCTTGCTACGCGTGGCGGTGCCGCTGTTGTCGATATGGCCGATAGTATTGGTGGCTTTGACCTGGGCATGCTCTGGGATGCGCAGCTTATTCGTCTGGGTGGTGTCCCGGACCTTGGTGGCAGTCCACTAGATCGGGATATTTCGAGTGTGCTTGGTGACAAGTCTAGTCTCGTCAAATCTGGTCCTGTGGGCAATGTCGATCTCTTTGGGTCAGAGATGTGGGAGGAGAAGATCCACAAGTGGGTGTGGAGTGGGGATGATCGCAATGTACAGGCTGTCTGGGTTGGGGGGAGGTTGGTACATTCTCGGGAGTAGTTTGGGATTTCTTTTCTCGGCTGTCGTCTGGGGTTAGTTTTCATATTTTGTATCCTGCTGAGCTATTTGATTGAAATTTGTTTGGGATATTCAATTCTTGTGGACTGGGCTAAAATATCGAGGACTCGATGCTCATCCTAACACTGTCATATTCAAAGCCATATCACTCTTTATTCACCCCTTCCATCTCATCCTACTTATGGAAACGCGTTGAATCAATCCTGCAGTCTATCAATCTAGTGGAAAAGCTCCACGCAATCGAAAATCGAAAATTAATTCATGTCAGCCACTCCCCCAAAAGGCGAAGACATATCCAGTTAGATCAAACTCGCAAAGTTAGGGCTGAGAAACGTATCTCCCGCTGCCCGAGACAACCGAGATAGTGATCTATCAGTGATCAGCAGTGCATCCAGATATGAACCTTACAAACTGAAGACCCTTACTGTGTTGGATCCTTGTACAATCGTCCCAGCAAGAATAGAGACATCATAAACCTCACCCAAACCACGATACGCGCCGCTAGATTGATTTGTAGCTATTTATAAATATAATTATCTCCTTATTTTAGTATAGAATAACAATTAATACTATTTAGAATACTCTTTAGGAGTATAGTATTAATATTACTTTTCGTACAATTTAAAATCGTCTTCGAGAATAGTAAATTCGATAACATACCTTTAATATTATATAAAACGAGAGTTTATATACTCGTATAAAGACCTTAATCTCTAAGGTTAGATTATTAATAAAAGAAATCATTTAGATTCTTTATAAAGAAGGTTACTAAGTATTAGATTATAGGTTTTATACTACCCGAAAATGTCTTAGAATTTAATTTTGTGTAGATTGCTTAGTTTAGTGATATCTATAACTCCGGATAATTAAGATTATATTAATTAAAGAGCTTAGGTTTTTGTTTTGTTTAATTTCCAGTCATTCTTTTCTTTTTTTATCCTCCCTATCTTCTTTACCTTTCCTGTCTGCTCCATTGTAAACATCATCATACAAGGATGCGGTCTACTACTGACGGACACATTTGACCCAGGCTTAAGTATTTCTCTATTGATTATCATATCGCTCCATAGTAATAAAAATAGAAATTAAATGATAGTCTTTTTTTACTTACATGATACCAGGAGATAATCTAGGAATCTTTCTCTCAAGCATAACCTTAACATCCAGAAGAAATCTATTTCTATAACCAAGAAAGAACTTTTATAACCAAAACTAAAAAGCCTCCAGATGGAAGCTACACTAGTCAAAGATAGACGCTTTCATCGAGTTGGGCTGAATATACTCTGAAGCATTGCGGAAGCTGGTAAAGCCCCATCGGATCTGAGCCGCCATGCCAATCTCAACATCCAAGTCCTTGGCAAAGTGCCACACCAAGCCGGTATCACGTTGGAATGCCCGGCCAGCCATAATCACATCAAGGTTGTCGTCTTGCAGAACCTTTTCGGCAAGGTGGCCATTGTTGATCATCCCAACAGCGGCGACCAGCAAGCGATCGCCAACGGCTTTCTTGACGGCCGCAGCAAAGGGAGCCTGGAACGCGGGACCGCCCTTGATCTTCTGCGCGGCATGCACACCGCCGCTGCTAATGTCAATAAGATCGATGGCTCCTTGTTCGGCGAGAGCGCGAGAGAACTCGACCGTATCTTCGACCTTCCAACCCTTGTCATCCGGGCTCTCGAGCCAGTCTGTAGCGGAGACGCGCAGGAAAACAGGTTTATGGGAGCCAACAGTATCGCGTGTGAGTTGGGCAATCTCAAGAGTTAGGCGCATGCGATTTTCGAAGCTACCGCCATAGGCATCGGTCCGTTGGTTGGAAGACGGGCTCAAGAATGAGGAGAGGAGGTAGCCGTGCGCGGCGTGGATCTCGATAAAGTCGGCGCCGGCAGCGAGTGCCCGCTTCGTGGCTGCCACCCAGTCTTCTTTGAGGTCCTGGATTTCCTGGGCATTCATTGCATGAGGGACGATGTTGCCCTCGGCGAACGGGATAGCACTAGGTCCCTTTACATTGTCGACCCAACCACCCACAGCATCTGTCGCAGTACCTCCACCAACCCAGGGAGGAAGGGTAGATGCCTTGCGTCCGGCATGGGCGAGCTGGACACCGATCTTCTGTCCTTGACTATGCGCGAAGTCGATTACTTGCTTCAGTGGGCCAATCTGCGAATCCTTCCAGAGACCCAGACAGCCGGGGGTAATGCGACCCTCGGGTGATACCCCGGTTGCCTCGACGATCATCAATCCAGGGCCCCGTTGAGCGATTCCTCCATAGTGGGCCTGGTGCCAGGGTGTGATGTGCCCGTCGTCGGCGCTATATTGGCACATGGGAGCCAAAGCCAGGCGGTTCTGGAATGTCGTTCCGCGAATAGTGAATGGGCGGAAGAGCTTGGGGATTGGCTTGCCACTCGTTTGAGGATCACGCGCAGTGCCGGCTGCAGGAGTCTGGGCTGGAGTATAGAAAGGGACGCCCTTAGCGGGCTGGATGTGGATGTCGGGCCAGTTCGTCATTTCAAGTATTTGGGAGGGAGGTCAAAGGAGATATCGAAAAGACTTGACAGGAGTAATGATGAGTTGCAAAATCCCCGGGTGGTTGCTTTGCCCCTTTATATGGACGGGTTCTCCGATTTTGAAGCTGATAAACCACATGGTTTGTAATAATCGAAAAAAATATCTGCAGTGTATAGGAAAAATTCAATGGCGTGCTGGGCATGAGATACACACTAGAATCTTCATCGGCATAATTTCTCAGCATTATCCACCCAAAAGTCTCCGAGATCGTAGTTTGGCTCGGAACGGAGCGATTTTGCCCGCAATAGGGCGTAAATGAGGGCGTGGGTGACCCACTGTGGCGGATTTGGGGTTCGGGATATGAAGAAAGTGCTGACATCGGGAGTCTGTTGGAGGGAAGATCCGTCTACTTGCAATAAACATTGCGGATGGCGCTGAGTATATGATTAGCACACATTGTGGCTTCGACTTCGGAGGGCAAAAGAGAATAAATAGTACCTTGGTGGAGGTAAACGACGTTGGACTGACATAATAGCTCTCTCTACGTTGACTCGACGCAACTAACAATCTACTCACTTGGATGGAGAGAAGTTTCAGATTTTCGAAAACAATTCAGAGAATGATGCACCTTGCATGATTCGCACCATGGAATTTCCCCCCCGGATCCATCATCAATCGCTACAATGGCACGCAACCAACCAGCATACCCGAGCAATAGAATTACCAAATATTTTATTTTGACCCTACCCAGCCATCAAGTCCACTTGGATGCTACGTCTCAACGAAAGATGCCTCTGATCCTGCACTTGCCTTGGTGCAGACTGTCACCGCAACCCAGGCATGGGCCGTGAGTGAAAGGGAGGGGCTGGAACCCCGAGATATATATCCCTCTTGTTATGCGTCAACCATAGACGAGTCATGGAGCCGAAACGCGGGAATTTTTGGAGTCTACCCTCGCGAGGACGGAGCTGCACTGCCCGACGGAAAGATTGAGATCGTCTTTGCCGATCTCTCCAACAGATTTTATATGCCAAGGGGGTTGCGCCGCAGAGTAGGTTGTTCGTTTGAAACGCATCACAAAAGGAAACGGTGCATCGAGGATGTGGAGGGGAAGGAATTTCGTGGTTCAGAGAAATCAAGTCGCTTTACGATTTGGTTTGTATTGTTTGCAGTAAACAAGAAACAACCCGTGCCTGGCAGCTGTGAGGCACTGACACCGCCAAAATAATTTGAAAGTACTTATTTGCGTTTAGCCCAGGCTCTAATGATTCGGGCCTAAGCGAAGCTGAGACTAACGAAAGTAACGATCATAAATAAAGAAAACAAAGTGTTGCGGTACTTCTACATTTTTGGTTATTAAAGCAAACTTAGTAGGCAGAGCACCCTAGTTGAAACGTACCGATAAATCTATAAAAAGTTATAGAATCTCTCTCGGTCGGATTTAACAAGATAGTTTGCGTAATGTTTCTTAAGAAATAAATAGCAACTTAATATAGGCGTTTTGGAGCATAACGCTTAAGAAAACAAAAAAAAACATCATTTATTGTTGACTGCCAATATCTGGGATAACTGCATCATAAAACTTTAAACTAGGCACTAAATTAGATACTACTTAGCTATATACTAAATATAGAACTATTTGCCCCGGGTCTATTACTACTATTATCCTTTAGTTTATAAGACTTACAGCGATATTTAGGGCAGATATCACGGTAGTTTATACTAGAGACTTTTGTTATGTCCCGGATTGGATTGTAAAAAGTTGGTAATATATAGCTAAAAGCCTCTCTCCATATATATAATATAAAATATCTATTCGATATAGTTAATAAATCTCGCAATACTTTAAAATAAATATTATTACTAAAATAGGTATTAATCTGTAAATTCGATTCAAATAGTTCCTTTATTAAATTAAAGATAAGGATTTATATAAAAAGTAATTTATAGAGAATTATAACGAAAGATAAAGAAGTTACTACTTTTATAGTCTAAATATTATTACTATATTTCTCAATAATCCTATTAATAAAAAGGTCTATATTTAGAAATTAAAAGAATTTTCATTAATAGATAGATACTAGTTACTACACTATATTTTCTATAGATTATAGAAATCGCCCTAATTACAGTAGAAGAAGGCTATAAAAGTCACTGGGAAATTCGGATTAGAGCTAGTCCCTAAGAACCCCTACTCGAATAATAGGCTACTATACCTATTAAGATATACACAAAGACCGATCGGACTAATCGGACTAATAAATTAGTAATATACGAAGTCCAAAGAAGGTTAACTGAACGAGATTTTAGAGATCTATATATGGTGTTTGTGTAGTAGAATTTCGAGAATTAAGGACTGTTCCATACGGGTGCTCGCAGTATTGATATTAGGGTAAATCACCTGATTCGCCAGATTCGACAGTTTGACATAAAATTGATATAAGAAAAGATAAAAAAATGGTAGAGAACTCTATGATTTGATAGGGTTCGCTTCAGCAGAACTAGTTTTAGCCAATAAGAGAGCCAATGTATACTTGTTGAAGCAATAGATAGCAAGACGTTCTCAGTCTACTTCATCACTGAAACCCTATCCAAAAGCCCTCTGCCACCAGGGCTTTGGTTTTAAAAGGTCTTGAGACCGTAATGGGCAGAAGAACCAACCCGCCAATCTGAGAGTAAAATGAGAACGTTCAATCCTGCTTTTCAAATCTTTCCTGATTACCTCTTTCTCTCCCTCTGGAAAATCGAAACCTCGAAAGCTGATACAGCACCAGCATTCTGCGGTGCAATGACCTTGAGCTTTCTTTCTTATGGATAGATGCCTCCGTGCACAGCATCCACATTCCCGGCTACAACAGCCGCCTCGATCCGAACAATCCTGAACCATCCCCTTGCGCATAAACCATGTGGTATCACGCCTTAACTGGTCATACGCTTCTTTGAAATCCGATTGAAGCATACACAGTGCTTGGTAAAGGGTGTACTCCTGTCTTGGGTATTGCTCTTGAGCCTCTTGAAGCTGTTGATTTGCCTGCTCAAGCTGGGCGCTGACAGACTCGGTAGCTGTACACTGGGTAGCTGTACTCTCGATAGCCATAGTCTTTTGTAAGGCTAGGACACGACGATGTAACTTTTCCTCACGTTGTGCCACTTCCCGTAGAGCATGCTCAGCAAGATATAAATCGGTCAACCTAAACTGACAAATTTCGTGTGACCCGCATCGCACAACTTCACATTTCTCGTCGCAGAATATGAACTTTTTCCCCCACATACTCCTATCGCGAGTGAATATAAGAATGGGGTAATAAAAACTTCTCGGTAATTTGAGTAGTGGGTCGAGACGAAGAAAAATATAAGCATTCAACAAAATAAGTGAATAAATCAAGAATAAGTGTGGAGATTGAAGTTGGAATCAGAAAGGATGTGGTATGACAGAAAAATGATTCACCGACTTCCTGGACTCCCCAGGCCGCCCAAAATCGACTAGTCAACTAACACCTCCCAGTGTGCAATACACACCGTGTACTTGTTCGGGCTTATTCTGTAATTATCCATGCATATTGCAAGCTACATGACTAGAAGTCACCACATCTCATATTTAAATTGCCATCAATACATCAATCATAATATCACATACCAGTCCTCAGATAAGATCCGACGCATACAGCCGAACCGGCACGCCTTGGTCGTGCATCATAGTAAGGTTGGACTGCTTGATAGGCTCCTGGCGGGGATGCGGATCCGCATTCTCAAGGGTGTCAAAATGCTGCAAAAGGCGGGCCACAGTATAACTGGCTTCCGTAAGGGCATATTGCTCTGTATTCGACATTAGAATCCGTTTATCTGTATGTCCCGAGTAGAGACCATGTATCAAGAAACAGGGCAAAGACAACTTACGTCCAAGGCAGATGCGCGGTCCACCATTGAAAGGGAGGTACTCCCACCCGTGCTTTGCATTCTCTTCCCAGCGCTCGGGTCGGAAGATGCGCGCATCCTTGCCCCAGAAGTCGTTGCGACGATGCATGGCGAAGACGTTGTAGGCGACCATAGATCCCTTCTTCACGTAGATGGGTGATCGCTGGTCCGGTCCTCCTCCGACGGGAAGGGAGGTGTTCTTGGTGGCGACACGGAAGTTGACCGGGACCGGGGGCTGAAGACGGAGTACTAGATGGAACCATTAGTGGCTTTTGCTTGATGTGATATTTGAGAAAGTGCACGCACCCTCGTTTAAGACATATCGCAGATATGAGACCTCCTTCAGCTTGCTCTGAGTGATTTCCACACGAGAGTTCTTGGCATCTCCGAACGCCTCGACAATCTCGCGGCGCAGACGGGCAAAGACATGTGGGTGTTGCGCAAGGTAGAAAAAGGTCGAGCTCAGCAGACTTGCCGTGGTATCTCGGCCCGCCAGAAGGATGTTAAGCATGTTGTCACGCAGCATCTTCGGGTCGTCGGTATCGGCAGCCAGAGCCTCGAGGAAGATATACCGGCCCTCCTTCTTCTCGGGATTTCTTTTGCTCTCCAGTGCAACATTGACATAGTGGTCGACGACTTCGTGGACACGACGATTAGCCTCGCGGAACTCCTTGGGGTTGACGAGCCAGTACAAGCCCTGGGCGCGAGACCGAGCAGCGAGGTAATCCTGGGCAGTGCCGAATGCTTCAGCAAAGCCCTGGGCGTTACCCACAGACGACTTTTCCAAAACACCGGTGGTCTCGGATGGTGGGAGCATGCAGCCGACAGACTCGCCGAACAAGAAATGGGTCGCCGAGTCCAAGGTCAACAGGAAGAACAGGCGCTGGATATCGAAGCTACTTCGGTCCTTGGGGATCAGGTCCACCAGGTGCTTGATGTGGTCATCCAGCAAGGCCAGATCTGCGACCTGCATGATGCAGTCAGTACCCAAATACTTGGGGGACATTGCAGGAGGGACGGTACCTGATCTCTGGTAAACTGCGGCCGCAGCAAACCGCGGGCATGCGACCACCCGGCTCCATCGAGGGTGAAAATACCGTCTCCGAGCAATGGATAGAATTGCTCGTGGCGGGTGCCTAGACAGAAATCCTGGAATTGTGTAGCCAAAATGGCCTTGACGTTTTCCGGCTCGATGGAGGTGATCAGATTCCGCGCCAGGAATCGCTGGGTGAAGGTGTTGCCATAGAGGCTATATTGATCGGTCAAGTAGTCGATCCAGCGCTTCTCGCGCACGGCCTTGGTGAGCCGGAAAAACGCGGGGATGCCGAAGAAATTGGATGAGCCGGCCGGGGCAGGCTGGCAGTGCAGGGATTTGGCCTGCTGGCGGTGCTGGTGTAACTGGACCAGGTAGCGCAGGATCACAAAGGTTGCGTACAGTGCGCCAAGCAGGGGGATGACGGGGCTGAGCAACATGCTGGAAGAGATCTGCGTGACTCTTCGATCTGAGATTTTATAGAAACCAAAATACGTGGGTAGAGATCGTATTTAAAAAGAGCAGACCGGAATCACAATCTGTGAAAGATATGAAATGCGGTGTTGATTTGCGCCTACAAAGAAATGAAGTAATTCCGCCAAAGCACCTCGGTTGTGCCGCACGTGAGAAAGTGAGGGATTGCGGAGTTGACAGAGGCCTCCTTCCACCAGATCGCCATTTATGCACAGAAGCTGCCGATCACTCTTGGCGAGCCCCAGCTATCCCGAATCCTCCCCAATGGCCGCAGTCCCTTTTCCCTTGAAAGCACGGCAACCACACTTTCAACGCCTCGTGAAAGTACGCGTTGGCAATCCGCCCCGGCGCAAAGGTGCTTTGCATGTCGAAGCAGTGCTCCGCATTCTCCATAATGTACCCGAACACCGTCCCCGGCCCCGTCTCCACATTGCACTTGGGGATATCCGTCGTGAAAGACACTCCCTGCGGGGCAAAGTCTTGCGTGGCCAGGGGAGACAATGTGCGCCACGGGTCGAATTCTCCGCCGCTCCAGTACACGTTCGATGGGCGGATAGTCCAGCCGCCCGTCTCGTTGTTCATGGCGTCGGCCCGAGGGTATTTGGGGAGAAGGCCCTTGGCCACCGCCTCGGGGAACTGGCGGTTGCAGGTGAGCTGGACATAGTTGAGATTCTGGTACCGAGACAGCAAGGAATGAGGTCCAAAGTTATTGCTTTGGAAATACCCCCATTCCGTGCAGTACTGCCACGCCCAACTGATGTTGTCCGGGTCGACCGACGGCGGGTTCAAGACGCACGACAGCGGCGCGCTTTGGTTGAACTGGTTGCAGTTGGTCTCGTAGTTGAAGTTGACCAGCTCCGTGAAGATCGGCCACGATGCAAATCGTTTCGCGACGTACTCTCTGCCCCGAACAGGCGCAAATCCATGCGGCCCTGCGACTTTCCCGGTCGGGTCGACCTCCAGGTGCTCGCAGAGCGATGAAATGCTGCCATCGCCCTCGCCAACACCATATGCCTGGAAGAACCCGTAGGCGCCCGCCAGGGCAGCCGTGAATTCACCATGACCGTTCTTCTCTGCTCCGGGGCCGAAGAAACGCTGCTTGATGGCTGCCGCGGCAGAGGCATTCTTGGCCAGCTCGCCATCGATGTACTGCATCGCCGCTCTCAAATCCTTGGTGCAATTAAGATATCCATTGGCCACCATCCCGGCATAAACCTGGTCGAAATAGACGCTCATATCAATGCGCGCCTGCACCGGCGCGGACGAGGCATATGCAGCGAAAATGGTTTCGGGGTATTCGTTGCGGGTGAAAGCTGCTCGCATGCCGGCATAGGAACCTCCCACCATCACCCAGGGCGTGGCATCGGGTCTCAAGTCAACGCGGCCATATTCTTTGCGGTTGAAGTTTTGCGCAAAAAACGGTATGTCAGCCAAAGCCTGCTTGTTGGTCAGGTACTGGAAATGCTCGGGCGGAGTGTCTTTGCTGATGGGAAAAGGCAGGGATTTTCCATAGTAGCTGGACGGTGTTAGTTGAATCCCATGAGCAGAAGGTCAAGTTACAAACCGGTGCTCCCAGGCAATACCCATGCCACCGAATTCCTCCAGCATGTGGTAAAAAAATGAAGTGTCATTCGCCAGATGATGCTCGGCTGCACTCTCTGCGTTCGACTCGCCCACATCGTACACAAAGACCGGGCCTCCCAGCCGATAGTGCTCATCAGAGACCCAGTAGCGGTTCTGGTAGGTACCAACGGAGGCATTGGCATGATCAATCGGAATCTGTGACACGGTCAGCGACCGCAATTGAATTCTCTATGATAGGACCTGAACCCACCGAGACATATTCCTCAGCAACCGCCGGCCCTGCACCCTCCGTGACCTGAGCATGCACCGAATCCCGCAGTCTCATGAACATCTCCGGATTGATTCCCTTCTCCGCAGAGAGCCTCAAGTCCCGCCTGGCCAGCGTCGTGGAAAGCCCCATAGCAGCCGCCTGGCCCGACAACGCCGCCAGGGCCACGGCAACGCGAGTAAAGATAGACACACGCATGTCAACGAAGTCCCTGAGCAAAGACCGAAAACGCAGTCCACAGCCCGATTCCAGAAAAAGTAATGTTGAGCATGACGGGCCACGAGGAGGGCAGCTATTCCAGAGTATATATGCATAACGGAAAACGGCAGTGGGGACATTCAATGTGGTTCAATGTGACCGAGAACAATATGACGAGAACAATATGTACAATATGTTTGCATTCATGGGCAGCTGCTGCAGTCATCCACTAGGTGGGATTCGGGATCTGACCAGCAGAGTGGACATCCGACTGAACCACCCGAGACTGAACCATCGCGTGCGGCTTGATCGGTGTGACCCCGGCATGCCTTGGCGTCGAACGTTGGATCACTCCATTTGCGGGTGTAACCAGCCATCAGGGTGTAGAAGGATACCGCGTAGATAGGAGTTTGACCCCCTTAGTCTCTACCAGTAGGAGTTTCTCGGTCTATCTACGGAGCTCCTCTCGGCGGGCATTAGTGCTATTATAGTGAGAACGTGGCGATTGAGTATCTGTCGGTGGATCTTTACTTTGGGAAATAGAATCAATAAGGTAGCCCGGAACAAGATAGAAGTAAACCATGGCATCGACCTGCAACCAAATCACAGTTAAGTGAGGTTTTGTTTCGCGATTTCTCAGGATATGTCTGTCCTCGCCCTCATTCGGGTCAGGGGACCCTGAATCCTAAAAAAAGGCACCATGTGGCTCGCCTTGACAGGCCAGGGTTGATCTCGACCCGAAACCAGGGTCATTTTGCCACGCATTGAGTGGAGACGTGAACAATAGGCGGGTCTTGATATTGTTCGGTTTAATTAACCGACAATCCAACACATGCCATATTAAGGAATAGGCAGCACCCTACCGCATGTTAATATTCCATTTGCATTGTCTATGCCTTTTCGTCTTTCCTTTTTTTTTTTTTTTTTTTCCTTGAAGGATTTCTCATGGGTTTGCCATCCCTTGATGGGTCTGGAATGCGGAAGACGCGAGCGGCGATCACGAGTGGCAACTGGACCCTTGGAATGCTTTAGAAACATTCGAGAATGTGTGTTAGGTGGCCCACCAAGACAACTCTAGAGCTCTCTATGGGTATTCAAGTATGGTTAGTAACTCGTAGAAGAAGAGGGTTTAAAACATCACTAACCAGAAGATTGATCAAGAATAGGGTAAAATGGCGATATATGACATCAAACCCATAAACCTGAGTATTTATATAATCAGCATACCTATATATTTTACCTCTTTATTTAATTTTTCGTTACATACTTGTCTACAGTGCCTTAGATAGCCTTACTTGACACGCCTTCTATCTAGTTTGTAGAAAATGTTATTCTAGCTCGGGATGGACGCAAACCACAACGGAAAACCAAAGTAGCATTCCCTATAGGTTGTATGATGGATAGTGCCCCTAAGACAATTTCTGCCAGAACATGAAGCTGACTTTATCCTTCTTGGTTGGCCTAAGGCATTCATGAAAGGATGAAAGGAAGGAACGCTGCCCCCCAAAAAAACCAAGAATTGAGATCTCAAGCCAAGTGGACGCAAAATAATACACTGTGATCTTGGCCGCACATTCTAGATTAGAGCTGAATAAATTATAGTACAATAAAGATGAGGTTTATATAAAGTCAGCTGTCAAATTATAACCCGCCAGCCATGGTGAAACAGCCAAGATCAGCCCTAAAGATACTGTTATGTTGATTGGCTAGTATCCGAGCGATGGCTCTTTGTCAGCCTCGTCCATGGTTTGATTGTTACGACTTGACAGTTTGATCAGAACAGCTTCAATTTACAGTCAATTTACATTTACTGATCTTTTAATAATAGATCAGTATCATATCAAATCAAATTGAAATTTAAAATATATGACAACTGGTAGTTATACAAATATTCAAGATCGGTGAAAAGCGATCAGAACTCAAATTATTCAACGATTTAAAGTAAATATAGGATCAAACCAAGCAATACTCGCTTTCTAGGGTTAAATTTACGCAAAGTTACAGCTGTGATCTGATGAAACGGGGAGTAAACATAAATAGAGAGTACTGCCCACTCGCGCACGCGTCGACGCGACCCCCCCCTCCCGTTTGTTTTCCCGTTTCCATTATGGCTCCCATCCAGAAGTCCTCGAAAACCTTGGAAGCCCTGGGAAAAGATTGGCTTGCCGCCTTGATCGGTGGCATTTTTGGCCTTACCGGGCTAGTTCTAATCCTGGTATTTTGCCGTTGGCTGGTCAAGTACGTAAACCCTACTTGATTTCCTCCGACTTGGATGTATTGTCGTGTCTCCTTAACTAATTAGATGTATGTGTAGACAGCGTTCCCGCCAAAACTTGCTTAATCGCCCACAAAAGCTCCTCAACTCGTTCTCCCTCGAAGACAACCGGGGGATAAAAAAACGGGAGAAACGGGAGAAACGGGAGAAACGCTGGTGGCGCCGTGTGATGCGCAAGATGCGCAAGATCCGTAAGTGATGTAGACAGTGCGGGTGCTTATAACGATACCTGTACTAAGATGTCTGTTTCTAGTCCGTGTTCCACGAATGACTTGGCTACAACATATGCTTAAGCCTCGGAACAACAGCCAAAATCCAGACACAACCCAGCCTTCAGAATCAACTAGGCGTTCAGACAATGGACAGGATTCGAACAATATCGAGCTCCCAAATAGAGGCCAGTCTTCAAACACAGTCCCGTCCTCGAACACAGTCCCGTCTTCAGAAACAGCTGAGCGTCCAAAAAATGGACAAAATTTGGACGGGAACCAGCCTTCGGGCACAGCTCAGCATCCAAACAACGGACAAAGTTTGGACACGGGCCAAGATTCAGCAAAAGCCATGCCTCATCTGACTGTTCTTTTCAACAGTTCCGCAGAGTCGGGTTATCTCAACAGAATTATGCAAGAAACTGTGGAAACCCGTTATTGTACCATCGAACTCCTTGCACCACCTTCCGGTCACAGTCTGCCACCCCAGCCTTAAGGACCCTGATGACTTCACCGGAATCAACGACGCCATTAAAGGCAAAGGGAAGGACAAAGGCTGACCGGTTCAACCACCTACCCCGGAACCGGCCGGGATGGTGGATTCCGCATCATCTTTTTCCTTACGCAGGCCGGCCCCCCTGCTAGTCGCTTATGTATTAAGCACACGCCTACCCCGGAACCGGCCAGGATGGCATTTATCTATTTTTATGGGCCTTGTTTGACTTGGTTTGGTGTTTTTGGTGTTGTGTTTTTATTATTATAGGGAATTGATGCTGTCATTCAGAAAGTTTCCGCTATTAGGGCGTACATGCTATTCACTCTTGACTCGCATCGTGTCCTCGGCCGAATGACTCCGTTAGCTACCACCAGCAATCGACGTCAACCAAAGCCAAGTCTCCGGGCTACCCTGGCGGACGTCGAATCCCTGCCATGCCACGTCATCGGACATCGGACAGGCTCAAGAAGTGATGACTCTGCTGGCTTTAACAGTTAGCTCCGTGGTCTAGCGTCAACCTCTGTTGGGTGAATCTTGGATAGTCATGTCCGCGGACTTTCACTCAAACTGCAGTGGCGGAGATTGTCGGGATTGTCGTCGGTGTCCGAGAGACCCTGAGTCAAGGAACAGTGTCATTGGGCATATTGTTCTCCACCGGCCTTGTTGACCCACTCGTCCATTCCGCTAGAAGCGATTTAATGCCGAGAATAATGCAAACCCTATTTAGCTCATCGCCGTCGATCCCAAGAGTTCAGGTTGGAGTTTGCGGACTTACGGTATGCCGACTGCTATGTGGAGGATCACACTCGTAGAATGGCTCTATGCCGGAAGAAGAGAAGAAGATAAATAGTCCTCGGTAGACCCTCGAAGAGTTCTCAACTGCACCAAACACAATTGCACCCTTGGAAACTTCTCATTCCCACTCTTCTCACATTTCAACCCCCCAAACTACCGAAGATAAAAATGCCTTTCCCCTACAAGCACATCCTGCTCGTCGGAGCCACCGCAGGTATCGGCCGAGCCATGGCCGACCGGTTCGTCGAAACCGGCGTCAAAGTGACCGCGGTTGGTCGACGTCAGGAGCGTCTGGATGACTTTGTTCGCCAGCATGGCGAAGACAAAGCCAGCGGCATTGCATTTGACATTACGGACAGCAAGAAAATCCCTGAGTTTGTTGAAAGGTCAGTACAAAGGCACTGTTGCTGTCACTTCTTGCATACCATACTAAACCCTCAACAGTGTCATCAAGTCTTTTCCCGAGATCGACTGCATTTTCTTCAATGCCGGCATTCAGAACACATACGACTGGAGTGATCCGGCCAAGCTTGATCTTGACAAATTCAACAACGAAATCAACGTCAACTTCACTAGCTTTGTGACTCTCACGCATGCTTTTCTCCCGTTCTTGATCAACAAGCCGGACCCGACGAGCATTATATTGTGAGTGCCACTGGAATGCCACACCTAATACCAACAATACTAATACAAACTAGCACCGGTTCCAACATCGCCATCGTCCCCGGTGCGCCTTTGCCGGCATACAGTGCCTCCAAGGCCGCGCTCAACGTCTTTGTGCTTTGCCTGCGTGAACACCTGCAAAAGACTAACGTGAAAATCATCGAAGTTTCTCCTCCGCCTGTACAAAGTGAGTATTCATGCTATGGTCGATAAACCCTCTATCTTAATTCATAACTAATACCAATTTTAGCTGAGCTTCACGACTACATGGGCGAGGAGAGGGGCCGAGCTCTCGGCATGCCCCTGGATGCATTTACCAACGAGGCACACCAGGGCCTGCTGGCTGGGAAAGATCAGATCATCGTTGGATCTATTGGCCCTGCGGACATTTTCAACGAAATAATTGACAAGAGGCGGACCGCATTCGACAATCTGGCTAAGATGTTCCGCTCTCACTAGATGAGCTGGGTCCCTTTTGACATCCCGCAGATATTAAATGCATTGAGTAGCCATCTATACCTTTCTACCATTTATTCTTATCCCTCTTGGATTGAGGTTTCTCTAAACAACTGCATAGAGATTCCGGTTTTGCGCCAGACGAGCAACAATCAGAAGTATGCCACCCAATAACAGCGAGACTCCAGAGTACACTGACATCGCGAGATACCCGTATTTTTCGACAAGCGCACCGCCAATAGGAACACTTGCCATTGCCCTAGAAGTCTCCTGTTAGATTTCATGAAAAGGATTTGGTCAAAGGATTAAGAACATACGATAGCGCGGTAGATCCCGATACACTTCCAATGGCAAGACCAATAGTAGAGGGTGTGGCGATCTGCGCAGCACAGGCTTGCTGCAGGGAGAGAATTCCCTTGGTTGCATTAGCTATATTTATTAACAAAGATCTGCAAGAAAACTCACCCCCGATGCAAATCCATACGCCGCTGACCATATCACCAAGCCCGCCACCGAAGTCACTTTAGTCCAGCATAGAGCAATGATCCCCGCGGAGAGCGTGGCCAGGATGCAGCAGTTAAGCTTCCCATACTTGTCGGCGACAATGCCCGGGAGAATGCGACCAAAGAACGATGCACCATTGACAATCGAAACAGTGTAGAAAGACAGGCTGGTGGAAAAGCCTTCCTGAACCGCGTAGGAGGTTGTATAGAAAAAGGGCGAGAACATGCCAAAATAAATCATGAACATGGCAAGACATAATAGCTGGAAGGAGCTCTGTCGGAAGAGTCTGAGTGCCACTGTTTTCAAGCCATTGGCCTTGCCCTGTGGTGCTTCATCTTTCTCGTCCTCGGTCTGCTGAGAAAGGCCACACTCCACCGTTCTCGTCGGCGCAGTAGGGGACCTAGCGACCACGCAAGAGAACAGAAAGCAAGGAATCATAATGAATCCGACAATGCGCATCGTCCACGGGAACCCGATCCGAGGGTTTTTGAGCAACCTGTCAATAGCCACGGGCCAAATAACGCCACCAAGTGACGAGCCCGCAAGCACAATTCCCATTGCCGCAGCCCGCTTCCGCTTGATGTATTGTCCGACTAGAGCAAGCATCGGCCATGTCACTAGCGCCATTGAAATCCCCAACAAAACCCCTTGGGCAAGCAGAAACTGGTAGAACTCCTGGCACAGTGAGGTCATCATAATAGCGAACACGGTACCAACAGAGCCCAGATATGACATGAGCTGGGCTGAAATATCAGTCATAAAAGCCTACTCACGGGGCTTAATTATCCTCACCTTTGGTCCGAACATATCCAACATGGCCCCGGACACGACTGAGATGCCAAATAGGAAAAATATGGAAACCGCAGCGATCCATGCAATTGTCGACTGAGGGCTCTGAGAAAGCTGCGCGGTCGCGTAGTACTCCTGGAAGATCCCGAAGGAGTTCAGGAATCCAACTGTGCTGAAGAGACAAGCGAACGCTCCGAAGATGGCGAGCCATGCTCGAGGCCTAAGAGTTATTAAATTGTCAGTACCAAAGATATGCAACAAATTCAGAGAAAAACCATACGTGTACTCGCTAGAAGCAGTCTCAGCAGACATGTCTGCAGTCATGTTGTCTTGAAACAAATTCGATCAATGCTGTCCCAAATGGAGAGAGGCTGGATGACAGAATTATTTCAAATCTGTAGACCCCTTGTTCTCGGCTGTGACTCTGTTTCCATGGTGGATTATCATCGCTTTTTGTACTCAGGCCTTGTTGATACGTCCAGAAATATTGTGCCCGGAGACTCCGAGGGTCTCAAGATGGAGCATATCAAATTGCCTAATCTGGACTAGCGTCTCGGACCCTCCGTGGAGTCCCCGGGCGGTCGCGATGCTGCCTTCTCCATGCAACACTGTTCATTCTTTGATGTGCATCCTTGGTCGAAGCAAAGAGCTCTGAGGTACGTTGCAGAGATGAAACGCAAATCTATGGAACCAGTTTCATCCGCAACGAAAAAACAGCCCCGGCAAGATCCTGTTTCGTGCGAATCGTGCCGAAAGAAGAAGTTGAAATGCGACCGCAGCTTCCCATGCAGCAGCTGCATAGCTCGCCGACTGGATTGTAGCTATGGTAGCTACGGTCCTCCGGTACTGAACTCCGCGAACGGTGGAAACCAGGCAGATGAAGAGCAATTGGGGAACCACATGGCGTCTGAACCACGCCCCGGCCCTGGTACAAGACCTCCCAACCCTAACGCCGAGGGACGAAACACAAATGAGTCGTTTCTGACGGCCGATTGGCTTGAAACAATCGTTATGGGACACCGCGTGCCGAGCGCTGTCCCCGCTCCCTTAAGAGAGGAACTTTCCCACCAGCAGCAACTTGAGAACGCGTCTCCATCGCAAGGTGCCCTGCCATCCAATCCATGGGCCACGATGCGCAGTGGCCATGTTGCGCTGCGCGAGAATCCCATGACAATCTATCTTCCTACCTACTTACCACCCAAGCAGGAGGCCTTGGGTCTTTTCAGGTTTTACTGCGATTATCTTGATTTTCAGTACCATATCACCATCGCCAGCCGCGTGGAGCAACAGATCAATGGGATCTACGATGGCATTGCGCGCCATGAACCCATCAACCTACATCATATGGCTCTCTTGTTCAGCATCATTGCCAGTGCACTCTATTACAAACTTCTGATCGAGGCGTCTGAATCCGCGGATGTTTGCAGCCGGGAAACCGTGTTTTTGACCGGCGCCGCTCTCATTCAGAGCAATCATGTTTCATACCCGAGTATCGAAGGGCTGCAGGCCACCATTATCGTCGGGCATCATTTATCGAACATGAACTTACACCCTTCCGTGAGCGCGTTGTTCACTCATGGGTCACTCGTCAGTCAGGCTAAAAGCTTGGGCCTTCATCTCATCGATTGCCCCCGGCACGCAGAAGAGAGGATGGCAAAAGGGTTCGACAAGACAGATGTTGAACTTAAACGGCGCCTATGGTGGGACTTGGCATCTTACGACTGGTACGTCCACTAAACGCCCATTGCACTTCTGTAACTGATCAAAATGGCATTGGCACAAGGTTGCTGGGGTTTCTCAGCGGGCCCCAAGAATTAACATATACGATCGACCCACGGCATATGAACGTGCGAGAGATACTGAATGTCGAGGACGACGCTATCAAGGACAGCGAGAACGGCGTGTCTGTTTCCACTCCAACATGCATGTCATATAGCATTACGCGCCTGGAGCTGGCCGTTGTGTGCCGGGAAATAGTTGACGCAACAGCTCCCGAGCATTTGCGCGGCCAAGAGATCCCCTACGAAAAGATCCTCTATCTGGATCGCCGACTCCACCAGGCCTATGCCGCGGTCCCGAGTTTCTTTCGGTTCGATCAGGCCTCCCGGCGCGAATATGCTGATCTGTACCGCGAGCGACCGGCACTTTCCTGGCAACGCGCCATCGTGCAGCAAGCGTACCACTCCCGGTTTTGTCGATTGCATCGCCAGTATTTTGTGCGGGGCGCCAAGGATCCCCGGTACTCTTACTCCCATGTAGTCTCTCTCCAGTCAGCGCGCAAAGTGCTGGAAGTGAAACGCATCATGGATGAGCAGGAGCCTCGTTTCGTGCCCTGTAGCTCGGTGGTCTGGGCCATTATGCATCACGTTTTCATGGCTGCCGTCATCCTGTTGATCGATGTGTGCTTCAATTGGGATGATATTCTCGCCGAGAAACGGAAGGAGGAGGTTCTCGACGCTTGTCGCACCCTCAGTCGCGCTCAACAGTCTTCTGCCATCGCTCGAGAAGGGATCAACGCCATGATGGGCATTCTGCGGCGACACTGGAAACAACAAAGGCGACCGGTATCTCACGGGCTTAATGCAGATACCACCGGCCCAGCTGGTCTGGATCTGGTAACATTCGGCGAACAGCATACTGTGCCCCCTGCAACCAATCTTTCGGGCTTGAAAGATGTTCCCTTGACGCAACAACCATCAAATACCCCTCCGCCATCAAATCCTTCCGTTCCTCCAAATCACGAGCCAAGTCCAACTCAACTCGAGGATCTCTGGACTGAAATGCTGGATAGTCGTGCTCATGCCGATCTGGGTACACCAGACTGGACGGACCTGTTGACCGAGTTGACGAATTTGCCGTGTGAGTGAATGTGCGGCTGGGCTTACGAATGTATGATTAGAGACCATGCTTTAGCAAATCGATAGATACCCCTGTCCCATTGAATAAACTACAAGTTGCGGTCAATCGAACCTAATGAGCCGCTTCTTTACTGCAGTGGGGGCTATCTCGACCGCCGCGCCAGGCAGACATGAGGCTCTTAAAAAGGTAAACAACCCCACTTGATAGGTCTTTCAACGTCAAACAACTATCCGCCCCAGCGTTTTGTCAAATGTCCATCTGATCATATTGTTACTTGCCCACAACTCAATCAATTCCCAGAATGACCAACCCCACATCATCAATCGACACCAACATCAACCCCGACATCCAAAGCATAGCCAACCGCATCAAAAACGGAGAAGCCACCCGCATTGTCGTCCTAACAGGCGCAGGAATCAGCACGGGAGCAGGAATCCCCGACTTCCGCTCCCCAATCACCGGCCTATACGACCGGCTCGCGCCACTGGGCCTGCCCTACCCCGAGGCAATCTTCCACATCAACTACTTCTCGCACACGCCCGAGCCCTTCTACGCGATTGCGCGGGCGCGCCATCCGAGGAACCTCAAACCAACCATCTCGCACGCGTTCCTGGCGCTGCTAGCAAAGAAGGGTTTGCTTCATTTCCTGTTTACTCAGAATATCGATGGCCTTGAGCAGGATGCCGGTGTGCCCAGTGACAAGGTGCTGTGGGCGCATGGGAACTGGAAGAGTCAGCATTGCTACAAGTGTAGTGCGCACTATCCGGATCACTTGATGAAGAAGGCTATCATGTCCGGTGACGTACCTTACTGTCTGCAGTCTGGCTGTGATGGGGCTGTCAAGCCTGATGTTGTATTCTTTGGGCAGTCTCTTCCGGCTGAATTTGAGGAAAAGGAAAAGGAGGTTCCGGATGCTGATTTGATGTTCGTTTTGGGGACGAGCTTGAAGGTGGCGCCGTGTTCGAGGCTGCCGGGCTTGGTCAAGGGAGGTACTCCTCGTGTTTTGATTAACATGGAGAAGGCTGGGGATATTGGGAATCGCGGTGGAGATGTGTGTATTCTTGGGACCTGCGATGAGGGCGTGCGCAAGTTGGCCGATGCGTTGGGGTGGAGAGATGAACTGGAGGGACTGTGGGCAGATGCAGTGGCTGCTAAAGGGCACGACGAAGAGTTGGAGAGTGGTCCTAGCTTGGATGAGTGCATTGAGAAGTTGGCTGCACAGATGAAGGACCGGATGAAGGTGTCGGATGGGCATAAGCGCATGTTAGAGAATCATTTGGGTAACAAGTTTGCAAATATACTTGCAAAAGGACCAGCGAGCAAATAGTCGGGTTGTGAAGTAAACATAAGTTGGAACCATTCATAGTCCTATCTCGGTAGTCCGAGCTTCAATCTTACGAGCCCAAATGATGCTTTGGCAATTACCTGATGGATCTATTCTTGGAATCAACCCTATTCAATAGTAACGTCTACCTTTCCCTTGTCTATGATAGCGTTAGTCGAAATTGTAGATTATTCACTTCGGATAGCACTCACAAAATGCCACATGGTCCTTGATATGTGCTGCCTTCTCGTAGGGCTGGGCATAGTACCATGCCGCATCCTGAATCTTGTTCTCTGCGTTTATATTAGCATCATTTACAAGCATTTCGCTCGCGCCTTTATTGTCTTACCTCCGATTTTGATAGAGTAATACTCTGCCTCTCCCTTCCAAGGGCAATAGGTCGTTGTGTCGGACTTCGAGAATAGCTCCTTATCTTTGATCGCCGAAGGAGGAAACTATAGATCGCACGTCAACTAAGGATAGTTTCCTTGTGGACCAAGATCTTCACGCACGTAGACGTTCCCCTCTACCGTCTCCCAGGCATTTGCCTCGGCGAGAACGACGCCATCTTTTACAGCTCTGGCGGTGGGCATTTTCAAGTTCGGAATTGTTGCAATAATAAGCGATATAAAATCAATGGTGCCTGTTCTTGTAGAGTTGGACGTTGAATGGATGTTGCGGTGTTATCGAATGCGGGGAAGAGTCGGCTTGGGGCTGGATTGTTGCGTGATGGACTTGCCATTTCAAAGCGCCAACGTTGAAGACTCCATGCTCCAAATGATTAATCCATGGATAGAATAATCTCAAATTAACAATCACCTGAAGGATTATATCCTGCAACTCAGCGGCCGACGCGGTATAGCCATCTCGATATCAACACCCTACTCTATCATGGATCCTCCCATCCGCCGAGTAATCACAACCGGCGGGGATTATTTATGATAGGAAGGAAATTGGTTTTTTTAACTAGCTATATCTACAATATTACTATATTATTTATTATCTATATGGTCTACGCTGTGTATAGTATTGGAACAAGTGTGTTCCGAAGATTCTCGGAACGCGGAATGATTCCGGTCGCATCCACGCCTTGTCCGTGACATCGCCAGGTTCTTCTGTCTCTTTCTTTTTAAAACCCCCTGGTCCTCTGTCCCTTATTCTCGTATATTTCTTTTCCCTCAACTCAATTCCTTGTTTCGGCAACACTCATAGCCCCGTTGCTGCCATACCCTTTGCATTGCATTGCCCCGCCTCGCATTTCACCCGGTTCCTGCCAGATGGATCGCGAACAATTTCGAGCTGCGGCTCACTCGGCAATCGATGATAGTATGCTCTCCTGCAGTTTCAGTTTCAAGCTAAACACCTGTCCAAACTAACTCAGCTCTCTCATAGTCGTCGACTACTTCGACACCGTCCCCGAGCGCAGAGTCCTGCCGGCCGTCGACCCCGGCTACCTTCGCCCATTGATTCCCGAGAACCCGCCCGCAGACCCAGAAGAATGGAGCCAGATCCAAGAAGATGTCGACACCAAGATCAAACCCGGCCTGACCCATTGGCAATCCCCAAACTTCATGGCATACTACCCCGCCAGCGTGACGTACCCCAGTATTCTGGGTGAAATGTATTCCGCCGCGTTCACAGCTCCTGCATTTAATTGGTTGTGCTCACCGGCCTGTACAGAAATGGAGACTATTGTTATGGACTGGGTCGCCAAGGCGCTGGCCCTGCCGGAGTGCTTCTTGAGTACGTCCGAGAACCGCGGAGGCGGCGTGATCCAGAACAGCGCAAGTGATGCTATCGCCACGATTATTGTGGCCGCGCGGGAGAGGCGCGTACGGGAGCTTGTTCTTGCCAAAGGTCTGAAGGAGGCTACCCCCGAATACGAGAACTGCAAGATGGAGGTCCAGCCGCGACTGGTGGCTATTGCCAGTGATCAGACCCATAGCAGTGCGGCCAAGGGTGCGCTGATTGCAGGGACTCGCTTTCGCAGTGTGACTGCCCGGCTAGAAGATAACATGGAGATGACGGGTCCACGTCTGCGCGAGGTTCTGGAACAGTGCGATAAGGACGGACTCGTTCCGTACCATCTGAGCTTGACCATGGGTACCACGAACACTTGCAGTGTGGACCGCTTTGCCGATATCAAGGCGGTGCTGCAAGAGAAGCCGGAATGGCAACGTATCTGGGTCCATGTCGATGCAGCCTATGCGGGCGCTGCGCTTGTGGCGGATGAATGGCAGTATATCGCCAAGGACTTTGCAGAGGGCGTGGACAGCTTCAATATGAACATGCACAAATGGTTGCTGGTCAACTTTGATGCAAGGTATGCACTAGTAGTTCACAGATATCCCAATGTCCGAATTTTTCTAACGTCTACAGTGTTCTCTACGTCCGCAATCGCTTTGATCTCACCAATGCTCTGGACATCACCCCAACCTACCTGCGCAACCCGTACTCAGATATGGGCACGGTCATCGACTACCGCAACTGGTCGATCTCCCTTGGTCGCCGGTTCCGTGCGCTCAAGATCTGGTTCGTCATGCGCAGCTACGGTCTGAATGGCATGAAAGCGCATATCCGCAAGGGTATCGACCTGGGCAATTTATTCACAGAGCTGGTCCGTAGCCGATCTGATCTGTTCGAGATTGTCACCAAGACGTCGTTTTGCCTGACCGTGCTACGTGTCAAGAATCCCCAGAGCCCGTCGAATGGAGCCAATGGGTCATCAGACGGTGTATCTCTATGCAAGCCTGATGAAGTGGCCGACGGTCTAACTAAAAAGGTGTATGAGTTGATTAACTCTCGCGGGGAGATCTTCATCACCTCGACTATTGTTGACGGCGTTTATGTTATCCGCGTGGTGAGCTCGAATCCTCTTGCCGAGGAGAAATATGTTCGTAATGCTTTTGATATCCTTGTTCGGACGACGATCGAGGTACTCCAGGAGCATTAAAGGGGGTTGGAGTATATGTCTGTCTGTGGGCATTGTATAGACTCTTAGATAATGTGATATGAGCATAATAAGACCTTACTCCCATCCAAGTGCAAGACAGGCATGTTTCGCCCCCACGCCCATCTCCCCGTGGAGACATGTTTCTTCGGACTTGATCCGACGGCTTCGTCTACCCCACGCGGGGTATCTAGCGTAGCCATCTCATCGACTGAGATTCTCATCTCTCCGCCGTCAGCAACGCCAGTATAGGATATGTCGCCACAACGCCTTAAGTAAGACCAATATGCCCCCCCAGCGTCGAAGCCAATACTGATCGTTGCAGCTGCATTCTCGTCACCGGCGCAACGGGCTTCATCGGCGCCCATGTCGTCGACAACCTGCTCGCGCGTGGGTTCTCTGTCCGAGGAGCCACGCGGTCGTCGCAGAAAGGCGAGCAGATGAAAGCCGCGCGGCCGCAGTATGCCTCAAAGCTGGATTTCGTCGTCGTGGAGGATTTCACCGCGATCGGCGTGTTTGACCGAGTCATGGAGGGGATTGATGCTGTCATTCATGTAGCCAGTGTATGTAGAGTTAACCCCTCTCTGAATTGTTTTGTTAATTCTTGCGAGTCGAAGCTTGATTTGGTCGATCTGATTGAACTGATAACAACAGCCTTTCTTCTATGACACCACCAACAACGAGGAGGAACTCATCCTCCCCGCCATAAACGGAGTCAAGTCCATTCTCTCGGCTTCGGCGAAACCAGGTTCAAAGGTCCAGCGCATCGTGATGACCTCGTCGTTTGCCTCCGTGGTCGATGTCAACAGCAACCCGCCTCCAGACTTCACCTACACCGCAGCCCACTGGAACCCTCTGACGTACGAAGAAGCAGTGGACCCCGTATCCAGCTCCGTAGTCGCCTACCGCGGCTCCAAGAAATTTGCCGAGCTCGCCGCATGGGACTTTATCAAGGACCAGAAACCGCAGTTCGATCTCGTGGCTCTCTGCCCGCCAATGGTCTTCGGTCCCGTCGTGCACCCCGTCTCCAAACTCGAGCAGCTGAACGAGTCCAACTCCGTGCTCTGGAGCGTGGCTGCAGGCGCAGACCCTCTTCCTGGTGCCCGTGTGCCCGCCTGGATCGATGCGCGCGATCTGGCTGAGGCGCATGTGCAGGCCCTTATTACGCCCGAGGCGGGCGGCAAGCGGTATATCCCCGTTTCTCCGAATCCATTCTCTTATGAGCTTGCGGCGGATATTATTCGGGCGGAGTTTGAGTGGGCGGAGGATACTGTTACTCGGAATTATACTGCGGGCGAGAAGCCGCGGGCTTCGTATGGGGTTGATGGGGAGACGGTGGCCCGGGAACTGGGGGTGAAATATCGGCCTTTTAAGGAGGCTGTTGTTGGATTGATTGGACAAGTTCACCAGACTTTGGTTTAGTGTTTTCTCATGTGGTTGGGTCTGTCTTGTTCTTGGATAGGGCTCGCAGAGGACTAAAGACATTGAAGGACTCAATTGAATCAGCATTTCTTTTCGCATATACAACGGACTGTAAGCAGTAAACTTGGTTCTTCAAGAAATCCCGCTCTTTTATTGTTCCTGTACCGTTAGTGCCGTGGATTCCATGGGTTACGCGATTAGATCCAGTCGAAATCCTGAGGTGCCCCTATCAATACCCAGTCATTTGGAAGGCCCACGCCTAATACTCCAGACCTGACCCGCGACTCTTCACGGAAATTACGAGGCCTTATCACTTCCTGGTGGCGTTAAGATCAGCTTTACCCGATCATCCTGCATTTCATACAGTCCGTCGCCCCAACGCCCCTATAGATGAAGCGGACACATCCGGTAGCGATTGATGACGATCGCCGGTGGAGCCCGACAGGCGCAATGCGACTCGCAGACTCCTCAATGTCTGACGACTCGGTTGATCCGGGATTGCCGAGGTCTCGTCGCGAGCTCTTTTCGCTTGCCAAACTGTTTGTCCACGATGGCCACGGTGGAGACAGCCATCGACTGGGCATCCACGCCGTCCACCATGTTAGTGTGGAACCTGCACGGAAAATCCGAGCATTGCTGCGCGGTATATAGAACGACATAGGGCGGATGACCCAAGCACCGCAAAAACTGAAGAAAAGTATCTCGTCATTATGCTGCCGTCTTCACTTCTTTTGCTGGTATCGCTCGGCGCAGGACTCGTTCAGTCCAAGCATACACTTGACGATCTCTACCTGGAAAACGCGCCGTCGTCGCCGCGCCCCTATGTCATCCCGCATTACGCCAACTCCCATGCTGTCACCATTGGAAGCCAGTTGTACCGCTTCACGGTGACAGGGCCCTCCTCGGGTCATGCGTTCACTTTGATGAGTACCAATGCTCCCGCCAGTGGGTCACTCGGCGTGCTGCCCCATATCCACCGGGCTCATTATGAGAATTTCTTTGCATTCAAGGGCCGGTTCCAGCTCTGGGCCCAGAAGGATAAAAAGGAGCAGCAGGCACGGCTGTTGACGCAGGGTGATTATGGGTCGGTCGTCCGCAATACGACACACACCTTCCAGATATTGGATCCAGACACCGAGATGGTTGGAGTGATTGTTCCTGGTGGTTTCGAGTGAGTGATTAGAATTAATATCTGTAGGCATGACATCGATTGGCTAACATCACCCTAATAAAGGGACCTCTTCTATAACCTGGGCACGAACTATACTTCGCGCACAGACACCCCCTACGTTCCCAAAGCCACCAATGGCTCTGCCGCCACCGGCCCCAGCGGCAGTGGCATCTCATCGCTCCAGAAGTTCGACGTCTACGCACAGCTCGACTTCCAACCCCGCCGTGATCTGGTAAACGGTACCGCCCCCGTCTTCAGCAGCGAATGGCACACGGACGCCAACACCCTCGGAGCCCCAGGCGAGCCCTACTTCGTGGCCAACGGGTATGGCCCGAAGTATCTGAATTCCCAGCACGGGTACCAGATTGTCCAGCCGCTTGTCACGCCCAAGCAGGCCCAGGATACCAACTATACTCTGTCCACTATCTCGATCAGCCGCCAGACGAAGACCCATGCGCCGTCGTGGACTCTGGCTGGCGCTGCAGCCTTTGAGGTCTTGGAGGGTGTATTGTCTATCCAGATTGATGATTACCCTGTAGCACGGCTGAATATGGGCGATGTTGCGTTTATCCCTGCTCGGGTGCCGTTTTCTTATTATAGTGAGGTTGCTTTCACCAAGGTGCTCTATGTCAGCGGCGGTACCAAGGGTGTAGATCAGCAGCTGGTTCAGAGGGGGAAGAGCTGGGATTTTGTTACGTTCCCGACGTCTTGATAGGACGGGTTGCATGTATACAGATCGTTGTCGGGGCCACCGATAGTTCAGAAGAGCAAGGGATTCCTAGTGTATCATTTAAAAAACAAAACAAAAACACCTCACATTAGTTTCTCTGAATCCAATCAAGTGAATGCAGAAGCCGACCGCTTGTTGGTTCCCCACATCTACTACCGCCATCCTCGCCCACCTTCGAAGCACATCACTCTCACATCCACGCTCCGAGTACAAACTCAATATGGCAAACCCCAATTCCCTTAAACTAGAACTGGTTACTTCAGAAGATATCCCCGCCCTCATCGACCTCTGGTTCCGAGTCTTCACCGACCCCAGCATGCAGCATCTCTTCCCCGACACACCCGGCGTATGCGAATGGTGGACCGACGCCAACCGGCACGACCTGGTGCACAAGCCTTTTCAGCGCTACTTGAAAATCATCGACCCCGACTCAATCGATGATCAAGGCCGGCCGAGAATGGTGGCCTATGCGAAATGGGACTTGGGCTCGCTCGACGTGCGAGGGAGTCGCTTCCCGCCCTGGCACGAGGATATGCCTGGGCGGGATTGTGAGCAGTTCTTTGGGCGGTTGGATAGTGAGAGGAGGGTGATTATGGGGGAGCGGAAGCATTTTTGTATGTGGAATCCTTTCTTTCTTTCTTCCTTGTTCAGTTTTGCTGTACTTTGTATTCTGGGTACTGATTCACACTCGCAGACTTGGATATGCTTGGGACGGACCCGGCTTATCGACGCTGCGGGGCGGCCTCGATGCTCCTTCGCTGGGGATGTGATCTGGCTGATCAGGAAGAGACCGCTGCCTACGTTGATGCCTCGAGGGATGGTGCTCCTTTGTATGGGAAGTTTGGATTTGTGGATCGCACGGTATCGGCTGGAGGAACTGCTTCAATGGTTCGGGAATAGATCAAAGGAGCTGGTTGCGTCTTGTTGGCACTTATTTTCAGTTCTTGATAGATTATTGGTACTTTGTTATATCTGCTGGCAGGTTCTACATTTTCTTTGCATGGGAATATAGAATTAGAGAAGCCATTTATATTTATCCACCAACATGCATCACTTCCCAAGAATTACAAAGATAATCTATGGAAACTATCCAGAACGAATACATTTAATCACACGCGTGGATAAGTCCTTAGCCCGGCCAAGCACCTCCACTCGAGTTGCATCTCGACAAACCCCGCAATCAGCAACCAGGAACACTGTGATGCAGACAGGATCGTCGAAAAATATTTCTCCCTCTCGCCTAACCCCAGACACTAGCTCTTGGCTCTACTCCCGCCAAGCCGGTGCGCAATGGCCTTTACAAGCGAGGCAATATATCCGGCCAAGCCTCGGGGAAAAGGCCTGCAGTCTCCAACTGGGCGATTTAGGGCCTCGGCGTTTCTGTGCCAACATGATCACTCGGATGTCTGGCGACAGACTCTTCATTCTCGGCAATTGGGAATATATTACTCTGATCAAGCTGAGACGTGGATTTGTATCGAAGACAGAGTACCACGAGTCGGGCAAAGTGTTTGGGAATGAGACAACTCCCCCCTGTCTCTCTTCCCCCCATACGTCATACAAACCAGCCATTCTGCACGATGTTGTTAGTGCGCCTCCAAGCCCCACAGCCCGAGCTTTTTACAAAGCGACTCTCTGCAAGGGTCAGTGCAGTTTCTCTGGGAGGGCGCCAGACCACCAACCATTACCAAGCATCGCGGGCTCGACCTCTCCCAGTGACCCTCCCTATCCAGCTTAATAACATCGCCAACCATGCCAAGCCACAAGCCCACACACACTCTCTCTGTGACTTCCCGGGTTTCTTTGAGAGCCTGCTAGAATAATCATCTCTTTTCTGGGTCCTCGCTCCGAATCACGGCAAAGGCCCGCCAGACTGTCGGTGAAAACCCGGGTAGGTGATGATCGCTGGCATACTTGCCCAAAACCCGTGGTTTCATTATGAATTTGCTCGCTGATAAGCTGGTATTGGCTCGCAGGTCTTGATGCTCCTACGAGCCAATTCTTGAGCTAGACTGTCATGCAATATCAATGCTTTCCCCAGCCCGTTCGGAGGGTGCGGTGCTATCGTACGACACAGGTCGATCCTGGTTCATGGCGATCTTCAATCAGGCCTATCCCCACTAGCCGATGACCCAGTCGTGTCACACCTAGCAGTCTAGCCCGCTGTGATTGAATAATCAGGTTCATTCTGGTTGGACCATGAACCCTTGCTGGATGCCCATGTGGTGGTTGGGTGCATGTTTTGATCCTCAGCCGGCAAAGTGAGTCTCTGCAAGGACCTAAAGGCAGGTTCATTTCAAACTATAAAGGAAGCTTCGCGTCTACTGCATGTCATCAAGCCAATTTTTCTTTTTTCTTTACCTTTTTTTTTTATCTGCCCCACCATACCATTTCCCGGCCGCAATGCATACGCTTGCCCTCTTGTCGGGCCTCGTAGGCATCGCCAATGCCGCCTGTCCCTACATGACGGGCGAGATGCCCGAGTCTGTTCACCGTCGCGATGATGGAAATGCCGCTGCCGACACCGAAGACTTCCTCTCGCAGTTCTACCTTAACGACAAAGATGCCTATATGACCTCCGACGTCGGTGGCCCCATTGAAGACCAGAACAGTCTGAGCGCCGGCGAGCGTGGCCCGACGCTGCTCGAGGATTTCATCTTTCGCCAGAAGATTCAGCGCTTCGACCATGAACGGGTACGGCTATATATCCTAGTGGGATGGAGCCCTCAGTGGCTAATATACTTGGTTAGGTCCCCGAACGTGCCGTTCATGCCCGAGGCACTGGAGCCCACGGAGTATTCACGTCGTACGGCGACTGGTCAAACCTGACGGCCGCTTCATTCCTTGGCTCCAAGGGAAAGGAGACCCCGGTCTTCGTTCGTTTTTCCACTGTCGCCGGCAGCCGTGGCAGTGCCGACACGGCACGAGATGTACACGGGTTTGCAACTCGCTTCTACACTGACGAAGGCAACTTTGGTACGGTCATCTCTATCCTTTTTGTTTTTAGTAGATCCCGGCTAACCCCTACCCAAAGACATCGTCGGAAACAACATCCCCGTATTCTTCATCCAGGATGCCATCCTATTCCCCGACCTGATCCACGCCGTCAAGCCCCGCGGCGACAACGAGATCCCGCAGGCCGCCACCGCGCATGACTCGGCATGGGACTTTTTTAGCCAGCAGCCCAGTGCCCTGCACACCCTGCTCTGGGCTATGGCCGGGCACGGCATACCTCGGTCGTTCCGTCATGTCGACGGCTTCGGTGTTCACACGTTCCGCTTTGTCACGGACAAGGGTGCTTCAAAGCTGGTCAAGTTCCACTGGAAAGGCATGCAGGGCAAGGCCAGCTTTGTCTGGGAAGAGGCCCAGCAGGTGGCTGGTAAGAATGCGGACTTTATGCGCCAGGATCTGTTTGATGCCATTGAGGCTGGGCGCTATCCTGAATGGGAGGTGAGTAGATGACTTCTGTCCCCACCAAAGCTTCTTTTTATACTAATGGATATATCAGCTCGGCGTGCAAATCATGGACGAAGAAGATCAGCTCCGGTTCGGATTCGACCTGCTGGATCCTACCAAAATCGTGCCCGAGGAATATGTGCCTGTCACGAAGCTGGGCAAGATGCAGCTCAACCGCAACCCGAAGAACTATTTCGCCGAAACCGAGCAAGCCATGGTTAGTTTCTCTGCTTTTCGTTCAAACACCTCTCTCTAATATTGTAAAAGTTCCAACCTGGCCATATTGTTCGTGGCGTCGATTTCACCGAGGACCCTCTCCTCCAAGGTCGTCTGTTCTCCTACCTGGACACGCAATTGAACCGACACGGCGGCCCCAACTTCGAGCAGCTGCCCATCAACCGGCCTCGCACTCCAATCCACAACAACAACCGCGATGGAGCAGGTAAGTAGCTCATAGTCTCTATGAGACATATTATATCGAACTCTTTGAGTCAACTAACATCACTCCAACAGGCCAAATGTTCATCCCCCTCAACAAAGACGCCTACACCCCAAACACCCCCAACTCAGGCTCCCCAAAACAAGCCAACCAAACCGTCGGCAAGGGCTTCTTCACCGCACCAGGCCGACACACAAGCGGCAAGCTCCTCCGCAGCGTAAGCAGCACCTTCACAGACGTGTGGAGCCAACCGCGCCTATTCTGGAACTCGCTCGTCGCCGCAGAGAAGCAATTCGTCGTCGACGCCATGCGCTTCGAAAACGCCAACGTCAAGAGCGCCGTCGTCCGCAACAACGTCATCATCCAACTCAACCGCATTAGCAACGACCTCGCCAAGCGTGTTGCCGCCGCCATCGGCATCGATGCCCCGGCCCCAGACCCGACTTTCTACCACGACAACAAGACCGCGCACATCGGCGCCTTCGGACAGAAGCTTCTTAAACTTGACGGGCTGAAGGTCGGCGTGCTGGCCTCCGTTGCCAACGCCTCGTCCATCGCCCAGGGCGCGCATCTGCAGTCCAAGCTTGCCTCTGCCGGCGTCGACGTCCTCGTCGTCGCGGAGCGGATGGCCGACGGCGTTAACCAGACGTACTCCGCCTCTGACGCGATCAATTTCGATGCTGTTGTCGTCGCGGACGGCGCGGAGGGCTTGTTCGCCGCGCGCGCGGGTACGGCCGCACCTACTGGCAAGGCTGCCGGTACCTCGTCCCTGTTCCCGGCGGGGCGTCCGCTCGATATCCTTGGTCAGGCGTTCCGCTTTGGTAAGCCTGTTGGTGCCATTGGGAAGGGGTCTGCTGCGCTGCGTAGTGCTCAGATTGATACTGACCGGAAGGGCGTTTATGCGGCCAAGACGGTTGAGGATGACTTTGTGAAGGATGTTAAGGAGGGTTTGCGCACGTTCAAGTTTTTGGATCGGTTTGCGTTGGATCAGTAGATGGGTTGGTTAGGTTATAAGGTGCCCGCGCCTGGTTGTGGGTAGGCCCTGCTTTGCTTGCTATCTGCTGCAAATTGTCTGGTGGAATGCTCAGTACATAACGTGTCTGTCTATGTATCCAACTCGATAATAATTGGAAAATACTCGCACCACTGAGATCTCAATCGTAGTTCACCCATGATTTATCAATTAATAATACATGAGGTTCATTCGAAATGGCGCTGCTATTTATAATCTCAAATTCAATAACATCGAGCTCAGCTCCTCGCCATCAGACAACCCTCCTCGGGATCAGTTCGGCAAAAAGCGGCGCCGCTGCTTCACAAAATCCTTGCCCGACACAGCGGCCGCCGCGCGCACATTCATCTTCCTCTTCGCGCTGGCGGATCCCGACGGCGACCTCTTGGTCTTTTTGTCATGGCCGATAACCGCCCACTCGGCTACGGTAGCACCGGTCCCGTTCTTGGCTTGCACATCCACAGGACCGAGGGCCTGGTTACCCACGATCAACAGGGATGCGAATCTAGCGGCGATGACGGGATGCGGCAGGGTCACATTGGTCGTGTTGCCGACGGGAATGGCAATAGCGTCGAGGTTGGTGCTATCGGCGTGGTAGGGTTGGGATTGCTTTATGTTCGTCAAGGATGTGACCACTGTGTAGTCGGAGCTGCTCTTGGACGCCGAATAGGCGGTGGCTGGGTTTGAGAGCGTCTTGTTGTGGAAGATCACTGTGGCATTGACCGGTGGTGCTTGAGCCCAGTCAAAGTGAAATCCCGATACCAGCGCACCCGCCTCCTCTTCGGCAAATGAGACGGTGATGGAGCTCATATTCGCTGCAGCAGAGGGCTGCCATTTGGTCGATGTAGCGCCGTCGATCGCCGAGATGGGGAACTGTCCTGGCTCGTAATTGTTGGATGACTTGATGGGCTGGCATTGCACAAGATTGCCGGCCACGGTGTTCTGGGAGCCGATCTGCCGGTTTGGAACAACGACAGAGCCTGACAATGAGAGACGGTAGGTCGTCGTATTGTTGTCTGGTCCGGATTTAATCGTGATCGTTTTGTTGGCGAACCGTTTATCCGCAGTATCAAGAGGTGGTGTGTTCGCATCATGGCTGATGGTGGTGTGTGTGTAGTTCGCCCAGGCCGAAATAGGCCAGCCGCGCCAGTAGAAAGTGCGGTACTTCAAATACGGGATCTGCGGAGGCAGGTTGGGATCGACATGGAGGAAGTCATCGGCCAGCAGACGCAGCCCAAGGTAGCCAAACAGGACAACCTGGTCAGCGCCGCCGTGGCCAGTAAGGAAAGGGTATGCCGGGTGAGTGCCACCATTCGTGTTGGGGTCATCCACCATTTGCTCTGACAGCTGGAAGAAAGGTGCGCGCGCATACGGCTTGTACGAGTACTGGGCGTAGGTGTAGGCCGAGCACCCAGATGGCGACACCTCATTCGCAACAATCGAAAAGATTGCCCAGGTCATCGCAGGACCATCAGCGGACTGCTTGTTCGCATACTATCCGTTTTATTAGTATAACCTTGTTGTGGTGTGATTTTAAACTCACAAAGTCCAAATCATTCAAGGAATCCTGAGTACTATAGTTCGAAGTATAGTCCAGAGGATAGGTGGCCAGGACGACGTCAGCCTGCTTCACCACCGTACTTCCGTTCATCGTAGTGAACTCGAGGGTTATCCCATTCTCGCGAAGGAACAAGACTTCTGAGGCCATCTGGTTCCAGGTCTTGTTTTCCTCGAGCCCGAATTGCTGGCGGAAAGCGTTGGCATTCACAAGAGTCTCAGCAATGAGCGGCATGGTAAAGCCACCCGCATCGACATGATTAGCATATTCATCCTGCCAATGGTCAATATTTTACTTGGCAACGCATAGTATAGTGCATCAAACTTACAGGGTCAGTCATGTTCGTGAGTGTCCAGGAAGAGCCGTTCTGAACCAGCAGGTTTGCATAAAGGGTGGCCATCGAATCATAGACTGGGAATAGATGTTCCTTGAAAAACTGTGTGTCACCGCTGGCGACCCATTGGTTGATCATTGAAAGCCCAATGTCTCCGTTCAGATGGTACTCATAATCCCAGCACGGCCCGGTGGCCGTACAGTTGCCAAAACGACCACTCGTCCAAGGGTATGCAGCTGCCGACGGGGAGAAATATGTTTTGTTCCGGGATCCAGTAAACGCAGTTTTGATGTTTTCTTGTGCCTGTCCATACTTGGCCAGGCGGTAATTTGTAAACCGCTGGGCAGCCTCCGGATGAGAGGCTGCAAGGCCAGGTTGCATCCAGACATCGGCGTCCCAGAAAACTTGTCCTCCATACGAATCGGACGTCAATCCCCCGACGGAGATGCTGTCGACATTGACTGGGGCCCTCGAAACTGCTTTGGCAGCATTCTTGCCCACGGTATTCTGTAGCAAGTAGTATGTGTTGGTCACTGCGATGATGGCAGATTCAATGATGTAGTTATCGGCAGGCAATGTCTTGTTCTCGGGAAGGGTGTAATGATCCACAGAGTCATCGGGCATCACATTGGCCCACTCGGCAATGTGCGATCGGAGAGATGCACTATAACCTCTGGCAAGCGCCATAGATGCAGCCTTCTTAGCTGTTTGCTTGGGATCCTTAAAGGCATCAGAGGACGCCAGTCCGACATATTTCGTGAGGTGCACCGTCTTTCCAGCAGCGAATTTCACCGGTAAGGCCTGTGCAATTGATGATTCATTGTCGTGGACATAGCGCTTGTCGGAAACAATCTGACGAGAGGAAAGGTCCACTCCTGGGGATCCAGAGATGTTAGCGTAGACATAGGCTGTGACATTGGAGATCCCATTCGGGCGCACAGCCGAGAAGATCGCGCCGTCGTCCCCGTCAGACTCTACAAAGTCTGTTCGTACTGCGGAGAACCCATCGATAACATTGACAATGGATCCTTGAGACTCTTTGGACGAGACAATCTCCATGTCCACGACAGCCTGGTTGATATGCAGCTTGTTGGCGAACAGGCGATATATGATCTTATAAGATCCCTTGTTGCCCTTGGGTGTCCATTGGTAGGACCAGACCAAGACCCCTGCCTTGAAGTCATATGTCGACCGGAAATTGGAGAGAGTTTTATTGTCCACTGTCGCATCCAGATAATCATCGTCGCCGAGGTCCAAAATCAGTCCACTCCAGTGCGGAACACCGCTTATGACACTGTCGCCTCCATACTGAGACAGCCAAGGGAAGTTGGTCCCGTTTGTGCTAGGCTGGGAGTCGAAAAATCCACTGACTGTCGCAAAGGATTGGCGTCTAGAGAAAAGAGGCCATCCGTTGATCACGTCACCGTCCTCTGGAGTATCGAGTTCAAAAAAAGGGCCGACACTAGCAACATTGATACCAATGTATCCATTTGCGACAGAGCCTCGTGACTCGTAGCGGCCTTGCTCCAAGGTAGTGGTCGAAAGAAGCCAGTTATCCTCATCCCAGGTAACACCAGGGAAGTCCGTGCGGTACACATTGCTGCTGAAGTTCGCCGAGGTTCCAGCTCCGGTATATCTTTTCATGCATTTGGCGATCCGATCAGTCGGGGAAGACGCATCAGCAAGAGCTCCCAGGTGCAAAAGCAGCGGCACAAATGCCGATGCGAAAGTCTGAGCAGGGTATGTTAGCACTCGGACCAGTAAAAGATGCACAGAAAGAATAGACTCACTCTGCACCGCATCCTGCTGTTTTTTCAGTCTGGGGTGTCGCAGCTTCTAGACGGTATATCTGCTTGAAGTCTCAATGTTTTAGAGAAGGGTGCGGACAACTAGTTTCATGGAGGGGAGAGGTAGCAGAGAAAAGCAATATTTGAGAGATGAGGGCAGCCAGGTCAAGAAAGTGAAACAAAGAGTATGAGAGATATTTATTGCAGGAAAATTGCACTGTCGATCTTCAGGCTACATCACTCTTGGAAGAAACTGACTCAAACAGCAAGGACGCCCCGAGCAAAATGTGGGGGAGCAATCAAAGCTTACCAGATGCGAGTGTGGCTCACAGACTTTTCGAGGCGGGATTTATCGACTGGTGCCTGCGACAGAGCAGTGGCAGTACCATACTAAGAAGCATCATGGATGTGGGATGAGTTGTAAAAGAGCCGGTCACTTCGATTTTGCTTTCCGAGGCGTCATCGGGAGACGCGGGGAACAGCCATGGCAATCCACTTGAATGGGCCGATGCTTGCCGTGCAGGCGTCCGGGCGGCACAAACTCGTTTGGCTCACCCCCAGACATATCGTCATCGAGTCGCGGACAAGGTTTGACGAAGCGTGGGATGTGGGGTTTCTGGAGAACCAAGTTCCCGTGGTTGACACGAGAGAGGTGGGAGAGGTGAACCGGGGCCCGCAAATGGCCCGACAATAGCCCGTTGGGTGAGCGAAGGTGACATGTGGAGTCGTACGAAAGTGCGATCTTCCTGGGGCTTGCATCGTGGAAAGTGTAGAGTTGATTATGGCCTCAGGCACCTACCCGCAAAGAGCTAAATGAGGATATTTGAATGAAGTAGAGGAATAGTAGTGATAATATAATAATAACTCTAGAGACCCAGAGTGCCATGCAAGAACATCTTGCTGGTACATGCTTCCCCATAAATAGCATGTCAAAATCGAGTCATGCGGGTCAAGGTTGGAATGAATAACAATCAATTCATGGGTATCTAAACTTGGAAAGTTCACAAATTGTGTGGCGCAAGAGCGTATGCGATTGTCCCAGATGTCCCAGTTAATTTTATCAACCTTTCTGGAGCGGCAAATATACCAGAGGGCAGTCATTTGCCGTGACCCAGCAGTTCGACTCGGTTGGGATTTTCTGAGGTCAATGCTGACTCTCATTGATGAGCCCGGCGAATGGAACTGCATAGTTCCCACTCACATCTATCAATCCCGAACCCTCCAGGTTGAGTTCATCAGTTGGCGATCATATCCAATATGGCCCTGTTTCGAGCCAACAAGTAGAGACCGGGGCTTAAAAAATGACATGATGCCAAAAGCATGGCCATGGCACCACCACTCAGCAATTCATCCTTCATCCTCGTCATCTTCGGGAATGTCTTCGTGACGATGGGACGCACTCGGCGGGATCTCGGGCTCTCGCTGGGCATTGGTACTCCGTCTTCGCGCCGAAGTGATGGCTCTCTCACCCACGAACGTGTCTCCGGGCCAGTGTGTCTTGCACATGGGGCATCGGTCTGCTTGCTGCATGCGAAAGAAATTCCGCACGCAGTGGTCATGGAGTCTGCCTCTGCAATGCCGATCTTCACAGCGTTGGCCCTATTCACTGCAATTAGCTCCTGGTCTGTGCTTGGGATTATGAATAGAGATTCCAACAGGGGTCCTTACCACAACGATGATATCTTTGCACGCGGAGCAAAACTTGATCCGCTCCATCTTTCGGCCATCAATGACTTCATTGTACTCCGAGACCAACCAGCCCCGTAGCTCCATCAGGGCCCGCGGTGTCAGACTCAAGTACATCTTCCTGCTCTTTTCCAACCAGCCTTCGTCAATAAGACGCTTGACCATGCCTTCCGCCTGTGTCATGCTCAGGGACTGCGTGGAACCACCCTGGCCCTGCTGCGTTTCAATATTCGTAGATCGTCGACGACTGCCATCTCCAGCAGAAACCTTTGCCAGCTGGATGGCTTGCATGACCGAGATGACCATCGCTTCACAACGCCATGTATTATTCGTGTCGAACATGTAGTCGAGCACGCGCTTCACGAAGGCAATCTCGTCGGCGGTGTAGGTCGTCGCGAGCTGCGTCACCGGGTCACTCGTCGTGTTAACGAGCGCATACACCCGCTCCGGCGGGGTACTCGCCGGGTCTTGTTGGGCTGGTTGGGGCTTCTGGCGCAGTGTGCTGCGGATTTCCAAATCAAAGGGCGATATGGCGGAGTTGGCGATGGAAATATACGAGGCCAGGTCCTCGGTAGTAACATCTTCTGGGTTGATTGTCTGGCCCTCTACCGTCAATCTCATGGGTTAGCGCCTGGGACCAACAGGAATCATATTCAAGACCTCTGTCAGAGCTCACTTACCCCGAACTGAGGAAATGGCTGCCACAATAGGCCGAGCCTCTTCGAAGGTCATGGATGAGCGCGCCATGAAGGCCTGCAGAAAAGCGCGGTTGCTGTCATTGTAGTCTATATCCATTGCTGCTGGACTTGCCGCTCCAGCAGCTTGATCGGCACGCGATTCAGAATTTCGTGGGCGGTGCTCGGCTTCTGCGTGCTTCTCGACAGTGAAGTGGGATCGCGGAGACGCGCCTCGCGTAAATCGCCAAATGCCAAGGCCCGCAGATGACAGCCCAGCAACCATCCAACGGCGAATGCCAAAGTAGAATTCCTGGAGTACTCAAAGACAATCATCTTCGTCTATATATTTCAAATACTTGACTTTAAAACTACGAACGGCGAAATATTCAGGGATCGTTTCAAAGGCGACTACGACTACGCCTTAGCCACTCGAGATGCTTCAACCATCCATGCAATATCGGTAAATTTGTTCTCGCGAGTCTGATATCATGACATGAAACACCAGTGCCCCTCAGCAAAAGAGAATACCTCGACCCCTAGGCCCTAGACGCTCCCCTGCGCAAAGGAAAGTGGAATCGAACCACCCCACGGATATCACCCAACGCCAACGATGGAAAAACGTGCATCAAAGAAGAAATAAAATAGAAAAGAAACAGCTCAGTCCGCACGAACATCCCTAGTACCTCCGCCGGGTCGGCTCCGGACTCGGGCTGCGGGTGGCGCTGCGCGCATCTCGGCCCCGTTCCTTCAACCACTTCTTCGTGCTCAGTCGCAGGTCCCGGTCGAGTTCCGGGACAGGGTCTTTGCGATGGATGAAATTGCACAATCCGCCTCTCACACACCCCTCGCCGCTATTGAGCCGACAGCACGCTTCTCGAAAATCTGTCACGGGCGATAATTCACAGTATATAGGCCGCGCTGCATACCAGCGCGAATTCAGTGCATCGCATGCCGCCTGTGCATCTTCTTCGTACTTGAACCGGGCGTAGACGTTGCCAATCAAATCTGGCGAGGCAAAAAGAAGTCAGCAAATGTCGCCGATATCCTACCGCATAGCAAAGGGGGCGTCCAACTTACGGTCATTGTTATTGTCGCAGACAACCAATTCCTCCAGCTCGCCGTAATTGCACAGCTCACACCATACGTCCTCGTAAAATGCATCGAAGTGGTTTTGCAGCTGGCTCGGGTTCATCTTGTTTTTGGGATCGTAGGCCGGGTTCTGGTACATGTTGGGCATCAAAACCGTCTGTGAGTATGACGGCTTGACGTGCTTCCGAGAGCAGCGGTCTCCGTGTCGACAGGCGCCGATCTTGTAGTAAAAGGAGCAGTTGACCTTGTCCTGCTCGGTACCGAAGATGGAAGCGAGGTAGTTGGCCATGATGAGTAAGAATCTCGCGAAAACTGCGGCTGTTAGGACTGCGGACGGGAGGAGAAAGAAAGAGAGAGATGTCGCGCAGGTGAAGGAGGCGATCGAACCAGAATTGAAAGCTCGGTGATATCGAATGCCTGAAGTTTCTGGAGAGCTCCAGGGCTGACTAAAGCTTTGTGCGGAGAAACTATAGTCCGTCTACATCCACGCCACCGCTTGCTTGCGACATTTCTCTTCTCAAATATTTCTCTTCCATTCTGTGTGATGTATACTAGCAGGCGGAGAACCTTCTCCGTCATCCGAGACATTCATTGTTGTGAAAAGTTCCAGTCCCATATCAACTCATCAATGCATTCCGATCACTGTCTCTCCAAGAAAACCACCCGGCTGCCATAATCCGAGTCAAAGGTAAACTGCAGCCCAATATTCATCAAGGTTGCCCCCGAATATGTTCCATTTTGGTCAACCCTATACAGAGCCTGTGGCTCCAGTCCCTGCAGTCGGACCCACGGCAAAGCATGGTTCACATTAGGCCTAGTCTGGAAGGCAAACAATACAGCCTTTTTGCCCTCTTCAGAAACAAACAGAGCTGCCGGCCAGCTGGAGTCCTCGGGCAAGCGAAGACGGTACATGTCGCCGGTCAGAACAATGGGGTTGACCCGTTCCGCAAGAGCAATGAGGCCCGGCAGAGCAGCTTTGTCTTCCTTGGGAACGGTGGCCGGGTCCAGCTCTAAGCCAAACGACCCACCCATCATGGCGACATGTGCGCGGAATGAGATGGGCACAGTCCGCCCAGTCTGTTGGTTTGGCACTGTCGAGAGATGCGCCCCCATAGCGCTGGGCGGGTAGGCCAACGAGGTGCCGAGCTGTATGGAGATGCGCTCGACGGCGTCAGTGTCGTCTGAGGTCCAGATCTGCGGGAAAAACTGCAGCACGCCTGCGTCAAATCGCCCGCCTCCAGAAGCGCAACCTTCCCAGAGAACATCGGGGAATTGCGTGGTCAGGTTGTTGAAGACGCGGTACAGTCCCAGCTGGTAGGCGTGTTCTGTGGCCGGAGAAGGCATCTCGTGGATCCCTCGGTTGTTGTCCCATTTGACATAGGAGATTTTGGCACTCTTCAGAATGTCGGACACAGAGCTAATGATGAAATCCTGCACCTCGAGCAGTGCCAAATTCAAAACGAGCTGGTTCCGTCTCTCCGTGCGCGGGTACGACCCCGCGTGCAAAGCCCAGTCCGGGTGCTCATGGTACAGGCTTGAGTTGGGGTTGACCATCTCAGGCTCGACCCAGATACCGAAACGCATGTTGGTGGACGAGTTGGCAACTTTGAGATTCGTGATGCTGTTCACCGCGCTCCTCAGACCATGCGGGAACCGCCTGGGGTTCGGTACCCAGTCGCCCAGGCCAGCCGTGTCGGAGGTGCGTGGATACTTGTCGCCGAACCAGCCGTCATCCAGAACGAACAATTTAGTTCCCAGGTCCGCCGATTCCTGGGCCAAGTTTTGGATGGTGCTCTGGTTGTAATCGAAACTGAGACCCTCCCAGCTGTTCAGAAGCACCGGACGGTTCTTGGTTGCGAACTTGCTTTTTATCAAGTGGTTGCGATATAAACGGTGCAAAGACCGTGAAACTCCACCAATGCCGTCTTTCGAATAGACTGCAACGCACTCCGGTGATGTTAAAGTCTCACCAGGACCCAGAGGCCATGACAGCTGGCTGGGGTTGAAGCCCAGCAGCGCGCGCGTGAGCCCCTGAGAGCCTTTTTCGACCTCGACAGAGAATGAACCCGAGTAAATGAGCGAGAAACCCCATGCTTCGCCCTGCGACTCGGTGGTGGAGGGATCCACCAGTGCAAGGAAGGGGTTGTGCAGGTGAGACGAGTAGCCCGTAGAACTCCCAAAACTATTCAGGGTTAGATATAGTTCCACTCAGTTGCCGTCCTCAGGCTTTTCTACGTACCTCTGGGTCCCGTACTCGACCTTCCTCCTCTCGCGGTGTGCCTCTCTTGCCCAGTCGCCTCTCAGGCTAATCATATCCAAGTTCTCATAGGGGAAATCCACACTCATACTCGCGAGTGTCTCAATTGTGATATTGCCTTTGCCCTTGTTCGTCACATTGGCGCTGCGCACAATGGCATCGTATCGAGGAAAAATCGAGTACGACAATTCCGCAGACACTGCGCTGTAGTTGTCATGAAGATGAATCAACAAGGTAGTGACGTCGTCTTCGGTTCCCATAGTCGCCGGCAAGCCGGGTAAAGCGGGTTTCCCATGGACCACCGAGTAGGATTGATACTGTAAGTCTGACACTGTGTATCCTTCAGACTGACGCACGCGGATCGCAGGAATGCGAAAGTCCCCTCGGCCTTGGTCGGGGAACTCGCGCCGCACACGGCCTTGCTCCCCAACCCAGCCATTCACCTCGCCCATTGCCTCCATGGGGATCGCACCGGTTACGCTGCCGCCAAAGTGGTCGGACACCAGATCGCCGGTGCTATTGTCCACATGAAAACGGTACGAGACATTGTCGCCGTTGAGGGCAAAGGTCGTGCCCTCCACAACTACTTCTATAGATCAAAAGAGGCATGTTAGCATCGAAGACATGAAATAAATAAATCCAACTTACCCTTTACATTTGAGTCTCGGGCCGTCACTAGGAGACACTGAGTTACCAGCAGACTAGCGACAGCCGTTGTGCTTGCGATGCGAACCATTTTAGTCTCTTTGCTAAAGAGGAATAGAAGACAGAAGGAAAGGCATACATTTAAATACTTCGTGAAGAATGTGGGGAATCGCACCGACTTCCAACCCATGCGGAGCAGCCAATAAGCCGGAGCTCATTCCACCATCTCCAGACGTCGTTTGTGCCCAAAAAATGCGGAGGAACCCCGGGGATTTCGCAGTGGAAACACCAGCGGCTTTGATGGTGTTTCATTGGCCACTTGCGCAATCCCGCTGCTTCCCCACGGGCACCTTTGCAAAGTGAGTCTTTTTTTTCAATTCTCATGTCTTTTCTCCGGAGTCTGTGAAGTGCGGTATTATTCGGTATAGTGTCGCTGGCTGCACCCCGGTCTAGCCGCGGGATTTCCCCAGGATGAGGCAAGCCAAGGCTTGCGCAGTATGCCGGTGGGACTCTGGTCGGTTAAGTCCAAAGTCCTCGCTAATAGTGAATCACAGTGAACGTCGGCGGAGATGTGAGGCCCGAGAACCAGGTCTTCCTTGCACTTTTTGCTCCGACCGAAGACTGTCTTGTACACGCAACAATCCAATGTTGAGAGAACCCCCGAGCAAGCGCCATGGGCCAGTCTCTGTGTCTGATACAACATGGCCTGTAGAATGTCTTCGCTCGTCCCAGACTTTGAAAGGCTCCTTGCCGGCTCAACCTCTTTGCACAGAGCTAGTGCAACTCTACTTTGACTACGTGCATGATAAATTCCATTCACTCTTTCATCGGCCGAGCTTCGTGGAGGATATACTTCGGGGACAGGCTCCCCCGGTTCTGCTATACGGAATGGTGGCCCTTTCGGCACGGTAAGCTGAGTCGGGTAATTCTCGATTTATTCTAATGGTGGCCTACGCAGATTCTCGACGGATCCTTTCTTCTCTGGAATAGATCCTCGAGAAAGAGGACAAGACTATGCCAAGGAGTGCGAGCGCTTGCTGGACTTGAATGATGTCTCGTTGACAACCGTACAAGCGGGCGTGCTATTAGGGGCCATTTCCATCACAGATGGCAAGCCTGCCTCGGAAACCATATATTATGCCATTTCGTGTCGAATAGCACAGCTGCTTGATCTGCCAAACCGCCAAGCTTCAAGCCGCGTGGAACAAGAAGTCAATATCAGAAGTTCGTCCAGCACTTCAAACTTCTATTTGCAAGAACTAATGGACGAGATAGCCTGGTGGACTTTGTGCATGATCGACGTGTGGTCTTCGGCTGGAGTACAGCTACCAAGACTACTGACGCCCAGAGACCAAGTCCCATTGCCAATGGAGGAGCTCGCATTTTTACGCATGACGCGGGATCAAAAGTTCGATGTCGACATCAACCCAGAAACCGCATCATCCCTTCTAGCCCAGATGGTCCGCTTGAATCGGATCTTGCAGCAGATCAACGACTTCAACGTCAAAGCCGCAAACAGCGAGCTCGACAACGCAACTATCATGCAGAACATTGAGAATCTCTCTAATCAGCTCGACGCATGGCTCGAAGTACTTCCCACTCGTATCCGGGATACACGCACCAACATGGTCAATTTTGCATCCCAAGGACTCGGCCGACTCTTTGTGACGCTCTATCTAGGCTACTACCACTACGGACAGATGCTCTTCTACCGCTTCCTACACGAAGACTCACACACCTTTATTCCGTGCACACGATACTATGCAAATAAATGCAAGCAACACGCAGAAAAGCTGTGTGAGATCCTGTATGCCTCGGACGAAGTCCCGGGGTGTGATGTGCGGTATAATATGGTGGGACACGTTGTGGTGATCGCATCAACGGTGCAAATCCACAGTCTCCTATTTGCAGTTGAGGACGCCAATGTAGCATTGGCACGTACCCGCTTGGAGAAGAATTTCTGTATCCTGACTCGTCTGCGGCGTCTCTGGCCCACGCTGGATATCTGCATGGATCGTCTCAAGGCATTCCACGAGGCGTGCAGGAGCTCGGCAGATACGAGTTTCTGTATGGATCGGTGGATGGTGCGGTTCTTGGTCGAGTTTGCAAACCCAGTGAGTGACCAGGCTTCTCGCGTGTCTGATGATAGTAGCTGGACTTTGGGGAACATAGGAATTACTTGGGGCGAGATGGGTTAATAGGTAGCTTGGCCATGGTCCATGCTATCTAGGTCCATGGTGTGTACAATGGAATATAGTCCTGTGGATGAACAAATTGTAATCAAAACCAAGGCTATTTCAGCCTATCTGAGGTGAGAGTATCATATCTTCGAATCTTTGTTGATTCAGTCACCGAGAAAACCGTGGCACGCATGACGTTTGCCAACATCCCACAAGATTATTAAGCCCCGCACTCAACAGCCCACCGGAACAGGTTTATTGATCAGCATTGCTCTTCTGGCTATCAAGCGCTTTGCTTGTGCATTATCGTCTTGCCAAGTAAGTCTTGCAGCTTTTTGAGGTACCAGTACTCTGGTTGGTATGACTATGCATCACTGACACCCGACCCAAGATATATCCATCAACCATGACAGCCAAGACCATCATCGTCACTGGCGCCTCAAGAGGTATCCATTGTTCCAACTCCACTAGTCTTTTCATGCTAAGATTTCCCGCTAGGCATTGGACTGGCCGTGGCCAAGTACTTGCTCACGGCACCGCAACCCCACAATGTGGTGGTGGTTGCTCGCAGTCTGGAGCCCCTCCAAAAGCTCAAGGCGCAGTACAGCAAGCAGGTCGAGGTGCTGAACGGCGATCTGGCTGATCTGTCTCTGGCCCAGAAGGCTGTGGACCTTGCTCTCAAGTCCTTCGGGCAGCTTGACGGACTCGTCCTCAACCACGGCATCCTGGGCCAGGTAGGCAGGATTGCCGACGCCGAGCCTGAGCAGTGGAAGCAGGGCTTTGACGTGAATTTCATCAGCTTGATTGCCTTTGTACGTGGATATTTTTCCTTCTGTTTCGATTCTCTATCAAATAAAAAGCTTTACATGCATTTCACTGACATACAACAGACCAAGGCAGCTCTGCCGGCCCTTCGCCAGTCCAAGGGCAAAATCATCTTCACCTCGTCCGGGGCAGCCGTCTCTGCGTACCGCGGCTGGGCTCTGTACGCCGCCACCAAGGCCGCCATGAACAACTTCGCCATGAGCCTGGGCGCCGAAGAGCCCGAGATCACCTCGGTGTCCGTCCGACCCGGCATGGTCAACACCGAGATGCAACGCGAGCTGCGCGAGGACCACGCCACGACCCTCGACGCGGAGATGCACTCCAAGTTCACGACGGTCCACAAGGACGGCAAGCTCCTCGAGCCGGAACAGCCCGGCCATGTTATGGCCAAGCTGGTGTTGGATGCGCCCAAGGACCTTAGTGGTCGTTTTCTCTCGTACGTGTGCAACCCCCTATCAAGCCCTACGACTACTCGAATTGTGCTAATGATTGAACAGATGGAACGACAAGGAGCTCGAGGCTTTCCAGGCATAAGATGTAGATATTTTTTATTCTCAAATATAGCGAGTGTATCCGGGGATATCTGTTGCACTGTACAGCAGGTCAGTATCGAATGCCAAACCATCAAGAATCCAAGTTCAATGTAAAATGACAGGATACAAATCAGCCGAAAGATGAAAAGCAGGTTACATTTTAGAAGCATTAGGTGCAGTACACCTTCATACTTAGCATGGAATGTAGGGTGATCATCATGTAATTGGGAATCAAAACTCTGAGAAAAACTCTTCGCGTACCTTAAACATATATTGAGTAGACGCCGGTACTACAGTCATGAATCAAGCTTGGATATCATCAAATCATATAGTATTTCGACATCGAGGTTTGCTGAAAAGGCTATGAACTTGTTTTCCTATATGCTTCCGAATGTCAGCGACATGATCCCGACACATGAAAACTGGGATAGTGAGAGGAAAGCAAGGCAAGTATCAGTTCGTCCGTTTGGCTAGGACAGGTAGGTCACCATGGATTGTATGATAGGGGCGACAACAAGGTTCATCACGATAGAAAATAGAAGAAAAAAAAAGAAAATAGTACAATGCAAAGGCATACCATTAGTACACTGTTAGTGTAAATCCCTAGGGAAAGGAAAACCCATTTTGAAGAGTTTTCGTGTCTGGATCAGACAGATGAAGAGAAGGAAGAAGCTGAGAAGAAAAGAAGAAAAAAAACCTGCGACAAAAGTGGCCCAGGGCGGTGTGGTCCTGCCGGCAAAAGAGGTGAACGGGCTGCCTTGGCCCACCTGATTGTTGCGAGAGGATCAGTTAGAAACTTTGTGCCCCAAGAGAACTTCTCCTCTGGCTCTATTCTTTCAGATTCAATCTTCAACTGCATTCTCATTCTGATATTCCCCGAGGATTTGATTCACCATGTCCGATCGCGAGTTCAACTGTAAGTCGAGCTCTCTCGAGTCTTGGTTGCACCCGCGAATCGAGAACTGACCTGCTTGAACAGCAAACGATGACTTGTCGCTCCCGAAAGGTATGTCTTCGAAGCCTCTACTCGATGCAATGCACCTTGTGCGAGTGCATTCGATATGAATGCGAGATGCCCTTACACGACTTCGCGTGTCTATTGTTCTCGCGCCTTTCGATCTTAGCTGACCTGGCGATATCTTTCAGCGACGGTCCAGAAAATCATCACAGAAATCTTGCCCCCTTCATCCGGGCAGACATTCTCTAAGGACGCGCGCGATCTGCTCATGGAATGCTGCGTCGAGTTTATCACATTGATCTCCTCTGAGGCCAACGACATCAGCGAGAAGGAAGCCAAGAAAACCATCGCATGTGAGCATGTCGAGAAGGCCTTGGAGGAGCTCGGGTTTCAAGATTACATTCCCGAGGTGCTCGCTGTTGCAGGGGAACACAGAGAGCAGCTGAAGGTTCGTCTAAGTCCTTTTGACCGCGGTAGCTTACTGAGAATACTAACCCCATATCCTGTTTACAGTCTCGCGAGAAGAAGCAAAGCAAGATGGAGCAAAGTGGGTTGTCCGAGGAAGAACTTCTGCGCCAGCAGCAGGAACTATTCCGGTCTGCGACAGAGAAGTACAATGCAGGACCGGAGTAACCATCGGGCTCCCTCAGACAACCCATGCGGGTCATGGAGAAAATTTGGACGCTGGGCGTTTTACATGATGCACGGACTGGGGATGGATCTGGCGTTATTTTCTTGGTTCCTGGTTTTTAATATTTTTCTGATTTCTGGTCTTTTGCTGGCCTTAAGAAGAAACCAAGGCGACTATCCTTTCATGGGCTGCCTTTGCGTTGTACATCGGGATAATGGCGTCGATTGAATGTGTAGTAAATCCTGTAGAAGTAGCATGTGCGAGGGCTCCATATGGTTGGACCCGCAGAGGGGCCTGGTATGCGATTGATCAGTTAGCCTACAATAACATGAATCAATTAGGCAGCGAGGCTGAGGCCTAAGTGTACAAATGAATCCTCAGTGGCGGTTTAAAAGACCAAACCGCCATTCCTCGCATCTATCATACCTCAAACCCCCACGTGACCTGCATGCTCGTGCCAAGCCATGGCCAAAGCCAGGACCTCGCAGCGCAAGTCGCACCGCAGAGCTTCCGCGCGCAAGCAACGCCCACCCCATTCCCCCGAAATGCCTCCCTTCAAGGATGAGCACATCCTAGTATGAAATCATCTTACTTTTTCTTCGGATATGAGAGCTCTGCTGACTGACTCCCCTCCAGCTAATTGCGCCAGGTTCGGAGACGACCTTGGCGCAACTCGGCCTGCCCGAAACGTTCACGCCCGCGCGATGCCGTTTCCCCACGCGCATGTTTCCCGCAGAGAAAACGGGAGAATATGAGCCATATCGTATCCGTGAGAAGCGCCAGCAAGTCAAGGTCAACAATGGCACATCTGCGCCTGAGGCATCGAAGGAGGACGTGGAGATGAAAGATGCCACCAAGCCGGGGCAAGAGGGGGCCGCGAATGCGGAATCTGCAGAGAAGCCAAGTGGTGAAGGCACCGAGGCAGAAAAGGCCAATGAGGAATCAACGCAGACGGTGGAAGAGGTCTACTACGAAGAGGACGTCGCCTCCGATGAGGGCGCAATTTATCCCATGGAGAACGGGCGCATCGTCGACTGGCCTTGCTTCTTTGCTCTGTTGACCCATATCTACAATGCCCTGAGCCCGCCCTTCCACACCCCGATCTTACTTATCGCCGAGCCCGTTTGGACTGCGCGCGATCGCGAGGCCATTACCCAGTTCGTCTTTGAAAAGTTCAAGGTCCCCGCCTTCAGCCTGATGGACTCTGCGCTTGCTGTCTGTTATGGCTACGGTACATCGACTGCGACTGTCGTTGACGTGGGCAAGGGAAAGGTCGATGTGACCGCCGTCACAGATTTCGTGGTCAACGAACACGGCCGGGGAATTGCACTGGAAGGATGTGGTGGAGATGCTATGACCGATCGACTCGTAGAGCTGCTTGGCTCGAAGGGATTCACCCGGGAAATGTGCAAGCAGCTCAAGAGAAGCAACATCACCGAGATTCTTCCCCCGGGAACTCCACTGCCTGGTGCCGCGGCCACTGCTCGCCAGGGTGCCAACCCCGCCACTGCAGCCTCGACTGGATCAACAGACGCAGGAAATGAATCCGCACCCCGTGGGCCAGGAGATGGTACTCAAACAGGCACGGAGGGTGGTAACGGAGAAGAAGAGGGTGTCTTGGATGTGGCGGCCATTGTCAGCGGCGACACCAATGAATACCTCGCCAACATTGAGAAGGAGAAGTCGACGACCAAAAAGGGTGCAGTCGATCCCAAGCAGCCTCGTCTTCCCAATTCCAAGAAGGAAAAGGCCTCGTTCCAGTTCGAAGAGTTTGTGCAGCTGGAAGAAGAGAATGCTGCTGCCAGTGGTTCCAAGCGATACATTCGTCAATCGCGTGAGATTGAAGTCAGCGTCGAACGCTTTCTTCTGACGACGCCTCGGCAGCAGACCGGGGATCGTCTCAGCAACATGATCCTGGAGGACATTGCAACCCAGATCCATCATACCATTCTCGCCGTCCCAGATGCTACAAAACGAAGCGAGCTCTGGGACTCTCTCATTATCGTTGGAAATGGCAGCAAAGTAAAGGGTAAACATCATAGGCCACTTTTTCTGCTGATTTTTTCTCGCTAACATGACCTCAGGCTTCGTCCAGGCTTTGCTTGGTGTCATCACCCAGAAGTTCATCCTGTCTCCCTCCGCCACGATCTTCACATCTGAGATTCCATCCGCCTTTACCACGCCTCTCCCCACCGGTGGCACCAACACACCGGTTTCCATGGGCCAACCCGGGCCGATGTACCATCCGGCAGCGCATGGCGTCAACCCGCTGCTTGTTGCCGCAACTCATAACAACCCCGGCATGGCAAATATGCCCCCGGGCACGCCTTCCATGGATCCCAACGCTGTTTCACATTACCGTTCAACCGGCCACTCTCAAAACCCTACTTCCGTCAAGACTCTGAAGCCCCCCGAGTATTTCCCCGACTTCAAGGATCAGGGCAACCTCAACGGCCCTGGTGCCAGCGCAAGTGGTGTTGCAGGCTCCGGTCCCGGAGGTGCTGCTACGTCCACCCCCGGCAGCCACGGTATGGAAGAGGCCGTTTTCCTTGGTGCCCAGATGGCTGCCAAGGTGTTCTTTGTGGTTGATCAGGGTCTCAGCAAGGGCTATATGAGCCGTGTCGAGTACAACGAAAGCGGGCCATCGGCAATTCACGAGTACACCGTGTAATGGGATCTGGACGCTTGAAGGATCCATCACTGAGCGTTGAGCTTTACTTTCCTCTTCTCTTGTCTCTGGACAATAGTCATTTCTTCTTTCGGCGAAGGTGGCTGGTTTGCGCGTGAAAGATCTCTCTTGTGTCTTTGTAATGTATGCTATGAATGCCTCCTAGAAAAAGCAGCAGGAAGCAGGTGTAGGATTGGGAGTTAGGTCGAATATTTCTCAATGAGCTTCAATCAATTCGTTCGAAATACGTCTCTTATTACCGAGTATCTCTCATTAAAGAACTGGAAGACCGCTGATCGGCCTACACAGCCTTCATACATATTGAGTCACGTGGTCGCTATCTAGGACTTATCGCCAGCGCCACATCTTGAGTTGCGACTCTCATTTCATTTCTTCCTCATCTCATTGTAACCCCGACCAATCCCAAGCACATTTCAACTTGAAACTTGGCGTTCTTGGTTTACCTCCTCAACACTTAGCTTCATCCAGTTCATTCGACACCCTCCGCCCCAGCCACCATGCCGCGCGCCGAGGCCGGAAGCACGAAGGCGATCAGCAACAAAATGAGGTCCAAGGGCCTGGGTCGCCTTCGGTGGTACTGTCAGGCTTGTGAACGGCAGTTGCCCGACGAGAATGGCTTCAAACTCCACACCCAAAGTGAGGGCCACGTTCGTCGAATGCTGTTGATCGGCGAAGACCCTCGAAAACATATCCAGGAGTACAGCCGGGAATTTCTGAAGAATTTCGTGGATTTACTCAAGACTACTCATGGCGAAAAGCCAGTCCACGTCAACCACTTCTATCAGGAAGTCATCAGGGACAAAAATGTGAGTTTTATTCTCCGCTCTTCGTTCTACTGAAGGTTTGGTCAACGATGATGCTAATTAGTTATATATAGCACATTCACATGAACAGTACTCAGTGGAAAAGCCTTTCGTCATTTGCTGCGCACCTCGGGAGAGAAGGGATTTGTCGTGTGGAGGAAACCGAGAAGGGTCTGTTTGTCGCGTGGATCGATAACAGCCCCGAGACGTTGCGCAAACGTGAAGCTGTCATGAAAAAGGAGCGCCAAGACAAGGGCGACGAGGAGCGGGAGCAGCGCTTGATTCAGGATCAGATCAACCGGGCTCAGCGCACAGCTCCCAAGACCGAAGAAGAGGAAGACCCGAATGCGAAGCTTTTGCAGAGGGAAGAGGGCGAGAAAATTACCTTGAATTTTGGCTTGAGCTCGAAGACAAAGCCTGATACAAAGCCTCCCTCTCCACCAGCGACTACGGAGTCCCCCGATACGAAAGATGCGACCCCTGCGGCCGCCACCGAGACGCCGACAACGGACACCGATGCCCCGGCCTCGTCTACCCAGGCTCCCGCTTTAACGTCTGCTAAAATCTCGATGTCCTTCGGAGCACAGAAACCGAAGAACGTCTTTGCCTCGGCGGCGAAAAAGAACCCTTTGGCGGGCAAGAAGGGCTCTGTTTTGGCGCCCCCTAAGAAGATGACAGAGCAGGAGAGGATCATGAAAGCAGAGATGGAAGCCATGGAGCGGAAGCGGTCACGTCCAGACTCCGGCTTTCCGAACTCGAAGCGGTCCAAGATCTCGTGAAGCATATTCTGTGGAGATATCTAGAATCTGATTTCCCGCGCCGAGTTACCAATCTCGACCACGACATGGCCGCACTACCCCGTGGCGTCGTTCATCACACCCGCATCGACATGCGGTCCAAATATCGGATGGATAGTCCTGCGTCTTTCTACGGAAATTCCTGACCGGTCGGTGCCCTTGGCCCTGAGTCTGAGACAAGTCTACAGGTCATGACAAGTTGGATCTCCCCGAGCGATTGCGCTCCAGATGCTATCTATGGGAATTTGATATGCCGTTTAGAGCTTGTGGATAATCACAACGCGTATTTGTGGACCAGATATACTGGGCACTCACCGCGACCATGTCCAATCTTCATGAGCTCTCAATCTCAGCATGTGATATCTCTCTTTATTTGGTCCAATACATTGGCTACCCGCATTTTTGTACTTAAGTGCATAATCTGATCAGTATGCTAAGTGAGGACTTCGAAAAAGCGTTGTATAAGGCCTTTGCTATCCCAACATATGAAGTGCCTCAGGAATCTGCTCGCACCGAGTTCACAAATGGACGCGGCCAGATATGATAACAGCCCGGGTGGTCTAGTGGTATGATTCGCGCTTAGGGCAGCCAAAACCTAAGCACTCCTGCGCGAGGTCCCGCGTTCGATCCGCGGCTCGGGCCGTTTGTTTTTGCTTTTTCTCTTTTTATAATTTGTGATGGATTAATTCCTATAAAATATTCATGGTCTGTCTGTTGATGACTTAAACCAATAAATGACCCTCTAAATTACTCTTCCGCCGGCACCGGCAACCCGTTATGAAACACCACCTTCCGCTTCTGTTTCTCCATCGCCTCGACGGCTTTCTGTCTGCGCAGGTCCCGAGCCTGTTGATCCGTAAAGAGCACAAAATCATACGTCAGCAGTGGGGTGCCAACCTCGACGCCGTATTTCGACGCCATGGCCGGGTCCGTTACTTGCAATAAGTCGACAATCAACGACTCCTTGACACCAAACACCGGGTCCGACGTTTCGTAGGGATCACCGCGTGGATAGAGGGCACTGTTAATATCAGTCAAAAACGAATCCCCGTCTTCGTGAAACTACCAGGGCACCCACGTTACCAGCAAATCGAACCCGGGCTTATCCAACATGAAATGCACATGGCCCGGCCGGTTCGGATGGCGGCCGAGTCTCTGGAGCATCTTACCGACGGGCCCATCCATCGGAATCGGGTACGGGACGGGCACAATAGCCTGAAAGAAGAAGCGGCCATCAACATCAGAGTGCAGCACGCCCCGACCATCGGGCCCATCACGCGCCGGGTTCTGCACATCATAGAAGCCCTTGGAGTCGCCTTCCCAGACATCGACCTTGACGCCGGCGATCGGCCTGCCCTCGGTATCGGCCACTGAGCACAGCACCAGCAGCGGCGTCGCGTCCGGGTCACTGTGCAGCGCAGAGCCGAGACTCTTCTCGTGCGCGTCGTGCGTGTGGAACGGGCCCAGCACCGTGCCCTCGCTGGCGGGCGCCTGGCGCGGGTGGTTGATCGCGTCCACCAGCATGCTAACGCCCAGCGTGTCCGACAGCAGGATCATCTCGTGCCGCAGCTCGTCGCTGATCTGTCCGACCTCTGTGAGGAATGGATCCCCGTCTGCCACTCCTCTGTTGACAGTCGAGTCTCGCGACAGAAATCGTGTAGGTGTGTCACGATCTGCTCGAGTAGATATCGGAGTCGTGGGTCGGGACATTGTCGGTTCACGATGTGGACGTTCTCTGTGATGTTCTCTGTCGTCAGGTCTTTCATGGGCGGGATGTCCGTCGGTGGCTTGCAGCGGCTCATCTTGGATTCCTTGGATGTTTTGTGGTTCTGTGGTTCTTTGCTTATTCTTGTTTTTCTCTCAGAGCTCTGTCCTGCCTTGCCACTCCGATATATGGCCCCACCGCTGGAGAGCTGCGAGCCCCATGTGGGATCTCCAAGGAACCCCACATGCCGCAAGCTTAGCATCGCGAGAGAGATATAGACGAGTCGAGTTTGGGTGATGAGAGATATTTACAGCTGCATTGATATAGGATAGATTAGATGCAAGTCTATGTAAATTCATGTAAATACAAGTCTCCCTGGCATGCTAAACATCACATTGCAGCTTCAAGGAGCGGGCGGGATCCTCCTCGTTAGGGCTCGGTGGTTCCGATTGCAAATGACTTGAATATGGTTCGATCAGGTCGAGAGAAATATATAGTCTACTTCCTATACATAATCTGCACGAGATTGAGAAAAGAGTGGTTGAAATCGACAGTTTCGCCTGTTCCTCTATGGGAAAAAAAAACAAACTCCAACCCCATGTTGCCCAAGAGTCCAAGCCCCCTGGGCCATGCGAAAAACAAAAAGAAACCCCAAATCTAGTTCTATCCATAAAATCCATGTCCTATCCCATCTATATCTCAACATCATGTCACCATGAAGTTTCTCGTGAGCTCCTCTCAGCTGTTCATGCCTCTCCCCAAAGACGAGGCCAGGATTGTTTGGTGGCACAGCCAACAGAGAATAGTATTGTGAACAAGCGCGCCCTCGGGAGTTTTGACAACCTTAGTGCATCTGAGATGCTTCGCTGTCCGTGGGGCCGAAGTAACGATTCAGTTCCTGCTCGAGCTCGGGCCCAGAGATAGAAGGCATAGTCAAGCTCTGCTTGACCGGGTCGATGCCCTTGGCATGGGCGCTCGCAAACACAAGATCAAGTTCCTCGAGCGTGCGGCCCTTGGTTTCTGGGAAGAAGAAGTAAACGAAAGGAACGAGCGCAGCGTTGAAAACAGCAAAGATGATGTAGGTTTGGTATCCGATATTCTTGAAGGCCGGCGGCGTGATCATCACAATGAGGAAGTTGGACATCCAGTTGGAGCTGGTCGAGAGCGCATTGGCCTGGATACGGATGCGCAGGTTGGTAATCTCTGCCGGATACAGCCAGGTCATGCCCAGCCAGCCAATCGCAAAGAAGGAGTTGAAGACAAAGAAGAAGACGGTCGCCGTAATACCGTACTTGGGCTCCAGCACCGGGGCCCCGTTGGGGGCTATGGTTCCCGTAGAGACTGCACCCGCCAGAATCGCCATCGATACGGCCATCCCAAAGGCGCCAATGATCATGAGGTTCCGTCGGCCGGTTCGCTCAATCAGAGGCAACGCAGCAAGCGACGCAAAGAAATACTCGGTGCCATTGGCAGCAGCCAACAGACGGGCCATGGAAGGTCCGAATCCCAATGAGTTTTCGAACAGGAAAGTCGCGTAGTAGGTAACCAGGTTGATGCCACACATCTGCTGGAAGAACTGCGAGATCATGGCGAGCAGCGAACGGCGCATGTTTTGCGATGGCCCGTTGGTCAAAAGTTCCGTCATCTTGAACTCGCCACCCTTGCTTTGAGCTTCAAGAGCTTCAACAATGTTCCGCTTCTCCTCCACAACCTCAGGGTCGTCCTCTTCCTTGCCCAGGAGACGGGCAATGACGTTCTGAGCCTCGGTGCGTCGACCCTGCATGATCAGCCACCGTGGCGAGTCGGGCAGATAGAGGAGTCCGATCATGACGATAATGGTGAAGAAGGACTGGAACATAAGAGGGAACCGCCAGCGCACAGAGCCACTCAGGAAATAAAAGCCATAGTCGACCCAGTAAGCAATCATGACACCGCACGAAATAAGCGCCCCAGAAAGCATGATCAAGACACCGCGTCGCTCAGGACGGGCGCACTCGCTTTGCCACGTTGGGATTGCTGGAAAAGGAGAAAAGTCAGCATCGCAATGTTGATTGAGTTGGATTGTGATGCTTTACTGGATGTCACCATGCCATTACCAATGCCGCCCACAACGCGACCTGCCACGAAAAGACCATACTCAAATGAAGCTGCCTGCATGATGGTGCCGATGATCATGATGGCCGAACCCCAAAACGTGGAGGACTTTCGACCCCATCCCTCACCGTAAAAGAGAATGAGCAACGATCCCAACCAGCATCCAATCTGGTAGATGGCGACTCCGGCGGCTTGGGTATTGGCATCACCGGTACAATAGTTCGGATCGGGGATCGTGTTATCCGGGTTGTTCAACCAGCAGAGGTCGTTGGATTGATCCCGAGGCGTCATGAGGACCTGGTTCTTTTGGAACGAATCCAGGGTGAGAAGTGCACTGAGTACACCTTGGTCATAACCGAACATCAAGAATCCGCAGCTCGCAACGAAGCCAATCGACCAGTTGAGAGATCGTCCGTGCAAGAGCGAGCCCCCAACCTTCCACTCTGGGAGGTCTCCCATCTTGCTAAGAAAGCCCGAAATGCCCGTAGGGACACCACCTTGCTGGCGTTCATGTTGGATTCGTTCTTCCTTGGACAGAAACTGGGACGAAGGAGGCGAGGATCCGGAATCCGATGGATTTACATGCTCCGAGGTAGCCTGTGGCTTGTCTGAGGTGAAGGTCGACATGATGGAGAGGATTGCCAGTGCGCTTTGCTTTCCTCGAACTTGATACTAATGCCAAAGGCTCGCGGGTTTCAAGGTGGCTTTTATAACTTTTCATCGTTGGGCAGCCCGGGACCACAAGCTCCCTCGTAGTCACCCTCTATGTCTCCTGTTGGGCTTCTTGTGATCAGGCTTGGCGATTTCGCCGAGAGTGCGCCCATCTGGCCGGGCGTCTCTGAGAATCCACCATCCTGCCAAGACTCGAGACACAGCGGACTTGGCCTTGAGTCTGGGGAAGCGGAATATACCATTGCAGGAAACTGAATGGATGATCTTAGGGCTTTGGTTGCCTGCTGGGCATTGATTAATGCCTCATGCACAGTGATGCCAAGAACTCAGCGAATGCGAACCATCCCGCTGCTCTCTTGATCCTCTGATCCGGGGCACGAATATGGAGTATCCCCGGCCATGGCTCACGTCATGGGGTCTTGGTCCCAAGCAGCAGACAACGAGAAGGAGTCGGGCGCTCCGGGTGGATAGGGATAGAGAGAAGCAGCAAAGACCAGCTTGATGTTGTGATTGCTGCTTCAGGGGGGGGGCAAGGTAAAGGTAGATCCCCCATAAGGCTACCGATGATTTGCGTTGTAGAGCCGCGCCCGAGAGGATCGAGCATGCATCCGATTTTTCCAGAAGGATAGCCGAAGAAAAGGCAAGGAAAAAGGGGACTGCGGGATTTTTGGAGATGTTTTTGGGGGGGGGGCGTGTCCATGCCGAAGGCTGGGGTATCACCAGTCCGAATGCCGTCTCTCTCGGGCGTAACGGGCCGCATCCGCTCATCCTGCCGCCCCGGTAGATCTGCGCCAACGGACCCGAGACATCGGGAGGTACTAAATTTGGTTCAGAATTGGGGCCCCAGATTTGAACCGAGGCTCTCCCCCAAAGAACCCTTGAGGGTAAAATAATGGGAAGTCATAAGATGAGGCATGCCGATTGATGCCAACTCTTCGCCAACCATGCAAAAATGGGTTGCGAGAAAAACAAGTAGAAGGAGCAGAAGCAAAAAAGAAAGCGGCGAATGATGAGAAGGCCAAGTGATAGAGGGCAGAAAAAGACGGAGTTGTGCCGATCAAGCTGACTCGGAATCAACGCGGTCAGGGTCTGGTTAGGAGTCATTCTTGCGAGGCCTGATCCGCTGGGAGTATAGGGCCAAAATGTGATGCCTGATAGTTCTGCCTGTTCGATAAGGCATAACTTCTACCCCAATGGAATATTAATGATCCGAATCTGTGATGAATTAATGCCTCAGGCCATAGTCAGTGTCTTCTGAATGCCTAATATATAAGGCGTCAAATCAAGGGGTGATCCGGGATGGAACAATTCTAGTCCGTGACCGAGACCAGACCGCAAATTGCCGGGTTCGGTGTCATCATGAAAACGGCCAATCCTACTGTATCCATGGATGTATGCCAATCGAAGGAGGCCAAGCTATCAATTTCCCTTTGCGATTTCGCACAATTCTCCTGAATCTTGTGTGATTCATCGACTGGATGTGTATAACATATTTTATTTGAATCACGGGGTCTTTGGAGAACTCGCTGTATACAATCGCTTACCCTCTCTATTTCATTCCTTTTATCACCCAGGGAGAGACCCTTTCAAATAGACTGTCAAGCGCAGATCAACACTTGGATGGTTTTGGCTGGGTCAAGGGTTCAGGGGGAATTGCGACGCTCATCTCCACATGCCGCTTTAAGAGGTGATCGGCTGTGGCGATGAGGAGCCAAGTTGGGAACATCATTATCCGTACAAACTCTGAAAAGGGGCAATATGGGAGGGACCACTGCAGGGCTTATAGATCACAAACAATCCCGACTGAAATAATGTCCGTGGGGAAAAATTGAAATTACTACATAACTAATTTCCCTGAAGCTCAAGGAGTAACCAGAGGGCCTCGTGAGGAAATCTAGAATGGCTGATATAATGTTAAAAAAAGGTTCTGTTTGCCTTGGAAATTAAATCGCAATATCGGTAATATTCTTAATGTTTTGTATTTTGTTCTTCTGGGTGGAACGTGTGTTACGCCCCACGTGCTGATGATTTTCCCGTGGACGCGCGTAAGCCAATAAATGGTAGCAAGATCCATTGGCTTACTTAAGGGACTTTAGGGGGGGTCAAAGGAGATTTGGAGATATGAAGATTTGAAGATTTCACTTCAAAATTACTGGTAAAATTATAGAAAAGAAAAAAAAAATTGGCAAAGTGGCGACCGGTCTCGTTGGTTCGCTGCAAACAGCCACTTTACAGACAGTCAAAGAAGAAAAAGAGAAGAGAAAATACAAAACAGAAAAAAGAAAAGAAAAAAAAATTAAAATTTACGTCTTGAAACGGATCGACCCATTTTCAACTTTGTCCGTTCCCACTCTGTTCCCGGCCTTCTCTCTCTCTCTCTCTCGCTGTGAGCAGGGGATGCTGTGCGACTGGTAAACTTTTTTCTTTTCTTCCGTCCCATTTCTTTCTTTTTGATCATGACCCGGGACCGAGCCATGACAGGCGATGGTCTCCTTCAACGATCGTCTCGTCTATGGAAATCTCGCGCCATGTTCAGTCGAAAATACACCCGCTACCTCTACGTTGTGGGGACGTTATTCGTCTTCTTCGTGGTCGCATTTGCCATCCCCCATGATCAGGTGAGAAACCCTGCTCCTGGCCCGATGGAAAGACGGGCGCCCGAGTCGCAGCCAGAGCAAGCGCAACCACAGCCAGGCCCTGCCCCGCGCAGGGGGCGAGCTGCGAGGCAGGTGAGGAAAGAAACACATCGGGGCCTTGAAAGGGGAGGTGTGTAACTCAAGCTAATCAGGGACCGCTCGCGTTCTTAGATCTGGTTGTCGCCGCAAGAACGTTTCTGGGAGGAGTACGAGTCCTATCCAAGGTCAGTTCATCATGCCAGTAACAGAAATCAAACAAAGAAAAATCAAAAGTCGAACCTCGATGCTGATTCCATCTGGACAGGATCTTTCCGACCTTGAAATCCACGGTGAAACGACTCATCGGCACCTCTTCCAACCCCAAACTCATCGATGATCCTCGATTGCCCAAGGGCTCCGGTCCATCTCGCAAAGTCTATCGCCCCTTCCCGGCATACGACAGTGAAGAATGGAAACAAAACCATCGTGGCACATTTCAGTCATGTGTCGGTCCGCGAGGGAAATTGCTCGTCGACAGTTTGGACGATCAGGTGACCGCCTATGAAGGTCTTCCAGAAGGTATGCTGAAGATCTTTGGTTCCTCCCCCTGTGGTCCCAGTGCAAAGCCAAAACTAACCGTGGTATCCCTTGGCAGGATTCCCCCCGACCTTGTTTGGCTCGCACGAAGCTATTGGTCTCGATGGCCGGATTTCCTTTGATCGCTACGGACGATATGGCGCCTACGGCTTCGGAGAAAACGAGGAGAATGTCGAGGGTTGGGTCAAGCCGAAACGCGTCAACTGGGATCTGGTCAACTGGGGGAGTCTCCAGCGTGATTGCCACGACCGCAATGCCGGCCGATTCTTGATGGAAGCCAAGGCGACGAACCCCATGAAACTCCCTGAAGCGCGCAGCGTTGTTTTGCTTCGTTCCTGGGTGGGAAGAGAATACACGGAAAACGACATGATCACCATTCGCTCCATCATCATGGAGCTTGCTCTCCATACTGGCGGAGAGTTCGAGGTCGTCTTACTGACCCAGGTCAAGGATGAAAGCATCAACCTCCAGGCCGAGGGCATGCGGGAACAGCTCCTGGCCGAGTACATCCCCCCGGAGTTCTGGGACATCACCGAGTTCTGGAACCAGCCGATGGTGAGAGAGCGTTACGGTCGATTGAATCCGGAGAAGACAGAGTAAGTGTCTTTTTGATAAGTTTTCCTGGAAGAAACAAAGAATGAAACTAATTCGCACCCAGTGTCCATCGTTCCCAGTGGCTGCCCGTCCAGTACTTCATGCTGAACCACCCGCATTTCGAATACGTCTGGAACTGGGAAGTGGATTCTCGGTGGACAGGCCACCTGTATGAATTCGTTGACAAGACGGCCGAATGGGGACGACGCCAACCCCGACGCGGAATGTGGGAACGCAACGAACGGTTCTATATCCCCAGCCACCATGGTGACTATGACAATGGGTTCCGACAGTTCGTCGACCAACAAACAACGATCGGGATTTGGGGTCCCATGGCATTGCCGCCTTTGGACGAAGGACACAAGCCTCCCGTGCCCAGAGGTCCCTCGCCACCGGTGCCCTTGCCTACCCAGGATAATTATGAGTGGGGTGTGGGCGAAGAGGCGGATGTACTCGGATTCCTTCCCTACTTCAATCCCCAAAACACCGATTGGGTGATCCGTCTCCAGGTCTACGGCTACCTCAAAGGCGACACCCCCCGAAGAGCCGGCTTGATCATCCACAATCGTCTCTCGCGACGACTCATCATGGCCATGGATCATGAAAACCTGGAAGGCCGGCACATGGGCTCTGAGATGTTTGCTCCGTCCACTGCGCTCATCCATGGTCTCAAGGCTCTCACCGTACCCCACCCGGTCTTTGCGGATCGGCTGTTGCCCGGCAATCGGGTGAGTCGTTGGTGGAATTCAGGCATCAATGGCCGCACTGGAAACACCCCGGACAGTCCGTTCTCATGGGGCCGTGAGTCTCGATTTACCGACGTCTCATGGTACTACCACTGCAACCTGCCTGGGCGACTATACTGGAATTTCATCGGGTGGGAGAAGGATGGCACTGGAGGTCCCGATGTAAGTGGCATTTCTATGCGTTTCCAGGAAACCAGTCCCCGCTAACCATATTACCCTTGACAGTATGAAAAGGTTCATGGGCGACATGTGTTACCCTCCATTCTATTCCATCCCATTAAAGATGTCACGCCTGAGGCAGACAGTACCGGCTACTACTTTGAAGCCGATACTGGGCTCGAAGCCAATCCTGAGGATGACGCATGAGACTTGTCTTTTCTGGGCACATTGTAACTTTTATTCGACTGTCTTTCTCCACGATATCATTTTCCCCATCCTCTGTCCTTTTTTTCTCTTTCTCTCCCTTTTACTCTTCTCCGTCTTTTATTTTTCTTTATTTTTCTCTAGGGATTGCTCTATACCACCTGTACATATTATTACGCATCAGCGAATCGAGATTCAAAACTATACATAGATGAAAACGATTGATTATTACTACAGCGTACTTGCATCTCAATCATAGATAAGAAATAGTCCTTGTCCTTGACCCCCTATATCCTGCCTTTTTCGGGCACTCTAGACTACCGCTGATTCTTATCACTTTTCGATATATATATATAACAGCTATGCTATGAAAAAGTTACTTGGCATGTAATTGATAAAGAGGGTATCTATTGATTTTCTATCTTCCTAATATAGTAAACAAAAAGTGTGCGATTGAAGGGAGCCTAAAGATATTTAGATTTTATACGCGGTCTATAGCCTTGCCAGTCTCGCAGCTCTAATCCTCTATGGGATTAGGAGATGATATATTTAGAATAGAGATGATTGGGACAAAAACAAAAATATAAAAACCATAGAGTGGGAATACGCCCTGTTCTACTATACGTAGATTGAGAGTCCTAATGCCTCATATGGGGCAATCCGAAGGGCCCTAGGCCAATGGCTACAGTCCTAAAACCGAGCACTCAAGCCCCGATACTCCGCTCGCAGTTTTGTTGACGATCCCTTGAGGAATCCCTGACGCTGACGCCGCGGGTGTCGGGACCCGACCTCCCGACCTCCGACCGTGTATCACTTCGCTCCCTACCTTGTTGATGCTGTAGAAAACATATATAAATGCCCTGCAGGATGTGGCTCTCGTCTGCATCCTCGTTTCTCTACAGAAATTCGAAAATTCACCATGTCTTTGCTGAGCGAATCTTTGTCGGCTCGAGTTCTTGTTAGCGGTCTCGTGGGACTGTATCTTCTGGTAATATACACATATCTGGACCCTCTTTCTAGATGGTTTTTTGTGTTTTGGTTCTTGTTTCCCTGAGACTAACATCGTTTTCTAGCGATTGATCTATCACCGATTAGCAAGCCCATTGTCGCGGATCCCTGGCCCCGAGATCTCCAGATGGACCAGCATCGTCTACATCTACTACTCGTTCCGGGGCCAAACCCCCAACTACATCCACCGCCTCCACGAACAATATGGTCAGTTATTGCCCTCGCATTCTTGGATTCCACCTAGAAATAGGGGGAACGTGCTGACCAGGGTTCATCACATTATAGGCCCCATTGTCCGCACGCACCCCGATCAGGTCGACATCTGTGACATCAGCGCCGCGAAAGAAATCTACAAAACCAACTCGCGATTTCTGAAATCGGAGTGGTATCAGAGACTGGTTCCTAACACCCAGAATGTTTTCAGCACAACCAACCCTCGCTTCCATGCCGCTCATCGGCGTCTGCTCGCGTCTCCGATCTCCGACTCTTCGCTGGCCCGTGTCGAGTCGCTGATTACAGACCGGGTGGAGCTGGCGATCGCCAGGATCGGCGAGGAATCTAAGAGTCGGGGCGTGGCCGACGTCTTCAAATGGTGGCTGTTTATGGCGACGGATATCATCGGCGAGCTGAGCTTTGGCGAGTCGTTCCGTATGCTCGAGCTGGGCAAGGTATGTTATCATGGCCTATGAACCCCAAGTGCCGCCCCTTCTTCAGCTTCATCAATGCTCATGCCGGGTATCCCAGAAAAACAAATATACCACCGACTTGGAATCGCTCTCGGGCTTGCAGCCAATACGCACAACATTCCCCTGGTTGGTTCAGTTGGCGAGTTATTTCCCTCTCCCGGTGGCGAAACAAGCCGCGGAGGCGGGCAAAAGAGTCGGCATGTATTCCCAGCAGTCCATTGACCGCTACCGGCGCCTCATCGCAGAGAATCCATCCGACCCCAAGCCAACGCTGTTCACCAAGCTGTTCGACACCGAGAAGAGTGGTTTCTCGTACGACGATATCCGCCAGGAGGCTCAAGGCTACATCGTCGCCGGCAGTGACACCACCGCCGTCACTCTGACCTATCTCACCCATGCCGTCTGCAAGGACAGCGCCGTGCGCGACCAACTCGCGGCCGAGGTGGCCGGTCTACCGGATCAGTTCACAGATCACGAGCTGAAGGAGCTGCCGTATCTCAGCCAGGTCATTACTGAGACCCTGCGCTTGTATACGGCTGTGCCTCTTGGTTTACCTCGAGCCGTGCCCCAGGAGGGAGCCCAGTTCAATGGATATGCCATTCCTGGGGGTACCACGGTGTCGACTCAGTCCTATAGTCTTCATCGCGACCCGACCATTTTTGCCGACCCCTACAGGTAAGGAAGAAGAAACATTCTTTTGGATATATCATGTCTCGAAGACTGACTGATCGATCGTTAGATTCAATCCCGAGAGATGGGCCAATCCCACCCAGGAGATGAAAGACGCTTCTCTGCCATTTGGTGGTGGATCGCGGAGTGAGTACAGCCTCGTTTACGCCCATCGATTTGTCTGGATTAGCTGACCCGTTTCTTTGTAGTCTGCTTGGGTATTCACCTTGCTCGCAGGGAGCTTCGTCTGGCGACTGCCCTCTTTTTCCGGGCTTTTCCTCATGCCCGAGTCTCTACCAAGGAAGGGATGAACGACGAGGAAATGAAGATGAAATCGTTCTTCTTAATGGCTCCTCAGGGACATCGGTGTCTGGTGGAGGTTTGAGACAGAGATATTGGCCGACATTGGTCTTTTTTTTTTGTTTGAATGGCGGTTTTCCAAGTCCACAAGTACTTTTTAGGTAGACAATTAATGAGATCACGATGGATAGCATTCGCAATTGTTAGGACATGACCAGTCCTGGATTTACCCCGAGCCAACCCCACGATCCCTTCCCCCTTTCAAATGCATTCTCCAACTGCATGACCCAATAATCGGTCATATCAATCTGCTGTGGTGTGGGGATTACCCCGGCCGAATGGACCATGGCAAGGCGATTGTGTGGAGAGCACCAAAGCTTCCTTGGCCCGAGTCTCGGGGAACCTCCATGACACCACTGAGGAACCTCGACGCATGCGGAAATGCGCTTTCTATGAACTGCGGTGGTCTGCCGTGTTTCACGGCCTCTCCACTCCTCTCCCCCGATGTGTGGCCTATCGCTATCGTCATCACGTCGATCATGCCGACTCCACACCCCCAGCTTCTCGGAATGTTGGAGTATCTCCCATTGCCGATCCCCCTCAAAAACTAGACCGAGCTTCGTGATGCTCGGCCATATATCTCGGTCGCTATTCGCAGAGAAATGGCCATACTCTCACTTTCTCTCCTTTGCTGTTTGCGTGGCCTAGAGCACCGCAGATTCAACTCCTCGATTTGATTTCCTCCTCAATTGAACCCTGCGAGAATGTCCAATGATCAAATTGACCCAGCCAAGCTGGAAGCAGGAGATACCAGCGGAACTGCTTCCAGCACCGCTTCGCAGCAGCACAACGTGCACTCGTTGCATCTGGACTACGGCCCGCTCGCCCACGTCAACACCGCGGAAACTCGCCTGCCACCATTTGGAGGCGAATTCCAGCCGGGCCTCTATCGCTCCCCCAAGCACCGCAAGGTCGCTAACCCAGCCCCGCTGGGTCTATGTGGATTCGCCTTGACGACCTTTGTGTTGGGCTGTATCAACATGAAAGCGCGGAATATCGCAGAGCCGAATATCTTCATCGGTGCGGCTTATTCTTATGGCGGCTTGATTCAGATTCTGTCGGGGATGTGGTATGTAACCTGCTTAAGAATACTTTCTGAAATATCAACATAGAAGAACTCGCTGACTCTTCCTAGGGAGATGGCTATTGGGAACACCTTTGGGGCTACGGCGTTGACCTCCTACGGTGGATTCTGGATCGCCATGGCCATCACCTTCACTCCGGGGGGATTCGAAATCCAGAATGAACTGATGAAAGCCGATCCTGACGGCTCGCTGGGCATGTTCTATGACTCCCTGGGGTTATTCTTAATGGTGTGTTCTCTCTGACCTTATTGATATACCCGAGTGAAAAAAAAAAGACTAATCCCAATCATTTCGGACAGGGTTGGTTTATATTTACCTTTCTCATGCTCCTCTGTACTGTCAAATCCACCATCGTGTTCTTCTCCCTCTTTCTGTCGGTCGATGTCACTTTTCTCATGCTGGGCACTGGGTACCTTCGTCGCAACGAGAAACAAGAGCCCAACGAGAAGATCCTTATGGCGGGCGGGTTCTTTGCACTGCTCGCCTCGTTCCTGGCATGGTGGGTTGCCTTTGCTGGTGTCGCAGACAACAGCAACAGCTTCTTTATTGTGCCCGTCTGGCATTTCCCCTGGTCTCCCAAGGGGAAGGAGAAAAGGCAAAAAGAATAACTGGCAAATTGATTGGAATAATAGTCTTCATCAATCAGGCTTGAAGGATCTACAGCTATAGATTTATAGTGCAATGCAGCAGAGTCAAGAGAAATAATTTCTAGTATTGTCTGGCCCTTTCACCAACCTCAATATCCCACTGAAGCCCCTCGCCCCTCAGCAAGGATTGGCACATGGGAAGTCTGAAACTCCTGGGCTAAATGCTGGCGCCAGTCGTCGCCCAAATCCTCACTGGCAAGCACGTCGATCTCCCGGAGTACTTCGTTGCTCACATCCATCCAGCACTTGTTTTGGGTCTTTTTCTCGTGCACCGACAACGGTGTGATATCAAACCTATGCCCAGCCCACTTTCCACGAGTGATGCGCAGCTGGCCCTCCAGTCCGCCATTAGACACTGACCAACAGATCCGAGAAATCAGAACCTCGGGGAACCCCAGCACATCAATCTGAGGCCCGCGCACAAACTCCCCCTTGAGAGCGATCACTTCCCCACGCACATACTCCTTGGTGGTCAGGTTGCGCAGCACCCACGGCTGGTCGCGCGGATAGAACTCTGAGATCTCGGGGCGTAGGCCCATCAGGATCTCCGCGCGGTCTGCTTTACTCATGGGGTGCTCCGCCTCGTACTGCTGGAACCAGCTCTGCAGTTGCTGTGACAGCGACGGTTCCCCGACTTGATGATATGTGTGTCCCAGCGCATACAAGTTCATTGGTTCACTGTGATGGGCCAGTGCCCTCATCGCCTTTTGTTCCGCTGCACTCCACAGGCCCGGGGGATAATCTCCAGGCTCCCCACAGTTCCCGACGCAGATGATCTGTTCACCGGCCCACGGCGCCAGCGAGGTGATGATATGGTCCTCGATATGGGAAAGCCCCACGGCCCAGAAATACCGGTTCGTCAGGCTCAGCCGCAAGACATCTTCGACGTTCGTGAGCCGGGCAAAGATGTGGTGGTGGATCTCCGACGGAAGGTCGTAGAGCGAGCCCGGACGAGGCACATTGGCGGTGCGCACAGCTTCCACTGCATTGTGATGTTCGATGCGAGCCGCCTTGCTGGAATGGTTCTGCGGAAGGCCGTTCTTGCGTGGCCGCTTCGTGCACTCGAAATCGTCGTCTTCGTCCTCGACGTTCTCCCCCGGAATCACCTCCACGTGTTCATGACTGCAGCGGGATGTCAGCTCACATCATGTCCCTGACTTAATATTTCTTCATTTCCTGGTATTCTACAGACCCGTGCGCCATTAGCGGAACCGCCAAGAGCGGCACCAACGCTGAGGCTTTCCCCCGGAGCAGGCATTCGTCCAATCTGCCTAGATCTGCAGTACTTTCTTTGCGCCGTGGCGCAATGATTCTCCAGTATTGATTCATGGCGTGGTATATTCCCACTAGGCCGAGATGGCTTGATTGTTCGGCCTACATATGGCCCGCATGACCCGCAGGGCAGATGCGAAGATGGCATCTCTCACGTCAGGCATACGTATACTCGACAAAACACACTTCAGATGGCCAAGAAATATCCCATAGGGCATGCATAATTAGAGATTCTCCATAGATCCGCTAACCTACGCTTCGCTCAGGAGACTTTGGAAGATATAGTAGAGAATAAGAATTAGATCGAAATGGCTTATTAACTACATTGTATCCTATTTAAGAGGCTTTATTCTTTATTAAATATATAGATGGCTATTTTACTACTACTACTACTACTACTACTACTACTACTACTACTACTACTACTACTACTACTACTACTACTACTACTACTACTACTACTACTACTACTACTACTACTACTACTACTACTACTTGATTGATATTTTTTCTCTCTTAAATTAATTAATTAATTCTATCTATTTTCTAATCTTTTATTTAATCTATTTTTTAGAATTCTCTTTTTCCTCTCTCTCTCTCTTTTTTTTTAAGATAAATATTTATGACTATAGGCTTTTAAAGATTAGGAGATTACATAGGAGGCAGCTAAGTTGAATCCTACCACTTCTCAACGACCTACTTCACATCTTTTTATATTATTAAATCTCCGAGCATACATATAAGTAGTAAGCCCAATGTTTTTAGCCCCAAATCAATCCTTTGCTCCCGCTTACTTTCTCCGATGAGAGCTCTTCTCGATGCCAGCAATCTCTTCATGATGAGTCGCAATGGGCGACATCCTATGGACATCAGAGGGCTGCCTTACATGTCGAAAGCGCAAAATCAAGGGGCGTATCTGGCTTCCCACAACGCCTCTTACAATGCCGCCCCTGCATGCTAAAAAGGGATTAGAAAAAGGATGAGAAAATAGAGATAAAAGAATAGAGCTAAAAAATTAATAAAATAATAGTAATAGTAATATAATAGTTATTTATGTATTCAGTAAAGAATAAAACCTCTTAAATAGGATAGAATTTAGTGAATAAGCCCTTTGGATCTAACTTTTATTCTCTACTATACCTTTCAAAGCTGCCTAAGCGAAGCGAAGGCCTGCGGCTTGTAAATCTTATAAATATGATTGTAAGTGTAAATCAAAAAATAATATGAAGATAAATTGCTTATGTCAGAACATGGTGTGCCAATAGCGAAAAAGTTGATGTGTCCCTATCAACACCCAGTATCCGAGAAAGAAGTTATATCAGCTGTATCATAAGTTGGATCTCAACCACGATTCCTACAACCACTCAAGAGCATTGTATTTATCAAATCAAAGACCAATCATCCTGCAAGAGCTGACCAGTTTCTTTGATTGTGTCATTCTATTTTCGGTTCTCCGCCGTGTCTCATGTAATCCTCGACTCGGCCTGCACAGCACTCTCCCCGACAAAGGAACAAAGGACATTCGCAGCCTGGCTTTCACACACACAGACCAGTCTCCACCGGCTCCTATTTCTTCTCGAGTCCAGGCCCTCGAGCCCCTCAGTGGGACAGTCCACACACTAGCCCAAGGCCACCACTGAAAAAGAGGATATCAAAGCCGTTTCACCAACACTACCGAGGGTGGATCGCAGCGCAGGATTCAAAAGAACCGTTCAAGCCAACCCTACATCACATGCTAGGCTGTCCTCCAGTCTCCAAGGCTACAAATCCTTTTTGTCATAGCGGATCCACAGATATTGTCCAGACTTTTCGATGGCTTTTAATCCACAACTTTGCAACAAAAAAAAATATCATTCACCTCCCGAGTCATTGTTTTTGCCATGCCGGAGAAAACAGGAAGAGAATTGTAGTCCAAAAGGTACCCGCCACCACCGCGTCACTTTTTCACTTGGCCATGAAGGTATCTTCAGGGCTCCTTTTTCTTTTCCGTGCCATAAGCAGCCCCATTCGGCCCATGGATTTTCTTGGCTGCAAAATGGGGTGGCCAGGGGGCTTATTTATGATTGGCTGTGCCCTGCCAAGCCCAGGGGCAGTGTATTATGATTGGCTGATAGACTCCACATTTCCCACCAATGGCAATGCTTTGTCGCTTGGCCCTGGCCCAGCCTGAGGACGTCCGTGGTGCGGCCAAATTCAATCCTCGCCGAGTCACGCTTCTTTCAAACTGGAGAGAGAGAGAGAGAGTGTGTGTGTGTGTGTAACCAGCTCATCAGCTTCATCGAGAATATGGCAAGTCACTATCGAAAACACCTTGGATATCTCTGCACATTCTGTTGCAACAAAGTCGGCGCTTAAACGGACGCTAAGACGAGCGGTTCGTTGTTTAATGCTCCCTGGCGACGAAGTGGCCCACTATGCTGGGTCTCCGATCTTCTCTTGGGGGCCACAATTTCAGGTTGCGCCTTCTCTCGACTCGCGTCCAGACTCTGTTAGGGGAGAGAAAAAAGGGAAAAAAAAAAAAAAAGTGGTCTATGTGACCAAGCCCGAATGACATCGCCAAGTCTGATTCCTCAGGATTTTTCTTTGGATTCCGTCATGGCTTTGGCCACCCTTCAGAAAAAGAAAGGAAAAAAGTATATCTTGGAGCCACTCTGAATTTGCCTCTTTTTCGGCCTGTCGGGGAAACGCGGGGACCGCCTCTCCCGAAATATGAAGCGTGAAGAGATCACTGGGAAGCCGCCCAAGCTCAGGAACCGCTGGGCGCCATGTCAATCGACCGCGTGTGCCATGGACCACGTCGGCAGCCCCTTCGGCAGGGCTGCGGCCCCCAATGACGAATTCCCTCGATTCTATAACATCCAGCCAGACCATGGCTGGACGCTGACTGACACCATGGCCAATGATACTGGTCGCCGTTGGTCAACCTCTGGGGGAACCAGGGAAACAAAGTCTTCCCTCAACGCTCGTTCCAATCGTCATGGCGCGTAGACCCGCATCTACCGGGTCCCATTCAAGCCACACGTCAAATCCATGACCTCGACCCATCTGGAACCCATGGGCATACGAGTCCTTTCCTCTCTTTGAGCCCTGGTGTGCCTCAGCGCCTCCGGCTTTCTTTCCATGGATGGCATGCCCAGGTACCAGGCACCGTGGATCGGGTCTTTGCTAGGGTTTGACGAGGCAAGCGTGCCTGGAACACAGAAGATTCTGTTTCTGAAGGTATTTATATCCGGGAAAGGTCCTGTCTCATCGTTTTTTCTTTGAAGTATCACACACACTCTCTACCTTTCTTTCTGTCTTTACAGGGAAGTTCCTACTTCTGTCATTCCTTCTCGTTGTCTTTTCAATCCAACCAAGACACTCTCTTCTTTGATATAACCTCCGGTTTCTCACCAAGTCAATCATTTTTCTTGGACCAAAATCAAAATGCAATTTTCTAAGTCTCTTCTGCTGCTGGCAGCTCTCACCACCGGCACTCTGGCCCGCCCGCAGGGCTTCGAGCGTCGCCAGACTACTGGGACATCCTCTTCGTCGCCGTCGTCCTCGTCCTCGGGCTCCAACGGTGACTGGACGTCGACGCCGTCCGCCGGCCAGGCCTCGTCCTCCGGCTTCGGCGGCCACACCGACTCCTCGGGCAACGGCGTGACGTACGCCGGCAACGTCGGCAACCCGTATGGCAGCAACATCATTGAGATTTCGTCGTCGGACGCCAGCAAGTACAAGTACGTTGCGCAGTTCCAGGGCTCCAGCTCGGACGACTGGACCGTCGCCGTCTTCAACAAGTACGGCCCGGACAACAAGATGGACGGCTGGTACGGCAATGCCGTCAAGACCTTCTCGCTGGCCGCCGGCGAGACCAAGTACATTGCCTTCGACGACGACTCGCAGGGCGGCTGGGCCGCCGCCAAGGGCGACAAGATCCCCACCGACGGCAGCGGCGGCTACGCCTCCACCTGGGGTGAATTCGACTTCGGCTCGTCCGGTAACTCGGGCTGGTCCGGCTTCGACGTCTCGGCTATCGCGGCCCAGAAGGCCGGCCTCGAGGTCCAGGGCATGAAGATCTGCGATGCTCTGTCCAAGACTTGCTCTTCCATCACCCCCAACGCTGCCTCCGTCGACAATGCCTACACCGCCGCCCAGACCGACGTCGGTGGCATTGGCGGCAACCTCTCCGGCGATGCTGTCCGTCTTGCCGTCACCCTGGACTACAGCGGCTAAGCCGTTTTTTGCTTTCTCTTCTCTTCTCTTCTCTTCTCTTCTCTTCTTTTTTTCCCCCATGAAAGATGGACTTTTATCTTTTTTTGCTCTGTTTTCATTTGCGGGTTTCGGCCTAAAAGAGTTGTCGGGGGTGATCTATATACCCAGGTTTCATTTTTCTTGGTGTATAGATTTAGAGACTGGGCTGGCCCCCTTTTGTGATCATTCAATATACCATATTCGTTCTCAACCTTGATTTTTCCCTGGTTAGTGTATTTTCTCCTTTGGACGTAAACACCGAGATGAGTACAAGTGGCGTCCATGACCGCATCATTGCATACGCAATGCCGCACTACGCTAGATGACGCCACGCACGATGGGGCTGTCGCAAAAACATGCAAAGCGACATGCATGAAGCGAACAAAAACAAGAGCAATGAAATATCGTTACGACACTCGATTCCGAGATCCATTCATCACAAAACTAACAAATTTCATTACTGGCAGGGGTCGTATCCGCTGATGACAACAAAATCGCACGCCTAGGGGATATATCTCTTTGCTTACTTCTGTCGCGGGCTCACCAGACCATAAAACTCCAGCGGCTTAATACTGAACGCGCCGTTGGAGTGCAGGTCGTAGTTGGGATCCGCCAGCTCAAAGGTCACCTCCTTGAGGATACTGGCCAGCGTAAAGAACGACCACCGCCATGCCCACAGCTTGCCGATGCACTCGCGCTTGCCGTTGCCGAAGCCCTTCTTGGCCGCCGCCGGCAGCTGGTCCCACTTCTCGCCCAGGACCCGCTCGGGCTTGAACGCCTCCGGGTCCTCGAAGACGGCTGGGTCGCGATTGACCGAGTTCAGGATCGCGATCATGGCCTGGTCGTGCGGCACCTGGTACTCGCCGCCGGCGAGCAGGATCGGGCTCTTGTCCTTGGACGGGATGGGCTCGATGTTGAAGCCCGGTGCCGTGGCCGAGAGCCGGATCGATTCGCGCAGGATCGCCTCGACGTAGTTCAGCTGCGGGAGGTGCGCCAGCTCGATCTTGCCGTTGGGTCCGACCACCGAGTCGAGCTCCTCGCACGCTTTAGTGATCGCGGCCGGGTTCTGTGTCAGGTAGTACAAGGCGTAGGAGATCAAGTTGGGTGCGGTCGCGGCGCCAATGAAGATAGAGATGATTTCGTCAATGACTTGCGACTCCTTGAGCTTTTCGCCGGTCTCGGGGTCCGTGCCGTTGAGCAGTGCATCCAGCATATCTTTGCGAGCCGTCTCCGGCTTTTCCCTTCGAGTCTTGATCACATCGGCCGCGAAGTTGCGCATCGTCTTGGTGTCCTTCTCGAACCGACGACCATACACGAGCCAGTTCAGCAGTTTCGGCCGCGTAGGTCGCTTCATCGCCTCCATGGTTGCTCCGTCTATGGCCTTGAGCATGGGCGGCTCAGTGCCCTCCAAAACGTGGACGCGCTGGTTGAAAAAGCTCTGCATGCAGGACGCCAGCAGCAGCCGGTCCAGGTCGTTCGTGAGCAACACCTTCTTCTTGGACCCCGACGTCCATTTCTTGGTCAGGTCGGGGATCACCTCCGCCATGTCGTTGAAGAGGTTATCAGTGGCGGACTGAGTCAATTGCGGCATCATGATCCGATGCGCGATGCCCCAGCTCTTCTCGTTGTCATAGGCTGTAAACAGACTGTCGTGCACAGAATACCGGATCTCCACAACAGGGCCTGTGACACACTTGCGGAATCGCTTCTGGTCGCAGATTTCCTCCAGGAGGGCGACACTGCCGACGAAGACGATTTGCGTGCCCAGCGCATTGATTTTGAAAATGGGACCTGTCGAACGTTAATTAACCCAAATAATTTCCGACATAACTAATCATAAACAATATCGCAACTCACCATATTGCTTAGCCAGCTTGTTCAGCGAGTTCCATGTCTCATTAGGGTTGACGTCAAACACATTGCCCAGGAGCGGCACGCCGGGTGGCTGTGGAATCTCGGTAGGCATGCTCAACGCGATATATCACTAGTATTATAGTGTATACAGCTGGAGTTTTAAAACCAGAGAGTAAAGAAAGAGAAATTCCAGCCAGAGCTTGCACCGCATGGGTGGGGTGGGCAGGCTTAAAAAAAATTCCATCTTCAGCTACCACCAATCTTGCAGGTTGGCATGGACACCCGATCGACAGATCGTGTTGACTCCGTTCATTGGAGCGAGAGGGGATCTGGCAATGTGTCTCCATCGTTCACCCACAAGTTCGGGCTAGCTGAAGAGATCAGCACGATTGCGATGTAATAGCGCAGATTGGCGGCTGCCGATCCCACTTGGATAGGTAATGCATCAGACCATCTGCAGCCATCTGGGTCCCAAGTCGCGCACTACGGGCTGTAGTGCGACCACCGAGGGGGCAATGGGGTTCATCACAATTGTCAGCTGCAGACTTTTTTGTCAGGGTCGCACGCTGTTCGGTTCCATTCGTCTCCACGCATCCTGACCGCTCCCCTGTGTCGCGTTGCCTCGGCCGTGATGACCGTGCGAAAGGTGATTGGCACTGACACACAAGGACAGAAAGAAGAAAGTAAACAATGATAATCCCTCGGTGGCTGTCAGCTCTGAGCTCGGGCTCGAGTGGGTCCATGGTTGCTGTGAAATTGACATCATGTTGATGGCCCATCCGAGAGACCCAACAAAACCCCCCTGTTTATTTTGTCAAAGCCCGGATGGAGCTTGCTCGCATCCTGCAGGGATCTCAATCATGGCCCATCCGTACCCATACCCACCTATCCCCGCCAACTGTGTGGATCGTCGGGAGCCACTGTCACCGGGATCCCTCCACTCGCCCAGGGAGTTGAACTTGGTCCCCAGTCAGGCTTCCCTCTCTCTTCGATTTCAGCTCTTCTTTGTATGAATCCAATCGTAGTATTGTCCATACTGACACTCGTTCTTCGTGCCGGGGTGGTTCAGAAACGAAATCGGACGAGTGGGGCGCTAAAGAGGTAGCCGCCGCCAGAGCGCTGCAAGAACCCACCGTGACTCTCGGCAATGAACGACTGCATCGCACACACCACCGCTCGCTGGCACCCTGTCCCTTCGTGTACGAAGCAACCGAGGACGATGGCAAGAAAATCTGGGTGGTGAGCATCGGGCCCAACGTGCCGGTGTACGACACGCATGCCGGGGGCCGCGAAATCCACATCCACCCGGAATATTTGCTGCCGCAGCTGTCCAAGGTGTATAGCGGCAGTCGTGAGGACCCTCTGCGGCGTCGGATCAATCCGCGGAGGTTTCTTGCGGAGTCTGATCTGGAGCTCCTACGTCGCTTTTTCCCATCGGCCATCGGGGTCAGATTGCTGATCGCAGGGTTTGTCATTGTTTTGTTCCGGAACCGCAAGGACATCGAGGCGTCATGGCTCGAGGGATGTGTGCCCTCGTTTGGACTTATGCGGCTGGGGTATGATGTTGCCGTTCATTATCCAGCCAAGACGGTGGTCGACAGTGGGAATGGCGTGGCGGTTTCGCCCGAACAGCGAGATTCGATAACACCCTTGGGCCTTAAGCTTAAGTTTCCAGATGGGTCGCAGGGAGTTATAGTCCCAACCCATGCTTTTGTTAATATTAAGACTCCCCAGGGGAATAGCGCGCACAAGGACGCCAGCTGGGTGGCCAAAACCAAGTCAACCTTTTCCAAGGCGACCGCGGCCAAGGCAAAGAACTGTGTCATAAAAGGGTCAACAGGAAACTCGCCGCTGGGGAAAAGCGTGTGGTTTGTTCAAGACCCCGTCGAGGTAGGTGATGCGATCGATGAGTCTGCCAGGTCTCACGGTTAAAATTGTGCTGTAGAAAATCGGAACTGTCACCGCAACCTACGATCACCATATCGCACAGTCTCCCACGTTTCCTCAGACCATCGACCATGACACGTCGATTGTCACTGGAGATCATCTGCCCCGAGTCTCGAATCCTTCACGGGCACCAAGGATCGTCGGCTGGGGTGATTATCGCGAAGCCTTGGACGGTCACTTCGCCTTCGCCATGGCCCTCAGTGCGACGACGGACCATCCCAAGGAAAGGAAACGCATAGACATGTTTGGAACGCTACAGAAAGCAATCGTCGAAGGCACAGAGTATCTGTGGGACAGGAAATCTCGCACCCAGTCATCCAGCATCATTTGGCGAGCTATGCATGACGGCACGGATATGGAGGGATTGTCGGGTTCGCTGCTTTGCCTGGGACAACCGACTGATCCTAAGTGTCGTGCGGTCCTGATGAAGCACTGGGAAACCCCGATCTGCCCCCAGCATTTTGACGTGACGGATCTCGCGTCCGCTAGGGGTGATGTGTCGTGGTCTAGCATCAAAGGCGGATTCCTCCTTCCCCAGGATGTCCGGAATGCTGAAATTCTTTGCGAAAGCGAGGATTCATCGCCGGCCCCACGAGACGAGCAGACCTGGGACATCGAGTATTTTTAACATGGTTAATCTCTGTATATACAATGTACGGTCGGTGAGTGCTACAAACAAAATCAATGCTCTATGTGAAATTCCAGTCGGATCCTCCGAGTCAGTTTATCCTTTGCATCTTCCCAATGGCCAAGCCAGAATTCCGGGCTCACATATCGGTGGTCGTCGCCGTCCCATTCCCGCGTCATGAGAGACAGCAAAAGAGCCATGCCGTCCATTCCCTTGAGGCGCCTCATGTCAAAATCCTTGATTCGTAAGGGAGGCTTCTGATATATGTACTGAAGTGCCAGTGCAGCAGACGCCGCCAGGATGGGTGTGGCGATGGACGTGCCGGTACGGCAACGGTAGGGTTCTACCTCTTTACTACCGTGCCGCGTCCAAGGTGCCGTGACGTTCTCCCCGAGGGTTCCTATACCAAAACCCACCTTGGGGTTAAACTCTTTCCATGTCCCCCAATACGACGTGGCATACACTGCAAACACGTCCCGAGACCGCGCTGGGTAGGTGACGGGGATGGGGTCATTGCGCCCATTGTTCGATGCCGCTGCGAAAACAAGGACGTCCTGCTTCTTGGCCTTATCAATGGCAGTCGCCACGGACTCTGGAACGGTCTTGAAGCCTAGAGACAAGCTGATGATCTGGACACCCCATTTGCGTTTATCGATGGCGTGTTCGATGGCCTAGCAGTGTCAGTTTTGATCGAACAACCAAAGCTTGCATGGAATATACCTCGGCCACCACATCGGCGTCACTAATTTCGCCATCGTCGTCAATTACACGAGCCACATACAAAAGTGCGTTGGGTGCAACACGCTGAATCAACGCTGCGGCATGAGTGCCGTGTCCGTGGACATCTTCGTCCCCCTTTTTACCGGGAAGGAAGCTCAGGTACTCGACAATACTGTCTCGCCGAACTCCTGCATCCCCAGTGCGATGATGTTCGCCAAAGTACGGATGCCCCAAATCAATTCCCGTGTCTAGTATGGCGATTCGTGTCTTGTCGCGTTCTTTGGCTCTGGGCAGCCATGACAGGACTTTTTCCTCCACGTCCTTCAGCCACCTCTCAGAGTTCCGGTCCCTAGTGCCACAGTCAGCATTTTGCTTGTGGGCAATGAGTGGGTACTATCTCCTTACCCAGTATTCCCATCTTCGATATGACATATGTGCCCTTTTTCCGGTGGCGCTGCAGGGCGGGGACAGGAATTGGCACGAGAACGTCCATTCTCGCTCCGAGGTCTTGTTTTAACTGTGTTTGACTGATCCTTGGGTCCATTTAGGCTTCGCACGCGTCTAATTCTGTCCTGACCTGGAAGATCCAGTCGTTGGCTATCTGCGTTGAAGTGTCAGTGGCCTGAGTTAAGCTTGATCAACCAAAGACCTCACTCTTTGTCGGCTCCTGGGTCACGGTCTGCCGGAGTCTTGCCGGGGCTTCCCGGGATGAATTTCCTTGTACCTCGTCGGGTGCTTTCGTTCCTAAACACCTTATGAGCAAGCTTCACTGCACTCTATCGTTGTTTTTTTTTTCTCTCACCGTTTTGTGTTGGCGCCTGTTCCAAATGTGTCACAGGTGTCGGGCTTTGGTTCAAATGCTGGGGTTTTCGACCAGAGGCTTGCGGAATCTGCACGCGAGGGCTTTTCGTCTTCATGGGCTTTTTCGCGTTTTCCTTCTTAGCTTGCTGCGAACCTTGGACTTGGTCGACATGATGCTGTGTGTTCTGGCTAGGGGCTCGTTGGTTTTTTTCACCTTGAGGTTTTCTCTGTTCTCGAGGTTGTGTATTTTGAGCCAACTGTTCCCCTTGGACCTGGACTGCTGGTGGGAATGCCTGAATTGCTGACCGCTGCATGCTCTGACTTGAACTGGGCCGGGCCTGTGTCAATTTCTGACGATTCAGGATATTTTCGATCGATCTGATGGCCGATTGCATCAACTGGATGTTTTGAGCGCCCACATTCTTCTCAATCGACCCCGGCAGCGTACTTTCGAGAAGCGCAAGAGCCTCCTGGTAGTTCCCTTGTGCCTTGACCTCCATCGCCAGGTAATATCGAGTCTGCCAAGTCCATTCGCTCTCCTCACCATAGATCGGAGACGACGCCAGAACGTTGAGGTTCTGCCGGAGCAGCGGAATGGCTAACTGATGAGCGCCGAGGGCTCTGTGGTCTTTGGCCAGCTCTTCTCGCACGACCAGAACCCGCTCGTCGTCTGGCCGGAAGATCCTCTGTCGTATCCGAAGAACCTCAAAGTTCAGCATTCGAGACTCCTCATAGCGATGGAGCCTCTGCAGACATTTGGCGGCCCGTGCCTTCAGTTCCAAGATATCTTCGTGCTCCGTCTCTGTTGGCCACTCTGCGAGAAATGCCCATCTGGCTGCCTCATATTGCTCGAAAGCAGTCTGGTAGTTGTGGCTGGCGTAAAACTCGTTGGCGGCGAGATAGTGAACGGTGTAATCGCCCTGCCCCGCCATAAGTTAGGTGGTTGGGCACAGACCCGATGCGATGACTTTCTCGTTAAGTCCTGTCTGCTTTTATACCGAATAATAAGACAGCAGATCTCGTGTCTGGTTTCATGGGACTTCGTTAGGATTTGGAAGAGCAACGAAGCCGAGAGACCTTCCCTCCGCGCGGGGCTCTTCAGCCTGGGCATTTCTACCCCAGTCGGGGCTTGGGGGCTCCAACATGCAGATCGGGGGATATGTCCTTGGTTAGTTAGCAAGGTAACTACATCACTAGAAATATGGGAACATGGTTGAGCTGCATGTCCTCTCTGTTGCTCAAAAGAAACAGTACTAAAGATGGTAGATATGCTCTGTACTATCTACTATTGATCAACACAGACGTATTCACACAGCCCATCATCCTCATCATCCACGGCTGTGCGTGCATCCTGCCGAAGATCCTCTTGCCCCAGGTCTTCTTCGGCCACTCCCTGGACCTCAAAATCATCCAGCATGGAATGATTCACATCCTTTGTCTCCGGTGTTCTATCATCATCCAATCCATACGCAGCTCCCTTGGTGTAGTCCCGAATCTCGCGCACGCCGTGTTTCTGGCTGTAGTAGATCTCCCTTAGCCGGTAGGCAAACACAAAGTCCGTCGAGTCTTCAAACGCCGCTGCTTCACCATGAATATGCGCGTGCTCCAGAATTGGTCCAACCTGCACTGGAACCCCAAGAGTTGTAAGATCGGCCCCGACCTTGAACGTTCCGCCGTTGCCGTTAGAGGACAGAGCCCTCATGCGGGCCCCAACAGCCGTCTTGACCCCTGTGATCATGTATAGGTTCTTCGCATACTTTTGCCGCGACAGCGTCTGGGAGATATCAGGCTGTCGAAGACTCTGCTCGATGAAGTCCAAAGTCGGGACAAAATATTGTGTCTCGAGCCGTGCAACATACATATAGGAGCTCTCGGATCTGTCGTGGTCGAACCCTGCCTCGCCGCCCAGAGGAGAAAGACTCAGGAACTGCGTCCACAGCCCAAACTTGCCGCTCGACTCTTTGCTGATCAGAGTCTCAAATCCGGTCTTTTCGGACCGGAGCAGGTTTGGAGGATTCAGGCAGGACGCGTTGATGCCACTCTCGGGGTTAAACGGGTCAGTGAGGATCCGCCCCACGGCCACAGGGCCTTGAGGCGGACAGTCGAAATTCGGCATGAGAATGTAGGACTTCTTCATTTTATGAAGTGATCAGGACTCGGCGAGAGGAACTTGTCCGAACTCGGGGATTATCGACTCTGCTTCCCCCCTCATCTTCGTGTCTGATGCGGCTTTTAGTCTTCGAGAATACAGCGTTGGAGCCCACGAGGCCTTCTGGGTTGGCTTAGGCAGAATTTTAATTGTGTTGATTTTCGACCAATGCCTGCATTCAAAATGCAGTCGTTGAAGCTAGTGGCGCTCAGAGCGCGACAGCGAAGAAAACGCACCAATCTGTTCTGCGCGATGTGGATCCGAGGCCCCATTTGGGGCATCAACTCGCAGAGTAAGCTGCATACTCCAGCCTTCACTTGCAGAAATCGCGCTGTCAGGTCACGCTCTTGCTATGGATGAGCCGAGCACATCCCGCGTATGCAGCAGACGAACCTATTCCTGCGGGATCATCAGGGAAAATGACCCGACTGCCCCTCGGGGCCCTCGAAATGATTTATTTTGGCCGCGGGTGTGCCCCGCTTGCCTTCAAGGCAAGCTAGCGGGGATCCTTCGAGTCACAGAGAAGTGAGAGAGAGAAAAAACAAAGGAAGACCCGTGAGGATGCCCACCGGTGTTGTGTCGGGGTAGGTGGGCTATGGCGCCTGCACTGCACATGCTCACCCAGACCATCACCCAGGACTCGACCACCTTCACCACCACATTTCCTCTGGGGAGTATCGATCCGGAGCCAACCGCTCACTTGGTGACGTTCACTCTCACGAGCCCTTCGACCACAGTTGTGAAAGTGGACATCGCAGCGACACCAACTGGAACTGAACAGACCAAGAACAGCGATGGAGGGCTGTCCAATGAAGCAAAGGGCGCCATTGCAGGATCCATTACAGGCACAGCAATCTTGATCTTGCTTCTCTATTGTTGCTGCCGGCGCACCCCAGTCTCCCCACCATCTTCTCCGCGAGTCCGCCCTGTCTTGCCTACTAGACACCCTCCCAGGCTGCCAGAGGAGCCGACATCAGGACCGACGAATCCTCCTTCAGAAAAAGACCCAGTTGAGCCCGCTGCACCTTCTGCTCCGGTTGCTCCGCCTACAGACACGGTCCAACGGCCACGTCCATCAACCACTCGGCCGCAGCGAGATCCCCAGCGGCACACCATCGAAATGCCATCCATGTATCAGCGTGTCGTTGGAATCAATTCCAACACCCAAATTGGCGTCCACGGAGGCAAAAAGAGGCCCCCGAAACCATTCATGACTCGACCCCTGGCACGGACGAGGACTTGGTGGCTGCCGGACCCGATCACGCGAAGTCCAAAAAAGAGTCGGCCCGCTGAAGAATCAGCGCTGTGAACCGAATCGGCAAATCCATGTCAATGTGTAAAACAATGAGAATATCGCATCCATCTGGACCGTGCCCTAACCCTGGGCCCTATATGGTCCGAATGAGGAATGTCTGATGCCTTGGTCTTGTCAACTACCCAGACATGCAGAGGTTGCTGCAGGAACTGGTGGATTGCGGCATTGCCGAAGAAAAGCAGGTCACCGCAAATCTTAGAGTATCTGACTTTCATGAGTTAGTTCATCAAGGAGACTCCTGTCACCACACCCTGAATGTGCGCGCAGAGAAACGGGTGAAATGGCCTCCCAAGACAGAGAAAACGCGGTAGGGCAGATCTTGGCAGAGGATTAGTTAGACCTGTAAATAGATGTCTATATAATCATCCCTTTGCAAGTCATGGGCAAGTCCAACGGAACAGACTCACTGAGTCCCTTTGCGTCTTTTCGTCGGTTTCTGCCTGGCGTGAGTCTCCACATTTCCATGCCAAATCCCCGAGGCTCGGACTTAACTACCCGTTGAACGATCATTTCCTTCTCTTCTTTCTTTTTTGTGTTTCTTCCACATTCAAACCAACAAGTCATGGCACCAACCGAGTCGCGGCGTCTCGTGGCCCACGTCCTCAATGAGCTGGGGCTAGTCACCATGTGGCGGTCATCCCTGGACGTCAAGCTACTCTGCGCACAGCGATTCGTGCGGCTATTCGCCTATGGCGGCTCAACGCTGATTCTGGCGTCGTATCTGTCTGCCATGGGGATCTCCGACGATCGCATCGGTCTGTTCATGACTCTGACACTGGTCGGAGATGTGGTGATCAGCTTTTTCCTCACGCTCTTTGCCGACGCAATGGGACGCAAAGCGGTGTTGTCGCTTGGGTCGATTCTGATGGCAGGTAGCGGAGTCGCCTTCGCCCTGTTTGGGAATTACTGGGTCCTTTTGGCTGCGGCGGTTTTTGGAGTAATTAGTCCCAGGTATGTTGACTCCGTTTGGATTGAATTCAAGAGCGGGCAGCTCATACTCTGATAGTGGGAACGAGATCGGACCCTTCCGCGCGGTGGAAGAATCCACTTTGGCTCATCTCACGCCGCATGAGCTGCTCAGCGATGTGTTTGCTTGGTACTCGCTCATTGGGACTGCCGGCTCGGCCTTGGGACTGCTGATATGTGGATGGATCATCAACTCGTTGCAGTCCCTCAAGGGGTGGCCTTTCGTCCCTGCTTGCCGGATCATCTTTTTCGTCTATGCCGGTGTCGGTGTAGTCAAACTCGCCCTGACTCTAGGTCTGAGCTATAAAGTCGAGGCCATCGAGAAAGAAGACACGCAGGACCAGCAGAATGCTGAAACCCGACCACTCCTGGGTGAACCAAATCAGACGGAGCAGGAAACCAGCCCCTCCCAGAAAAAGAAATCTTTGTTTCCCTCGATTGAAAAAGACCTGTGGTCGCTGGTTGTGCGGCTCTTCATTTTATTTGGAGTGGATTCGTTCGCATCTGGATTGGCATCATTGTAGGTGGAATCCAAGAGGACGGCATTGATTAGCGTGACTGACATTCACTACCAGGTCTTGGATGACTTACTTCTTCAAGCGCAAGTTTGCCTTGCCTGAGGGTCAGCTGGGTACCATCTTCTTCATTTCCAGCATCATCGCGGCGGCCTCCATGCTAGTCGCATCATCCATTGCCAAACGCATTGGCAACGTCAAGGTGAGATCCATCTTGAATGAATAATTTTTCTATCACTCACCCTTCTCTCACTTATTTAGACCATGGTTTTCACTCATCTTCCGTCGGCTGTCTGTCTATCTCTCATTTCCGTCCCGTCGAGTCTGCCGCTTGCCCTGACTTTCCTCATCCTACGAGCCTGTTCCCAGAATATGGACGTGGCCCCTCGGTCTGCATTTCTTGCGGCAGCTCTGCCGGCAGACAGCCGCACCGCAATTATGGGTGCGGTTAATGTGGTCAAGACCACTACCCAGAGTCTGGGGCCGCTGCTCACGGGTGTGCTGGCACGCAACAATCTCTTTGGTGTCTCCTTCATCATTGCCGGTTGTTTGAAGGTCGTCTATGACTTGGGCATGCTGTTTAGCTTTGCCGGCAAGGAGACTGCACGGAAGCAACCCGCGCAAGCAGACGAAGAGACTCACTAGGGGACTTTGTCATATTGCCAATAGTTTGAGTGCTGACAGCCGATTATTCTCTAAACTGCATTGTGGCAGATATAAACTGTCCCTTAGGGAGTCTGGTGCCTATTCATTCCGTGTTTCGCGAGATACCACGAGGTTTGTTGGGCTAGGTGAAAGATCACATTAAAATATTCGGCGTAAGAAGATTGCACTTTAATCAAAAACTATCCGCTCAGGAGTCAGGCCCGACTATTCAGACGGTTTTTGGTGAATCAGCCGAATTGGCTACATTTTGGGCTGTCATCAAGATGTTTCGAGTCTATACATAATTGGCATATCCACATCACAGTTCCTGGTATTCTCCAAGTTCCTTCATAGCACCATCATAAATTTCGGGTTGCGGTCATCATTATATCCGGCAAATTGATCATACTTCCCGTTTCTCTTATCCCGGTTGACCTTGGCACAGTAGAGCACATTAAACAAGATCCTACATCATCCAACAGTTAGTATCGGCCATGCTACTTAAGAAGATAGCAATAAGGACTTGACTCACATAAACCACGCAAACACCAACAGACCAAGAATGATGGTATGCCCCCGATGAAACTGCGGGCCGTCCCGAGAGGGATAGTTGAATGCTGTTCAATTAAAGAATGTCAGAATGCTCATTTGGAAAAGATATTCCACAGGAAAATATAGCACGTACTCGCCACAAAGCCTCCACAATTCGCAATCGTCAACTGCAGTGCCGACGTTGTAGCTCGTTTGTAGTGCCCGGCGGAATTGTTCGACAGCCACACCAGAATGCACGGGACGCTGGCGTACATGCCTGTTGCCATCAGGAAGGTCATGCCATACTGGACGCGAGGGGAATCGATGTTGGCGATGGCGGCATAGCCGACGATGGCAATAGGCAGCGTAATGAGCATGACCACACCTCGAAGGTGGAGGCGATCAGAGATGACGGCCACAAACACTGCATGTTTCAGTACTCCCTGCCTCGAAATGGGATATGAGAATGCCTACCGGTGAGAACAGCTGCAACCGCATACGGTATCACAGACCATAGCTGGACCTCGTTGGCGTCTTTGGCGAATCCGAGATTTTGAATAATGGTTGGTAACTGTTAGAAGATACTTTGTAAGCTCAGAACCTCTGGACGCAGAGGTATAATCATACAAACAACCCGAAAGAATATAAGCCAGAAAGAATGGCAAAGTATGCCGTGGCAGAAAGCCACACCTGCACACTTAAAACACCTCGACGGACTTCTGACCATCTGAATGAGCCTTGCTCGGCCATCGCCGTGCTATTTGAGTTAGAGTTAGCAGACCCCCCAATACCGTCGGGGTCTCGGGGTCATACCCTTCTGTCGTCTTGGGGTTATCCAGTCTCAACCTCTCTTGGCCGAATTCCTGTTCTTCTGCGGTCAAGAAGGGTGCGGTACCAACCGTATTAGGGAGAACGAAATAACTCAGGACACCGCAGACAAAGGTCTGTTTCGACATTAGAAACCCCCTGGTAAACTTAGGATATCACAACTTGCCAGTAGTCCTTCGATGATCAAGATCCAGCGCCACCCTTCAATCCCACCGCGAGGGCCTATTTCCGCCAGTCCACGAGCGAGGAGGCCTGACTCTATTAGGCAAGAATGGATAGTCGTGGGTAGAATCAAAGACATACCACCAAAGGCACCCGACAACGACGCAGCCGTGTAGAAGAGACCAATCCGTAAGGCCAGATCCCCTCGTCGATAAAAAGTAGATAAGTATAACACCTGGTTGCATAAATCAGGTTTGAACTTCTGAGCTTTGGGCCAAAGCTAAAACATACCATTCCTGGGAGAAGACCGCCCTCTGCAAACCCAAGAAGAGCACGCACAGCCACGAACCCGGCAAAGTTCTGCACAAACCCGAGGCACATGGTGATAATACCCCAGACGGTGGTCAGAAAAGGAAGCCAGAGTTTCGGTGATGCTTTCTTGAGCACAAGATTGCTGGGTATCTCACTAAAGGAAGAGAAATATGAGTCAATTGGTATGTTTTTTGTGCGAATTGGGTGGAAGGATCGACTTGGAGCGCACCTGCAGATATAGGTGAGGTAGAACACCGTGAGACCAATGTCATATTGATGGTCGGTGATGTTGATGTCCTTCTCCAGCCCGATAATTTTGGCATTGCCCACGTTGGTCCGATCCAGAAATGAGCAGAGAAACAATAGGGCCAACATGGGCAAGATGCGCGTGTCCAGTTTCCACAAGATACGCCGCGTCAGCTTTTGTTGGTGCGCCTGGTCTCCGAAGCGATGCAGCGGTTGATGCTTGGCCTCCTCAAGCTCTTCCACTGTCATTTTGGGCGGGTCCATGGTTGCAGGGCTGAGCTTGGCACTGCAAGGAGACATAGTGTGTCTGGGCAAGAAAAAGAAAAATCTGGGGAGTTTGGGACAATTAAGAACGACACGAGCCGCGATACTTCGGCTGCCATTTTTAGGCCCGAGCCGTCCCCTCGATGCGCCACTGGAGCTTCTCTGGTGTTTCTCCCCGCATTTTGCCCCGGATTCTTCGTGATGGTGGCCTGTATTGAATGCCGGTAAGGTGGCTGTTTTGTTACAAGGTACTTGGTTATTTGAGCTGATACTTATAAAAAGCCATTTGGAATGAATGATAGAAATGATAGAAAGACAAGATGAAGAGACCAAGAGACACACGCAAAGGGACTCATCCCCTTTCTACACCGCTGGTTCTGTTAGCAATCTGCTCCAAAGCCGATCTACCTCCAGTTGTATATAGATGTATGAAGGTACCGACCTCGGGAGGGTCACGGTACTTTTGCGTAATCGCGTGGTACCCGTCGGCGTCCACTTCTGGCCTCCGGCGCTCGGTCATCTTCGGGTCGCAATTTCTCCAGGACTCAAGACTTGTTAATGGCGCGACATCCACCCTCCTCTTCTCCCTCCGATCAAACCATGTCTAAACTCTCCAGTGGCCTCAAGGCCCTAATCAATGTGCCCGCCGCGCGCCCATCTACCATCCCCGCGCCGGTCAACATTACCTCGGTCTACCAGAAAATCCAGCACGGAGCCCAGTCACAACGGGTCACGCAGCCGTCCTGGCTGGCTCTGTCGGTAAGAATGGCATGAATCCAAATATGAAAAATCCAGTGGTAACGTTTGCAGACGGCAGCTACCATGACCATGAACTCGCCCGACTCGCTGGCCGCCCTCTACCAGCTAGCTACCGCCTCCCCCGCCGCCAACCACGTCGAGACGGCCGAGTTCATACGCGAAGTCGGGTTGAAATGCATCAGCTTCAATGGCATCCCACGCACCATCAACTGTCTCAATGCCTTCAAAGCCAGTCTCCCGGAGTCTGTCGGCGCCCAGCTGTCGCGCACGCCCACCCGCGCCCCGACCCCGGACAATATCGCGGCCATCGGTACCCGGGGCCGCGCTCTCTGGGACTCAATCTACCGCCCCTTTGAGACAAAACTGTACAACAAGCTCGCCGAATCGCATCCCGATCTCCCTGTACACATCCTGAACAGCCACTACGGCGCCCTGCTGTCGGATCCCGTTCGATCCACGGGCGCCTCGGCTGGCCGTGTGCTAACCTCCCTCGTTGCGGTGGCCTGTCTGCGCGCACAGTCTGGAGTTGGCCCCCAGGTGACCTCGCATGTCTTTGGGCTACGAAAGGCTCTGGAGGATGGGTCGTGGGTCGATGATGTCGAGGGTGAAGAGGCGGCGCGGTGGCTGGCAAGTGATGAGGGAAATACCTGGATCTTGAATAGTGTCGATGCCATCGTTGACGCGGTTAGCCATGGCTCCGGGTCCAATTTTGCGCCGACGCGCGCCAAGTTGTAAATATAGATCGGTAGAGACCACACCGCGTATACCAGACCTTACATATTCATGAATTGATGTTGCTCTATGCTCCAAGTTTCCCATATATACACGGTCATAACTCAATGAAACCCGACCTACCCCCAAGGCTCTGGTCTCTATTCCATGATCCCCAGGTTCTCTGCAATGCTGAACTTGGCATCCGTCTTGTTCTGCACCTCTTCGACCTCCACGCCCGGTGCAAGTTCCGTCAGCGTCAACTCGCCAGTGGATCGGTTAACCTGGAAGACACACTGCGCTTATTGTCAGGGTTTGCTCCAGTGTACATACGGGTCTAAACTTACCAGGTCCGTGATGATAGTGCTGACCACATTGGCCCCCGTCAAAGGCAGCCTGCATTTCTGTACAATCTTTGGCGAGCCATCCTTGGCCACATGGCTGGTGGCCACCACAATCTTGGTCTTATCGGGGTTCGAGATGAGATCCATCGCCCCGCCCATGCCCTTGAATACCTTGCCGGGGATCATGTAGTTTGCCAAGTCGCCGTTGGCGCTTACTTGCAGAGCCTAACGAAATATCAGTTAGAGAGCACTCAACAATTCTGAGCGAGGTATGCACAAACCCCGAGGATAGACACATCCACATGGCCACCGCGGATCATGCCGAATGACTCGGTGCTATCGAAAGTGGCAGCACCAGGGACTAAAGTCACGGTTTCTTTGCCGGCGTTGATGATATCTCTGGGCTTCGGGTTAGCGCAAGATATCCCCTTAACAAGATGTCAGATCAAACTTACGGGTCCACCTCATCCTCTGTTGGATACGCTCCCTATATGAAGGGTCAGTGAGATGAGTAGACACAAGAATCCAAATCAGCCTACCATTCCCAGAATTCCGTTCTCCGACTGCACCCAGACTTTGACGTCGTCGGGCAAAAATGAGGGCGCCAGCGTGGGAATGCCTACAGTAACCGTCAGTTATCATCCTTGGGTACTCCCCATGGCATCAGTTTCGAGACACGAACCAACGCCCAGGTTGACATAGTATCCTTGCTTCAGCTCCTTGGCCGCTCTGCGACCAATTCGCTCTCTTTGGATCTGTGATTCATCCTTGGTTGACTCAGTCGCACCACCCTCTGTCGACCGCAGCTTCTTGATCTCAATGTGCTTCTCGTCTGTGGCAGGGACAATTCGGTCCACGAAGATCCCCGGCAAGTCCACATCATTTGGATCAATCGAGCCGACCGGCACAATGTTCTCAGCCTCGACGATTGTCAGGGTCGCGGCCTTGGCCATAATCGGGCCAAATGCCTTGGTGGTGTATCTAAGGCACAGATGAGCATCTAATATGAAATGTCGGAAGAAAGAGAGGACATAGCAACATTGCAGAGTCTCCTTACCGGAACACACAGTTCCCTGCCTCGTCTGCCTTCCAGGCCCGGAGGATGGCTACGTCCCCGGTCAGGGCGGTTTCCATCAAATATGTCTTGCCGTTGAACTCGCGGGTCTCGCGTGGCTTGCCCGATTCCAAGACCTTGCCCGACTCGTCCATGCGAACGGGGATCTTCCCTTCCTGGATAAATGTGTCTTGTTTCGTGTCAGAGAAATAGCACAGGCCATTGAGATATCAAAGATATTTCATAGCACTTACGGACTCCCGTCGGCGTGAAAAAGGCCGGAATCCCCGCGCCTCCAGCGCGCAGGCGCTCCGCCAAAGTACCTTGCGGGCAGAGTTCGATAGCAATATTTCCCGATAGGTACTTCTTCTCCAGAGCCTTGTTGTTCCCAAGGTACGACAGGATCAATCGGCTAAGCTGGCCGTTCTGCGACAGTGTCGAAAGGCCGCCCTTGCCCGCGGCGCCGGCATTGTTGGACACCGCCGTCAGCGAGTGCAATTGATCCGCTCCTCGGCGGTGCATCGCATTAATGATGGTTTCTATTGGAAGTAGATGTTAGTGTGGATCTTCGTCGCCATTGATATGTAAATTTGGTATACCTGCAACCCCGCAGAGACCAAACCCAGAGCTGAGGATGGTCGACCCGCTCTTGATATCGGTGACTGCGGCGTCCGCATTTTGGAATAGTTTTGAACCGCCTCGCTGAATCTTAGGAGCCAGTGATTGTGACGGTGCGGCGGTCGAATATGTCGGGCCATTGCCGATCGGCTGTAGCAGGCGGGCGCTGGTGCAGCGCACTCCCAGATACAGTCTAGGGCGGCAGGCAGTGAGGGTCTTGCGCGACAGAGATGCGGTGGAAACTCGTAGAGCTGCCATTTTGCACAGATTTGAGGTCTTGAAGGATATCAGAAAGTGAAAAAGACGCGCATTTAATATAAAGCTGCCGGTTGACGGCATCGGCGGTCGGAGCTACTTCTGGATACCGATCAGCCGGAATCGGCAACGTTCAAACTTGGCTTTAGCCATGCTCGATGATTGTTTAATTGGATATTAGCAGTATTGGATTACTATGTAGCACAAGCAGTATTAAAATACTCCGAGTATCATAACATGCGCGGGCATGGCAGTATATCCTTCGAGGTCCACGGGTACGTTGAGATGAATCACCTCTTCAAACGTTGCTGAAACCGCTCCCAATTCCCTCTCATCCCCCCACTGCGACTGCCCGAGTTTAATCTCTTTGCCTGTTTTTTGTCCTGCGTATCTGAATTTGTTTCTGCATCCGAAGTCAATGCAGGGGACTGGTCATCGTCTCCTGTCGCTAGTTTGGACCCAGACTGCGATTGTTGTTCCGGAGTCAATGCCACCTCGGATCTCGCATCATTCGGCTTCTCTAGCCCCTGTTCCTTTTCGAGTGCTTGTCGCTCTTCCCACTGACGCCGTTGGCGCTCGATTCCGCGTCGCGCAGCGCCTTCGATGGTGCGTTCACCAATCATGCTAGTGCCCGGTGGGCCCGGGGCGATGGCACTATAGTCAAGACCCCAACCCATTTTTTGGGTTTTTTGTTCTTTTTCTTTTTCTTGAGCTTTGTTGTTCCGGGGGTGTCTCTTCGTGGATGAGAGGGCTTGGTACTGGATGGAAGAATCGGTAGGTGCACTTCTTTGCAGAACAGAAGGTATGATTGGGATTGAGTTCAAGTCTGAAGGTTTTTTTTTTTTTCTGAATAGATCTATCGCCTCGCCCGATATGAAATTTCGCGTCTTTATGTGCGGACAAGCAACTGATCGGAGGGACAATGACGTTGGCCAAGATACAGGGCTGAGTAACTGCGCCTCGGGGAGATCCACGGATCGTGGGCGGGCGGGTCCCCCGGATTCTGGGATCGGAGGAATGCTTCTTTGTGAGGTTGTTCATGCAAACCTAAAACAGACTAGAAATTCAAATCTGTATTGGAAAAATCAAGCCAGTCCCAGCTAAGCATGTCATCAAGAGGTACATCCGGAATAGATGTGCCAAAGGCAGTCCCTGCCCGATTGACCGCGTCGATAATCTGGTCATCAGACATGGCAGAGAACTGCAACGGCTCCGACCACAAATCTCCCGGTGGTAGTGGTGTCTGTTTCACCGCCAACGAAGGGTCATGGTCTCCTAGCGTTGTTGATGGAAGGATATGTTCGGACGGGTCCATTCGATGTAGGTTGGGTAGAGGTTGGGAGTTGGGAATAGCAGGCGCACGTCGAATCAACTCACGCAGAAACCTTCCGTAAAGCACCGAGGCGCCATTGCGGTGACTCGGTGTGGCTCCGATGCGTTCCAAGACACCAGCAGTTTCTTCGATCAAAGTCCGCACGCTTGGGGCCAAGCTGGACCTACTATCGCCAGGCGTAACGCTGAGGCCCAGTGCGGAACATGCGGCAAAGGAAATCATGATAACAGTGTTGTTAGGCATGGACTTGAGTCGTGCTTCGCCTTGGATGGCAGCCCGCAGTACGTTCAGCGCGGATGACAGGCTGGCGGCCCGAAAGAAGCGTTTGACTTCGAGGGGGCGGTAGGGTGGTTGATAACACCACCATAGGTGGACAGTTGAGTATGGGTAACGAGGATTTCCACATAAGGAGGAAGGCAGCGCACTGGTTATCAATTAGCATGTTGATTTCACTGAAACGATCCTTTTGTGTGATTGTAAGCGTACATTCGCCTTCGCCAATTGCCAATGCCCATGTCGCATACCATCGATGATAGAAGGTTTCAATGGCCTTTTTGATCCTATAACATCATAAGCAAAGTGGTCACTGAGTCTTTGTATCTTTGCGGCACATACGACTGGGCAGCTTCAGATCCAGTATCAATGATCCGATAACTATCACAACTTGATTTGACCTTGCGAAAAAGTTCGTCCTGCACATCCTCATTAAAACCACACTCATGTGTTTCAGTGCTCAAAGAATTGGTACTTACGAGATCTCTTCGAAGAATCGCCATTGAGTTCACAGGCCCATCGCGCAAATCTGCAATATCCGATTGATGCCAATGATCACAGTTTTCGATGAGTGCGGTTGCGGGAACCGTATAGCTTCGCCCACGAGCAAGACACACACTGTAACAGTAAACGTCAGAACGATTTCATATTATGCTTCAATATGACTTACCCTCTTTCCACGACAAATAAGGCGATCCATGCTCTTTCGCGTCTTCGCAACAGTCGACGACCCCACTCTGAACTGGGATCAACATCATCAAACCCGTCCATGTGCAACGCTCTTTTGGCATCGATACAGTCTGCTCTCGCCATTCTGTTTAAGAGGTCCTGATTAAAGCTCGCAGATGGCGAGACAATCTTGTTGAGTGACAGGTCCAAAGCAACCGTGAGTGCCATGGCGATGTAGGAGCACGTGTCATCATCTCCCAAGCTATCCCCTGGAGGCATCCATGGAACATTCACCATAAACGCCAATACAATCTCAACAGATCTATAGCGATGCATGATGACCCTCTCAGCAAGCCACTTGCAGTGTCTAGACAGTCGTTTGGACAAAGCGGCAGCAGACGGCAGGAAGAGAGCAGCACCAGCCATGATTGAAGTAAATAAAAAAGCCGACTGGGTGCGTACAAATGCTGGACTGTGTATTAAAGGGTCGAGACCCCATCGAGTATGTGCAAGGCTCTGATAGAAGCTAGAGAGGTACGCGTCAAAACTCTTTCTCTGTTCACAAATCCTGAACAGGGGACTTACAATGAGAACAAAGATTCTGACTCGTCAAAAGTGACGAGACCCAGATCAACCGGGTCCACGTCGGGCCCAACATCCAAGTTTGCCCTTGCTGGAACGAAGAACGACTTCGCACTCGGTGCCCCGAGCAGGCTACTTTCTTGAGGTAGCGTTGGTGGTGCAAGTGGTGGTGGCGGTGGCGATTTGGGTGCGTGGAACACTCCCGTGGGTGACAGCTGAAGGTCAGAGGCGCGTGCAAGCAGCTGCAAAGGGTTCTCTGCATCGTCCAAAGCCAGAGACTCCGCTGTATTGGCATCGCGGGGGGATAGCAAACTACGCGGGTGGTCGGCCCTGTCGGGGAGGCTGTCGGGCTCGTGCAGGAGCTGGCCCTGAACTTTACTCAGGAGGTCTTGGAGGTCAGTGATAGCTTTGTGGGCATCATCTGGACCTGTTGAATCGAGCTTGGGGCGCTTGATGGCCTCCTCGATCTGGTGGATTGCCTTCTCCAGGCCTTTTCGTTTACTAGGAGCAAGTCAACATGGGCACAAAGCAGAGTATTAGGCAATAATTACTTCTTGACCCCCTTTTGTCGGCCTAGGTGGTGACTAGGAACGATGCATTCTGACTGGGTCTGCTGGCATTTCTCACAACGAGCTTCACCGGCTGAACGGTTGCATCGGATCTTACTCCGACGGCAGCTTAAGCAAGCAGCCTGTTTTCCCTGGGACTGAGGGGTTGAGCTCGGTATTGTCTCCATGGGTATGCGACAATAATGTTATGCCCGAGGCCCTGGGGCTCTCGTCTTATCGCATGGCGGAGTTGCGGAGTCTGTCATGAACAATGGGACCCAACGCCATGCACCACTCGGTCAATCTGAGGACACATAGGATCATGTAGCATTATTTTGCGGCTGGAATCCAAGCACAGCCGGGCTAGCTCAATCGGTAGAGCGTGAGACTCTTAATCTCAAGGCTGCGGGTTCGACCCCCGCGTTCGGCTCTTTTTTTTTCTTTTTCTCCTTCTCAACCAATCTGCTTGCTTACTTCTTTTATTTATTTGTTTTCTTACTTATTTTTACTTCTATAGATCTTTTCGAATTGTCTTTTGGTTTATTGATATAGTTGGGTTGTTTGTTGTATATATATACTACTAGATCTTCCTTTAATATATATAGGTTCTAAACATATATATATATTCCTAACATCGAACAACATATCATTAGATTCAAATGACCACTTGCTAAGCTGTCTCGCGCCAATGAGTGATTCAGTAGACAGCAAGTCACTCTAGTTAATAAGGATCTCCGTTGCCATTACAAACATTCCTTGAATGATCTAGCCGGACTCAGTACAGTCCAGAATAAGTCACATGAAGAAAAGAAAAGAAATTACGATTATGTATCTCCTAGTCATGGCATAAATGTACGTGATACCCAACGCATAAATACTCCAAGCCCGCCTGGCCAACCTAGGAACCACCACCCATGCCGGAGAATCACTGTGCCCGACCAATCTCTTCGTCCCGAGGAGCCGAAAGAGCTCCGGATGCCTCGGCCGCGAATGGCTGCGGTTGAGCTGCTGGCGGCTGAATTGGTGACGGTTGCGACATCGACACTGAGTTCACCCCCGGATTTGCAGCCGGAGGCCCCTAGTCCACGGCGCCAGCCCAGGCCATGGGAGGAACACCGGGCGGTGGGTACAAGTTTGGGCCAGGTCGCTTGCTCATCTTGCCGGGTGGACCCAGCATTGGCGGGTATTTGAACCGGAACCCCCAGACGAAGAAGAGGCGCAGCTTCGTCCACACACTCATGGCCTTCCATTTCTTCGTCAGCTCCTGGGCCTCGAGGTACGTGCGGGCTCGGTAGCCCTTCCGAAAATAGCACAGCAAAAGCAGAGTGATGGGTAGAATCGTGATGGCCCAGTACACGGGCAGACCGCGACGTGTCAGCCAGCCGGTCATCAGGCGGCGAAACCGAACGAAGCTCTCGATGAAACCCAGGATGATCCACAGTTCAACCCACCCGATCACCAGAATCAACGTCAGAGCGAATGGGCTGATGCCCATCCAGTAGTCGCCATGGAACCAATCATCATCGCCATCGTAGTAGGAGTTCTGATAGTAGTTGTAGTACTGACAGTTGCGGCGTACATATAGCGACGACGGGTGATACCTGTCACGCAGGTCGCCCATAGAAGTACTAGGGACCTGGGTAGGATCGACAAAAACCACGCCGTAGGTGTATGTGGTGGGCTAGAACAGCTGATAGTTGTCCACGGACACCGAGGTTCGACACAGCGGTCTTTGGCAGTAATTTCTCGACCATCGCAGGTGGATTGAGCGACACAGCAGTGGTTGTAGTCCAGTGCGTTGAGCAGGATGAGGGGGCCGAGTAAGTCAAGTTGACCTTGTATATGGTTTCGTGAGTATCATCATCATCAAGCAAGTCGGTATAGGTCAATCGCTCGCCGACACCAGTGGGATACAGCTTTTGAATCACCGTGACGTCCGGCTCTAGGCTATTGATTGAGGTGATGGTAGAAGAGGCATCGGGTAATGAAGTGGCTGTCAGGGTGATTTCTTGGATGGAGGTGGTTGTGGACGAAGGCCCATCTTCGTAGTAACGTAGGGTTCGGTGATGAGGACTTGCTGATAGTTATCCGTCACAATCCACGGAGCCGCACGAATCAATGGATACAAGGACAAAACGAGTGACCAGCAAAGCAAAAACGTGGGCCATGAATTCTTTAGTGAAATTGCCTGTAGTCTTAGTCTTGCGAACTGGAGGATCCGGTGAGACTTCGGAAGAAAAGAGCGAGCCGTGGAACACCCCCAGACACGCCAAATATACAATTCAAAACGCCTATTGAGACACACCCATAATAAAATGAAGACAGGATTTCAGCAAATAAACCAGGCGTCACTTCGTAAAATGCAGGCAAAGACCAAATTGTGGCGATTTCCACCCGACTCTTGCGAGTAGAGGGAAAGACGAAGAACCAGTGGCAAACAAAGGAGAGAAAAAAAACATCAATTTGCAGCCCGCAATGCTCGCAGTCGCGCTCCCAGCCCGTCCTCGACCTCGGTTTCGGGTTGCTTGGATTCTTTGACGTCCTCTTTGGGGGCGTTGTCGGCCTCCAGGGTCATGCGCATGTCCACGCCGGCGTCATCCGCCAGCTGCTCCATGAGACGATCGACCTCTGTCTCGCCCTCCGCCCCGTACTCCTGCATCGAGACTCCCTGTGCAACATCCTCGATCGCACTACTGGCGATCTTGAAGTCTTCCGACCGCGCGAGGAAGTTGTTGGCGTGCGATACCAAATGCTCGAGGTTGACGCTCTTGGATGCAGCGTCCAGGCCCCGCGAGGCCAGCGCGAGAGTCCGGGAAGTGTCGCGGGTGCTCTGAGCGGCCTTGAGCTCGTTGATGATGACATCGGCACGGGCGGCTTCGGATTTGAGGGTGACTTGCCGTCGTTTCTCGCGGACGGCCGAAGCGGCGTGGATGCGGGCGATCTGGAACTCGCGATTCTTCATCGCCTTGTCGGCTTTGGCCTTTTCGGCCTTGAAGGTCGTCTCGGCCCGCGCAGCCTCCTTCTTGAGTCGGTTGGAATGTAACTACACAGTAGAGTCAGAAAGATGAGCGCTCTCGCAGGGTTCGGACGTGCGATAGAGGAGGGAACCGAAGCGGTGCGGGGGGAGGGAGGGACCAAGACCAACTTACTTTGACATTGGTACGGGCTTCGAAGATGGGATCTTTGCGAACCATAATGCCGGTGTTGATGATAAGAATGCAAGTTTCCAAAGAACGGGAGCGAGAGAGAAATGGGGAAGTTGGCGCGTGGCAACGTCACTGACCGCATTCAGGCATTTTCTGTCATTGGAGCAAAACGGGGCACCGTTGAGATCTACGAGAGGGGCCGAATTGTTGATTTTGGTTCCTGAATGATTGCAACATAGGCGAATGTATACAATACATGTCTATACAGTCTACAAGGTCTTTGCGGTAATCAAGTCACGAAAAATGAGCCAGTCAATTTTGTGGAATAATCGAAACAATATAATAGTATACAGGCTAAATCCAAAAAAAAAACCCCTCAGAGTTGCTTTCCCAGGAGCAGAGACGTCAGCGTCTCGCCCATGTCGGAACTCCAGGAACTCCGTGTACTCCGATGAACCGTCTTGCCGTAACTGCGTCGCCGACCGGATTTCAAAGTGAGCTCCCGCCGGGGTCGTCTTGACTGGTCGAGACTATCCATTGCCCAGGCCATGGTCATCAACGACTCCCAACTCGGTCGACCCTCCGGGGCGTCGGCCGACCAGGTCTGCGGGGAGAAATGCTCACTAACCGCTAGCTGCAATGCTCTGCCCGTCGCATCGCGAAGTGGACGCGCCAAGGCTGGGCTGCATGCTAGTAGGCGGGTGAGAAGTCTCATCCGGAAGACCGGCCGGGTCGACGCCTTCGAGGGCGACAGACTCGGGGTCGAAATCAACCAAAGAATCAAAGGGAAATGCTGATAGATCTCCTCCGTCGAGAACGTCAAAGGCGAGCCCGTCTTCAGGGAATGAAGGATGAGGCTCAGCGGGTGAATCACCGTTGAAGAGGCGACGGAAGTCATCGTCAGAAAGAGGAGCTGCAACGTCATGTGCATCTTGAGGCTCGTCTCCCGACCCGACGTCAAAGAGGGGGGAGGGCACTTCCAGCTCCTTCGAGGCCAGCGACGGACACTGCAGGTCACACAACACCGCTGCAGGATGTTGTGTCACGTCGGAGGCCTCAGCCAGAGTGGAAGGCTCGAGGGTCGGGGAGTATTCGGTAGCGGAGGGAGTTGGGAAAGGGATCCGCTCCATGGAGAGCTCGTCGCCTTCCTGCTTGAACAGGGTCGGCGTGAGAGTGGGGGATTCGGCCACCGGCGAGCCGGCTTTGGGTGTGGCGCTGCGAGATCCGCGCACCTCGGCGGACAGCTGGGCCACCTGTTGGCTGAGGCGGTTGTTTTCCGTCTCCATTTGTGAGAGACGCTGGAGGAGGAACTGATTTTGCTCCATCATCTGAATCTTCTCAGTCTCCAGCTTCTCCATTTCAAGTCTCTTGCGCTCCCGGGAGGTCTGGGCCGCGGCACGATTCCGCAGAACCCGCTCTATCCGGCGCTGCTCCTTTTCATCGTCGGTCTTTGCGCGCTTGCTATAGAATAGATGCTTGTCAGCGGGTGCTTCCGAGGCGAAATACGATTGGAGCTAAACCATACCGTGGAGGCAAGTTGGTCTTAGGCACTGGGAGTTCCTGACCCCAGGACTTTCTCTTCTTCGAAGGCTTCTTCTCATCATGTGCTTCCTCTTCCGGATCTGGGGAGTCCAGTGACGTATCCGCGGGGGAGACAGTCAAAGCGATCTCCGGGGTAGGGCTGGTTGGCAGGGAGTCCAAGTTGATGCTGTCTGCCATGGTGGACAGATCCAGTGGATATAATACTCGAAAAGTGGTGAGGTTCAGTGATTTAGATACTCAAAAGTACGAGTGTTTTGAGGGTGAATTATGACTTGAGATGGTGGAATGCGAGGATGATGAACCACTATACTCAATTCACCCTCAAAGGACACGTTGTCATCACGATCAGCACCGGAGACCCGGTGATTCAGAGGGAAGACTCCGATGGAGGGTGAGTCAGCGAAGAAAGAGAAAGAGTGGAAAGGACAAGTGTTTCTTAGAGGGGGGGGGGAAGGAGAATGAGGGCGAAGTGTGAGGTTTAAGTAGAGGCCACGCTGGTCTGAACCAAAGGGATGTGGACCACACAGGCTTGCCAGGCTTTCCAGGGGGGTACATTGTGAAACAGCGTGTTTACTATGGTGATTTATGTACCACGGCTGGAGTGAAGGGGCGGAGTCGTCAGCCTGTGACAAGCTGAAGACGTAAATTACAGTAAATTACCGCCAGGCGTGCCGTGTGAGGGCTAAGATTACCGTTTCAGCCCCTGCGCCCCTGGATTCCACGGTTTCTGGTGGATTTGGGGGCAAATCGACGCGAATCAAACAGCCCGAGTCTGCCTCAGCTGCGAGGCCCCCAAAGGCCTGGGTCTTTTTATAGCCCCCAAAAGGCTGCCCCCAAAAGGCTCTCTTGCTATGTGCACTAGATCCAACCCTCTCCCATATTACCTATAGTAGTAAGATAGTACATAGTAGTATACCTAGGTAGTATATAATATTTAATAATAGTACATCTATCTATCATGCAGAGTCTTTTCTAAAAGTAGGTAACACGACACATCCAACGATTTTACTACTTACTCTCCTTATTTTACATCATTTGTGGGCCAAAAGGGTACAGGCCTCTCACGGATTATTATCGCCGTTCCGGGAGAATACGCCATCCGCCCCAGGCCCGTTTCCTTTCTTACTGTACTCTCTGCCGAGCCCCCGCTTAGTCTCCATATGCCCCCTGAGTTTTGGAATGCATGAGACAAAAGCCCAGGAATCCCCTGAGATTGGTGGATCATTCAGGGGCGATCAGAATTCCATCGAAGTCGACGGAAGATTTTCATTTCCAGACGATCGACGAAGGGCTGAAACGGGTGAAGTATACGCTTCCTAAAGGGAAATCGGCCCCTTCATGAATCAACAGAGAATGACCTTGAGATGGATTCAACACCCCCATCTGATGTATCACTGCCGAGATACAGTATGATTTTTCATGTGGCCGCGACTCAACTTGGAAATTAGGGGGAATGATACTTGAGAAGAATATATGCTTTGCATCCCCACCGTTGAGCCGATGATTATTATAGTTCAGGGATGATTGACGGTGGGGTGATTCATCAAGTCGCTATGAGGCAATTCTGACAGCCTCTTTCGCAAGGGTTTTTGATTGATTCGAAATATGGGACTCAATCCACCGTGTGTTTTCCTTTTGATCCAATCCGGAGACCCGACACCAGGGGAATTATATGCAGAGGGTAAACAAAGAAAGGAGAAAAAAAAGAAAGGAAAAGAAAATAGCAGAACAAAGAACGCCTTTCCATACAAACGTGCTCATGATCGGATCGTAAGCGGTATATGCGAGGGGGAAGGGGGAAGTTTCCGACATCTACATGCTGACATCCATCGTGTCGTCGCCGGCGTCGAGCGCATTTTGTCGCTCGGGATCCGGGACCACCACGCCTCGGCCTCGACCAGCAAGCAGTTCCCGCCGGACCTCAGGGCCGATGTCTTTGTGTCCCCGGACAAGGAGCAAATCGAGGAGTGCCTCACGCTGGTCCTCGGTGATATCATTGCGGTAGCGCTGGGCGAAAACCAACAACGACTGGTGCCACAGCACCGGCAGCTTGTAAGCCTTAGCGCCAGGCCCCGAGGAACCATCAGTCATCATATCATCGCCGCTGTCTGCTCGGAAGCGTAAGAAGTGAAACACAAGGGCGTCGATCACTTTGAAGGGCAGGGCGTATTTCTTCTCCAGGAAGACCCGAATAAACACATTCACAGCCCCGGTACTTTCCAAAGAGTTGGTCGACTGTTCGGCCGCCATATCACACATACGCAGCAATGCGGCGGCGGAATGCAGTACCGGGATGGATACACGGGCAATCACCGATGAAACGATGTGAGCTTCGCGCAAGGTGCAAGTGCCACTCGAGACAAGCGGGAATAGCAGGCCCTTGAAGAAGCATGCGGGTTTATAAAGAGCCTTGCGTAGCGAATTGTACGTGTGGACATTCAATTTCTTGGTCTCGTGGATCTCGTCACGAACTCGGTCCAGGAGAACCGTCGAGATGAATTCCTGGGCCACGGCGGGCTTGGACGAAATGAAGATGCGGGTCCCTGCATAAACAGCGTTGGGAGTCCATGACTCGGGCCGGGTGATATCTAGAATAGTCGGCCAGTTCGGGACTGTCGGGAGGATCTTGAAGGGCTTCGGAAGTGGGCCGGATTTGTAGCGGGTCAGAATCATGCCGACCCTAGCGGCGGTACTTGTTAGCGTCACGGAGTACTTCAATGCTGGAACATTGCATACTTCTCATATACTTCCACCGCCTTGGCAGGAATTTGGACGGCGTCTTCGGGCACTCCACCACCTTGGATGAATGCTCCGCCACCAGACTGTTTCGCTTCATGCTCGGCAATCTTCTCCAGGATCAAATCGGCCAGGTTCGTGGTCTGACCCTCCGTACCGGGTTCTTGGGGGTGGAATATGGGGTCTTCTTCATGCCCGGGCATGAATTTGTTGAACATATCGAGATCGTTGGGATCAACCTCCTATAGCTAGCATGAGAATCGACAATCACCCAGCAAGAATGAAAGGGCGTCCTTACGACTTCCTCGACTTCCTCGTCAACCCATTCATCATTCTCAAACTTCTCTTCATCGTCCGAGAATGGCTCCTCGTCCTCGAACCGGGTGTCAAATTCGAATGCCGAGTTGCCTGTCGGCTCTGTCGAGCCCTTGGCGAGTTTTTGTTCGGCAGCATCCTCGTCCGCCAGTTCTTGACCAATCTGTAAAATCTTTCGTGTCATTTTTGCATCGATGTAGCGCTGTCCATTTTCGCCCTCCTCTTCTTCATCCTCTGATTTGCGTTTGCCTTGCTTCCCGCTCGGTGTCCGGAGATGCCCCGCGGATACGATGTCATCTGCCAGAGGGTTATGCCGGCGAGCCGCGGCGGCGGCTCGAGAAGAAGTGGCCTTGGGCATGATGAGATCTCCCTCCAACAACACAACTGGCAAAGTAAGTCGAAGCAAGCTATATTCAGGCTTGTCCACGGTCCGCACAAAGTGGTTTCTCGCAATTTTTTTTCTGCCAGGCGGTGGACTCCAAGTCTCCACCTTCACCGCCTCCCTTTGTATTTTTTCTGCTGCATCAACCGCCCTGACCGCCTCTGCTTCTCGAGGATCTTCAGCTGCGACCGACTTTACATGACGCAGAGCACCTGTTCTTGTGACTCTTCAAACCTTCTCTTCCGTGCAAATAAAAATTGGCATTCTTGACATCTGGTGTGGCTCCAATTCATCAGACCAAAGTGGTACAGCCTTGCCAGACTTAGACATCGCGTGCGCATCTCACGGAGTACCTCGGTGTCGACGACAGCATTTATTGGGTTTAGTGGTAAGAACACACGCATACAGGGCGAGCTGGAAGACAAAATCTGCCTGCTCTGGAACTAAATTCCAAATTTGTATGCACTTCTGACATGCTTTTCGCCGAGCTAGATGCTGGACTTCGTCGGAACCATTACCATCTTCTACCCTAGTTGAATAACCTTTCAACTTCATTCCCACGGGTCTTGCGAATTGAACTACCGCCAGGCGTCTTCCCAACCAGCTTGAGAATATTACAGGGCACGTACCTCCAATTCCATCATGGCATCCGGCCAAGCTCACGGATCCTCGGCGCCATCTTCCAACATCAACTCACCAGTTTTACCACCCGGCAACCCTCCTCTACCCAATGGCCCATTATCCGATCTAAACGCAAGGTCCTCTCCAGCACCAGCCAGCAATGCTTCTTTCCAAGGCGATGCCGCGCGGGCAAAGCGCAATAAACGCGACAGCCGCAAAAAGAGGGAGGCCAAAGGTTTGGATCCCGAGAATGCGCCTCCACCCAAGAAACGTGCCGCCGTGCTTAGCAGCGCCGTGCCCAGCTCCGACCTCCAAATTCTTCGCCCATTGCTGCTTGCCGAACCCCGTCAATCTGATCGGTTTCCTCCACAACCGCGTCAATTGAACCCTGTCAGCCGGAAGACCTCCAACGTCCTCGGTCAGAATTGGGATTTTTACGAGGTTGTCGACAAGCTCACTAACAAGAACGGCTTTCGCTACACTTATGCCATTGCTGACCCTGGTTTCCCCCATATAAAGTATCGCCAAACCGATGTCCGCCCCTACCACGCCCGCTTCAGCTTTGAAGATTCTCCAGCCGCCATCTCCTTTTCTCAGAACGCTACTGCCGTGACTACCCCTGATGCATGGCACACTGCTCGTGCAAATGTGTGTGCTCGAGAGGGCACTTTCTACTATGAGGCTCGTGTCATCAATGGCATGGTCAATGACGCGCAGGCCGCGCCCCAGAATGGCGGCCCAGGCGCACCATCCCGCGGCCATGTCCGTATTGGATTCGCACGGCGTGAAGCCGACCTTGATATTAACGTTGGGGTCGACTGCTACGGCTACGGGATTCGGGACGTGAATGGCGAAGTCGTCAATCGCATGCGATGCGAGTTTTTCTTCCCCAAGGGGGAGGCGATCTACGAGGGCGATGTAATCGGCATGCTCATCACTCTTCCACCTCTCTCCATTCACAAAAAGGTTGTCGAGGGTACCTATGACCCTGCTGTGGATGGAGACGGCTCTTCGTCCCAGACTCCCACCGCAGCCAACCTTATCCGAGACCGGATCCCTTTTCACTATAAATCCGATTTTTGTTGGCAACAATCCAACATCTTCGCTACCAAACACCTTCGTGACTATGCCTTTAACCTCAAGGAAACACCCACTTTTGGCCCACCCTCCCCGCTAAACAGCGAAGACGCCTCTCTCCGCACCCTCCCCGGCTCTAATATCACAATCTTCAAAAACGGTGTCCAAATGGGCACACCCTTTAAAGATCTCTATGCTTTTCTTCCGCCAGCCAGCCGCCTTGCTAACGGAACCAATAATCTCGGTATTGGCGAGCGCGAAAATGCCGACGACGGCATGATTGGCTACTATCCGGCCGTGAGTTGCTACGGCGGCGGTGCCGTCGAGTGTCGCTTCGAGGCACCGTGGTGGATCGGGCCACCGGAGTTTACCAAAAATGGCGTGCCGATCCGCGCCATCGGAGAGCGATTTAACGAGCAAATCGTCGAGGATGTCATGGCCGACCTGGTCGATGAGGTCGAAGCCATGTTCACGTGGGGCGGCATCGACGGCGATGTCATCGGCAATAAGAATGCCGACGAACTAGATGGTTCTGCGTCTGGCGTGGTCGGAGGCTCTGAGGTCCTGAAGGGTGGTGTTGGTGCGGCGTTGGACTCGGCAGCGTCTGCACCCACCCCTGGATCAGCCCCTGGCGCAGCTGGCGCCTCTGATTCTGCTGCCAACAGCAACCGTGAAACGCCGATAGCTGCTGGTGACCCGGCCTCAGGGAACCCTACCGCGGAGGACGCAATGAGCGTCGGGACGGCGGGTACTCCTAGTCATGTCGTGGAAGCGCCAGCAACCACAGGCGATGGGGATGTTGAGATGACCTGATCCGAACACTGAGTACATTGCCAACTATCTGGCATCGAGTCAACGGAAAATCCGAATCCTACCTCCGGCAAAACCGACGATAGAGATGTATTGATTTCGCTGAAATGGGTGAAAAGGCGTTTGGGATTGTGATCACGCAGCATTTGATACCAAATTTCAGTAATTATTGAACAATTTCTGGCCAGATAGGAATACAGTGAGATTTTTATTATACAGATATCATGACAGGGTTTCTCAATGGGCTTGGTGGAGACATGATGCGTCCAGCTTTTTGCCTTCCAGCAGCTCTCCCACTTGCATAACCAGCATATCATCTCCATATTGGCCCAGAACCTGGATCCCAACCACTTCGGCCGCGTCCGCATCCGCGTCCTGGGTGGTACCGGTGACCGTGACCGGCACAGAGATGGCAGGGAGACCAGCCAGACTGGCAGGAACAGTGAAAACATCGTTGACATATGCATCCAAGGGCGAAGAGCCGAGTTTGGACAGCAGTGGCGGCGGGGAAGGAGCCGTGGGACATATCAGAACGTCTACATCTGCCAGTTCCTGACGACCCTTTGCGTCCTGCGCTTGGGCCGTGGCCAACAGATGCTGGGCCGCGAACACCGCATTGAAGTCCTGCTGGACGAGCCGACGGACTCTTTGTGCTTGAATGAAGTAATTGTCCATGGCATCGGCGCTTAAACTATATGTGCCCAGCAGAATTCGTCGCTGCACCTCAGGCCCGAATCCGTTTCCCCGTGTGTTGGCATATAAATAGCCATCCGGTCTTCTATCGCTATCTGGGCCTTCAGTGCGAGTCCCATATCGCACGCCGTCATACTTGGCGAGATTCGAAGATGCCTCGGCCGGCGCGAGGACGTAGTACGCCGACAAGGCATGTTTGGTTGCTGGGAGAGAAACGGTGTGAATTGTATGGCCCTGCTCTCGCAAGTGTGACAGCGTCAGAAGCCAAGCATGCCGAACCGAGGGGCTCAGTTCCGAGATGTTGTATTCTATTGGCACGCCGATTCTAATGGGCGATGAGGACAAGCGTGAGGCAAGTGGTGGCGCCTGGATATGAGATGTAATGCGGGAGCGAGAAGAGGGTGAGAGACTGGTTGGATCGCGTGCATCATGCTGGTTCAAAATAGCTGGACCGAGAAAAGTATAGCTCCATTAGCACATCTGGTCACCCGAAGCCACGCTACCAGCAGCCATACCGAAGATATCTCGAACACTGGCGGTGTTCCTCCCCAGAATGCCCACGGTATCCAGAGAATTGGCATACGCGACCACTCCCCATCGCGAGATCAGTCCATAAGAGGGTTTGAAACCCACTGTTCCAGTATATGCGGCAGGAAGCCTAACCGAGCCTCCCGTGTCGGTCCCGAGTGCGCTGTAAGTTGAACATCGCTGGTCAACCCTTCGTTCATTTAGCTCAGATTCAGGGCTCCCATCACTCACACATAGCATTGGTCCGCCGCCACGGCTACGGCACTTCCGCCGGAGCTGCCCCCCGCCGAGAGATCTTGCCCACTGCGATGGCAACGCGAATTTTTGACGGGCCCAAAGTGTGAATGTACCGAATGTGATCCCATCCCAAACTCATCCAGGTTTGTTTTCCCTGCGATGACGGCCCCTGCCGCCTCGAGCTGCTCGACAACTGTCGCATTGAATGGACTGGTGAAATGATCCAAGGTGCCCGAGCCGCAGGTCGTCGGCACATCGCGCGTGCAGATATTATCTTTTATGGCGATTAAACGGCCATCCACGGCGGACGTGGGCTTCCCTATCTCGAGTGAGCAAGGACATGATGGAGGGGAGGTGATCGGAGGTACCTTGCTCCTTGCGCCGGTCTGCTTCTCTCACACGATCCAGCCATTGGCCCGCACGGAGTGGTGTGATGAAGGCATTGAGACTAGGTATATGGTTAGCGATACATCGCTCTGCCTCGCGCAGCAGGGACATGGTGCAGCGAGGGACGAGGCGCAACGAGGGCGAAATCTCCCATTCCGCGGTGGCCCGTGCTGACGCCCCTACACTCTCCTCAGGTATACAGTGTTCTCCAAAAATTTCAGCAACCCTCGCCTCACACTCTTTATATTATAAGGTATTTTGTTGGTCAAAAATAGATCCATAGATAAAACCATTGCTTATATATATAGCTCCCTTTAATAGGATCTTTATATACCACAGCAAAACTATGTAATGTAATACTACGCTAGGAAAAAAACAATTTTGAGTATTCACCTTATATACTAGGCATCAATTAATCCTCTCATTACCTTCCTATTTCGGTGTAGGAGTAGGAAGGATTTGGTGTGCGATTAAACGAAACTTACACGTTAATATGAGCTACTTGATCACAGAGGGAAGGGAAACTATATAGTACTAGACTGCGAGGAAAGATATAGATTGAGAGTAGTGTATTAGGTGGTTGGTAGGTTAGTTGGTTAGTAAAAGGAAGAAACTATAGACAGGGGGGTGCTAGAATTTTTGTTATATTAAATAATATAAGAAGATGTGAAGTGAGTTGTTGAAAAGTGGGAGGATTCAACTTCGCTACCCCCTACATGACCCCCTACCTTTAATACGCCTATAGTTGTAAATATTTGCCTAAAAAAAAGAGAGAAAAAGAGAGAAAAAAGAGAATTATAAAAATAGATTAAACAAAAGATTGGAAAAAGGATTAGAGAATAGATATAGAGAATAGATATAGAAAATGAAGAGAATTAATTAATTAATGTAAAAGAGAAGAAAATATCAATAAAATAACAGTGGAATTAGTAAAATCGCTATCTATATATTTAATAAAGAATAAAACCCCTTAATCATCTGGATACAATATAGTTAATAAGCCATTTCAATCTAATACTTATTATCTACTTTCTCTTTCAACTCCTGAGCGAAGCGAAGGTTAGCGGCTTATCACTATATCTAGAGATCGATTCGACCACTGTTGTATGTTTCATCTACTCTGAGAAGCTTTCGGTTTCTTTTCTTTTCATTTCTTTTCTTTTTTTAATATATCCGTACTGATAGACATCATACCAAAAATAGATATCTGTATACAGTAAGACCAACTCCGCCCTAGCGTACCGCCTCTGGCCCCCGGTGCTTCCAATGGGGAATAGTACATTCATTAGACTAATATATACGAGCCCAATCGGCAGGCTGGAAGTAACGGTATCGATAGGCCTATTGGAGTCGTTTTATAGCATATTCCTCTTTTAAATAAGGGCGCTAGCTATATCGCCATTTTCGAAGGTTCTCAGCATTCAAAAGCCGTCGAATAGAGTTATATTTAACCTAAACAATAAAGAGATATTAGTAAAAAAAATATATATATATAATAAATATATAATAAATAACCTTATACGAAACCTTACTTAGTCAATCCTCGCGTGTAACCCTTGGATCACCGTGTATAGCGTTAAGTAGGCGTTCCCGGTCGGCTTCATTCAACTTTGTTGGGCGTCCAGAACGAGGTTTTGATACCCCATTTATTCGCTCGCGGTCTTTTTTGATAGTATATCGAATACCAGAGAGAGAAACCCAAGGATATCGCTTTTGTATACGCTTATATCCCCAACCGGCAGCTTGTGATAGCTCGCATATACGCTCACGAAGCGCAGGCGTCAATTCTGATCGAGGAGCCATGATAAATATAGAAATTCAGGGGTTGCCAGATATTCATACAGCTGGCGGTATAGGCGGTGTACGAGTGGGTCTATTAGGGGGTATCGAAAGATTTGGACCGTTACTGTATAGGGTGGGTATATTCCTACATTTCCACCTCTCCCTCACTTTCCATCTTGCCCGGCAATATGGAATACCTTCTCTTGGTCTTCCTATGGCCATTATTACTCCTTTCAGTTCCTATTTCGGCATCCCCATATCTACAAAAACGGTTGACCGTGGTCGAAAGCTCATGTGCCGGAACACGTTTTGCCCAAGTGAAGGATGCAAATAGTATCGCCCAGGAGATAGGGAAGATTGCCGAGTCCTACATGAACAAGTTTATTGGACATTTAGAGGGTAAAGGGGGCCTCAGCCAGTTGGAGGTGGAGACTATTGAGCAGGGCCTGAAAGAGTTATACAAAATCACCAATTATCAGTCGCCGCAGACGAAAGAGATTGTGAAGAGAATCAAAAGTCGGTGCTACCAGTGCCCATAGTGGCCAGCCCCCTTTCCCAGATCTATACTAATTAGACACCCCCTCCACTAGCGACGTGTGGTCAGATTGCAAAAATACAACCCGCGGATATTAGAATCTTCTGCGACAGGAGGGGCTGGCTGGCAAAGGTCGATGACAAAGGCCAGTCATATAAGGGTGATGCGCTAGAAGCAGGCAAGCAGATGTGGTGGGACTCGATATTTCACACCTGGACCCCGATGAAGAATGCGTTCTGTGCAGGAGTCCATGCATTCAATACCCATACCGCGAACACGAGATCTCCTGACGAGCCTCGCGATATTATCACGTTCTGTCCGGATATGTGGAGGGTCACGAAGGGCCAGTCTACGCCCCGCGAGATAGCGTTGAACGCCCCGGGTTCCGTAGAATACAAACTGTCAACATTGAAGGACAGTGTGGCAGGGGCTCTCTTTCACGAATTCACCCATACTGAACAGGGTGGGAAAAGTACGTTTGTGACTGCAAGGGCAGAGGATTTCAGTCAACTGACGCTCTGCTCAATAGCGATTGATGTGAAATGGACCGACCCACAGGGCAAGAAGTGGTACGCGGTGAAATATGACATCTTAAAAAAGCTCAACACCCACCAAGCTTTGGAGAATGCCGAAACTTATGCCACGATGGCTATGGGTCAGTCGTTTTGCCTGGAGCCTGACCTCTTTCAAAACTAACCTTGCTTAGGTTTGTACCTCTTGCATCATGGCTTCAAAGTCTCGTGGAGCGAGGATAGAGTCTGGCGCGCTGCAGGGTGTTAAGAGATGATCTAGTGAGGATCAGCCGGCGTTCGCCTAGGTGCCTTGCCAGGTGGATCAGACGCTGATTTTGAGTGTTTTAATTTTAGCTATAACGATTCACGTGATATAGACATTCAATCTTTGCAAATTGTCTCGTAGAAGAGGCAAGAAACATATCTACAGCTATGTCAAGGAAGATATCACCGCATCAAATTCAACGGTCAGAGTTGGGCACTTCGGTCGGAACCTAGCTTTAATACAAATTAGGAGCTAGTGTTAATTTATATTGGCACCTATACGCACTTTCACGGGTACTTAAAGATATACATGGCCAGGGAGTTTCATATAGCCGTTATTTACTTCGGGTTCCTTCGGCCCGAGTTCACCGACGTCATTCCATCCATTTGGTCTCCTGCGCCCATTCTTCTCTCATCTCTTTTCTCTGTTATCTCTTCCTCTACAAGAAGACCACCTACACACGAGAGATGTTTTCGCGTGGTGTTCTTCGAGCAGCCGCACAGAGCTCCCGTCACTTTGGTGCTCGAACGGTAACGCGATCGCCGGTGTCGGCCCAGCCGCAAATCAACCTGGACGGTCGACGATACGTTTCGGTGTATGGCTACACACAGGCAAAGGCGTTGATTTACTCGAAATATGGCGAGCCTAAAGATGTTCTTCGGTAAACAATTTCTTTCTTATCTTAATTAATCTGTGTCTCCCTTCATACGACGAGACTGACGGACTCCCTAGTCTGCACAAGCACTCGATCTCGGCCCCGCACGCCACTCAAGTAAACCTGCGTCTCCTCACGGCTCCATTAAACCCAGCCGATGTGAACCAGATCCAAGGTGTCTATCCCAGTAAACCTCCCTTCCAGTCGGCGCTGGGGACGGCGGAGCCTGCCGCGGTGGGCGGGAACGAGGGCGCGTTCGAGGTGCTGTCGACGGGCTCCGGCGTTAAGAACCTCAACAAGGGTGATTGGGTCATCATGAAACGGACAGGCCAGGGAACCTGGCGTACGCACGCCCAATTGGACGAGTCGCAGTTGATCAAGATCGAGAACAAGGAAGGCCTAACGCCGCTGCAGATCGGTACTGTCAGTGTGAACCCCATCACTGCGTACCGCATGATCCGGGATTTCTGCGAATGGGACTGGATGCGCGCAGGCGAGGAATGGCTTATCCAAAACGGGGCCAACAGCGGTGTCGGCCGCGCGGCCATCCAGTTGGGCCGGGAGTGGGGGATCAAGACGCTCAACGTCATCCGACAGCGGAAGACACCTGAGGAAACAGAGGCGCTTAAGCAGGAGCTCCGGGACCTGGGTGCTACCGCTGTCGTGACTGAGGAAGAAATGCTCACTGGAAACTTCCGCGACATGGTCCATGAATTCACGCGTCAAGGCCGCGAACCCATCCGCCTGGCCCTGAACTGTGTCGGTGGGAAGAGTGCCACCTCGCTGGCGAAAACGCTGGCACCCAATTCGCACATGGTGACCTACGGGGCCATGTCGAAACAGCCGGTGGCGCTGCCGTCGGGCTTGCTGATCTTCAAGAACCTTGTATTTGACGGGTTCTGGGTTAGCAAGTGGGGTGACAAGAACCCGGAGCTCAAAGAAAACACTATCAAGGACGTGTTGCAGCTGATGCGTGTTGGTCGATTCAAGGACATCCCTGTGGACCATGTCCAGTGGAGTTGGGAGACTGAGGGCCCAACGCTCGCGGAGAGCGTGCAGGGCACCCTGGGAGGATTCCGCAGTGGAAAGGGTGTCTTCACTTTCACTGGGGGTGACTGAAACACGAGGTTATTGTTGTATTATATATCTGCTTTCTCTGGGCTTCTCTATCTTGGCATTGAGAATGTCTAATCAACCAGGGGCGATGGTCCCGTTCCGCGGTTTACAGGGCCGAGGGACCAGTACATGAACTTTAGGTATCTCCAGGTCGAAATGGCCGAAAGAATATATTATGCGATGGATCAAGAACCCCGAAAACTAGCATCGCGTAGGTGTATCACTCGCACTTCCAATGCTCCTTCACCCAGTCTAGAATCAAATCTGTGAAGGTTATTGACGGCATATACACGTCACTCTCCTTAGAAAAGTCGACATCAAGCTGGGCGAACTTGGCAGCCAGTGCCACATATCGCTCAATGAACTCGATATAGACCAGATCTATTGTCTCCGGCACCACTGATGCATTGGCGGACACTAGGGCTTGGATGCAGTTTGGCACTCGGTAGAAGGATATGGGCGAGTGAATGGTGTCGTCGCCGTCCGTGCCGGCATCATCCTTGGTCGTATATCCCGGCACAAGCTTATCTGAAGGAGCATCACCAGAAAGGGGAGCCTGAAAATCGCCACCGCGGAAGGGAATCCGACGATCCCATGCGGCATCTCGGTCAGCCACCGTATCTTCCACGTATGCCAACTGCTCAGGAGGGGCTAGTGTGGTGTGTGGTGAACCCATATCATGCTGTGATGCGCGCAGGACCTGAGGCTGTTTGTTCAGAATATCCATGATTAGCTGGGCCTTGTTATACGGGACATTTTTGATGTAGCGGAACCCGCTCGTAAAGGGCGATACGATGAATGTCGAATCTTGAGTGAAAGGCCCCTGGAAAATATCGAACCGAATCGCCCCCGTGTTCACAATGGCCAACGCCGGTGTCTCACTGCGCCACTCGTCTTTCAGCGAATCAGGTATCACCTGCGTCTCCAGCCAAGTGTAGATACTGTCATTGCTTGGGTATTTCACCCGCGACGTCCAGAGAGTATGTGGAGCACAGCCATATACTTGGTCCAGATGAAGGGCAGTCCGCGACTCTGCAATCAGCTGGGAAACATTTTGGCCTTTCTCAGTGAGGAACGACTCGCCATCAAGACCGCTGTGATGGTGGTATGAAAACAGATTGTTGTCGATGTATCGTCGCTTAAACACTGGACTCGATCCCATGGCGTTGGGTTGCGTATCGGTGGTCAGGCCGTCGATTGACATGAAACCGATGGTCTCCATGAACCGACCGCTGGCCAGCCCAACGGCTTTGGCATCGAATTGAGCATAGTCCCGGATATGCTGATGGCCGCCAAAGAACTGAATTGGAATGTCCCAACGCAGTCCCCGAATCTCTTTGAAGATTGCCTGATACTCCGGCGAATGGACCGGCACATGGCCGATCACCAAGAAGAGGTCGACCTCTTTATCCCGAATGGCTTCCTGGAACCAATCCTCTTTAATGGTATCCTCGACCGGCTGAACGACGGTATTATTGTAGTTACCGGTAAAATCGAACAGAAAGCCAAACGCTACGATGCGGATCCCTTGCTGCTTGGTTGTGAACTTCTTGTACCGAGGAGCAAGCGGAACAAGGTCTTTGGTTGTAGGATGGATAATGTCAATATTCGAGGCCAAATATTTGCCTCGAAAATTAGGCACGGTGGTGAAGAATTCGGCTTCGGAGGTGTTTTGTTTGTAGAGCTCATGGTTCCCCGAGGTCAACAAGTCAATATGCTGGTGACGCAGGATCTCCGAGAGATAAAGGCCCTTGGGCTCGGACGAGTCATAGAGACCGTTGCCCTCCACCCGATCGCCCGTGTCTATGACAAGCAGATCCTGACCTTGCGCCTCGACTTTTGCCCGTATGTGTGTCGCAAACGAGACATAGTCACCCCAGTCCGCCGAATATGATGGTCTGCGATGCGGATCAGCAGGGCTTACATCGGAGGCACCACGGAGGCATACTCCTGTAGATGACCGGCCAGCCAGCCATGGGCATCGGTGGTATGCAGGAAGTTCAGTTGTCCGAACTCGAGGGATCGCAGGGGAGCGGGGATGGGCTCGGGTGCAGAGGGTTGAGCGGCGAGTGCCGGCCGAAGGAGCCAGAGCAACGCGAGCAACATCCTCAACGGAATCTAGAACCAGACGACATGAAGATTTTTTGCAAGACCAGAAGGCACAGAATCAAAGAAAGGACCCAGGATGCCCTATACACTCGGAGTTCTCAGCTCTCTTCAACCCTTTCGCGAAGCTGCTGGGAGCTCAGGCGATTACGGAAGCAGGTGCCGGTGAGCTGCTGAGTCAGCGCCCAACATCTTCGGGTCCGGTCTCAAAGATTCGGATGCTTTGGCCCTTTCCCTCCTCGAACTCCGCTATCTTCTTTCCCCCGTCGCTGGTGCGGTAGTCTTTGCCTTGCGTCAATTGCTTGGATCTTCTCCCGCCACTCTCCCTTCCATCGATACTCTCGATCCTAATTCTCGCCATGGCAGCTCCCCGTCTTTTCCGCCCAACGGCCCGTCTGCTTTCCTCGCGCCTTGCCTCCACCCCTCTTCGCCCGGCTTTCCGCCAGTCTGCGTGTGCTCCTTCTGTCTTGCGCTCCCGGGGATATGCTACGGAAGGCGGCCCTAAGGAGGTCACTGTTCGTGATGCGCTGAACGAGGCCCTCGCGGAGGAGCTGGAGAGCAACCAGAAGACTTTTGTTCTGGGCGAGGAGGTTGCGCAGTACAACGGAGCGTATGCTTTTCTCTTCTTCCATTGCAGATTACAAAAGCGCTACCCCATTGACTGAGTCATCGCTGACTCGGATGTCTTTCCTGCAGGTACAAAGTGACGCGAGGTCTGCTGGACCGCTTCGGTCCCAAGCGAGTCATTGATACCCCCATCACAGAGGCCGGCTTCTGTGGTCTGGCTGTGGGCGCTGCCCTTGCTGGCTTGCACCCGATTGTGAGTTTTGATACCGGAGACAGAGGATGGTAGCGCGCGAGAATGCCTCGGACTGATTTTTTTTCTCAACACCGGATTTAGTGCGAGTTCATGACCTTCAACTTTGCCATGCAGGCCATTGATCAGATCATCAACTCGGCCGCCAAGACGCATTACATGTCCGGCGGTATCCAGCCTTGCAACGTGACTTTCCGCGGTCCCAACGGGTTTGCCGCCGGTGTGGCCGCCCAGCACTCGCAGGACTACTCGGCCTGGTACGGCAGCATTCCTGGACTGAAGGTTGTCTCGCCGTGGTCCTCTGAGGATGCGAAGGGTCTCTTGAAGGCGGCCATTCGTGATCCCAACCCCGTGGTCGTTCTGGAGAACGAGTGAGTGTGATTTTATTTAGTGTAGCTTTCCGGCGGGGAACTAACATTGCATGACAGGCTTATGTACGGCCAGGCTTTCCCGATGAGCGAGGCCTCCCAGAAGAATGACTTTGTCCTGCCCATTGGCAAGGCCAAGATTGAGCGTCCCGGCAAGGACCTCACCATCGTCTCTGTTTCCCGCTGCGTCGGCCAGTCGCTCAACGCCGCCGCCGAGCTCAAGCAGAAGTACGGTGTCGAGGCGGAGGTGGTCAACCTGCGCTCCATCAAGCCTCTGGACGTCGAGACCGTCATTGCCTCGCTCAAGAAGACCGGCCGTCTGATGGTCGTGGAGTCGGGCTTCCCGATGTTCGGCGTCTCTTCCGAGATCATGGCTCTGTCCATGGAGTACGGCTTCGATTACCTGACCGCCCCGGCCGTCCGTGTCACTGGTGCCGAGGTGCCCACTCCCTACGCCGTTGGCCTGGAGAACATGAGCTTCCCCCAGGAGGACACCGTCGTCAGCCAGGCCGCTAAGCTGCTGCGATTGTAAAGGAATGTCGCTCCCGGAGACGAGTGAGATGCTCGCGGTAATAAAACCATGTGCCTAGTACCCTTTCCTCTGTTCTATTTCCCCCCTTATATTTTCCTTTGTTTCATTATGTGCCTGCCGTTTATTTTTTCGCAATTAGACAAATTCTCGGAAAGCCGTGTACGATTACATTTCCTCGGGTCTGTGCCCCCTTTCCGCCCAGCGTAAATGTGTCTTGTGTTTCTTCAGAGCCTTTTGAATGATAGAAATTGGCAGATCAAAATTGTTTCTTGGTCTCGTTTTTCGTAACTGTCAAAAAAAGGAGGACTACCCGGAACTCCATGCCCCGTCATAACGCCAACTTGAGGGTTGTATAATGTACACATCGTTCGACCTCTGAGCATGCTGGCGTTTCACATATCATGTAGAAGTCTTGATCTGGGCCCCTGCACACCTGGCGAAGCAATCTGTCGGCCGGCGAGGGTCATAGTAGCCTCCTCCATCCCGATCCCAGGCATACTCCTCGTCGGTGTCACTCTCAGCATCCTCGCGGGTATCTTCACGCCTCACATCCGCAGAGGCCACTGGGTGCGATTGATCTTCTTTTGGTGGTGTGCGATCATCCTCGTCATCCTCGTCCCCCAACACATTCTTCTTCACCGGTGCCATCGGCGCCACTGGTCCCTTGACGGCCGCAAAGGAGCTCTTGAATCCTCCTTTCTTGAACCCCCCACCCCCTCCGCCAGTTCGTCCGGTTGTTGGCGCCGCATGGTCACTGGGGGTGTCGATTACCCTTAGCCCGGCGTCAGCATCGGCTTTGCGCTCTGCTCGGCGGGCCTTCTCGGCCGCATTCGGATCGCGCGACAGCTGTTTAAGATCTTGCAGGCGTTTGCGGTGTTGGTGGTCATAGGAGGAAATATGCGCTTCGTACTCCGGATGACGCGAGTAGGATTTATTGCAAAGCGTACAGGTGAAGGAGCTGAGCGCAGACCGCGCCGACTCGGTCTGTGTGGGTTAGTCTTCGAATGTCCAGTTGTGGAGGGCACACACATACCTTGGGAGCGGGATTTGTGAAGCCTCTCTACATGAATGATCTCCAGGGTTAGTTTGAGGACAATCAGACTCTTTTGACGTAGACATACCGGTGCCATGGTGTGGAGGGAACAAACGTTGGAAGGGCACACGGCCTATCAGCCGCTCGGTGTTTTGAGGATCGTCATCCCCCAACTTTTCTTTCTTCAACTTTGCCATGAATTGACGAAGTCGGCTACGAAACTTTCTTATTTCATGTTTCATTTCGTTTCTCTGATTCATTTTCATTGCTGACTCCCTCGAAAATGCTACCCCATGGACTCTCTAAACCCGAAGACATGGACGCAAAATCCATCATCTCCATGCAAGAACTGGACCCATCGCCCGTTGATGATTTAAGCCCTGATCTGGAGAGCGGAGAGTACTTCCCGAGGCCTGAAGATAGTCTCTTGCGGTCTGGCAACGGGTCCTCGATTTCTAAACTGGGTCTCCGCGGGCACCGGTGGGATGCATGGTGTATGTGACAAGCATCGCGCTGTTGGATGAGAGTCGTTCTCATATTAACCCTGCCATAGTATCCGGACTCCAAAGATACTCGACATATCCACCCACGGCTTTCTTCGCCCTGCACTTTACAAACACCGCCCTTATCCCGCTCTTGACTCGTTCCGTGCCCGCCAGCGAACCCTACCTTCTCCTCACGCGACCAATCTACCAGGCCCCCGGCCTCGAGCATATCGTCCTCACAATCCCCGTCCTTGCACACATTGTCTCCGGAGTCGTCCTGCGTAACATTCGTGCCTCGCGCCGCGCACGGTTATACGGTGCCGAGACTCGTGCGCAACGAGATCTACTGTCATTCTGGCCCCGGGTCTCTCTCCAGGCGCGCTCCGGGTACTTGTTAGCACCGCTAATTGGAGTTCATGTCCTGGTCAACCGTGCTACACCAGTAATGGTTGATGGTGGTAGTTCTGGCGTGGGCTTGGGGTATGTCGCCCACGGCTTTGCTCGGAGTCCCGTGTTTTGGAATATATTTTACCTGCTTTTCGTGGCCGCCAGCGTGTGGCATTTCGTCGGCGGTTGGGCAGCCTGGATGGGTTGGAGAGTGACCACAGCGCGGAAAGAGCGCGGTCGTAAACAAGCCTCGTTAGAAGGCTTCTTACGACCCCCGAGAATAAGGACCGGACGCGAAGACAGCGCAAGATGTGGTGGATTGTCAATGGCATTGCCACTGTGGGCGCATCCATTTGGCTTGGGGGTGCTCTCGGCATCATCGGACGGGCTGGAGAGGGCGCTGGCTGGGAGGCTAAGGGGTGGAATGAGATCTATAGCCAGGTCCCGATTATTGGAGCCTGGCTGTGATTCGAGGTTCAGAAAGGATTGTACATATAGACAAGTAGACATAGATGGTGTACTAGGGACCTATAGGTGTAATATTTAATTCTCACATTGAAAGAGCTCTGCTTTGAGATACAGTGGAAGTGGGTCTATCGCCTCTTTTTTTCTTCCCAACTTTCCGTGGAGGCTTCACCCTGCTTCTCCGATGTACCCATGAGCTCTCTGATTTTGCCCTTTCTTCTTCGCTCAGCAACACAATGCGCTGTTAATTACCGACTTCGCTTGCCTTCGACTGTGCCATTCCCATCTTCCTTCCGTGGGCCATTCGTGGCACCCTTCTCGACTTCTCCCCAAACCATGGAGAATCCCCACACCCAGAGTCGGCTGGTGCAGCACCGCGGGGCCGATTACCGCGTCGTCAAAGAAGGCCGCGCACATATCCTGAACCCGCCCTCCCAAGAAGCCGCCTCCAAGGGAACGAAGAAGGACCTCACAGGCGACGACGAGGTGCAATCGGTCTTCTACAACCCAATCCAACAATTCAATCGCGATTTGAGTGCTCTGGCTATTCGCGCGTACGGGGAACATTCGCTCGAATTAAAGAAACGGAAAGCGGAACGGAGGCTCAAGAAACAGACAGGCAATGGGCCCGCGAAAGGAACGAAACGGAAGCGAGAGGATACCGAGGACCAGACCACGAAGCCGGATGCTACTATAGAAAGTGAAAAGCGACCAGAAGCCAGTGTTCACCAGAGTGAACAACCGCCTGAGGCACAATCCAACTCAAGCACGGCCTCGTTTACCATCCTCGATGCACTGTCTGCAACGGGGTTGCGTGCACTCCGGTATGCCTCGGAAATTCCATTTGTCACCAAGGTCGTGGCGAATGACCTTTCAGATTCGGCGATTCAATCCATGAAGGTCAATATCGAGTACAACGAACTGCAAAACCGCATCCAGCCCAACCTGGGCGATGCACGCGTCTACATGTATGGTCTGACTCAGAACGACAAGTTCGATGTGATTGACCTGGACCCATATGGCACGGCAGCTCCGTTCATGGACGCCGCAGTGCAGGCTATCAAGGACGGCGGTCTTCTCTGTGTCACTTGTACCGATGCTGGTGTTTGGGCTTCGACCAACTACTCGGAGAAGGCGTTCGCCCTGTACGGCGGTATTCCCACCAAAGGCTCTCACTCGCACGAAGGCGGGCTGCGACTTATATTGAATGCCCTCGCCATTTCCGCCGCAAAATACGGAATGGCCGTTGAGCCTTTGCTTTCGCTGTCGATCGACTTCTACGCTCGCGTCTTTGTGCGCGTACATCGCTCGCCGGCCCAAGTCAAGTTTAATGCCGGAAACACCATGCTCGTCTACAACTGTGATTCAGGATGTGGTGCATGGTCGACACAGCCACTCGCGTCGACAAAGTCCCGCCAGGATCGCAAGGGCAACCCGATCCACCAACATGGAGTATTCCAGGGGCCGACAGTTGGTCCCAACTGTGAGCACTGTGGAAGCAAGACACACCTTGGGGGACCCATGTGGGGAGGTCCGCTACACAATTCTCACTTCATCCAGAAAATTCTGGATACGCTCCCTGCAGTCGACGACGACACGTATGGAACTGTTGCTCGGATCGAGGGCATGCTAACCACCGCTCTCGAAGAAGATCTGGCTCTCGGCTCCCCTAGATCTTCCTCTTCCCAGCAAAATAAAGCCGACGCCATGGAAAGGAACCTTTCTATCCAAATTGAACATCCGGCCATCATCCCCCGAATGGACCCCGCCATACGGGAGCAACACCCTTTTTACTTTACCCTCAGCACTCTCGCCAAGGTTCTACACACCTCAACTGTTCCGTTTGACGAGTTCCGCGGCGCCCTCCACCATCTCGGCTACCGCTCTGCTCGCAGTCATGCCAAGCCAAACTCGCTCCGCACTGATGCTCCTTGGGACGTCCTCTGGGAGATCATGCGTGAGTGGGCCCGTCAGCGCTCGCCAATTAAGGAAACATCTCTGAAGCCCGGAAGCCCGGGAGCCACGATCATGGGCAAGAGCCGCGAGAACTTGCGCAAACCGCCTGAAGAGGACCAGTGGCTGTCCCGACTCAAGCAGGATCTCCTGGCGGCTGTCGAAGCCGGGAGGGATGCCAGTGATCTGATCACCAAAGTCGAAGCCGCACTGTATCGTTCCGGGTCGCGCCAAACATGGCAGAATACTGGAGCTACTGTGGAATCCCGACCTGGACCCGCCCCCAGCTATCGGCACCCGCCACGAGTTCCGAACGGCCGCATCCTAGCACTCTCCAGGTCATCTTCGACGGGGCCCTGGGCCGAGAAATCTCGGATGCGCACACAAACAAGCGGTTGGTTCGCTACCAGATTAATCCTCGTGCGAACTGGGGACCGCTCAACCGTGCTTCAAAGTAAAGCTGCTCCATGTGTGAATAGTTAGATCCTACCAACACACTTCAAAAATCTCTTGATACCTAAAAATTCTTGATTGGTTGATGCAAAAATCGTTTTTTCTGTATCTTCTTTCATTTCACACCCCCTATTTCCTTTCAAGTGCAAGTAGGATACGGCTAGTTCCTAAAAATTCAAATGATTATATCATAAGTTCGTTAAAATCTCTCACGATGAGGATGACCGACTAGGGGAGACTGATATCAGTACACTATTGCAGTCTACATACTAAAATAGAAAGACCAATCAGAACTAAAATATGTCATTACTCCCATTATAAACACAACGGACCAGGAGACGAAACTGGCCCGGAATCTAAGAAGCATAAATCACAATCATCACGTCTCAAAAGAATCAGCCGACAGAAAGATCACCCTTCCCCCCAGCATCTATACGCGAAGCACGGACCAAGTGTACAAGAGCGCTCTCAAAGTTGTGAGACTGCCACAGCCACAGCTTGTGAGTCGCTGTGACTGATGCTGACACTGATTTGCTTGACGCCGGCTTGCTTGGCGGCGGCGGCGGCGGCACCATGAAGCTGGAGAGACAATAGGTTAGCGTTGCTGATTACCAGGGTATTAGCTGAATGCATCGACTTACGTTGACCACCGGAGCACCGTTGGCGTCACTACCAATCTCAATCTCCTTGAGGGCGGCACCGGCACCCTTGCTAGTAACTCCCAAGGACTTGAAGACCGCCTCTTTAGCACTCCATCGGCCCGCGAACGAAGCCTGTGGGGAGGACGCCTTGCGGCAATACTCCTGCTCACCCGGGGTGAAGTTGCGTTCAACAAAGGTCTCATTCGAGATGTTGACCGACTCGATGTTTTCCACGTCGACACCAACCTTGGAGTTTTCAGCAGCATTGGCCTTGGTCAAAGACTCGACCATCTGCCGGGTGCTTGTCGCACTCGGGTCCTCCACCTTGGGGGGCGTCGCCGAGTACTTAAGCTCCGACGTCTTTTTGTCGACAGTCACCCTGTAGTCGGGGTTGAGGAAGACCTTGCTCTGCAGGTTATCCTCGTAAGGTGCCTTGTTCTTGGCGACAAAGATGCTGTTGTTGATCAGGCCGTTGTGGAAGAAGCGGTAGGCCTTCTTCTGGCGTGCCTCCACTTTGGTCTTGTAGGCCTGGTACTGGGCCTGGTCAAGGGTGGCGTAGAGGTATCTGGGGTGAATACCGATGACTTGAGCACCCTTCTGGCCGAAACCAAACGAGGTAACCGAGAATGCCTTGATTCCGTCGGTCTGGATGCTGCGGCTGGGGTACACAATGTAATCGAACTTCTCTAGGGCCTTGTCCACGTTGTCGGCGTTGCGGTTGCCCGGAACAAGACCACTTTCTAGGACTTGCAAGCAGCCGTTGAACATCCAAGCACCGGCGGCACCTTTGGGATGGCCAGTCAGGTACTTCTGGAAGATACCCAGAACAGCATTACCCTTCTGGCGTCCGAGGTGCTTCATCTGCTGGCAGATCACATCGGACTCATTCTTGTCGTTGGCAACGGTCGAGGTGCCGTGGAAGGAGGCGACGTCGATGTCATCAACCGTCAAACCCCAGGTGGCCATGGCGCCACGCAGAGGAGCGATGCGCGAATCCTGCTTCCAGAAGTTGTTGCCGAGGCTGAATTGCGCCTCCTTCTCCTGACGAGAAGCCTCGCGCTCAATGTGCTGAGCACGCTCGTGCATGTACTCGGACTCGTCGAAGGATTCTGAGCTCTGGGCCTTCATGGCTTCGACTTCCTCCTGGAGGTAGAGCAGCTCAGACTCCTGCCATTCCTTGATTTGTTTCTTGCGTAGATCCAGCTGGCGACGGCGGTACTTGAGATCCAGCAGAGGCGACGGGAACTTGCCGGGGTTCTCACGAGCGGTGGTAAGGACACCTTGGCCAGGAGCGGGCACAGAACGTCCGATCTTGTCGGTGGCGGTGGTTGTCAGGGCGATAATACCGTGAATGGGCACTCCCATGTCAAGGGCAAGCTGTGCGCTCATAATGAGTTGCATACCGCAGCCCTGGGACTCCATGAAGCCAGCACGCGTCGTGGTAGTAGGGCGCGACATCTCCTGCGGGGTACGGCCGTGGGCGAACTCGTCCTCGGCGTTGCTCGTGGCTTTCATGTTGGCGAACTCGTATGAGCCCTCCTCTTGGAAGTCGTCAAAACCACCGACGAAGCAAACTCGGGCCTTGCCTTCAACAATGGTCTCATAACCGATGTCAACCGACTCAACAGCCGTGGCACAAGCACCGACGGGAGTCTTGATCGGGCCGGTGGAGGAGAGCAGCAGCATGTTGACCCAAGCGCTCATAGTGTTGATGAAGGACTCCTGAAGAATATCCTTCTGCAGAGGCTTGTCGAGATAGCGATCCTTGTACATGCCGCGCAAGGCATGGGTACCTCCGATACCCGAACCAATGCAGTTACCGACTTCGGAAAGATGAACGTACTTGTAGAACTCGTATGGGTCGGTGATACCAGCGGACAGCATGGACTCAGCGGTGCAGACGAGGACAAATAAGGTCACCGGGTCGACCTGCTCAATGATATCGTCGGGAATACCATACCGGCGGGCATCCCAGCCCGTGGGGACCTGACCAGCCACGAGACGATCGAACTGCAGGGCCTTGGGGATAAGCAGGGTGGCGCCCTTGCGAAGACGGACCGTGTATTCGCCGGACTCGGGAATCTCGAAGATCTCGACTTTGTCTCCGTGCTCACGCTTGAATTCCTCCGCGGTCTCCTTGGAGGCTTCGAAAGGGTCGAGGTCTTCCTGGATGACAATTTCCTGGAGCATCTGCTTTTGCTTCGGGTCATACCCCTTGAACAGCTCGGGTTCGATGAGACGAATACCGGTGTGCTCCAAGATGTGCTTCTCGTACTTGGGCTTGATGTCCTTGTCATCGACAGGATCGCCGGTCTTGCCATCGACCCATCCGGAGTAAGCCTTGCCCTTCAGCGGCCCGTTGTGATGCTTGATGAGACCCATGATCCATGCCATTTCCACGCAGCCCTCGAGTGAGAACTTGCCGTGGGCCTCCATCTCCCATCGAGTCCGGGAGTTACCCCAGGGTCCCACTTCAGAGAAACCAGTGACAACGACCACCTTATCCAGGTTTACCATGCCCTTGAGAGACTCGTTGAGTGGCTTGACTTCGTCTTCCCAGTCTGGGAGGTTGGGGAATTCGAACTTGATGTTGGCACGAGGCTCAGCGACCACTTTCTTGTACAGAACCCCGCTGTCCTCGCCGTTGACGACCTTGTGTTCAATCGCTGTCTCCTTAATTACGGCTTGACGCACATCGCTGGTTTCCATAATATCGGTACGGAGTTTGGTCATGAGACCTTTCAGGTCAGGGATGAACTGCAGACCACCGTTGAGATCGGCCCAGACCGGGTCAAGCTGACAGAGATTGACAATAGCTGGGGACATCAGTCCAAGGAGGTTGAAGGCCATCTCCTGCTGGGAGAACGTGCGAACGCCCAGCTTCTCGACTCCCTCAGCAACCATGTTGTTACCGCCCATGAGACCAGTGCCACGAGTCCATCCGATCACCGCACCGCAGATGGTGAGATAGTTGCTCCAGTTCTCGGAGTACCAGCGGTTGAAGAGGGTCTCCAGAGCGAGCTTAGACTCGGAATACAGACCATCGTTTCCGAAGGTGCCGTGGTTAGGCGACAAAGGCAGAATTACCTGGGCAGGACGGGTCTCACAGCCGTGCGCTTGCTTCTGAGTCTTGATAGAACCCAAGAGCCGGAGCAGGTTGGTCAACATGATGCGGTGAGCCAGCTCCGACTTGGAGTCGATCGAGTCAATCTCACGGCCGTTCTCGGGAATGGCGGCGAAGGGCACCACAAAGTCAAGGTCCCAGCCGAGTCCCTTCTTGGTGTCGTAGATGTAGTCAACTAGAGCCTCAACGTCCTGCTTGCTGCCCTGGTTGAAGGGCACGACCACAAGCTGGGACCCGCGAGCGCCGTAGCGGGCGTACATGGCTTGGTAGTATTCGGTGACCTCCCGGGAGTATCGGCTCGTGGTGACGGTCACCTTGGCGCCACCACTGATCAGACCCTGCAGGACCTCGGCACCAATAGACCCGGCACCGGCACCGGTCATCAGAACATTCTTGCCCTGGAAACTCAGACCAGCCCGGGCAGCCGATTCCATCACATCCAGATAAATACCGGTGAGTTTCTTGTTGTAGTCCCAGCCGTGCGCACTCTTCTTCTTGAGGTGCAAGAAAGGAATGGTCTCAACCTTGCCGGGTCGGGTGGCACCGCGCTTGACACCAGCGCGGCCGGACTTCTTGGCGCTGCCGTTCTCCTGCGGCATGATCTGGCTCTCGTTCATGCCGAGCGCGTGTAGGACATCCTTGTACAACGCATCGAATTGGAGCTGCGACGCCTTGGACAGGCGATGTTGCTTGCGAATCAACTTGTAGACGTTCTTCAGGTCGTTCTGGACCTTGATTCGGTTGCTGTACTCGGAGATCGGGCCTCCTTCGGCCATCTGCTTGACGTAGTGCTCCAACTTGCGGGCACTGGCACGAGGGACCTCCTTGTAGCCAATGTTGCCTCGCGCGTCGATGGTGGTCTGAGGACCGGTGGGTACAGCGACATCCTTGTAGACAGGGGCGACGTCCATCACCTCCCGACAGTTCTCAATCAGCTGCTGACCCAGCTCCTTCGCCAGCTGGTAGGTCTCGCCGCGGTCAGTCGGGCAGTTGTCGATGTGGTATTGCATGAATTCGAGGAGAAGCGGGTTAGAGCGGTTCATGATGCGAATACACTGGCTGACAATCTCGCGGTCGACCACCTGCAGACGGCCGAAAATGATATCGTAGTACATGCTCAAAGCGTCTTGGCGAGCCCAGTTCCACGACGAATCGTAGACACGGGCTTTCAGTGAATCGAACGATGGTTCGATACCCGAAGCGTAGAAGTCACCGTGTTCGACCTGCCACAAGTCCAGCTGCGCCTGTAACGCCTTCTGCGTTTCCTGGGAGGTAATAAAGGCCTTATCCCCACCACGCAGGTCCATCTTCAGGTAGCGCGCAATGATCTCGAGCTGCTGCTTGAACAGAGCTCTTTGGTCCTTGGTCAAGGCATCGATGGCGGCAGGGTCCATAACCATGCCACCGGCACCGGCACCCCCATCACCACCAGCAGCCGGGGTCGAAAGGTTGATCCCAGCGCTCGCAGCATATTTGTTGGCTACGTCGTCCAGGTAGGCCTTGGCATCTGCATCCGATCCGAGACGAGACGCTGGCTCCATGGTGAGGGCAAGCAGGAGCACACCATCTTGGCGGCCCGCGCCCAAGCCCCAACGGGTCTCCAGGTATTTCCGAACGGCAGTGATATTGAAACCACCAGGCATCTTGGAGGAGACCATTCGGGCAATTAGCGAAGACGACTGCTTGCCCAATTGGCCGTTGAATGTGGCTTGCATCGCCGCACCCAATTCATCGAGAGGTGTGTCTTCTGGTTTCTCCGGTGTAGAGCCGAATTCTTTACCCAGATCTCCCAGGATTTCATTCTGTAATGTGGATTTGCCTGTTCAAATCGCCAATGGCCATGACGTTAGCTAGATGATTTCTCTTGACTTTTCTCTCTTTCCACAGAATTCATAACATACCTCCTACTAAATCCTTAATAGCCTTGGACAGCGGCACATCCGCAAGGCTCTTTTTCAACTTTTGTGCGACGAGTGTCCGCAACACATCCACCGCTGTGACTGGAGCATCCTCCACGGCGGCTGCCGGACCAGCGCTGGGGGGTGGGGGTGGGGGTGCAGCAGCAGCAGTGGGCGCCGCCCCGGGGGCTGCTGCGGGAGCACCTGAAGCTGCCGGTTGTGCGGGCTCGGGTTCTTCTTCAATGGGATCGACATCGTAGTAGATTTCCTTGGCGTCCTTGTTGTAACAGAGAATCTGGCGTTGTACCGAGGTGGCGGCATCGTAGGCCTCGTACTTGGAAGCTAACGTCCGTCGTGCCATTCCTCCCAGGGTATCTGCAGGACCAATCTCGACAATGCGCTCGGTGCGCTGCTCGGCAAGGACAACATCTTGAGTCTCAATCCATCTGACGGGTGAGGCGAATTGGTAGGCGAGAAGCTCCACCAACAAGGTGTGAGCAAGCTCCTGTTCCACCTCGGGGCGCATGATGGAGGTCGGGGGGGGATTAATGGATTAGAAGCAGAGGACAGACGTCCTGAAGGCTGCAGGCGCGACGAGTTCCCCTCCGCCGGTGGTTTAAAACAATAAGGAAAGAAAAGAAGAAGAAGAAGAAAACAAGAAGTGAAGAGCAAAGGGACAAAGAAACAAAAGGAAAATTAAAGGGAGTCAATGCTGCACATGGGTCAGTTGAGACGAGTCCCCTTGAGATCACAATTGAATTAACAAGAAGAAAAAAAAGAGGTGGGAGATCGGCCACTGATAGGCGGTATTGGAGGATACCGGTATGGTAATTAATTCCCCCAAGCTTCTTTTGCTTGGTGGGGGGAAAGAAAGAAAAAAAAATTTATTACTCACCTCGGGATAATTAAGTGGAATAGATGATTTTCGGAGAAAAACATCGAAAGACGAAAGCAAAAAGATGGGAAATACTCACACAAGTATGAGGTATCAGTGGGAAAGCCGCAGGGATGAGAATACGGTGTTGAGGGCGTTGGGGATTGGCGTGAGCCTCCCGGATCAGGCAGACTCAATGCATGCGTACCTGGACATCCCCGGTATACTTGGTTTATGTCATTTTTTTTTTCCATTTTTTTTTCCATTATTTATTTCCCCCAATTCTCTTGTAACAATAGTATAGAACAATTCTATTTGACTCGAATTCTGCTCGCCCCTAATTCCACTAATACCCCATCTACTGAGAGAAAATGGCAGTGTACTGTAAATACCCAAGTTCAACCATTTGAAGCCATTGGGGCGGGTCCTGTGTCACGCTAAACCGCATTAGGCCAATTGCGGTTCAACAGCGGATCGTCGCTTGTCGCTTTTTTTTTTTTTTTTTGATTATGAAAGACACAGAGAGAGCCATTACACCCAATTCCTGCGTGGTACCTCTGTCACTTCGTGTCTTTCTCTTTCTTTTGAATGTATACCTTTTGAATTGTTTTTCCTTTTTTTTTTCTTTTACATCTTAATTTTCCTTTCTTGTTGTCCCTAATTCTACTCCGCGGAGGATTCCCAGTGAGTTGGCCCCTCTCTCCGCCTTCCGAGCTCTTCAGAAGACCGTCCTAACTATCTTCTTCCCTGTGTCAGACCTCAATTGAACCGTCTTTGGTTGGGTCCTCGCCGAAACAAAAAGAATATAATCATGTACGGCACATCGACCGGTCCCCAAACTGGGATCAACACGCCTCGATCCTCTCAGTCACTGCGTCCGCTCATCCTCTCGCATGGCTCCCTCGAGTTCTCTTTCCTAGTCCCCACTTCGCTTCATTTTCATGCCTCGCAGTTGAAAGATAGTTTTACTGCGTCATTACCGGAGCCCACAGATGAATTGGCCCAGGATGACGAGCCGTCGTCAGTGGCCGAGCTGGTGGCCCGCTACATCAACCATGTGGTCCACGAGGTCGAGGAGGGCGAGGATGACGCCCAGGGTAACTATCTGGAGGTTCTGAAGCTGGTCCTGAACGAATTTGAACGGGCGTTCATGCGTGGGAACGACGTGCACGCTGTTGCGGCTGGCCTCCCCGGCATCGTTGCTAAGAAGAACCTGGTCGTCGAGGCCTACTACGCTGGCCGAGACGCCGCAGGCCGGCCAACCAAGCCCTATGACTCGGCTCTGTTTCGCGCCGCCGCCGATGGAGCGGCAGGTATCTACACCGTCTTCGGCGGCCAGGGCAACATCGAGGAGTACTTCGACGAGCTGCGCGATATCTATACCACCTACCCCTCCTTCGTTGAGGACCTCATCACCTCCTCCGCCGAGCTGCTGCAATCGCTGTCTCGGGAGCCCGAGGCCAGCAAGCTCTATCCCAAGGGCCTGGATATTATCCAATGGCTGCAAGATCGGGATGCGCAGCCGGATACTGACTACCTCGTGACTGCCCCCGTGAGTCTGCCATTGATCGGCCTGGTCCAACTGGCCCACTATATGGTGACCTGCAAGGTTCTGGGCCGCCAGCCGGGTGACATCTTGGAACGGGTCCGCGGCACCACGGGTCACTCGCAGGGTGTGGTGACGGCCGCGGCGATCGCGACCGCCACCAGCTGGGAGTCTTTTGCCAAGGCGGCCCGGGATACCCTGACCATGCTCTTCTGGATTGGTCTGCGCAGCCAGCAGGCGTACCCGCGCACCTCTATCGCCCCCTCCGTCCTGCAGGACTCGATTGAGAACGGCGAAGGCACTCCCACTCCGATGCTGTCGATCCGCGATCTCTCCCGAGCCGCAGTGCAGGAGCACATCGATGCAACCAATCAGCATTTGCCCCAGGATCGGCACATCTCCATCTCTCTTGTGAACAGCGCACGGAACTTCGTGGTCACCGGTCCCCCGATCTCGCTCTATGGTCTTAACCTGCGCCTGCGCAAGGTCAAGGCGCCTACCGGTCTAGATCAGAACCGTGTGCCCTTCACCCAGCGCAAGGTTCGCTTTGTCAACCGCTTCCTTCCCATCACGGCCCCCTTCCACAGCCAGTATCTGACGTCGGCATATGACCGGATCCTGGAGGACTTGGAGGACATCGAGATGCCCGCCGAGTCTTTGGCCGTCTCCGTCTTTGACACTCAGAGCGGAGAGGATCTGCGCAAGCTGGGTGAAAAGAGTGTGGTGCCATCTCTGGTCCGGATGATCACTCATGATGCGGTCAACTGGGAGCAGGCCACGGTCTTTCCCAGCGCCACCCATATTGTCGATTTTGGACCCGGCGGTATCTCCGGTCTGGGCGTTCTCACCAACCGCAACAAAGACGGCACTGGGGTTCGAGTGATTCTGGCCGGTGAAATGGACGGTACCAACGCCGAAGTGGGCTACAAGCCAGAGCTTTTTGACCGTGACGAACACTCGGTCAAGTACGCCGCGGACTGGGTGAAAGAGCATGGCCCGCGTCTAGTGCAGACTTCCACCGGTCAAACTTATGTGGACACCAAGATGAGTCGCTTGCTGGGCATCCCCCCGGTCATGGTGGCCGGGATGACCCCTACCACTGTTCCGTGGGATTTCGTGGCGGCCACCATGAACGCCGGGTACCATGTGGAGCTGGGCGGCGGCGGTTACTATAATGCGAAGACCATGACGGAGGCTATCACGAATATCGAGAAGGCAATCCCGCCTGGCCGTGGCATCACAGTCAATCTTATCTACGTCAACCCTCGTGCGATGGCCTGGCAAATTCCTCTCATCGGCCGGTTACGCGCCGATGGTGTGCCCATTGAAGGTCTGACGATTGGCGCCGGCGTGCCCTCCATCGAAGTTGCCAACGAGTATATCGAGACCCTGGGCATCAAACACATTGCCTTCAAGCCTGGCTCCGTCGATGCGATTCAGCAGGTGATTAACATCGCCAAGGCTAACCCCAAGTTCCCCATCATCCTGCAATGGACTGGCGGTCGTGGCGGTGGTCACCACTCCTTTGAGGACTTCCACCAGCCGGTGCTCCAGATGTACAGCCGCATCCGGAAGCACGACAATATCGTACTGGTTGCCGGCAGTGGTTTTGGTGGCTCGGAAGACACCTATCCCTACCTGTCGGGTATTTGGTCCGCCAAATTTGGCTACCCGCCCATGCCTTTTGATGGTTGTTTGTTCGGCAGTCGCATGATGATCGCTAAGGAAGCCCACACTTCTCGCAATGCCAAGAAGGCGATCGCTGATGCCCCTGGTGTGGATGATGCTGAATGGGAAAAAACGTACAAGGGTGCCACCGGTGGTGTGATCACTGTTTTGTCCGAGATGGGTGAGCCCATCCATAAACTGGCAACTCGAGGTGTCTTGTTCTGGCAGGAGATGGATCAGAAGATCTTCAAGCTCGACAAGGCGAAGCGAGTTCCTGAGCTGAAGAAACAGCGCAACTACATCATCAAGAAGCTGAACGATGACTTCCAGAAGGTGTGGTTTGGTCGCAACGCCGCGGGTGAGACTGTGGATTTGGAAGATATGACCTACGCCGAGGTGGTCCACCGCATGGTGGAACTCATGTACGTTAAGCACGAGTCTCGGTGGATCGATGACTCGCTGAAGCGCCTGACGGGTGACTTCCTTCGCCGCGTCGAAGAGCGATTCACCACCTCCAATGGTCAAGCGTCCCTGCTCCAGAACTATTCCGAGCTCGATACGCCCTATCCGGCCGCAGACAACATCCTCGCCACGTATCCCGAAGCTGCCACCCAGCTGATCAATGCGCAGGATGTGCAGCACTTCCTGCTGCTCTGCCAAAGACGTGGACAGAAGCCCGTGCCCTTTGTTCCAGCGCTGGATGAGAATTTCGAGTACTTCTTCAAAAAAGACTCGCTGTGGCAGAGCGAAGACCTGGAAGCAGTTGTTGGTCAAGATGTTGGCCGTACTTGTATCTTGCAGGGCCCCATGGCTGCCCGCTTCTCCAATGTTAGTGATGAGCCTGTCAAGGACATCCTCGACGGTGTTCACCAGGGCCACATCACTGGCCTGCTTCGCGATATCTATGGCTCCGACAAAACCAAGATCCCCGTGATTGAATATTTCGGCGGTCAACTTGTTAGCACAGAGGACGAAGCGGAGCTAGACGGCCTCACCGTCTCGGCAGAGGCGAACAAGATTAGCTTCCGGCTCTCTTCTTCCCCCTCTGCCGATTTGCCCGACTTGGACCGCTGGCTCCGTCTTCTGGCTGGCAACATCTACTCGTGGCGGCACGCTCTGTTCCTGGCTGATGTTTTCGTTCAGGGCCACCGCTTCCAAACAAATCCCATGAAGCGGATTGTGGCTCCCACTGGGGGCATGTATGTGGAAATTGTGAACCCCAGTGATCCTGCGAAAACTGTCATCAGCGTGCGGGAGCCGTATCAGTCTGGAAAGCTGGTGAAGACAGTTGAGGCCAAGGTGAACGAGAGCGGCCAGATCAGCCTGACTCTGTTTGAAGGCCGCACTGCCGAAGGTGGCGTAGTCCCCTTGACTTTCTTGTTTACCTACCACCCCGAGACGGGCTACGCCCCGATCCGTGAAGTCATGGGTGATCGCAATGATCGCATCAAGGAGTTCTATTACCGGATCTGGTTCGGCAACAAGGATGTGCCGTTTGACACACCCACCACTGCCACTTTCAGCGGTGGCCAGGAAACGATTACTTCCCAGGCTGTCGCCGACTTCGTTCATGCTGTTGGTAACACCGGCGAGGCCTTCGTTGACCGCCCTGGCAAGGAGGTCTTTGCGCCCATGGATTTCGCCATCGTGGCTGGCTGGAAGGCGATCACTAAGCCGATTTTCCCCCGCACCATTGACGGTGACTTGCTGAAGCTGGTACACTTGTCCAATGGGTTCAAGATGGTGCCGGGCGCGCAGCCGCTGAAGGTGGGTGATGTTCTGGACACCACGGCTCAGATCAACGCTGTCATCAACCAAGATTCCGGCAAAATGGTCGAGGTGTGCGGTACCATCAAGCGGGATGGTAAGGCCATCATGCATGTGACCAGCCAGTTCCTGTACCGGGGCGCCTACTCGGACTTCGAAAACACTTTCCAGCGCAAGGACGAGGTGCCCATGCAAGTTCATCTTGCCACCAGTCGGGACGTTGCCATCCTTCGGTCCAAGGAGTGGTTCCGCGTGGATGAGTCCGACATCGAGCTTCTGGGTCAGACCCTCACGTTCCGCTTGGAGAGCCTGATCCGTTTCAAAAACAAGAACGTCTTCAGCAACGTCCAGACCATTGGCCAGGTTCTTCTGGAACTGCCTACGAAGGAAATCATCCAAGTCGCGTCTGTGGAATACGAGGCAGGCGCTTCTCATGGCAACCCGGTGATCGACTATCTCCAGCGCAACGGAACATCTATTGAGCAGCCCGTCTACTTTGAGAACCCGATCCCGCTCAGTGGCAAGACTGCTCTGGAACTGCGTGCCCCGGCCTCCAATGAGACCTATGCTCGCGTCTCTGGCGATTACAACCCCATTCACGTGTCGCGAGTCTTCTCCAGCTACGCCAACCTCCCCGGCACCATCACCCATGGCATGTACAGCAGCGCCGCGGTCCGCAGTTTTGTTGAGACCTGGGCGGCGGAGAACAACATTGGTCGTGTTCGTGGCTTCCACGTCTCCCTGGTTGGAATGGTGCTACCCAATGACATGATCACCGTCAAGCTCCAACACGTTGGTATGATTGCCGGTCGTAAGATCATCAAGGTGGAGGTCAGCAATAAAGAGACCGAGGACAAGGTTCTCCTAGGCGAGGCGGAAGTTGAGCAGCCTGTCACTTCCTACGTCTTCACCGGCCAAGGCTCTCAGGAACAAGGCATGGGTATGGAGCTCTATGGCAGCAGCCTCGTAGCCAAGGAGGTATGGGACCGGGCTGATCGCCACTTCATCGAGAACTACGGTCTGTCCATCATCGACATTGTCAAGAACAACCCCAAGGAACTCACTGTCTACTTTGGCGGTCCCCGGGGTAAGGCCATCCGCCAGAACTACATGGCGATGACCTTCGAGTCGGTGAACGCCGATGGGTCTATAAAATCGGAGAAGATCTTTAAGGGCATTGATGAAAGCACCGCCTCGTACACCTACCGGTCGCCGACAGGCCTGTTGTCTGCCACTCAATTCACCCAGCCTGCGTTGACCTTGATGGAGAAGGCCAGCTTCGAAGACATGCGCTCCAAGGGTCTGGTGCAGCGCGACAGCAGCTTTGCCGGTCACTCACTCGGTGAATACTCGGCCCTGGCGGCGTTGGCCGATGTCATGCCCATTGAAAGCTTGGTGTCGGTGGTATTCTACCGCGGTCTGACGATGCAAGTCGCCGTGGAGCGTGACGAGCAGGGCCGCTCCAACTACTCCATGTGTGCCGTCAACCCCAGCCGCATTTCGAAGACATTCAACGAGCAGGCGCTGCAATATGTTGTGGAGAACATCTCAGAGCAGACTGGTTGGCTTCTGGAGATTGTCAACTACAACGTCGCCAACATGCAGTATGTTGCGGCGGGTGATGTAAGTCTTCTCCATTCTAATTCCCTTTGCCTACTCCCCCGGGCTCCTTGTTTCCATGAATCAACTTGGCTAACGTTTTCCATAGCTCCGTGCCCTCGACTGCCTCACAAACCTGCTGAACTTCCTCAAGGCGCAGAACATCGACATTCCCGCTCTCATGCAGAGCATGTCTCTGGAGGATGTCAAGGCTCATCTGGTGAGCATCATCCAAGAATGTGTTAAGCAGACCGAAGCCAAGCCTCGGCCCATCTCGCTGGAGCGTGGATTCGCCACCATCCCGCTCAAGGGTATCGACGTGCCCTTCCACAGCACCTTCTTGCGCTCCGGCGTGAAGCCCTTCCGGTCTTTCCTGCTCAAGAAAATCAACAAGACCACGATCGACCCCAGCAAGCTGGTCGGCAAGTACATCCCCAACGTTACGGCGCGCCCCTTCGAGATCAGCAAGGCGTACTTTGAGGATGTCTACAAGCTCACCAACTCTCCTCGCATCGCCTCCATCCTGGCGAACTGGGACAAGTATGAAGATGGCACCGAGAGTGCTGCCCGATCTGCCTAATCCCGCCTTGATATCCCCTTCGTCTATAATGCTAGTTTCTCTTTGTCTTGCAATAGAGACCTTTTTGTGGGTCATGATGTGATATGTCTCAGTCCTGGCGGAGTTCTTCCTCGCATGTACATGATTTCTCGTTTCATCGCAATTTGTTTCCGAAAAGAAAATTTTCCACTAGCTGTAGCCAACCTCCTTTTCCCGTGCCTTCCTACGAAATGAATGGTGGGCAAGATCACTGTAGACACAGGGTTGATTGGATATCAATCTAATGGCATTCGAGCTTTACGACTCCCCCTCAAGTCTCCTTCCATGGGCCTGGCCGTAGCATCCGGTCCTCCTTGCCGTAGACACTGACATCCTTGACGATAGCGATGAACCGCCGGTGGTTCTCCTTTGATTCTCCAATGCGTGGGCGGAAGATCTTGAGTAGGTCACTACTCAGGATGCCAGAGAGCGGAATAGACGCATGGATTTCCGCAGGGGTCGGGAATGTTTGGTTCCCAGAAGGACCGGGTGTCGATACGCGAGCTTGGCCTGTGATGTCCGGAACCAGTCAGTGAGCGTCCTCCCATTCATTCAAAAGGTAAAACTTGCCTTTCATCGCTCCCTCGGGACTGCTGGCGCGGCTACCCGAGAAGCTTCGGTTACCCGCAGCAGGGCTTGCAGCGCGCGATCCCTGCGGCGTGCCACTTTGCGAAACCAATGCAGGCGGGTTCAGTTTCAGCTTCTTGGTCTTGCCACTTTCGCTCATCTCCCCTCCAGACCCGGCGCCGGCTTCGACATCACTGCCAGATCCAGCTCCACCGGGCGGGATATTCCGAACACGCTTTTTACCAGTCTGGAAAGAGTAAATTAGCATTCACAAGTAACTCATCCCGATTCAGAACACATACCTGCACAGACACCGCGGATGGGGAGATGGGGCGCGATGTGGGTTGGGGTGTCGGCTGGGAGGACTGGTGCTTGTTCTTGGCCTTTTTCCGAGAAGTGTCGGTACCGCTAGCATCCGAGGCATTCGGCGATCCAAGCCGTTTGCGAGACGTAGATGCCTTCTTCAGGGCATCCATGTGCTTTGGCCGACCCGATGGAGTGTTTGTTCCTTTGGACGAAGCGGGTTCTTTCTGGTTCTTTTCCTCTTCAGCCTTCCGTTCCTCCTCTTTGAGCCGTTCGGCTTCACTGTCGTCGGAGCTCTATACGGAAAAAAGTAACCCATGAGTCCCAGTACAGCATAAGGTCGACAAGCGCAAACAGCAGACTTACCTCGTCTTCGGTGTAGGGGTTGGCGTCCGATCCGCTGCTGTAGTCAAAGTTCCTCTCTCGCTTCTTCAGTGCCTTTCGCACACTTTTGCCCAGGACGCGCCGAGCTTCGCGTTCCTTTTTCTCACGGAGCTCTTCTTCCTCGTAGTCTTTCTCCTCCTTGAGGTCAAACACATTCGCTTTTAACTGGTCCTCTTTAATCCTCTTTTCGGCATCCTTGGCATCCTCATCTTCATTGAAGAGATCATCATGCTCTTCATCGTCCGCAAAGCGATCCTCCTCAAAATCCATTTCGCCCGCTTCCAAGCCTTCTCTGCCAGCTTGGACGCCTTGCTTGCCAGCAAATACCTTGCGCTGTTTCGCGAACTGTTCAAGCTCCCTCTGCTGTGCTACCTCCTGCTGCTTCTCCATGAACCACCGGGGATCTTTGACCCTTTTAGCCATGTATTTCTCCGCTTCTTCGATTGTCAAGGCCTTGAAGTGATTTTTGGCGCTAAATTTATACCACTTCTCGGCTGGAATCATCCGCATCTTGCCTGTATTTTCGAGAACGAAGACGGCATGGGTCTCTGACAGGGCTGCCTCGTAGTTCCCTGCCCATATATTATGGTTGTCGAAATCCTCTAGGTGCCAGGGCAAGGCTTCTTCGTATTTGATTCGGGCTCTCGCGATCTCCTCAGGTGTCATATCCGACTTAAAAACTTGCTGCGTTTTCTGCTTCGGCGCATTTGACCGTTTCGGGCCCGATCCGAGAGAGGGAGCGATCTGGGCAAGGTTTTCGGCACGTTCCCTCTCGCGCGCCGCCTTCCTTGCATCCAGAGCCTCACGGTCCGCCTCATCCAGCTCCTGGCCATCCATGTTCTGGGTCCTCTCTGCGTTTGGGTCGTGCGATCGTGAACGCGGGTCCCGGCGATGCAGCCTCACTGGGCGCGTAAACTGAGACTCATCCCGCGGATCAACGCTCTTTTTAGAAGCAAACCGGGCGATGTGATGCTTTAAACCCTCCCGTAAAGCCCGCTTCGTCGTCACGACTGGATAATCCACGTATTTTTCGGAGAGCAAAGGGCCACTGAACCCGTTCACGGAAAGACCGTCCTTTGCGGAAGCTGATGGGGCTTTGTCCAGCTGAGGGGGCAGTTGAACGCTGGAGGGCGGTGGGCGTGCAGGCAGGGTTTTGAAGGCTGTGTTGTTGCCAGGCGTGTTTTCTGGTTTCGCGAGCGGCTTTCTCTTCGGTCGGACCAGCGGGTCAGCCGCCTTTGGGCGACGAATTCTCATGGGTGGCGCTCCATTGGAGCCAGTCGGTGTGCGAGTATTCGAGGGGTTCGTAGGCGTCGACATCGTTTCCCGCGGGTGAGGTGGATAGGGAAAGAGTTCTACGAAATGAAGAGACAGAGATGAGCGGTGTATCACATCAGCAAAGATGCGATGGAAAGGGGTTTGAATGTCGAGTGCACTGTGAGCGAGACAAAGGACGAGAGATGAAAGGCAACCTTAAGAGATGCGCGCTCGGGTCTTTGGGATGATGGCAGGCTTACATAATGGCTCTACTACTGCCCGGGAAGTTCCCGGTCAAAACGTGAAATGGCATCGGATTCTTCTTTGCCCCCTTCGTCTTTCTTTTGTTTCATCTATGTATTATTCAACAGCCCCGAGTCCGAACTTTTGCCCTGGTCCCAGTCGTTTGTATGAACATGCAATCCAGTCACAACCCTGAATGGTGAATGTCAGCCAAGGACCCCGAAGCTCATCATGACAAGCATAGAGAGCACCAACCTGTTTATATATCTCTGTCCCCCACCATGTTAACCCATCGGCCCAGCCAGAATAGATGAAGGCAAAGAAGACAACAACCACTGCACATGCCAGCCCGGAATCCAATGCAGCCGACAAGGTCATGGCGTACTTTTCCCACCAGGCCGTCCTCCGACGCCGGATCACGTAGTTAAACACAAAACATACGAGCGCCCAGATGGAGAAATTCAGCCCAGTGGCCGGAGGAATCCAGCTCAAGCTGCCGAACAAAATGGGAAAATTTACCATGCGCCAGAAGCTCCTCTTGCTTCGTCGGCCCAGTAGCCAGGCCCCCAACGGAGCGACTGCGCCGACAAGGAATGCCCAAACGAGCGGTCGATAGAGTCCTCCGGGGCCAAAGAAGCGCTGGGGCCCGACGACTCCCCACAGGATGCTTCCATTGAAATGAACCCGCGCAATGGGGCAATTAAAGCCATTGAGGGCCTCGGGGGTGCACAGGCCCGGAATGTGGGCAAACATCCAGTTCAGTACGCCGATTTGAGTCAGACTGGAAACCAGGGTCGCCACTATCTGCACGCTAAACAAAATGCGGGGAGGGATCTTCATATAATGACCAAGCTTCAAGTCTGAAGAGAACTTGATCCCCTGGGCGGAACTGATGTAGGAGTACGTCACAAAGATCATATTCGCCACAGGGCGTCCCGGGAACACAATGCCACAGAGCAGCTGGCAGATGAGATAGAGGCTGCTATGCTGGTTGGTCACAGCCATAATGATGCCCACCGGGATGAAGAACAAGCTAGTGATGGCCAGGGCCAAGAGTAATCCATACCAGGGGAGGTGGACCGGATAGCTGTTGATAGAGTCAATTCAGGACCGAAAGGAGCAATATGAACGGGAGCAAGACTTACTGCTCCACAGTGAAAGTGGCGATGGCCAGCATCGAAGCCAAGACTGCGAGGTACCATGTAAGCGGCGCATCCCTGTAACGTCTCATCAGACGACAATGAACATCCTCCGCGCCCAAGGGGTTCTCTCGGCTCGGATCATGAGAGCTGCTTCGAGGGATCTCGTAGCTGTGTCGGCCTGCGGCATGGTCATTGGTAGTCCGGAGTGGCTGATAGGTTTCCATATTCGGCAAATTTCGTCGTTCGTCGAAAGCCTTTCTGGTCTGATGCCAAATGTCTTTCCCATACCAGCACACGGTGTGTGTGACCAGAGAAGTCAAAGCAGCGAACTGGACCGCGTAGGACAAGACGTAGGTGATCGGTAGATACACCGGTGAGTAGATTTTGTAGGCTTCGTGGTCGAACAAAAACTCCTTGGTCAATATCTGGCTCACCTTATAGAGATGTCCAGTATTGTCAAACACTGCAGTGGAAAGGATGGGCATATATGCGGAGAAGAGAACATTTTTATAATCTTTCGACTTTGTCAGTAAAAGGGTGCGAGAGAAATGGACAGAACTTTGTCTTCAAAGCCTTACACAAGATCGGGGCAACCGCCCAGATGACAACAATCAGACCCGTAACGATATTGGCAGCTGCCCACCATGGTGTCAACAACGGAGAACCTATGTAAGCGATTTGGGCCCAATCGAAGGTCAAGGGAAACATTCCGAGACCAGACGCAACTCCAAACTAGCCACCATTTAACAAGGCATCCACTGCCTGAGAGACACAGGGACTTACCAGATTGGATATCACAACGTTCTTGGGAGCCAGCCAAGTGATCACGTTGAAGTAGCTGAGCGCAGGCATCAGTAACCCCGGGATGAAGTACCAGACAAATGCACCTCCCCACACGAGGATGAAAAACTTGTATCGAGAAATTCTCCATCCATTGGCTTTCTTGTTGACAGATTTGTGCATCGTGGAAAACATAGCAGTGGACATCAGGGTCCCCGGCCAGATCATGGCCGATGGCCGCACGAGGAACCGGCGGGTAAGGCCTGCAAATGCATAGCCTAGGACTTGGGTCGAGATAATGAGCAAGAGCTGGTATATAATCGGTACTTCCTGCTTGTAAAACTTGTGTTGTTCAACAATGACCTAGCATTATCTCAGCCATGACATCTGGAAGAAAATCGAGCTCGGGGTGAACACCAACATCAGTCGCAAAGGCAAACCCGAAAGAGACATTGCTGCTGATATAGACACAGGCATGTTCTTTCTCGTTCCAACGACCTTGGGCGAGCCACAGCCTGACTCGAGATATCCAGGGAACGGCTGGGATATCGATCTCGCCAGAAAGCGATTCCCGGTGATAAAGGGAGCCATTTTCGAACACTTCAAGGGGATCATCCGTCCTTTTGAGAAGGACATCCCAAAACTTGCCCAGTGGATGAACCAAAACAAGAGCAATGATCGGGGTGATGGCAACACTAGGGTACCGAAGCGAAAAGAATAAATTGGCAGCAGAGCCCGTCAAGGAGAAGATCAGGGACAGAATCCACATCCGCGGAGCTACATTTGAAGTTAGATGCAGCCACTTTCACCGTCTACAGGAAACCCACTATTGATGGAAAGAGAAATGTCGTCTGTCGCCGGGACAGAGGCTCGTACTTGGGCATAGCTGTGATTCATGAGCAAAGGGTTCAGCATTGACTTGAAGGCGGGCTTACGGCGAATTATCCGGCGGGTCCTCGTCCGTAGATTTTGTATCTTCGCTGTCGACGTCCAGAACATCCTCCTCGTCGCTTGTTACAAACGGCGAAGATGCAGGGGTGTCTTGCACCACGGGATTTCCAGGCACCGCGAGTCCCGTCGCAAACGAGTACTTCGAATCGGCACCCATTCCAACATCGGACGTGGCCGAAGAGGGCCGACGATACTGGTCCTTTCTATACAGTCCATTGTTCCGTCGCCTGCCAGATGAATGCGAACGTCTGACTCGTGAGCTGCGCACATCACTCGACGGACCTTCCATGGATTCGTCAAGGCTCTCCTGTTGCGATCGAGGACCATCCCGCACCCGTCGAACACTCTGATCCCGCCGCGAAGCAATGACAGTGTCATCGTCTGAGTCTTCTTGTGGGATGCGCACGGCTCCATACGAGGAAGAGCCCAGGGCCGGCGATGACCGGAGGAGAGGGGCGCGCGACATGAAGGTCCTGAGGTGCTGGGCCAAGGTCCTTGTGGGATCGCAGTTCACGTCTGGAGGCAGGCGGTCACTTCCCGAGTTGTCATTTCCATCGTGGGGATCAGAATTCGAGTCTTCTCGGTGGTTTGACCCAGCGGGAAGCCACTTGCCCCTCAGGCCGTCCGGGGGACAAGAGACCTTCCGCGTTCTCAGCGGGATGTGGGCTGACGGTGGAATCTTGTAGGGCCGAATGAAATCCACAAGTCGATCGGATTGTAAGCGTGCAGTAATCCGGTCTGACGCAGAAATTGTGAGGGTAGCTTTTTTTGGGACAGAAGGAAAAGTTACAGATTCCGGTGGAGGCCCCACCATCCGCATTAATCATTCTACATACATCCAGGGATCCATTGTATATATACAACTGGAGACTTCTACTCTAGAAAAGTTCCTCGACCTTCTCGTCCGCGTCCTTGGGTTGCTGCTGAATCTGAGACTGTGCCCGTGCCAGTTCAGCCTCAGTCTTCTCTCCCTCGCCTGCTTCGTCACGCATCAGCACCTGGACCAGCCGGTCACACGCCTCTTGGACCTCCTCGTCCTGGACGTGGAGATGGCACTCGCGAATCAAAGGATACACCTTGACTACACGCATCAGATCCCGGCCTTCCCGAGTCGTGGTCAGCAAAAGCAGCGTTTCCAGATGGGTGGTTATGATGCTGGTGTCCCGGTCTCGTTGCTTGTCCGGTGGCAACAGCTGGAGATCGGGTAGCATGGCCATCGTCTCTTCGTCCGAGAACTCCTCTGGTCCCGCAATCGGCAGCAGCAGATACGGCAGGAGGTTCACCCCATCCTCCGCGAAGAGCATGGGATGCGACGGGATGTCAAAGGCAACATTCTTGATTGTGGAGGCGACCCCCTTCCTGCGAATGTCGCTGGGGTGTTCCGTAAAGACGGTCAGCTTTGTGATGGGGACAACTCCGTCATACTCCTGGCGCGTGATGAAATAGGCTCTCCCCGCTTCCGATTGTGACAGGTCGGCGAACAGGTAGGACAGGTAATCATAGTTGGCATGTTTATTGAGGCCGCCCTTGGCGCCCTTGACAAAACAGTCCATTAACTGGTCAATGGCATTTCCGGAGGTGGATACGGATTCGGGGATTTTGCGCTTCAGCGAATGCAGTTTCTGTAGGTTGTTGGATTTGGCGAGATTGGCCATCAACATCGCGACATCATCGGCGTTGGGCTCCTTGGCATTCTGGCATTTTTCCACATGGAATTAGCTTGCGCAAAAGAGAACTTCCCAAGGAAGGGGTTGTACCGTCAGTTTCATGAGCAAGGTCTCAATAAACTGGTCATCTTCGGATAAATGTTTCAACACCTCTTCATCGCCCGAGAGGTTGATGAGGATTGTCAAGGCATTCTTCGCAATAGGCTAGGATATGTCAGTCACAATCGACAGGTGACTATTGGTCGCACGCACTGTGTAATCTCGGGCCAACAGCTTCAAGTCTCGAACGGGCAACAATTGGTGACGCTTGAACAGGCTGGGCTGGGCGGTAGAAAATCCGACGAGGTTTTCGCATGCTTGAAGGACATCAGGTCATCTATCGCGCCTCTTTCTCTCTCTCTCTCTCGTGATCAAATCCTTACCAATCTGTCTGATCTGGGTGTTGCCGTGGTGAAGAAATTCCACCAGCTGGAAGAAGTGAGCTGATCGATGTACACATCAATATCCATGGGGACACATCGCACACACACCTCTTCCAGTTCCGATGGCATTCTGGTGGTCTTTGGGGGTTGTGCTGACGTGGGGTTTATGGCATTTTGGATGAGATTCAAAAAGGTTTTTTTGTTCCCCGAAGTGGGGGAGGAATTCGACGTCACCGATACCTTTCCCCCCACTGTGTACCTGCGTAGTAAATCCGATATTTCTCATTTGATATCTCACCAAGCCTGGGGTCTTGTGAGATAATTTGAAAATAGTGCTCCAAGAAGAGAGAGAAGAGAGGGTATCGAGTCATTAGGTATGCTCAGAGGTTAAAGATATATATCTATAGATGTCCCCGCTTCATTTATCAAAGCAAACAGAGTGACTTGTACTATATACTTGAGGATATATATACCCTTGATGGACTGTTCTTATCCATGGACCTAGGGGCATATTACGGGTTATTGCTGTATCCAACAGAAAAACCAGACCTGACGTGACTGATATAGTAACCCAAAGTATATAACTATATATGTATATAAGATATATATAAGATATATTAGTATAAGGGTATTTTATTATGTATCCATATCTTTCGAGGCATCAAGTTCAGATTCAAGTTGATCAACAGAAACATCGTAGCGTGGACAATCAATGGCCCCTCGGCCGCTCTCAGGCGCGGAATTTGCCCCTCCACCATTTGGACCGGGTCCCCTTCTGCGAATTTTTGGTCGCTTCCCGTCATGGCAGCATCCCCATTGGATTTGAAGGAAATCCATGATTTCTTGATTTCACTGGCGTTGAAAGCCGGAGATATCATCACCAATGCCCTTCCTGATACCGGTGGTACGGGCTCGAAGAAGAACAGTTCGTTGGTTCCAGTTCCAAGGGATAACACCCGCGACTCTGAGCTGATGTCGCCCTGCAGGTGCCGACCTTGTCACCGAATATGATCGCGCAGTCGAGAATATGATTTCTACCTCTTTGAGGGAGAAATACCCCCATTACGAGTACGTTTGTGAGGTGGGTTCATCGACTCCAGAGATACTGATGTGTGTTTTCCCCCATCAATCCAGATTCCATGGCGAAGAAAGCTATGATCCCACACGTCCCTTGACCGACGCCCCTACATTCGTGGTTGACCCAATTGATGGAACGGTCAACTTTGTGCATAGCTTCCCCTTTGCCTGCGTCTCTCTCGGCTTTGCTGTGGATCGAGTGCCGACGGTCGGAGTGGTTTATAACCCCTTTACCCAGAATCTGTATTCCGCCATCCGCGGCCAGGGTGCCTTCCTCAATCGCCAAACCCGTCTTCCCCTCAAGGGAGACAACGTTGAACCATTGTCGGGGTTAGGCAATGCCCTGATTGGCGTAGAATGGGGCTCGGATCGCAGTGGGAACAACTGGGAGACCAAACTGCGGACGTTGGAAAGACTGGGCCAATCCAAAGAGAATGGTGGAGCAATGGTCCGCTCGATGCGGAGTTTGGGGTCTGCTGCGCTCAACCTGTGCGCCGTGGCAGATGGGACACTGGACTTGTATTGGGAAGGTGGATGTTGGGCGTGGGATGTCTGCGCGGGTTGGGTGATCCTGACCGAGGCAGGGGGGATTGTGGTGGACGGGAACCCAGGAGGCTGGGAGACTTGCTTGGATGGACGGAAGTACCTGGCCGTGCGAGCAGCCCCGGATCAACGGGGTCAACGGGAGATCGTGGAGGAGTTCTGGGGCCATATGCAAGGCATGCTAGAGTACTAGGGGTATATAGATAGACACTAGGAATGAATGTAGATATATCTGTCTATTGGATCAAACCGAATTAAGTACAGGGTATCCCAAGCAACAATATAAACAAGAAAAACTGGGTGAGTGATATACAATAGGCGAGCGACACAAGATCACGGCATTGGCCTGGGGGACCACCGAAAACCCTCTTCCTCAAACTCGGAATCGCAGTCATCATCCTCATCCACTTCGCGGTCACTCCACCGGGCCGAATCCTGCCTCGAGACCCCCGCATAATTGACTCGATCGTAAGTACCCGTGGTCTTGTGGGATTGATCTTCGGCCGGAAAGCGATCACGCCGAGTAGGGTGTCCAGAAGACGGATTTTCGGCCAAGTGAGGGCCCGTAGTGCCGGGTAAATGGTCCTGCGATGGGTCGTTAGGCGGGTGCAAGTCTCTTCCGGGGGTATGAGACCGGCTTTCCACCTCGTCACCTGAGCTAGTGGGTCCGATGTTGGGGGATTTGGCCCGCTCGACGCTTTGCTTCAGAGAATCGTCGACTTCCACAGAAGGTGCGTGGCCGAAATGTGTATCGATCAGATGTTTGATGACGGGCCAACCATGAGCGTTGGTGAACATGCGCCGCACAATAATGTTATTGTGAGCATCTGGCTCAAGACGAACGAGGACTTTGCGCCAAGACAGATCGCGGTGGTAAGCTCTTGCAATTTTCTCCTCGACCTTGAGTCCACTTTCGCAATTATCTGCCATGGCACTAGAGCCAGGCGGGAGCTGAGTGCCTGATGTAGGGGCCGCTTTGGCGTTCTTGTTCTGCAACGGACCAAATGCGAGCGTTCGCCGTTTAATCGGGAGCGGAGGAGGTACATCGCCCGGATGATAAATGCGGTCGTGAAAAATTGTTCGAGGGCGCGAGGCAGGATCCAAGATAAACCCCGTGGGAGGGAGAGGAGGCATCAAAAGGTCCCCTGCTGACTCAAAGAAAGTTGTTTTGGGGGGCGTGTAGAGACCATCATGCTCATTTAGAGAGTTACCGCGAACCGGCGGCCGGGGATGTTCACCAACTTCAAGCGAACCGAGGGTTTGACTGCGTTTGTAGATTTTGGTGTGCTTGCCCGTGGGAGGCTTGGTCTCTTTGGGGCGAAAAAGAGAGAGAAAGCTGTCCAAGGGACCGAGGGCCGTGTTTTCTGAGGTCCCATTCGACACGGTGTCGCCTGCGACACTGTTATCGGGTGAAGACCCGGGTCGCGCAAGAAATTGAGCAGAGGCTGGGGGGGATGACGTGTCACCCAAGTCAACACCCTGATGTCCTTGCAGGTGTCCCTGCGAGTGTGCTTGTGCGCCGTGGGAGATCTTTGGCAGGCCTTGCCTAATTGCAGTCTCCTCCGTATTGTGCCCCAATGGTTCTTCATCCAAACGTGCAATTCGCGGAGAATTTGAATTCGCTCCCGTGAGCTCTGCCCAGCCCCATTCAGCCATTGTTCCAACCAGTCCGTTGTCGCGTCTTGCCTTTTCCACTCGTTCGAGGCCTCTCCAGTCTAAGAAAAGGAGGCACGATGTCCGGAGCGGGACTATCCCATCATTCACCACGTTGGAGTAAATGGTGCGATGCTGGAATTTGTGCAGGACCTCGTGTGCAGGCCCACAAGGGAGAATTCGCAAAAGTGGTTTCGAGCCCGGATCCCCCTGGCCCTGATCCTTGGCCGACTCTCCTCTACCCCCAATGAGGGCTCCCCAGCCACTTCGCACCTTCGGCGCTGTCCAGCTCAGCCCCAGATCTTGCCCGGTGCGACCAACTAGCCCCAAGTCCAGCGCAAACCGGACGTACATCGGGTTTTCATTGCTAAGGCCCAAAAAGGGTGTTGCAAGAGCGATGAAGTTGATGGGCTTGATGCGCTCAAAGAACTCCGGAGAGTATTTTTGGATGTATGCAATGGCATAGGTTTGAATCAGTCCACCTAGCGAATGCCCGATGAAACTGATACTGGTGATCTGGTACGCCTGGCCGTCGAGATCTATCGGATCATCGCTGGTTTCAGAAGCCAATTGAGACGCACCAGGGGTTTGGGTCGGCTCCTTGCGAGCAGTGAACGGTCGAGAGAATGGCCTTTCTTTGGAGCCCTTCAAAGGAAAATATGGTTGATCAGGATAGGTCATAAGCAAGACATATTTAGCCAGGCGTTTGCCGAGATATTGTATTCCACGCTCGGTGCGGACAGCATTGCCAGAGAAGCCTCTGACAATCACTTGTTCGTCGTTAGCTTCATCGACAGCATCGTCCTTTCCATTGTTGCTGTCCGAGCTGACCGGGCCACATATATCATTAGAAATTCGGTTCACACATGAACTGAATGGCAACACACCTTGACACGGGATCTTGTGGTCCCGATTTGCTAGAGTCCTTTGGACTCGTTTTCGCCTTGCAAGTCTGTCTCTTGTATTCCTTCGCAGCAGTGTCGATACTCTCCTTGAGATAAAGCATGTCGGCACCGAGGTTACTATGCAGCCCATGTGTCAACAGAACAAGATGGACTTTCTTCTTTCTAGGATGCTTCAACGGAGCTTCAGCCGCGGACTCTGGTTCTTCATTGTCGTCCCAGGGATGGCTTGAGTTGTCCATGTCCGAGATGCCATTCTTAATGTCCCTGTCCGCCGAGGGAAGCGGTGGACTGTTCCACAGGCTATTTGTGTCATCAACGCGTAGAGTGACAGACCCGGAATATACGCCTTTGGTCGCGAGAGCCTGACGACCCTTTGTCTCGGGTATCCAATGGTCATGCAATTTTCCCGGCGGACCGCTTGAGCTGCTCCATGCACCGCCAACAGAGAACCCCCCTAGTGACTTGATGTCACGGCCTACCAGCAGCTCAAAGTGGACTGCCGCGCTGCTCGAGAAGATCACCTGAGATACAATCTCAATAACCCAAGTCACACTCGGGTTATTCTCGGAAGCGAATCGCCCGGAAGGCCCTAAATTCTGTGAAAGTTGGAGATGAGTGGGCACCTTGATGGTGGCATCCCAATTTCCACCAGCTTTCAGGTATGGCTCGAATTGCGGAGACCCTTCAAGGTCCGGTTGATCGTACTTGTGGTTGGGATCAAATTTCGAGGGGTAGCAGGCAGTATATAGCGTATATGGGCCATGAAGGTAAGCAGCTCGTAATGGAATCGCAGATGTGTTCTTCACTCTCACGTAGAGCTCCGATGGGATGGGCAAGATTGGATCAGCTGCGGGGGTGTACGTGACTGTGTATCTAAAAGGTTATGCAACATCAGTATATGACCAAAAAAAAAAAAAAAAAAGAGCACTGGCGAATCTGAATTCCCCGTCTGCTGACTGTATGCAGGCATCGGCATCCGAGGAGGGGGGGTCTTTGCAGCCTCGAGGATGGGCCGGGAGTTGAACCTACCTCACGATCTCCCCGACACGAACACTGCCGACCTGGTGGATCAAAAGCATGTCTGCGGCTTGCCCCTCGTCCACAGGACTTCTGCGCCACCCAGCAAGCGTGAAAAACGACGAGGTCTCAGACCTGGAGAAGGTTGCTCCTTGGTCGGGGGTCTGAGAGGCCGAGTACGTGCGTGGAGTGATCAGCATCGAAAGCGGTAGGCCGTTCCATTATGATATGAAAGGATAGGAATCTAGAATGAGGTTGTACATCCCATCCTGTTATGGCCCGTGTCGATACAATGGGAGTGGAATAAGTGGAGGTTGAGGATCTCGGGGACCCGTGATCGGCGGCTTCTACGCTGCAGAGAGGATGCCGGATTCTTAACCGGGCCACTTGCGCTCAACATTTTCTCTAATGCATTAAGTCCAGCAACTGCCGAGGTTCTTTGCAGAGCTCCATCCAACCATTCTTCTCCACGGCTATGATCTTCCCGTCGACACAGACGCGCCTCCATCTCTCCTGGTCTTCTTGAAAATTGATCCGCAACCCCTCGACCTCGGCGTATGTCACCGACTTCTCCAGCACGTGTCGACCACCCTGGTAGGCCAGAGTCATCAAATGCATGGCCTCTTCTGGGGACATGGGTCCAAAGCGGATCAGCCTCATCTCGCCACTCAGTGGCTCCGAGTCAGGAGAGATCAAGAACTCCTTCTCGAGTCTTGGAACCAGGGTGGCAAGTGCATACATATGCTCAGTTTCAGACAGGGCTTCTTGTTTTTGGATGCCAGTCTGCCCATCCAAGGTTGTCAAGGTAATCTGGCCCTTGAACCGGTGAGTCTCCGTGCCATCCGACGGGTAGAGAAGCTCCTTTGCCGCCATCTGAAATCTCTCGGATCCATATTTGCGATATTCAGACGTGTCACTATCTGCAACCAGCGCTGCATGTAGTCCCCAACTCGCAACAACTGCGCCGTATATGATAGGACTGGGGGCTCCAGAATCGCCATCTATGGGGGCTCGTTGCCGACCCTCATCGACGACCAGCTGGCTACCGGGGGAAAATTTGGAAGCAAAAATCGGCAGAGTAGATGCTTTCCCCCAAAGCAGCCCCGTAAGGCCAGAGAGAGGACCCGATCGAAGCCCGATCGAACTGGCCATTGCATTCCCCGTTCCACAAGGGATCAAGGCTATCTTGGGAGGCATGCGAATGGCTCGTCCAGATTTATAGAAGACGTCGACAATGTCAATAACACCCCCATCACCTGCGAGTAAAATGATGGTTTGAGGGACTCCATTGCAGGCACGCTCCAGAAATTGGGATTGAGCCAACTCGATGATCGTCTGTGCGGACTCTGTTTCGTGGACTTCATAATCATCCAGCCCCAAGTAAGCTAGCAAGGGCTGCACAGCCTTCAGAAAAACAGCCTTGGCCCTTCCGGTTCCTGACCGGGTAGAGATCACGACTTGGATTGGGGATCCTTGTCCTCGAAGATGATCCGGGAGATCCGTCAGAAGGTGGGACAATGGCGTAGGCAGCGTAGCGATCTTAATCTTCATCAAACGTGCCAGGTCTTGTTGCTTGGACTCAATTTCAGATCTCTGGAAGAAAAGGACGGTGTATCCAGAGTCGTTGGACTTCCGACTAGGCAGTGCGCAGAGGATATCCCCAAGATCAATCAAGCGCTCGCCAGCGGGCGAGTTGCACTTGAGGGCACCTCCAACAATGTCGGCGGAGAACACATCGTCCAGGAGCTTTTCTTGGGTCATTGTTCGATTGTGGGCCGTGGTATATTTGAATATATGAAATGTCGGAGTGTTGACGAGGAGAGCCACGCGCCCGCGGGGTCAAGTTGAGTGAGATTTTTCGAAGGATCCTAACGACCCCCTGCTTGGGCCTGATTTCATTTTTGGAGAAATACACGTTGGACATGGAAGGTATTTATACATAGACATATAGACAGAAAGATAAGACGTAGACAACGAAAATTAGAACCGGGAACAGGTCGTCTACATCGCACTAGACGGGTCTTCCTCCGACTGCGAGACATGTTTATCACTAAGATTAACCGCAATGAACGACTTGGGAAGTTTGACCCTGGCAAGGAGTTAGCAGCGGAGAATTCCATTCCAGCGGTCAACTTACGTGTCGAATTTGGCCTTGAGAGTTTCAATCACCTCTTTCCAATCCTGATGAGCAGTCAAACTTCTCCGTGGCGCGCAGCCGATGGCGTGCCGGGAATCGAGTTGCACGTCAAGGGGATCGAAAGCATGGCAGCCCGGACTGATGGAAATGCGGATCGAGTAGGAATTGACCGCCGACTCACTGTCGCGAGCTTCGTAGAGTTCGAAACAGATTTGAGAAAGGTAGTCCAGCTCGGGAATAGCGCTTCTAGCAATCTTCGTTTGAATCCCACCCTCCAGGATACAGTTCAGAAGCGTATAAATGTGGGACTCTTTGGTGAAGTAGAAGAAGGATTTCGCATCTTGAGAAGCTTGCACCTCCTCCAGATCACGGACAATCTCCTGAAGTAGGGGGAGAGACGTCAGGAGACCAATCTCCAACTTCTCGCTATCAGTGATGCCGTATTCTTGCGGAGTCACGTAGTCAAACAGGACTTTGGCCAACTTGTATAGTTCCCGGAGCTTCGAAAGTCGCTCATCCATCTTGCACTTTGTGGAGCTGGACCCCGGGTAGAGTTTGAAGTAATGATCGTAGGAGTCGTCGAGTGCTCGGAGATGCGGCAGCGACTCTAGGGCATGGATGCGCTTTTTCAGCCCAAATCGGTGAGCAAATGTTGAGTTGTCGGTGCGTTCCTCAGCCTTGTCGGTTGCCGCGTCGTGTCCGGATTCACCACTCTCCACACTCGCATCAGACTTCGTGGTAACCCTGCCCTTTGAACTGCCCTTTTCATCATCATCCTGATCACAATCTGGAGGCATGAAAACCCATTCCAGGAATTGTCGATTATGAAGCGCATCGAATTTCATGCTGTCGTAAAGTTCCGAAAATTTGCTGGGGTCGACCTTCTCTGTGTCACAAAACTCCGCAAAGAGCTTCTCCCATCGCTCCTTGAACAGCCGAGGATCTTCACCGGCGCACCAGCGACCCTGGATGTCAGATACATTTGGACGGTCAGACTGTGTGTCAAACGGGTTTGGCTGGCTTGAATCTTCCATGGTCTTGGATGAGAGCGAGGAGGCATCCGATGCATCATCAAGTTTGTCAAAGTTATGTCGCATGACACTCCGGTGGAATTTCATGAGTTCGACCAACGTGGCAAGCACGACAGAAGGCTCTGGTATGTTGCTATCTTTAGGCCATGCAAATTGCGAGGGCGCGGATCCCTCTCGCAGAAGTAATTTCAACTTTTTCTTCACTTTGTCCATGACGTCCTTGGCAGCATTCGAGTCGTCCAGAAGATCCTTACGCACCCGGATAAAGTCTTCTGGGACATCTTTCTGGTCAAGGAATGAGGAGGCCCAGATTTGAGCTAATTCACGAAATCAGTGAAATGTGCCAAAGCCAAATTCATGTTGAAAGTAACCTTCACTTACCACTGGTACTGACTCTTCGCTCCGAGCTGGTAAAGAGACGGACATTGTTGAGTGCCTCCTTGTTCATCAATTTCAGGTCGTCGCGCATATTCAACCCGAGATCTTGCGATTGATAGCGTGCAGCATGAGTTGGCTCCCCTCCCCACTTGATCACAAGCTGGAGCTTATCCAGGATAAGGTCGTTCTCAACGGCAGAGAACCGAGAAAATGTTGCACCAGAGAGAGAGTCGCTCCGGGTCTGTGACCGGCGCAAGTCCTCGTGTTCCAGAGCAGCCTCGCTGAGAGCAGGCGAGAGAGGCTCTTCTGAGGCTTTCTCCCCCGACGAAATGGGAACGGTAGATGGGATCTGCTCCCGCGCCTCTTCCGGCTTCCGCCTCCGAAACATAGGCTTGATCTGCACTTTTGTCCCAGGCCAATCGCCCTTCTTTTCCAAAGAGGTGCGAAGCAACTTGAGCTTTTCCATGTCCTCCAATTCTTGCTCCATGGCCAGCTTCACGGCATCCGAAACGCTCGACAGTGCAGCTTCTCCTTTGATGACCACTTCCTCTTGGTGTCCCTTCAATAGGTCCACGAACGGCTGACTGTGAAATGTGAATTTAAACTTCTGCTTCGGAGTGCGGTCTGCGTGCCGAATAACTGCTACCATTCCCTTCAACTTCCAGGAGTGTTTGGAAGCGGGAAGCGGCGGAGGCGCTGCTTCGCTGCCATAGTGCAATGAAAGAGCTGGTGACTTTTGGTTCGAAGGACTATAACTGCGAGAATTGGTGTGCCCTTCTCGGGAATTCAAGCTGCTGAGGTTGGCACCATGTTCAGGACCTTCCAATCCCGATGAAGAGGCCAGCGAGGGGGCACCGGTGGAAGTGTCCGAGGGAGCATTTTCATGGGTTTTGTGAGGATTTTGGTTACCGTAGAGCCGAGAGGTGCTAGGGGATTTCAGCAGTGTTTTCAAAGCCTGTCGATGAGACCCGGCCGTGCTTCTTCTGGACGGTCCCACGTCTGGTGATGGCGGCTCTGAGGGCTCGAACGGTCCTTCGCACTTGCGCCTTTCATTCAAGAAAGTATCCCGGAGGATGCGTGCGCTTTTGTCGTAGTAATCGTTGTTGTCTTTGACGAAACTCCAGCCATTGACGTCAATCACGTAGCTTTTTTCCCCGACACGGAGCATGTCGAAGCCACAGATTCTCTGGCCAAATCCATTCGAGATCTTGGACGCAATCGCAGCCTCCTCCTTGCTTAATTTCGTGATATATCGGAGTTCCTTCCCATGGGTATTGCGTCGGACTAGCCCGTCGACCACAGGAGACTTGCGCGTCTCCGCGTGGCAGAAATCCGGTCCGACGGTGTATGCTTTGACATCCTCGGCGTTGTCGACTCGGAGGAATTGTTCATACAGATAGCTCGTGTCGTTCTCAGTAACCGACCTTGGAATAGAAAGACTGCTATCGTATTCCGAGCTTTTGTTCCCGACCTTTCGAAAAAGCTTTCGTCCACCACCTTCGTATTGTTGATCGTTGGGGAAGTAGATGTGGATGTTGTGATCCTCACCATTGACCGGCTTTTCAACAAACGGCTTTCTGAACACTTTCCCGTCCACTATCAAAGCCTCCCCATCCTCGGACATCGACACATGCTGGGTTCTGGGGGCACCGCCTCCAATTCCATTCTCCGGGCCCATCAGCTTAACCCCCGTGAGTCGATATATGTGCTGTGCTAGTTCCGGCGATTCTAGCACTGGTCCACCGTCGCGGTTCACTTCCATTCTTTTGGGGGTTGGGACACCCATGTGATCCAAGATTCTCAGGCATAATCGCCGGTCCCACAGCACCTTCTGCATTGGCAGGTCATTGACACAGAAAGGCTTCCGAAGTTGTGCATACGCGATGGCTTTATCCAAAGGAAATCCATCGGAGAAGAAAGCGATCAAGAAATCACAGACAGGCCAATTCTCAACGGCTTCGTCGAGAATCACCTTGTCGCCGAAAACGATCACTTCGAATTCGCCTTTTGATTGAAGACGGGTCAAAATGTTTTGGCTCGGTTTGCTGCGTGCTTTCACATCCAACGCACAAACTCCAATCCGCCATGGTTTAACAGAACCAGTTTCTAATTCGCTGACTGAGCTGGCAGCTGTACTGGCGGCTGTACTTCCACTAAATCTCCTGGGTGCTCGACTTGACGAGCGTGTAGCAGGCGGATTGCGACCCGCCGAGCGAGATTCAGATGCTGGATCGACTTTTCCTAGCTTCATCTGCCCATGAAAGAGGGATTTGGCTGATATGGCGCTGGACTCGACGATGGGGCCGGCGGGTGGATTCTCGTTGGGGTCGGCATCATAGGCAGATGGAGGCAGCGGGGCAGGAGAGTGGGAGCTTCGGGAAGAGCCAGCATCAGTGGGTGAGCCACTAATGTGTCCATTGCCATCCATCGAGGCGATTGGAATGCGGCCTGACAAGGAACAAAAGGGCAAGGCGAGATCGGGAGAGGGGCGGTGGTGGGGAATCTCAAAAGCTCAGGAAGACGTGGCTCTTAAAGAAAGAAACAGAGAGAGAGAGAGAGAAAGTATTCCAATTGTCCTTAAATCAGCAAAGATAAAGAGGGGGGAGGAATCATCATCCCGCGAAGGTATTCAGAGAAAGATAGGAATTCCACCAAAGTACATCAAATCATCGGATTACGTAGGTCACTTTATTTTCTCCTAAGCTGCTTGCATGTATTGCCTGTTTAAGTAGGCGGTCTGAGATCTGCAGGGAAAAAAAAGTTGGGAGTTTTTGCCAGTGAATTTGGACTTGCGACTTTCCCTGCAATGCTCGATTAATCCTAAAGGTATTTTTGATCGTTGCTGAAATCCCCAATTGCATAGTTATTGAACGACTAATGATTCAGAACTACAGGACTCGTTTTCCTGTTGGGATTAACATGCCTTGCATGGCTGATACTCCAGACTTGCCTCTGGCGAAGAGACAAAAGCGAGTGTCGCGTCGAGATTCCCATGGGGAACTGCGTGGCTCCAAGATCTTCTCTCCTTTTCGGGTATGTGATGGATTGGACTACATTACTTCCCCCAGTCGCTGACTCGTCTCCTTTTGTGTAGACACTCGGACTGGTGTCCCCGACGCCAGTTCCTTTCACCTTCGTGCGTCTTGGTAAATCAACCTTCCAAATCACTACGTCCGTGGGCCATTCGCTACAAACATATGACTTGCGGAAAGGGTTGAATCTGGTTTTTCTGAGTCGACCCCAAACCCCGGAGATCATTACATCGACTTTTGCATGGCAGGACAAAGTCTTCGTCGCGTGGGGCCACCTTCGACCGCGATCTCCAGGCGGGGTGTGGGTATTTAAGCGTGGCAAGCGAATCGCATCGCTCGAGAACCCCCCGAGTCTTAGCGGGCCTATTGAACGACTAGTGGTGTTCGGATCATGGATCATCGGCTGCTGGGCGGGAGGCATTGAGGTATGGAAGACGGAGACTTACGAGCATTACACAAGTCTCCGGCCTCGGCCCACTCAGGAATTCTCCGGGGACCAGATCTATACCGGCATTATGTGCACTATGCCGACGTATCTCAATAAAATCTTCGTGGGAAGATGCGATGGAGCGGTTGACATTTGGAATCTCAGGAGAGGGAAATTACTTCACACACTGCTACCACTTTCGTCAGCCACTGGTCCCGTCACTGCAATGCAGCCAGCTCCTGTCTTATCTTTACTGGTCATTGCCCATAAGAGCGGCGCCCTGTCAATTCAGAATGTTGATTTTGGTCAGCCGGTGCTGTGTCTGAGGACCGCAGCCTCTCGAAGCCCGCCTGTGACATCAATCACTTTCCGAAGCGATGGTCTTGGCGCTGGCCATGACGGCCGGAAATCGGGGGTGATGGCGACCGCGTCAAGTGGTAGTGGTGATATCACCCTGTGGGACTTGAACGATGGAGGCCGAGTGGCAGGGATCTTGCGAGGGGCTCATCGAGTGTCGGGGACTGGGACTGGACAAGGAATCAATCGCGTTGAATTCTTGGATGGCCAGCCGGTGCTGGTGTCTACCGGGGATGACAATTATTTGAAGACCTGGATTTTCGATGAGACCCCATTCTCGCCCATCCCCCGGTCTCTCCATTGCAGAGGCGGACACTCAGCTGCTGTGAGTGCCCTAGACTTCTTGCCGGCATCTTCAGACGGATCCGAATCTGGTGGGAAATGGCTTCTCAGTGCCAGCAAGGATTGTAGTCTCTGGGGGTTTAGTCTGCGCAAAGACAGTCAGCATACCGAGGTATCGCAGGGCAGTGTGGAGCGTAAAGCAAAAAAGTTGGGGCCATCAGGCAACTCCACAATACCGTTGGAAGACCTGAAAGCCTCCGAGGTAACCTCTATCGCGTGCTCTCTTAACCGCGATGGGGGCATGGGTGTGACAACTTCAGGTCCCATTTGGTCCAACCAAAAACTCACTAACACCGATGCCTCTAACGCAACCGGGTGGGAGAGTATAGTGACTGGCCATCGGGGTGACAAGTATGCACGAACCTGGTTTTGGGGCAAAAAGAGGGCTGGTCGCTGGGCGTTTGCAACTGGTGATGGAACGGAAGTCAAGGTCCGTGTGTTGTCAATCTTGAAGGAAATCATGTTTCCTGGCTGACTCGATACAGAGCGTGGCCATTTCGCACTGCGGAACTTTCGCTGTCGTTGGATCGGCGGGAGGTGCCGTTGACATGTTTAACATGCAATCGGGGCATCATCGCCAAAGCTTTCCATCTCGTCTACCCAAGTCTCGTGGCATGAAAACCAGCCCCGGCTCTATGGGCGAAAAGACGAGACATACCAAAGCAGTGACCGGCTTGATGATTGACAGTCTCAATCGAACTGTTACTAGCTGCAGCTTAGATGGCAGGGTCAAGGTATTTCTTCCTATGATGCTTGCATTAGCCGGACAAGACTGACGATTGTTTAATCTATGACATGCAGTTCTGGGATCTCCTCTCGGGATCATTGATCGATGAGTTGGATTGGAACCCAATGGCCGCGGTTACAGGACTTCGATACAACAAGGCGAGTGAGCTTGTTGCCTTCAGCTGTGATGACCTGTCAATTCGTGTAATCGACCTCGAGACTAGGAAACTTGTTCGTGAGTTTTGGGGATGCGTGGGCCAGGTCAATGACTTCATTTTCTCCAGTGATGGACGGTGGATTATTGCGGCCTCGATGGACTCGGTGGTGCGCGTATGGGATTTGCCAACTGGGCACCTCATTGACATCTTTCGGGTTTCCAGCACCTGCACCGCTCTGGCCATGCCGTCTACCGGTGAATTTCTTGCTACTGCACACGCCGATGGTATTGGTATCAGCCTTTGGAGCAACCGCAGCCTCTTCATGCCTGTGTCCACTAAACACGTGGACGAAAGCCTTATTGAGGATGTTGGGATTCCGGCTACATCTGGAGAGAGTGGTGCTGGTCCTATTGAAGCTGCGTTCTCAGATAACCCGCTTCTGGATGAGACGGAAGGGCCGGTACTGGCAACCGACCAACTCCGTCATGACATGATGACCCTCAGTCTTGTCCCCAAGAGCAAGTGGCAGGCACTACTTCATCTAGATTCAATCCGAGTAAGTTTCGTTCCTTCTTCCCCCCCCCCCCTTTTGGAAAAGGATGTCCTCTGACTATTTTTTTCAGGAACGAAACCGGCCTAAGGACCCTCCTAAGGCCCCCGAAAAGGCGCCGTTTTTCCTTCCCTCTCATCTTGGATCACACACCACCGGGGCAGCGACCGGGCCCATCAGCAACGAGACTGCTGACCTGGAGTCTCTGGTCACAAGCGCGGAGGCTGAACGTTCGCGGATCGCCAAATTGCAAGGTTCGGGGGATATTGGCCCTGCTACCTCTCCCTTCACGCAGGCCTTGGAATCTGGGCGTCGTACCGGCAAGTTCGATCCATTCATCGATCATCTCAAGTCACTAGCTCCAGCCAAGGCGGACCTGGAGATCCGCTCCCTGGATCCCCGGGTGCGTGATGGTCACTCTGAGCTGTCCGACTTTGTCATTGCCTTGACGGCTCGCCTCAGACTGAAAAGAGATTTCGAAGTGGTGAACGCATGGATGGCTGTGTTCCTGAAAAGCCACGCCGACACAGTGGGATTATGTTCGCATCGTGATGAACCGGAGTACCGTCTTCTTCGAAAGGCCCTCACATCATGGAGCCATGAACAACAACAGGAGGGAAGGCGCCTGGCCGAAATGGTTGGATACTGTCGCGGGGTGGTGGGATTCCTGAGGTCTGCCCGCTAGCATTGTGAAATAGACAGCAGACAGATGTATAGCGTCATGAGAATAATTCTGCGGATGTGGTTTTGTACAGATATTTTGAATATCTACCTCTCAAGTACATAGATGTAGACACAAAAGGATGGACAGTCTACAAGCCTGACTAAGGATGGGGCAATTTTCCGCAACCTGTGGACCCTCTGCCAGTTAACCAAATTCCTCGAAATCATGGCAGGCTCCTTTCCAACTCCCCGTGGCCATGGGGATTTCATTCTTGACCAAACATCTACTACCGTACGCCGAGCGCGCTAGGTTGAGTGTGGGAGGAACGCGGACAGAAGAGCGTCCCTGCGTTAGCTCGGTCGTCATCGATGGACCCAGCCTAGTATACCATGTATACTATCGAATCCTGGCATGGATGGATCCCAGCTGCGATGTGCTGGACATCCAACCCACCTGCGACGAAGTAAGTCGAGGCGTGGTCAGCTATCTACTTCAGTTGTCCAAGGCGGGTGTTGTCACGTATGCAATTTTGCCCTCCCTTCTCCCCCGGCAGGAATACTTGGTCTCACGCTTCTTCCCCAGGCACGGAATATATTTTGATGGTGCCCTACCTGTCTCGAAACGCGAAACACGGCTCGCTCGAATAGAGAAGTCGAGGCACCGCTTGGAAGTGTCGCGCCGCAGAACCCCTTCCCCTTCCTCCCCCGAATATCGTGAACCAGCCTCAATCCAGCCAGGACAACTATGGCAGACTCGGAGTCTACCAAGCCGGTGGAAAGGCCTCCCAGAGAACCCTTTTATGGTTTCGGCGGTATATGATGATCTACGAGAAAGGTGGACGAACGAGAGAATCTCAACGGATGTCCAAAGCGAGCGCGATCACCTTCCTGTAGATGCAGAGTACCCCTGGGCGAGCATCACGGCAATGGTTTCGGGAGAGGCAGATTTCGTGTGTGCGCATGTGGCAAAACTCACAGGCTCTGCAGTATTGACCAGTGATTCGGATCTCTTGCTCCACGACCTTGGTCCACATGGCTCGGTGGTGTTTTTAGACTCGCTACAATTATCCGACAGCCTTCAGCGGCCATTTGAACCGGAAATCCAAGGGCTTCGAATCTGCCCTCACTCGCTGCCGCACCGGCTAGGAGGCATCAGCCTTCTACGGTTTGCCTACGAGCTGAAGCGAACCCCGTGGGTTCAGTTCCCAGAGCTGGTCCGTCGATCCAAGGCCGAGTTCGAACCAGCAAAAACCTACGACTATCAAGATTTCATTCAGGAATATCAGCCCAGCACTGAGCAGAGCCCAATGCCAAAGAAACAACTTCATCCCTTGGACCCGCGGGTTTCTGAATTGTTTTGGCAGTATGAACTGTCAGGTGTCTACGGTTATGCAGAACAGCCTCACATATATCTCGGCGTTTTGAACGAGGATCATTCCAGGCGATGTGCGTGGGAACACGGTCGATTTTACCGGTCTCTGGGCTACTCCCTTCTCAATCTTTCTCGCCCGAGCAATGGATTTACCAATGTTTATGAATTTGTTCGAAGGGGTGGGAGGATTGTAGCCGAGACAATCACTCTCGCCAGCTTGAAAACTGCCATGTCTGACCTACAACTCCTCCAAAGACGTCTTGGCCTGGCTCGTGCAGTCTTCAATAGTTCCTCCGCGGGCTTTTGGGTATTATTTGCCCTAACTGAAATCTACCATGACTCTTCGAACATGGCTACGACGCCGAGTGCCGACCAGTTGAGGAGGTTTCTCGGGGAAGGATTCATGGCAAAAAAGACCGAATGGACAGATATTCACCTTCTTGCTGAAATTCAGGCTGTGTTGTATTCTCTCCGAATGCTTAGACAGCTTCTGGGTGTAGCAACGCTGGACAATGAGGTGCTGGCCGAGTCCCGACTCGGACTTGCGGACTTGCCACCTCTCCATACGATGATGCGGTCGCGGCGGGAGATGATTCCAAGTTTTGTGGATAAGCAGCTTGTTCACGGATCGGTCAATCAATTGTTCCAAACGTATTGTTAAGTTGGGGAAAGAGCCTGCTGTCATCGTCTCCAGGCGCCAGGCATATATCCAAGGATATATATCCATATCCAATTTTAACATTGAATGATTCACAGTGATGCGGTCTATCAGATCTGGTAATTTGATTGCCATTGCTATTGTCACCCATTCGACCATTGGGCATGACTAGCTATAGGAAGCTGGGATATACTTAACCAAGCATAAGGCTCAAGAGTAGACCAAGGCCCCCGAGGATTTGAATCTGCTGGCTTTCCTGATTTTGCCTTTCCATCTTGTTGCGGTTGCTCCTATCCGACTCCATTCGGAGGCGAGAAAGACTGGTTGAATGTGGGCCGATGGTTGTGTCCGAGATAGCACTACCCTAGGTCAAGACCGCCGGTCGGCGCCAATCCAATTTTGCCATGCCCCCCGGGGACGGATATGCCCAGCGCTCAAGAATTTCCTCTGTCTTGGTTTGCACTGCAGAATGAGATGCCCAGCGGAGCAAAGGACTGGCGGGTTCTATGCCCAAGCTGGACGCAACAGGTGATGCGAACACATCATGTGGTTCACTTTTCAGGGGCATCGGGAAGTCGCTCAATAACATATTTTCCGCGGGCGACACTCATGATCGGTGCGCCCGGGATTTTACTGTAGGGGTTCGGCTTGTCAGCTTGCGTGCCATGTGAGGTTGGCTTCTGTGACCTACCGGATCCGTCTCTTTAGGTCACGATCATTTGTTGCCACGATATACACGCGGTGCTTGATGAGCCGATCCACGAGGCAGTCATCTGCATAGGTTCCTTTGTGGTCACATTTGATTCTCTCGAATCGAGGGTCTTTGGCAACACGCAGAGCGAGGCGGTACTTCTGACCGAGCTTTTCGAGCTCGGCCAGGACACAGTCCGTAATCACAGGAGTACATTTGGCATACAAACAATCCATCATGGTCGGGATAATATCCAGTTTATGTTGGATGGTATGAGAAATGAAGTTGGTGTCGACAAGAACAGAATATGGAGGAGCAAGGGCTGTATTGTACTGGAAGAAGAGAGACGAGGGAACCTGGGGTCTGGTGACCATGTCTGTTAGCGATGTCGCGCGTTGGACGCAGGAGTACGCACGCTTCTTTGACGACATCGTCCTTACTCGCTGTATCCTTTTGGTCGGTCTTGTCATTACCCTTCCTAAAGGTTCGATCGAGTCAGTGAGGCGAGAAGAGAAAAGACGGGAGGGAGGGAACAGACAGGCGGTTGTCGCGCATAGAAATGGCTCGTTTTGTAAGTGCGAATTTGCGAGTTCTCTTTTGGACCCCCATCTTGAGCGAGAAATTGGTTGAGGTGGTGATATGGTGATGGGAAAAGAAAGATGTTGGAGTCTTGAAGGGAAAAAGAAAAAAGCCCCCCGACCTCGGGAGGTCTGGAGTATGACAAATAGGTGCATTTTAAGTGGGTGTCTATTGTGAACCCCTTCCCGATTCTACAACTCTAAATCTTTCCCTTTTGTATTTACTCTTGATATGCTTCTACTATATAGTATTCTTTAATGATCTTATTCTTAGGTGATTATATGTTTTGGGTGTTTTTTAATATAAGTTTTTTTAATTTTTAATATTACGGACTCTACAGTAGCAGCCTACTGATAGGCCACTGAGAGCCAACCAAACTAGACCTTACATGATTATTAACGAGCGGCTAGTTTCGGTAGTCTAGGGACATTGTCAATTGGAAGTCTACTCCTAAATAAAACGAACCTAGATTATGTGAGTATAACCGAAAGATACGAATAAGATTTATTAATAATAACCCTATATTTTTTTATCGGCAATAAGACCTGAAGATAGTAACAATAAATTCCGAACTTATCGGCGATAAGAAGAACTAGAGTATATAGAAAACGCTCTCTTTGCGTTCGTATTTAGTTCTTTACGATTAATCCCATATTATTACCTTAATATAATCTTTCTTATCTTATTTCTAGTTTATATTTGTAATAACCTATTCTACAAATAGAGGAGCTACTTTGGTATTGATCTATTTAGTATATACTTAACTAGTATACCTTATAGATACTTAATAGGATCTATCTATATAAGGCCTTATATGGTATTAGTATAATTAAGTATAGGCTTAAGGCTCGCAGTCTCTAAGAGAAGTATCACCTTTAAAGACTAACTTATAGTACATTACCTGTCCAAAAGTCTGCCGACACTCACTATATTCCCCGTGAAACTTGATGATTTTAATTATAAATATCTTAATAAATTTATATAGTATGCTATTTTAATTATTTTTAATTATTAAATAATTAATATGCAATCAATTTTAATATACAATACTTTTTATCTAGATTTTTCTTAAAGGGCTGTATGCTGTCAAAGATAGGTAAAATTGAGAAAATCTATTTTTTATATAGGAACACTAATAAAAGTTATTAGTTTTGGAAAATTTCGCCTGATTTTAGACTTTCTATTTTAAAGAACTACCGTTTTATGAATACAAATATAATCTATAAATTAATATATAGACTCTATTATTTAAACAATTCTCTTTTAAAAAATATAATTATATATATATATATTTATATATTTATATATAATTTTAGAGAGATATTCGGATTTTAGCGATTTTGATTAAAAGCAAGATATTTAAGATATAATAGATTTTATAACTAAAAAAATAGAGATATATATTCTAGAAATATATTATCTATTTCCGTTGAGATATTCGAGTTTAAAATTTTATAATTTATTAGAAATTTATAGTGTCGGCAGACTTTTGGCACCCGTTGGTAACTAGTTAGATACGTGTAATAAAACAGATTATCTATAGGAATCCTATAGAATTTTTAGTATACCTCTACTCTAAGTAGTTGATAGGCCTCTCTTCTATTTAATATATTCGGAATTATTATAATTATTGAAATAGATATAAGATCTTTATATAATTTACCCTCTTTTACTAACTTATAAAGTATTTATAGAGATAGCGGGATATAAGGTTATTCCTAACCAATAAAGGGAGGATTGGGTAATATTATATAACTCTAGGGGAATAGAAAAAGTATTAATATGCCTTGATAAATCTTGCTAAGAATAGGTTTTGGTTCTCCTACTAAAACCTGTGGGTTAGATTTTAAGTCTATACTTTGACGTGTGGGTCTTTTTTAGATACCCATAGATTTATAAATAGTATAAAATAGTATAGTATATAATTTAGGACTATATCTTTAAGTAAATTGCTTATAAATATAATATATCTTACAAATTATTTTAGGGACTATACAAAAGAAATAATGAACTTAATCTAAATGCTTCTAGTATCTATTTAATATCAAAGGGAATTATCTCGCTATAAACATTTTAGGCCTCTCTCTAATAGTTTTTACGATATTTTAAAAAGACTAAAGCTTCCCTTTTTTAAGTTTATAATTATAATTAGATCATATTACTAGCTATCTAGTATCTATCCCTTCTATAGATCTAGATATTATCTTTTTTTATTATCATTAATTAACTAACTTTAGTTTTTCTTAAAAACATATATATCTTTTTTAATTTAGATTTTAGCTTTTATTTAGTTAAATAAACTTTATAAAATTTATATTCTGTTATTTTAATCTTAAATTTAGTTATATAATTTTAAAGTATAAATTCTTAGATTATATCATAATAGATAAATCTTAGCGATAATAATAGATATTATATATAGAGCTAAAGAGCATTCTAATGCCTATTGTAGTAATAAAGATAAAGAGAATATTATATATAAAGATTTAAAAAACTAGAAATTAGTATTAGTATTTTTTTACTCCTCGTAGATATTAATTAGCTATAATAAATGTTTTAAAATTAGTAATATAACTAATAAAGGATAAAAGGAATATATTAAATTTAATATAGTAAACTTGTTATAGTTATTTTTTAAGATTAATTTCATTAATATATTATAAAGTTAATAAGTATCTTAGCTCTAATCTTAATATTAAATTATATAGAGATCCTTTCTATTTTTCTAATGAGGTATTATTGATAAAGTTTACAAAGGTATAAAAACTCTATCTATAATAATAATATTACGCGTTCCTAACTAGTTACTATAAGCTAGTCCTTAAAGATAATACTTCTCTTAGTAACTACAAGCCTTAAGCCTGTCCTTAATCGTATTAATACTACGTTAAGCCTTATATAGATAGATTCTATTAAATATTTATAAAGATATACTAATTAAGTATATACCGAATAGTTTAGTACTAAAGTGGCTTTTTTATTTATAGGATAGGTTATCACAAAGATAAACTATAAATAAGACTAAAAATAATATCTAAGTAATAATATAATTTATTCAAAGAACTAGATATATATATAGTAAAGACTTTTCTTATATATTTAATTCCTTTTTATTGCTAATAAATATAGAATTTATCGCTAATATCTTCCGATTATCCTTAACTAAATAAATAAAAATTTCCTGGTTCTTTAGCTAAAGGTATTTTTAGGGATATTAAAAAAGGAACTAGATATTATATAAATAGAATATATTAATTATAGCTAGAAAGACTATACTAGAGTTTATAAAGACTTTCGATATAATAAAGTTAATATATTACTATTAATTTTCTTTTATTATTATTTATAATAAATAAGGTTAGCTATTCTAGTATAATCCTATTAATATTTTAGTGGGCTTAATATAAAGTTTATATAGTATATATTATTATTTACTATTAGAATATAGCTATTTATATTCTTATAATGAAGAATTTATTAAAGAAGTATCTCTTAAAGTTTTCGTTTTAGTAGTTTCTTTATTTAATTCTAGGAGGTAATAATTTTATATATTAGGCTACAGTAAAATAGAGACTTTTAATTAAATATATCTTAATTTAATTACTAATCTTAGCCTTAAATATTATTTAAAAAAGCTAAAAGGTTTCTTTATTATTCTAAGTTTTAAGCAGAGTTTTATATCTATCCTATTTTTTATATTAATAATAGTAGTATTATCTTATTAGAGTTTTAGTAGTTTCTTATAATTTATAGTATTTATTTTGAAATAATATCTTATTTTTTTATTTCTATCTCTCATATTTTATTTATATTTATTATTTCCTTTTCTAGAATCTATTAGTTATACTCTAATACCTATTTTTTATTTAATTAAGAAAAAGGATTTTTATTAAAATATTAATAATGATTGTCTAATTATTTATTTATTGCTATCTTCTAATTTTATTATAGTTATATTTTTTATCCCTTTATTTCTAAGACTTAAGAAGTAATATACAGAATAGATTATCGATTTAATTATATCACTTTAGTAAATTGAACTTATAGAGGTCCAATATATTTAGATATTAATTTTCTTATGATTTGTAGGTTTAAATTACTTATTAATAATATAGCTAATTCTTTATAATTAAATAATATTGCTTTATAGGTTTTATTATAATATTTTATATATATTATATCTATATTATATTTTACTATTATCTTATTAAATCTTATCTTGACTTTTATAGTTTTCTAGTATATATTTCTTAGTAATTTTGGTTTTGAAGCTATTCTTTATAAATAAAATAGCAAAAATAGTATTTAAGTACTTAGCTTACTCTTTCTATTTAGCTATTAGTCTATAAATAAAATAGTATTAAAAGTTATAGTTTAATATAACTAATATAGGATAACTTTAACTATAATTTACTAGTAAAAAGTAATCCTTGAATTATTTAAATTGAATTGAATTATCATATATAGATCTATTAGCCCTAAAGCCGATTTACCGGCAGAACTAATTAGGTAGTCGGGTTAACTACCTTCCGATATACTAAGAGTCACCTAATTCGTAGTATCTCCTATCTTCGCCGAACCCTTATCTTTAATATCTTATCTACTTTACTACCGGAGTATATTATATATTACTTACTTATATTTACTTTATTGCTAATAAATAATAGGATTCCGATAGTGAGAAGATACTAATCCCTTAAAGTAGGTTATTCCCGGCGCTTTATTATCGTTTTATTTTTATCTTTATACAATCGAAGTTAACTGGTTAAATCGTTACTATCCTCTTTAATTACTACGTCTTCGACTAACTACGCCGACCGGTAACGTTAGTATATATATAGAGGGGGGATTCTTTATACTTTTAAAGCCTAGGGGGTAAATAGTAGGATTATTGTTATAAGTTATCGCCTTCTAAACGGAAGACCCGATATATAGATAAAAGGGCTCTAAATTAGCCGAGGAGCCTTATATATATTATAAATTGCGTTATCTTATCTATAAGGTCTAGTTTCGTTAACTAGTCGGTCTAT